TTTTTTTTTTTTTTTTTGACTGCATGCATATCAACTATCTCATTTTGATTTCTACTCTCTGATCTAATACGTGATGATGTATTTACGATTTCCGAAATTGATGAAATCAACGAACAAACGTAATTATGATGGTAGTCCAATCTAGGTCTAGAGTATATGTCTGGATATACCACCGAAGAAAGAACATAGCACTAACTAGTCATGCCATGAATTCATCTAATCAGTTGCAATTTACAAACCCAATGAATAGCCTGGATGGTAAACAATTGACTATACGCTGCTTGGGAGGCGGGATAATAAAAAACATAGAGGGAATCATATTAATTCGTTTGATTTTATAGGAAATACACGTCACGTCCTTTCCCCTCCACGTGTCCCTATCATGGATTCTCGTCACCGAGTACAAAAGGAAAAAGGCATAGATAGAACATCTTTGTGAAGATGTCCCAATTCTATGCTTTAATTACTGCAGCTGCATTCCTCTGATATAAAGTCGATGTGAGATGGGGAGCACGTTAAAGGGTAATAGGGCAGAGACAAAATAGACAGTGAGACTGTTATACAGGGAGGAACATAGCTGCAGAGCAGATCGTTCAAGAATGCATTTAAGGGTTAGCGGCAACGAAGTCGACACCCTTCTTAATGTTCTTCTTGAGGTCAGCAAGGCAAGCCTCGACGAGCTTCTCCTCGTAGGCGTTAACGGGGCCAACGGGGTGGATCTTCTCGACACCGTTGGGGCCGAGCTCAACCTTGGAGGCGAAGAAGTCAACACCCTGGTCCTTGTAGAGAGGGCTGTCGACGAAAGTGGGCTCAATGACGCCCTTCTCGCCCTGAGCAGCGCGGAGGAGAGACTCAGCGAAGCGGGCACCGGCCATGGCCATGGAGAGAGTGGCGGAACCAGCACCGTCCTTGGCCTTGACGACCTCGTCACCACCGAACTGGATGCGGTTGACGAGCTGGTCACGGGCCTCACCCTCAATACCGGCGTGGTTGGACTGAGAGAGCAGGGGAACGATGGTGACACCGGAGTGACCACCAACAACGGGGACGGCCTCGTTGGCGGGGTCGGTCTTCTGGAGCTGAGAGATGAAGCGCGAGGCACGGACAACGTCAAGGGTGGTGACACCGAAGAGACGCTTGGGGTTGTAGACACCCTTGGACTTGTAGACCTCGGAGACGATGGGGACGGTGGAGTTAACCTGCTCATTGATTAAAATTTGATGGAGCTAACTAGGGAAGGAAAAGAAAATACGTACGGGGTTGGAGATGACCAGGATGTTGGCCTCAGGGGAAGCCTCAGCGGCGGCCTTAGCAAGGTCACGGACGATGGAGGCGTTGGTGTTGAAAAGATCTGTTAATCGTTCATAATCAGAAATTGCTCTCTCAAGACCTCATTCTTTGTCTATGCTAGGAAGTGCCATACCGTCACGGGTCATGCCGGGCTTACGGGGGACACCGGCAGGGATGAGGACGATCTCGGAGCCCTTGAGGGCATCCTTGAGACCGCTGGGGGTAGGATCGTAGCCAGAGACGGTGCTCTTGGTGTTGATGTGGCTCAGATCGGCGGCGACACCTGTCGGAGATCTTGTCAGTTTCCTGTGTCGTTGGGAACTCGGTTGAGAAGGGCCCAACATACCAGGTCCTCCGCGGATGTCGTAGAGAGAGAGCTCAGTAACACGGGGGTTGAGCTTCAGAAGCAGGGAGAGAGGCTGGCCAATGCCACCACCGGCACCGAGAACGGTGACCTTGGAAGCCTGGAGGTTGAGGTTGTTAGCAAAGCTTGAAGCTCCGAGGTACCGATTCACAAAACAACAAATCGCACACATACCTGGCTCGCGGAGGCCGAGAAGGCGCGCTTCTGGAAAAGACCGAAAGACTGACGAGCGGCGAACATCTTGATCTCTGAGGGATGAAGACTGAAAAAAGTCTATCTGAGAATGGATGGGGAGAAAAGGGAAGATGCAATTGCGATGCAGAGGGGAGATGGAAAGAAGAGAAAAGTAGGGCGAAGGACGGATGAGCTGGAGAAAGGCTCCACGGCGCTTGGTTGCCGGTGAGAAGGATTTTGGGGCGGCTAAAAGGCGCCGTTTCCGATCCGATGACGGACTGGCACGGAATGATGGAATGGCGTCAACACGCTTGCATGTGTTGTTGATGATTTGCGGTCAGATGGAAGACAGCTATTCGGTCCATTGTAATGCTGGCTTTGTAACGGAATTGAGTATGTTTCTTGCCATTATTTGTCTCCAAGACTACGCAGCGCATTCTGAGCTGCCACGAGCTCGGCCATATTTTTTGTCATTCCCCACCTCGGTAAAACAATACAGGATAGATTGATAAAACGAATTGATAATAGCTACGTAGGCAGTGAATTGCCTAAAAGTTTTATGAGTCTAATTGTAGTCTTGGAGACCAACTGTGAAGGTGTTTGTTGACAGACTCATCTATGCCCTTGCAACCCAAAACTACCTCAGGTATACTTGCCGTTTCACATGGTACCGAGTCAAAAGAAAAACGCCCGTGATTTTCTCGATACAAAGGAAGTGGATGGATGGCCTGAACCAAGCATCAATTTACCCAGATGCCATACATACTAAAAGACAAAAAAACCACATGCATCCAAACGCCAGCGCTTGTCAAACGAGCAAAGCAAGCCAAATACAGAAAACCAGAAGATCGACTACAATCATCTCAAAAAGTGCAACACTGCCCAGCAAAACAGGAAGAAGATCAAAACTCCAGCCCAGAATATCCACTTGTCCTGTTTTGCCCGCCGTTCGACCATGCGAATTGTATCCCCGCTCACACCCAGGGTGTTGGCAACGCTGTACAACCGACGCTGTGTCCCCTTGAGCACTTCCCGCTGCTGTCCTAGATCCGAAAGAACAGCGCGCCCTCGGTCAAGAAATTCATCTAGCTGAGTGTTGGTATTGGAAAAAAAAGACTGCTCGCGCAGGGCGTGTGTTTCTCGGTCGTAGTCCGCTGCTGATGTACCAAAACTGAGGCCTGATCTGGACGATGAGGGGGCAAAAGGTGAGGGGTTGGGAAGAGAAGATTGCGCGTAGGGATTCTCCGGTGTAGCAGCATGATGGGGTCGTCGGCCAAGGAGCTCATTGCGGTTGGACATGGATTGCTTTGAGAAACTTTATGTCAGCGATTGCCTGACTGAAAGTCCAACAAGTTAGAGAAAGACCAGTGACCTACAGCATCCTCTCGTTCTTTCCGAAGCCGGTCATATTGTTCTCTGTAATCAACCAGCTCGGACCGGAAGTTCTTAACTCTGTCGAATGCTTTCTCTTGTTTTTCACGGATCAATTCCTTCTTGGATAGTGCCGAGTAGTCATCGACAGTTCGTGATAAGGAGGCAAGAGAAGCTGCGATTTGGCCTATTGAGCGCAGAAATCCCAGAGTCAGCCAGCACATCGGCAACATTTGTTCGCGCAGTTACAATCATTGAGTGTAAATTATTACCTTGCAGTGCTGCTGATGATGTTGCGGGCGATTGTGAGAATGTGTCTAAATCACGGCGTATAGCAGATGACTGCTTGAGAGCGGAGTTGAAAAGGGAATTCTGGGGGCATCATAACGTCAGAATAAGATCGCCAGTAAGGAAATGTTTCCAGCCGCTGTTGTTATGCAGAACGTACCATAATGAAACGGACTATAGCTCGAAATCCTATTCCAAAATGAGTGCGCGCTTTTCGGCAAGCAAGTAATATTTCAAGCCGGATATAGTTCGAAGTGATGTCTCCCTCAAAATATGTGGGGGAAGATTCTTCTCAGAGAGATGATTCGAATCTGTTCACAGTAACAACGTGTTCCGATGGCTGAAATGCTAACAATGATGCCCGAGGCCACATGTTCTTGTAGTGGACACGATTTTGACGCCGTTCACCGCCTCCGACTTTTGGGTGATGAGCTGTCTTTGCAGTTGTATGTACGGTTCTGAAATCTGACCTATTTATGGAAACTCCTGCAGTAGACAAGCTTCGCTCTCAAGCTACAAAATATGTTACAGTGCTGAGCTATATAATGTGGAAAATGAATACATGAGGACTTAACAGGTGACCCACTACGACTACGAGCAAAATTTTATCGCCATGAAGAGTATATATTTTGTCAGATAGTGGCCGCAATCCTTGGTCAAGTATGTTGGATGGTATAGTTCTCGACCATGGTTGAATTATTATCGTCGTTACACGGGGTTAATGGTACAATAAGGACGAGGAGCTAGCATGCTAGCGCCAAACAACAAGTAAAAGAAAGCACGCCCCAGCTGGGATGATATCACACAGATTCAGGAGTTGAAGAGACGCCATCGAATAGAGAAACAATCCCCCAATTATATAGTAGGTAAAGCACTCGGGCTTCCCGAGTTTATTTGCGGGGATACTTGTTTTGGAAAAGCCATCTGACAGCATTTTGTGTTAGTAAATGCCTTTGAATAGAATACAAACTAGGCCAAACGACAACTTACTTGCTGACGAGATAATCCACGGCACCAAAAGCCCCAACAGCTCCTGATGCCCACCCAACAATTTGCCAGGATAGCTGGCCTTCGAGATGCTTTCTGTACGCGCCATAGCCTAGTCCTGCACTGGCCAACGTGATCAAGAGGGCATTCCCTAAGACGACAGGGTTGCCTTTGTTGGCAAACAGCCCGGAATCTTCAGCCTTAGCTTTGGCCTTGGCCTTGCGCTTCTTTTCTTGGGCCTTCTTGTCTTCTTCCTCCTTTGCTTCGCGCTCTAGACGTTCAGCCTGTGTGGTTGTCTTGACATCTTGCTCCAGGAAACTCGACTCGACAGATGCGACGTGCGGGGAATCAACGTCTATCAAAGAGGCGGCGCCCTCGGATTCATCCCTGTAAACCTGGGCAGGCTTTCCTGCGCGGCTGCCATGTTGTTAGTGATGACGATTTGTGGATTGATCAATGGGTTGAACGTACGCCTATAAGAAAACAATTAGTATTGAAGCACTATTTGAAGCCGGGGAAAGCATGGGAACTCATTGCTTACTTCCTCTGCGGACTGCTTGGGTCCCTTTGCTGCAGCGTCTGCGTAAGAAGACATCTTGCACTAGGTCAAGAGAGAATTGGGAAAGTAAGATGGTATAATCTGTGAACATATTAGTCAAAATTCCGCGTAGGAATTTAGGACACATGGATGTCGAGATGCATGGGCACAGCACTTAGTCATGGAGGTGACTTAGGACATGAACCATGTAATAAGAGGGGGAGAGGAAAGACATGAACAGGAGACAATCAACTCACGGAATAGAATGGGTGAGAATGTTTTAGTTTCGCGATGAGAGGAGAAGAGAAGAATGAGAAATCGGGAAGATGTCCTCGTGGAGTATTTATACTGAACGCAAGGGTGACCTGCCTTGCAAGAGTCGCGACATCACGTCATTGATGTCACCTGGTGGAGTCGGCACGTGTGGATGAGGAACAGAACACCCCAAGCCACCACATTTGGGTTTTGTTCTAGCCTGACCATGAGATTAATCGCATTTATCTACAATACCAGGAAGCTTGCTTCAAACTGGTGTATGGAGTGCTTGTGTCGTTTAGCTTCATAGTCCAACGGCTTTTAAAAATTAGATGCCTGCTTGCGCATCATTGTTCCTGGACCCAAGCATCATCAAGACATAGGAAATTGTATTTGAACTTTGCTGTAAAAACGTGAACACACCAGGGATGGTAAAAATGAGAAACAAGTTTGTTTTGAATACATATTAAAACAAGACTAAATAGAACCTCCGATCACAAACAGCTCATCTGGGTAGGTCATGGATTTCTAAATAGCCAAAAGGAATCTAAAGAAGAAGCTCCAAGGGGTTCTCAACAATCTTCTTCAGCTGCTTGATCCATTCTCCACCAACAGCGCCATCAACGACCTTGTGGTCGAAGCTGCCGGTCACGACAATCTGGTCATCCCACTCAACAGCAGTGCCTTCCTCGGTCTCGACGGGAACAGCGACCTTGCGAGTAGTGCCAACAGCCAAGATACCGGCCTGAGGGGGGTTGATGACAGCAGTGAATCTCTCAACAGCGTCGTTCATGCCCATGTTGCTAATGGTGAAAGTACCTCCCTGGTACTCCTCTGGCTTGAGCTTGTTGTCACGGGCACGCTTACCAAGGTCCTTGATCTGGTTAGAGATGCTAGAGAGACCGAGGCTCTGTGCGTTCTTCACAACGGGGGTGATGAGACCAGCGGGGGTAGCAACAGCAACGCTAATGTCAGCGGTGTTGTGTTGACGGATGACAACCTGGCCGTTCTCCTCGCGCCAGCTAGAGTTGACAGCAGGGACCTTCAGAAGAGCGGCAGCACAAGCCTTGACGAGGAAGTCGTTAACGGAAAGCTTGTACTTGCCATCAGCGGAGGCGTTGAGAGCCTGGCGAAGCTTCTGGAGCTTGGTCACCGACAGGGTGGTCGAGACGAAGTAGTGGGGGTTCTCTCTCATGGACTGCTGAAGGCGGCTAGCAATTGTCTTGCGCATGGAAGTGAGAGGAATGTCCTCGTAGCTTGCGCCAGCGCTGGCAGCAGGGGCGGTAGACTTGAACTTCTCAACATCCTCCTTGGTGATCTGGCCACCTCGTCCGGTGCCCTTGAGGCCCTTGATAGACACACCCTTCTCGAGGGCCAAAGCCTTGGCAGCTGGGCTAATTTGAGGCTCACGGTCGAGACTGGGCTGGAGCTTCTCGCCAGTGGTGTCGGGCTCCTGGGCAACGGGTTCGGGCTCCGAAGTCGATGGAGCCGGGGCAGCATCAGCCTTGGTCTCCTTGCTTTCCTGGGCTGGGGCAGCACCCTTGTCACCGCCGGCATCCTCGATGCTGAATGACTCGAACGACGCAACGTCGGTTCCCTCCTCAACCAAGACAGCGATGGGCTGGGTTCCACAGTTAGCAAACATGCAAAGATTTTGATATGCAGTCAGATAACACCTACAGCACCAACGGAGACGTCCTTATCACCAGATTCTTTCAAGACCTTGGCCAGAACACCTTCTTCTTGGAATTCAAAGTCCATTTGTGCCTTGTCGGTTTCAATTTCCACCAGGACATCACCGGGTTGCAGAGAGTCACCGGCCTTCTTCTGCCATGCACCGATGTTTCCTGCAGTCATTGTCGGCGACAAAGCAGGCATGCTGATGAGAGTGTGGGGAGGGAAGGCTATATTCCAATTTTGTCAGAACTAGATGGCATAAAACAGATATATGACCTTGATTAAAGGCCAGGTGACATACACTTGGAGGCATAGAAGCGGGAAAGAGCGGACAAGGCAGGCAATTGAGGTCTAACAGGAGAGAAAAAACGTCAGCATCAATTCATGATAGAGATTGGACGGTGTATCATACTGGACAACATCCTTAAATCTGTGAGCAACTTGGGGCCTCCTCAAGCAGGAGGCACCCTTGGACAGAAACATGGCGCTTGGAGTGCGCATCCGGACAGCAGAGGCAACCATGGCGCCTAAATGCTGCGATTATAATACAAGAGAAGCCCCAAAGAACAGACAAGTATTAAGAATGAGAATGAAGGGCGACGAGATGAGCCTGGCAGGTAGAAAGGGCCTGATAACAGAGAGTTGGGGATGCAGCTCCAGGAACTTTTCTGTTGAGCTTCCCGGTGAGAGAACGGATTCTCTTCTCGCCGGGGATTCCCGATTACGTAAAGCGATGCGTTTGTGGCGCTCGCGGGCTTCCGTACACTATCCCGTCCGCGGGAGAGTGGACACGCATCAGTACTCAAGGCCCCGAAGGAACTGCAGGGAAGGACATCTTTGCTTAGACCTTCCGGTTTCTCCCTTTGTTTCTTTTTCTGTTCGATGCGGACTGCTCTTTCGCCTGTTTTTTAATACTCCGGTTGGAGTCTTGCATAAATGGCGGAAGTTGAAAATGGCTCTGTAAATGAGCCAGACCACCAAACACCTTCGGCCGCGCAGGCAGACAATAACGAGAATAACGTCGACTCGTCGACACATTCTGACCCCCCACGACACTCTATAGAGGAGAAGCCTTATTTATCAAATGAATCAGAACCGCAGAAAACCGAAGCAGATGGCTCAGGGGAGTCTAATTTTCCCGAAAACCAAATAGAACCAACCGAAGATATAGTATCTATCGAACAACCCTCAAGCCCGTCGAAGAACGTCGCCGAATCCTCCGAACCCTCCGAACCTGAGAATCACCCAGAACCTGACTCCGAAACAAGAGACGTTGAAGGTGATAGCTCGCCAGGTGAACCGACCGCTGGCGTTGACAAGGAACCCCACGGCGAAAGACAAGATACTGCATCGATACCCCGTCAAGATGAAGTCGCCCCGGATTCCCGAATGCGCTCCGACTCAAGGTCGACAACTGCTACATTTGCAACGCATCGTTCGGTCCCTGTCAGCTCAACTGTTTTTATTGTAACATCTCTCGACACAATTGGCGCATCCCGGGAAGCCCGAAAGAGCAAGGAATTGGAGGATGCTGTTAAAAATGCGCTTGCCAATGTCAAACAATCAGATCGCCAACCCATTGATCCGGAGGTCATATTCCGCCCCCTCCAGCTTGCGACGAAGACTTTCAGCATCCCTCTACAAGTGACAGCGCTGGATTGCATCGGGAAATTGATCACATACTCATACTTCGCATTCCCATCTCCCCAAGATGGCGGGTCCTCGGAAAATGAGACTGCTTCGCAGCAACCACCGCTGATAGAGCGTGCCATCGATGCGATTTGCGATTGCTTCGAGAACGAAGCAACGCCAATTGAAATTCAGCAGCAAATTATCAAATCACTTCTTGCGGCAGTTCTGAATGACAAAATTGTTGTGCACGGAGCCGGTCTCCTAAAGGCTGTCCGCCAGATTTACAATATATTCATCTACTCCAAATCGAGTCAGAATCAGCAGATCGCGCAGGGTTCTCTCACACAGATGGTTAGCACGGTCTTTGATAGAGTGCGGGTGCGGCTAGAACTGAAGGATCTACGGATTCGGGAGGGCGAGAAGGCTCAGGAAAGCCCGGACGTTGTAACTCTAGATGCAGTCGACGCCTCTCACCCAAATGAGCAGGATCAAGTATCTGAAGCTGCTTTGGTTTCAACGCCTGACCAGCCTGCGATTAAAGAGCCTACTGAGAAGCTCACACTACAAAGTTTCGAGTCGAACAAAGAAGAAACTTCAGTCAATGACAACGCCCCAACAATGGTCACTCGTGCCAGGAATGGTAAAACAAAGTCGCGATCCATATCTAGCGCTCCTGAGGGAGAGAGAGATGATGGCGATAGTGCCGCAGATGATGAAGAAGATGAGATTTACGTCAAAGATGCCTTCTTGGTGTTAAGGGCCCTATGCAAACTGAGTCACAAGATCCTCAGTCACGATCAACAACAGGATCTTAAGTCTCAGAATATGAGGTCGAAGCTACTTTCCTTGCATCTCATTCACTATCTCATCAATAACCACGTCGCTGCTTTTACCTCCCCCCTTGTTACGATCAAACACAGTTCCAGTGGCCCGGATGCCATGACACTCTTACAGGCTGTGCGGCCCCACCTCTGTTTGAGTCTGAGTCGAAATGGCTCAAGCTCCGTGCCTAGGGTATTCGAGGTCTGCTGTGAAATTTTCTGGCTTATGCTCAAGTATATGAGGGTGATGATGAAGGTCTGTAACACCTTTGTTTTATTTTATGTGCATAAGCTGACCCTCCACAGAAAGAGCTCGAGGTATTCTTGAAGGAGATCTATCTGGCTATCCTTGAAAAGCGGAACTCTCCCGCTTTTCAAAAACAATATTTTATGGAGGTATTAGAAAGATTGGCAGGTGATCCGCGTGCCTTGGTTGAGATCTATCTCAACTACGATTGTGATCGAACGGCTTTAGAAAACATTTTCCAGAAGTATGCTTCATATATATCTTGACTCGCTCATGCATATTCCACGGAAACTAACTTTTCGCAGTGTCATAGAGCAGCTGTCACGATATTCGAGCGTCCCAGTCACAGTGACACCCTTCCAGCAACAGCAATATCAAGAACATCATGTCAAGGTCTCTAAAATTGGATCTGAATGGCATCAAAGTGGCACGCTACCTCCGTCGCTAATGACCGCAAGCGTAGCCAATACACCACAGCCAAATTTACAAGGGGTGCCCCCAGAGTACATCTTGAAGAACCAGGCACTCGAATGCTTGGTAGAGATTCTGCAATCATTGGACAACTGGGCCTCTCAACGCATTGATGATCAAGCCGTCGCTGTGCCTAATGTCTCGTCGCAAAAGTCCATGGACAACTCTAGAGAGTCCCTTGACACAAATGCTGCCATGTTCCTCTCCTCGCCCAGAATCGAGAGTACAGATGGAACCGGCCTTTCAACTCCTGTGGCAGATGATGACCCGAGTCAAATAGAGAAGGTCAAGCAAAAGAAAATTGCTCTCATGAACGCCATTCAACAGTTCAATTTTAAGCCTAAGCGTGGCATCAAGCTCTTCCTTCAGGACGGCTTCATCCGTTCTGACTCGCCTGAAGACATCGCCGCATTTTTGCTACGCAACGATCGATTAGACAAAGCCATGATAGGAGAATATCTTGGTGAAGGCGACGCTGAAAACATTGCCACCATGCATGCTTTTGTCGACATGATGGACTTCTCAAAGCGACGCTTCGTTGACTCTCTCCGCCAGTTTCTTCAAAACTTCCGATTGCCTGGAGAGGCTCAAAAGATTGATCGTTTCATGCTCAAGTTTGCAGAACGTTATGTGACCCAGAATCCCAATGCATTTGCGAATGCGGATACAGCATATGTCCTCGCATACTCCGTCATCATGCTCAACACGGATCAGCACAGCGCCAAACTCAAAGGTCCTCGCATGACAAAGGAGGACTTTATCAAAAATAACAGAGGTATCAATGACAATCAGGATCTGCCGGATGATTATATCGGTGCTATTTATGATGAGATAGGTAGCAATGAGATCGTTCTTGACACTGAGAGGGAGCACGCTGCAAACCTCGGTATTCCGACATCTACTCCTGCTGGCTTAGCATCACGAGCTGGTCAGGTCTTTGCCACAGTTGGTAGAGACATTCAAGGCGAGAAATACACTCAAGCTTCCGAGGAAATGGCCAACAAGACAGAGCAACTTTATCGAAGTTTGATACGGGCACAGCGAAAGACAGCCGTCAAGGACGCTCTCTCACGGTTTATCCCTGCAACATCTTTTAGACACGTCGGATCTATGTTCAACGTTACCTGGATGTCTTTCCTTTCCGGTTTGTCCGCTCCTATGCAAGACACTCAAAATTTGGAGATCATCAAGCTTTGCATGGAAGGAATGAAGCTTTCCATACGTATCAGCTGTGCTTTCGAATTAGAAACGCCTCGTGTTGCATTTGTTACCGGGTTGGCAAAGTTTACAAATCTTGGGAACGTCAGGGAAATGATGGCGAAGAATGTCGAAGCCCTGAAAGCTTTGCTTGACGTAGCTCTTACGGAGGGCAATAGTCTTAAGGGTTCTTGGAGAGAGATTCTTACCTGTGTCAGTCAGCTTGATCGACTTCAGCTTTTAACTGATGGGGTAGACGAGGGTTCATTGCCCGACGTTTCAAGAGCCCGTATCGTGCCTCAGGCATCTTCTGATGCGTCTCGTAAGTCTATGCAGGCAACGAGACGCCCTCGCCCTCAGTCGGTCAATGGGCCTGCAAGTTTCCGCACGGAAGTTGCAATGGAGAGTCGGTCAGCCGACATGATACGAGGTGTAGATCGGATCTTTACGAACACTGCCAATCTTTCCCATGAAGCTATCATCGATTTCATTGGAGCATTGAGCGAAGTGAGTTGGCAAGAGATTCAGTCCTCCGGACATAGCGACTCTCCGCGGACATACAGTTTGCAGAAATTGGTCGAGATAAGCTACTACAACATGACAAGAGTCAGAATTGAGTGGTCAAAAATCTGGGAGGTTCTTGGTCAACACTTCAATCATGTGGGCTGCCATTCGAACACGACTGTGGTCTTTTTTGCGCTCGATTCTCTTCGTCAGCTCTCAATGCGATTCATGGAAATTGAAGAACTTCCGGGATTCAAATTTCAAAAAGACTTCCTCAAGCCCTTTGAACATGTTATGGCGAACAGTAACACTGCCACTGTGAAGGATATGATCCTACGATGTCTTATCCAGATGATTCAAGCTCGCGGGGACAATATCCGTTCTGGTTGGAAAACAATGTTTGGCGTGTTTACAGTGGCCGCTCGGGAGCCCTATGGTAAGTATCATGGTTCCCATGCCTCTTACTATTGGTCGATTTACTAATAGGCGGATAGAAGGAATCGTCAACATGGCTTTCGAGCATGTCTCTCAGATTTACAGCACTCGTTTCGGGGTAGTCATCACCCAAGGTGCTTTCCCAGACCTTATTGTTTGTCTCACAGAGTTTTCCAAAAACATCAAGTTCCAGAAAAAGTCCCTGCAAGCAATTGAAACCTTGAAGTCAACGGTTACAAAAATGCTCAGGACTCCGGAATGCCCTCTGTCACATCGTGGCGCAAAATCAGATGGTTCACATGACAACGGTGCATCGAATATCACCTTGCAGCCTAGCGGGCAGTCTCAAGAGGAACAGTTCTGGTATCCCATATTGATTGCCTTCCAGGATGTGCTTATGACCGGCGATGATCTTGAAGTTCGATCACGGTAAGATCATAACCATCATTCAGTGTGGAAAAGAAAATTACTAACTTGCTTTTCTTTTCATCAGTGCGCTAAATTACTTGTTTGAAACACTGATTCGACATGGTGGCGAGTTTCCCCAAGACTTCTGGGATGTTCTCTGGAGACAGCTTCTATATCCCATTTTTGTCGTATTGCACTCAAAATCAGAGATGTCCAAAGTCCCTAATCATGAAGAGCTTTCCGTGTGGCTTTCAACTACAATGATCCAAGCCCTGAGGAACATGATTACTTTGTTCACGCACTATTTTGATGCTCTGGAATATATGCTTGGCCGCATTCTCGAACTACTCACGCTATGCATCTGCCAGGAAAATGATACAATCGCACGGATTGGAAGCAACTGTTTACAACAACTGATTCTGCAAAACGTTGCAAAATTCCAGCAGGAGCACTGGACCAAGGTTGTCGGTGCTTTTGTTGAGCTCTTTAGTAAGACAACTGCATACGAGTTGTTCACAGCGGCAGCCACTATGTCTTCAAAATCACCAGTGCCCAATAAATCGACAAATGGCGATGTAACCAACAGCGAGGATACGACACCCGAATCTGCTGAGGCACCGCCCACTGATGAAAGCCGCACCGACTCCCCCAAACCCAACGGGGCCCAAAATGTGGCACCTGAGCATGAAGAAGGGGATATGCCGACTGCTCCAGAGTCCGAACTGGAAGACTATCGACCTCAGGCAGATGTACAACAGCAGCCAGCTGCAGTGACTGTAACGCGTCGTCGATTTTTCAATCGTATTATTACGAACTGCGTTCTTCAATTGCTGATGATTGAAACTGTCCATGAACTTTTCTCAAATGACAAAGTTTATGCTCAGATCCCAAGTCATGAGCTCTTGCGGCTAATGGGGTTGTTGAAGAAGAGCTACCAGTTCGCGAAGAAGTTCAATGAAGATAAGGAACTTAGGATGCAGCTCTGGCGCCAAGGATTCATGAAGCAGCCGCCGAACTTGCTCAAACAAGAAAGCGGAAGTGCTGCTACTTATGTCCATATTCTCTTCCGAATGTATCACGATGAGAGGGAAGAAAGGAAGAACAGCCGGGGAGAAACTGAGGCTGCACTCATTCCGTAAGTACTTTGAATTTAATTATATGTCCTAATGAGAGAATGGGATTGCTAACCACCATCCATTCTCCTCAGTCTCTGCGCGGATATCATTCGAAGCTTTGTGCGACTTGACGAAGAGTCACAACATCGCAATATCATAGCCTGGCGCCCTGTCGTTGTGGATGTTATTGAAGGTTACACAAACTTCCCTTCTGAAGGTTTTGATAAATACATCAAGACCTTCTATCCTCTGGGTGTCGATTTACTCAGTCGCGACCTAAATCCCGAAGTCCGTATCGCGCTACAGTCCTTGCTTCGAAGAATTGGCGAAGCGAAATTGGGCGTGCCTCCCGCAGAAACGCCCTTGCAGGCATCAGCCAGTCCAAGGAGCTCGGTCTCTCAGCAACACTCTCGCAGATACAGTCGGGGGCAATAAGTTACTAGCAGTTTCTTGTTTTGACTAATTCTCATGTCTTGTGTCTCGTGTTTTTGACTCATCTTTTGGATATCCTAGTCATTCAGTGGTGAAGCACACTCTGAATGAGTGGTGAATGTAGAATTAACAAAGTTCAGTTGCTTCTTAAGTTTTCTTTCTTTTTCTTCCTATGCAAGCGGACTTTATATATGATTGATTGACAAGAATAGAGTTATGAAAGGGCCTGTGGATCCATCTAGATATCTTCAGGCAATGTATATAAAGGTCAAATGACATGTAGTGTTCCATCCATTTCTTTAGTATGTTTATACAATTGTACTAGTCGAATCAAAACAGCTGTCCAGCAAGCCGTATGGTTTATACTGTCGGTAAGTTGTGTCGAATCTCGTTGAAAGCTGGGATTTTGCCAGAGTCGTAGTGAGAAAGTAGACTATGCATATCCCGATCATCCATTTGTACGAGTTCCTCCAGGCTCCATGACTCACAAACTCCAGACATCCTTTGCACTCAATCAGTTTACGAGCTCATGGCGTTTATAAGATTGACGTACCACTTCATTCTTTTCGGCCCCTCGTCGACATTAGGTGCGACTTCCCTTAGCTTCTTCCGTAGCTTTCCCACATTGTCAATTGCTGCTCCCATGTTATCCGGCAAGGTGTTCGCAATTTTCTTTCGGACAATGCTTGCAAGCTTGGGACCGTTTCCATTTGTGCTGACCATCACTTGTAACGGGCCGTCTCGGTATACGCTGCCAAAGTAGAAGTCGCATTCGGGAGGTACATCTGCTATGTTGGCAGGGATCCGCTTCTCCTTGCAAAGCTTCCAAACTTGTGTCGAGGCTTCGGGATCGTCAATAGCACAGAGGACCATGTCCGCTCCTTCTAGATCAGAAGGCTCAAAGTTGCGATCTATATGAGAAACCTGTCCCTCGGACACTCGAAAGGCCACTTCATCATTGAGACCTGATGCCGGACAAACGACCGTGACTTTAGCATCGGCGTTGAGAGCGTGGAGAATGCGACCAGCGGCTACCTATAAATTCAGCTATTCATCAGCATATATATTAACAGGGACTATTCTCAAATGATCCGTAAAGAAGTCATACCTCTCCACCACCAACAACTAACACATGACTATTCTTTGCTTGCCACGCAACTATCAGAGAACCTCCCCCTTGCACTTCAGGGTATTTGTGCGACATATTGAGAGTGCTATTGCAGATGTGCTTCAATTGCTATGATGCTATCTACTGCGGGGCATTCACTACCGGCACTTTCTACGGGAGGCGGTAGAAGCCCGGGGCGCGCTCCATAATTTTTCTTTTTCCTTCCAAACTTGTCCGATTTTTCTTTTCCTGTTTTTCTCCTAAGGGCCTGAAATGTCCTCCACATCACAATCCACCATACAATTCATCTCTGCTTATCTTTTACTTGTCCATGTCTATTTGCAATAGGACTTAAGTAAACATTATGCGGGGAGTACAGATCTTCTCTGGGACATCGCATCCCGTTCTTGCTGAGACTATCTGCGAGCGCTTAGGCACCCTCCCCGCCCGAGCAGATCTCGGAAAATTTGCCAATGGCGAGACCCAAGTGAACATTGGCGTCTCAGTCCGAAACCAGGATGTCTACATTGTGCAGAGCGGCAGTGGAAAGATCAATGACAGTGTCATGGAGCTTCTGATCATGATCTCCGCTTGCAAAGGTGGCTCCGCAAAGTCCATCACAGGTACGTTTCTGCCCATTTGGATGAATTCAAAAAACACCTATATCCAATTGCCCCATCATGATTATGGTGACTGACTAGTTTATCTTTTGCAGCGGTCATGCCGTATGATGCCCGTCTCGTTTGAATAACGCACAATTGATGCTGACACAGACGAGGTACTTTCCATACTCTCGCCAATCCAAAAAGAAGAGTCACAGGGGTGCTATCACTGCCCGAATGCTCGCAAATTTGCTGTCGGTTGCTGGCGTGGATCACGTCATAACTTTGGATCTACATGTGAGTTTCAGATTTTGCGAATGCGGTTGCAAGCAATGGGAAGATCTGTCCGAGACAGTTTTCTTATTCGAATGATTATATAGGCCTCTCAAATGCAAGGGTTCTTCGGCAAGCCGGTGGACAACCTGTTTGCTGAACCTTTCATTGCCCGTTGGATCCGCATGAATGTTCCTGGTTGGAAAGAAGCTGTTGTCGTCAGCAAGAATGCTGGAGGTACTAAGCGTGTCACCTCACTCGCGGATACCTTGAAGCTCAACTTCGGAATTGTCACTACTGACAGGCGCCGCCCCAGAGCCACCACCTTGTCAGACAGTACAGTCTTCTTTGATTCTATAGAGGAGAGTGACAACCCCCCAAAGCTTCAGAAGCCATTTGCACTTCGCTTTCAAGGCGGGAAAAATGATCACCCTCGATCTGAAGGGCCGACAAGTGCACCCAACGCTGAGGATTCATCAGTTGAAACAGTAGACTTTTTGCGGCCAGGAACCCCACCTGGTGCTCGTCGGCCGTCAGAATTGGAGGCCGCCCATGAGTGCACGGATGTGCGAGTGCGTGATGTGATTACCGGACGGCTTGTACAAGGCCAGCTTGTGGATGATGATTATCCTTCCGCTGACCCTAACTCGGAGCCCGCAACTCCCACTGCCGATAGAGAAGGCTCAGAGGCTATTCCAGACTCTATGGTAAACTCGATCCTCTCAACTACTTCCTCAGCCCCGCCTGAACATGCTCTTGGGGGCTCGTTCGATGCCGCCGAGTCATCTGACGAGGAGGGCAGCACTAGCCATGGTCATGAGAAAGAGAAGACGATCACCCTGGTCGGAGACGTCCGGGGTCGAACTGTGTTCATCGTTGATGATATGATCGACAAGAGCGGTTCGTGGATTGCGGCTGCCGAAACAGTTGTAAAGAGGGGCGGAGCTAAAAAAGTCTACTGCATTGCTACCCATGGTCTCTTCGGGGACGAGTCTCTTGACCAAATGGAAGCATGCGCGTCGATCGATCACATTGTTGTGACCAATACTTTCCCTATATCTCCGCAGACCTTGAGGAGGTCGAAGAAGTTGATAGTCATCGACATCTCGAGTCTCATTGCGGAGAGCATCCGACGTCATCATTATGGTGAAAGGTTCGTGGCTTCTTATTTTCTGGTTTTCAATCCTAATTGCTAACTGCTACTCAAGCGTTTCCGCACTCTTTCATCTCAACGAATAATGATGCATTGTCATTAGACCTTATCGCAACACGCCGATGGCATGACAACGTGCAAGATAATTGCATTGGTAAGATGATGTTTAAGACAGTAACGACCAGAAAATTTGATGAATTTTCTTTTCTTCACATATACTCGAATCGCGGCCACTTGTGCATGACTCATAGGGACGGGTTTTTCCTGTTTGCCGTATTCGTGTTGATACCTGTGGGATGACTTTTAGCGAATACCATTGTTGCCTTGAGCTATTGCATATGGTGGCGAGGTAAGATGCAGAATTGAATGAAATCTTGATTTTCGACATTACGTACTTCTGTTGAGCTTGGTGGCTCTTCGGAGCGTGCTATTTGTGTTATTTCTTTTCTTTTCTTTGTTTTTCCTTTTTCGTTCGAAAGAGCAAAGACAATTATACACCAGCGATGCAGTCCACTCTGGGTACTGCAGGAGCATCTTGTGAGAAAGGGGGATCTAATTCTCTGGACTCGTTTACAAAGATTGCTCTTAACGGAGCGTTGGGAGAGCAAAATCCGGGACCCTGTTTCGATTTCTGCCTTTTTATTGTCGTTCGACATGGGAAGCCAGTCATGCTGGCGGGGTCTTATCGAGGAATGAAGGCATCAATTTCTTGAGTCTATTAGACTCTGGCCTTTGGCCCGTGGAATTGATGCAAGAGAACATCTCGAACAATTCAATAACAGATAGCACAGTATATATTTGTATATTTGAACATCTTATTTTTTTTGGATCTATCTTCTCTATTCGCAACCCTTTCTTCTGAGCGCCCTTCTGTTACACCTTTTTCAAGAGAAGATGAATGGCACGTAGAACGCTGCAAGTAGATGCAACATTCCGTTTGCTTGATTGTTCTGTCGGGATTCCAATCTCGATCAGAAGACGTTCTTTGTGATACAATGCACGAGCAACAGGGTTCGATTCGATTTGGTCTGACAGCTCGATCCAACAAGGACCAGAAGAAGACGAAGACGGCCATCCTGATTGTCACTTGACCACTTGTCCTCGGCAGCCGCTTGTATAACAGGGTCTACGGGCCGGTTTATTTGTTGCTGAATGGTCGTGGGTACGAACGGCCTCCCTGTTGTTGCTCAAGTCCATGACTATCTTGTAGCGGTGAGCCCGGCAGTCGAACCCATAAGGAAACTGATCGATTAGTTTGGAATGCGTCTTGTGGGAAGATACAAATTTGTTTGTGGAACTGGCAATCATGGAACAAACGTCACCAGTGGGAAAATCGATGGTGAAATGAGAGGCATCTCTTGATCATCTTCCCTGGAGGTTTGCTTCCTCGCCAAGACTACGAATACCAGAAGGTAGCTGGACAGTAGCGGGTGGTTACTATCGCCACCCCAGCCGACCATCTTTGCAGAGCAGAGAATATGCCGATGTTCTGGCCTGGTCCATCAATGCATCGAGCAACCATTTGTCAATGGCTATCGGATAAGACACCCGTAAGGGGGAAGAGGGAGACTCTTCATTCATCAATCGTGGCAGTGCTGTCTGTCTATGGAGAGAGAGAAACGAGGAGCCGGAGGACATACTCGGTCTTGCGGAAGACCTGTCAAGAGTTCCACCAAAAGTACTATGCGTCCGACTCCGCGGAACTGGGGAACGCCCTGAGTCCAGCGCCGTGGTGCTGAATGTTATTTGACATGGAAGGGGGGACGATCAAGCGACCGAAACTACAAGCGCCTTGGACCGGAAAAGGGAATACGTCGGGGAATCGAGGCCGGTAGATCAGAACTTGCGGCCAGTCAAAAGTCCCCAGTTCCGATGGTGACGAAGGACGAAGTACTAAGAGTCGTACTAGGTGCTAGGTACTAGGTAGGTACCATCTTGTTCCCCAATCGAGGGATTTAATGCCGAAATGGGGGTGGAGAGACCTTCTAAGTTTTTCATCTAGTATATCACTGGACACCACGCGAACCTGGCGCCATTGTTGGTCTCGCGGAGGACCCCGGCAGCTGGGTCATGGTGATTTGAATTTGTACGAATCGGTCGGCCTGCATCAAATAATGAAAATCGTATCCGAAGGAGATTCCGTTTCGGGACTCCGGGTCAAGTTCTGGGCGATGCCTCTACCGCGATGGTAACTATCTCAGCTGGACGATAATAACCATTTCACAATGGACCGACGGTTGAACCAAATGGACGATAAATCCCCCAAACTGCACGGCCAGTTTAAAATCAACCCAGAGCCATGGTTACCTGGGACTTAATAATATCCAGCAGCCATGTGGATATCCTGGCCTTAGCTCTCCCGGACGGACGCAGCATTAATTTGGATTTTAGAGTGACAGGCTGACAGTCGGTGACATTCCTGGAAACTTGGGTTGTTAGCCTGTTAGGAAATTAGAAACATCCCCTAGAGAAGGGACTCGGGACATCTGGTGAACAGTGCAGTGTCCACAATGGCCTTGGTCCCCAATTCCCGGATTCCCCTGTTGGCCCAACCTGGCTTGGGTGACTCCCGAGTGTTTTAGTATGTAGGGGGAGGAGGGCGCTCTAAGATGATGATTTGCTGGTCATTCCAGAAACTAAAACGAGAAGGTCAAAAAAAAAAAAAAAGAAAAGAAAAGAAAGGAAAAAGAAAAAACACTCACACACAGGTTTGCAACTACTAATTCGACACGAATTTAGTATCGGTGGAGTGCAGCCCTGGTCAGGCTGGTCGCGAGTAAATTGTTATTATTATTATTATTATTATTATTTTCCTATGATATCGCCCAGACGACTACAACCGGTGATGATAATATGACCTGCCGGTTACCGTCCGTAACTGGTCCTAGGGTGGCCATCGTCGGGAATAGACCATGGAATAAACCATGATGCAAACCCATATGATGGCAGAATATGATGGCAGCGACAAAGTCCCGGAAAAAGAAGAAGAAACTGAAATCATCTGTGCTACTATTCTTATTTCTCTTGGGCCTGATGAACTCCTCCACCAGCCGGTCTACCAGGTGTACTAGTCCCAGGTCCAGATACTAGAGCCACTCTAGTCACACTCAATTACTGAACCTGGTTACTGGGCCTGTGGATCCTCTGCAAATGCCCGTGATCGGCTCAGATCTGCGACTGCGAGGGGGGCTTGACTCGACCTGAGCTGAGCCGAGTCTGACCGAGGAGAACTTGGGGATGGTCCTTTTGAAACCATCAATCGGAGTGCCCGTCTGTAAGTGCGCGAGGTACGTACAGCACATATGTATACCATCATTCGATGGGCCAAAAGGACAGATCGGATGGTCCTGCCGCGCGTTGGCTCATTTTTTATGTTTCTGTTGGACCAGAGCAGAAAATCGAATGTAACATTATGTTCGGCTGGTTTCTGACTCTGATTTGTCCAGGGAAATATTCCAAGCTTCTGATCCCAGCTTGCGGTCAATATGAAGATCATCGCCAGGATCGAATCAGACGGTGCATTCGACAAGCGACGGGGATCTCCTCCATCACCATGCATCGGTGGGGAGCCATTGAGAGGCATCAAAGCCCATTTAGCGATGCAGAGAGAAGGAATGAAAAATAAAAAAAATAAATAAATTTAATTCAAATCATAGTGAAGCGACAAGAACAATGGACAGAGAAAAGAAAAAAAGAAAAGAACTAGTGCTGGTGGGTAAACAGGGACTATCACGACTCTGCGTCGAGAGCAGGGAATGCCTTCCCGGAACCTTGGATCTGGATCTCTTTTTATTTTTTATTTTTTTAAATTTCCCTTTCTTGTCAGTTCGTCACGATTCCGATCGAAGATGATACAAGTCCAACAACAACAAAGTACCGCCATGGCCATCGACTGCCTTCTTTGCTTCTTCTGCTTCGATCCGCGAGGCTAATTAATCCCAGGCACCGCAGGGCTGGAAAGGACAGTGCTTCCTCGATCTCCAATCAGAAGCAGGCGATGCTATCGATCGGGCTTTGGGGGCTCTGAGATCGATTATCTACGGTATTTTTGTCAACCTGCTAATTATATAGAAACCATCATTTCTGATCTCCTCCATACCTGCCTCCCTGGCTACGACTCTTCCCATCCACATCCATCGCTTTTCCGCTCTGTGTTCCCCCAAAATCTGCACGGAACGTCCCGGTGTCCACCAACTAACTTTCATACATCATCTGTATTCCAATTGTTCTGGTTTTCTTTTTTGAAGTCTCCACAGGAACTAATGGACCTTGGACGACAATAATCGGGATCTTACATTGTTGAGAACACCCTTCCAATCTTGTCAGGGAAGCGCTGGGAAGTACGTTTCTCGCAGCGAATCCTGGGTCTACGTGGTGCTTGCCTTCGTCCACCCCAAAAGGGATATGTCCATCTTGAATTTCTTCTTCTACAGGACTGCTATATATATGATGGAGTGCTCGCCCAGTTCCATTCCAATCCATCATCACAACTCTCTCATTCATTCTTAACCTTGTCTTCCTTCAACATCTACATTACCAGGCTTCTTCTACCTTGCACCTTCCCAAGATCTCTTCATCCCTTCAATCATCTCGACCCATTCCACCTTGTTCTACCAATCTCCTCCATATCAACTTGATAAGACACCAGTATCCCATAATAACCCGGGGGTCAATCAATTGCTTCAACTTCAACTCGGCCTGTTCAGTGACACAAATACTCCTTCCGGTGAGTGACCACGGCGAGGGGATGACCATTGCCACCCAAGCGGTATCTGACTGTGCTGCGCCATAGAGAAATAAACAAACACAAGACGAAAAATGGCCAACCAATGCTCCGGTCATGTTTTTGCCATTGTCCAGGCTACCAATGGGAATATTCTCACCTGGCGCTGTTCGGACTGCAATTCGGGTCCCTTTGTGGCAATCTGGCGCTGCAAGATCTGTGGCCACTGTCGCTGCAATGCATGCCACACCGCTAAAGCATAGAAACGGTAGCATCGTACACCTTCCTCAGTATGTACATGGCCTACCCTTTTTGTGGAACTGTCACGCTGATCTCTCGAATTTCCCAGTCCCATTTTGGATCCACACGGCATTTCTGGTTCTAAACGGCCTCGTTGCAGCCTTGCAGGGACCCCTGCATTTGGCACTTGCAGTCTGCTTCTGGTCACCTTCTCCATCCATCTCCACCCCTGGGAAACTCTTTGGACACTTCACATTTGGCTTCCCAGCCTATGAACGACCTTAAACGAATGACAGTGAACAGGATGTTATATCCGATCGGTTTAGGTCGTATAGCAGACTGATCTGTCACATGGCAGGCTACACCTATCACACAGAAGAAGCCCATGGAATTGTTCTTTGCTCGTGGACAACCGAAAAAAAAGGGGTGAAGGAGGAAAAAAGTGTTTCGCATTCTTCTCTGATGATTCCCAATTCGCGATACCATTTTTCTTTCCTTTTTCTTTTTAATGAAGCAGAAACACGGCCGAATTTTGCTATGCTTATTGCTCGCCTTGTTTCTTAGTTTGTTTCTTTCCTTTTCTGTTTTCCTTTCCCCCAGCAACTGCATCAAGTTCGGGATCACTCACTGGTCGAGAGTTACTTAGCGACAAAAGTCTTTTCTGCTCTGCGCTGGTTGCTGTTCGCTTTTATTGTTTGATTCGTTGGTTTCGATTTTCTGGCCTTTCTATGGCCTCCTTTTTCGATACTTGTTTTTTTTTTTGGCTTTCTGTTGGGTGTTCTGCTTGGGGCACTGGATAGATAAATTACCTTTTACATAGACTGCCTGCCTTCCTGTAGGCAGGTTTGCAGCAAATGCACTAATTATAATTTCCCACTTGATATTTGTGTTCATTGTCCATTCCGAGTTATACGACGTGTATGGGCTAAAAATTCTTGACTGAGTCTTAAATGTACCGGTGAAAGTTCCCATCCATTACATTCCAACACATAAATAAAAGACACCCAAATTGATGGGCTTGGTTTTCCGAGACATGTGTCAGCCCTACTATTGGTCCCATCTTGTTGGGAATGCTGAGGGCATCGATTTGAGTTCAATTGATATGTAAATAATGTGCATATAATTGTAAATATAGATACGGGGTAGAGCATATGCGCAGCACATGGGTTATTTCAAATTGTACTGTACAAGAACAGATTTTACTTTCCAATTTCAAAATATTTCCAAGGTATTCACTAAACGCTGGTATATTTCCGAAAAAAAAAAAGTTCGTTGCTCATGTGTAGATACTCTGGAGAATATCAGTTAGTATGTCTCATATCACGTCATGTCAGATTTCAGACAGAAGTCTAGCTTACCTCGGTGATCTGGTTCACAGATAGACCAGGCTCCGCCATCTCGGCATCCTTCAGGAACTCCAAAGGCATCCAGACGAGGTGACCCTTGATTTTGTCGAGGTGTTCTCTCACTTCCTTGACGGGCCGGTAAGGGTCGAATAGATGTCCCTGCTTCGATCCACCGCGAGGGGTAAAGGTGTCGTAGTCGTCGAAGTTTAGGATCTTGTCATCCGGGTCTGCGCGGAAGAGCATTCTGTATACTTCCGTGTTGACGGTGGCGCGCTCAGTCCACATATTCCAAAGTGACTCACTGAGGGGATCCACGACAAAGTCGTCTTCGGGACCCTCTTCGTTGGCGTTCATGCAGACATTCGGGGGCTGGGCGTTGGGGTGTTTCGAGGCATCATAGTCTTGCGAGGGCAACAAACCAAGATGTTCTCTCCACAGGTGTCGTCGAAGTGTGGCGGCGTGGCGTCCAGCCTTGTACGGCTTGCCATCCATCGTTGTGTGGATGAAATCTTGGTCTTCCATGACGATAGCAAGTTCACTGTCGTGGAATCCAAGTTGCGACTAGTACAATCAGCATGTATCCTTATTGGCTAGGTAAATAGTGTCGTGTCTTACCCGATCATTGATGTTGGCACTACCACAGATAGCAATTCTGTCATCGGCAATGAGCACCTTGCCGTGAATGTAGAGCTCTTCTTGGACAAAGTTTTCTTTCTCATCCTCGGGGTCTCCCTGCCAGGGCTCGTCTGACATCTTGCCCCCGTGGAGCATGGTCGTGTGAGCAACAGTATCCTTGCTGACTTCCTCTCCTGTATCATGGTGGCGGCGCTTTTCCTCAAATCTGCGTAGTCGATCAATGCGTTCTTCCTTCTCCGCATTACCGGTATCGTAGCTCTTCTCATTCTTGTCACCTGCCTTTCCGATGGCGGGGTGGACACTATCACTCATGATGGATTCGGCCAGACCACGTTGGATGTCATTGTAGCTCACCCCAGCCTCCTTCTCAAGCTCCACCAAAGCGGGGGTCTTGTTTATACGGTCATATGCACGCAGGTTAAACAAGAAAATGTGTTCTGGTTGTGTCAGCTCGTATCTTCTGCAAGGGAAACTCTTGACTCACCCCTTGGGTCAACTCCTTGCGCAGAAATCTGCCCAAAGATGGAGTGCTCGCCACGGCAGATAGACTTGTATTGGTAGTCCATGATCGCACGGGTGCCAGCAGCTTCGTTCTGCCGGAGGTCTCCAGCAAAACCGGGAATTGCTGGGATCAAAATGATAATTCTGAACTTTCTTCCTTCCTTACCGGCCCGGACACAGGCGTCGACGATAGCACGCCCAATCAGATTATGAATAGGTGCTTGCTTATCGCCAGTAGAGGTGACTAGGTAATGTTAGCATATATTTCCCCGCTTCCAACTTCCCACTTGAAAGCTTACTGAAGAACTGATTTTCAATGTAAACGTAGTGCTGAGCATTGCTGATGATCTCATAATAGGCGTTTTGAATGCTGTGCTCAGGCAAAATCCCACTACTCCAGTCGGCGCTGCTGCGCACGATCTGTGCCCGCACGCTTCCTTGATTGCCGTGGGGTTTGGAGCTCAATGGGGTAAAGGGATGCTGAACATAGTCACCAACGGGGAATTTTGGACGTTGAACAGCGACAAGATCTTCATCGTCACCGGTGCGCCCTTCGAGTAAGAGCCAATCGACGCTCTCGTCTCGCTTATACTTATCACGTTTGATAAAGTTCCAGCGTAGGACGAAATGTTCGGCGATATCGTAAACGCAATCTCCGATCAAGCCCATGGCAACATCGTGCCATGGCATTCGGCCATATTCGGCCTTGCTCAATTCATTATCCTGCCACGCCTCCACGCTCTGGAAATCCATGATACGGTTATTGTTGAACTCTTGGCCTGGGAAGACTTCATTCTCCATATTCAAGGGATGGACATCAGCCAGCGGGTGCTGGTTAGCATCCCATCTTCCGAAACACAGGTCAATACCACCAATAAAGGCCAACTCGTAATCAATGACAATAAACTTCTCGTGGTGTGCCTGTTGCCTTAGGTCAGCAGCCTTTCTCGGATGTCAAATGCTTCGCTACGGGTTCAAACACACCCAGTACAATGTCATATCAGCACCATTCTCGAAAACGTTGTGATCCGGGTGTCGAAGGACTCGGATATTGTTGTAACCAGGGCTTCCTTCGGGACACAGACTTTCCAACGCATGTTTGGTGTGGGCCGAGTTGCAAGTGAGGGCTTGGTTCACCTATTATGAATTGGCATGAGCATTTCCATATCCCGGAACCATCATCTATTCATCCAGCTCACCTCCTTGTACACAATCACATAGATCTTCACACCGGCTTCCGCACGGCGTTTGAGTATTTGATCAAGTCGCCATTCCTGGTTCACAAACGGGGGTCGTCGAAGGAACAACTCGGGGGAAAGCCACCAGTCTTCAATGTAGATGACCTCTTTGGCGTTCTCAAGGGCGATGGAAACTGCCCAGAGGTAGTCCAGCGCATCGACATACCATTTGACCTTGTTGTTCTCGTGAACCGGGGCAAACGACTCATATCGGTGGGACTCCGCAATTGCACTTCTCTTCCTGTCTGTCGCTTGCTCGTGTTCCTCGTCATGACGATGGTTAGGGTTTACCAGGTTGAAGAACTTTCCCATCTGGTGCTTGAGATGGTATGCCTTGGCTGTGGCATCGTGTAAACCCGAGTCTACCCAAAATTATGTGGTGTTAGTTCAGCTCAGCTCAACACTCCAAGAATTTTTTTAGAACTGATCTTGACCTTTGAAGGCACCCTCCACAAAGTGGAGATCTCGTTCCAGCCTCTGTTTTAATTTGTCCATGGCGACACACCCGCGAACGAGTCAATGATTCACAGGGAATTGAAAACGAGATAATCTGCAGGGGGAAAAAAAGCCAATCGACCAAAAGACCGATCTCAGACTTTTTGATCGTTAAACTGCAATGCAGGAAAATGGAGAACCAGAGACGGAGGGATGGAGGGGATTATGTACGTGGGATGAAACGCGTCTTCCCCGCCATGACATAAGGGATCTGCTTGGCCTTATCGCCTTAGGCCAGTTAAGCGCAGCTTCTGTCGCAGCCAATTTCAGCGGTCAGCGACCGATTGTCTTGGTATATCTCCACACTTCAGCTCGCCTTTTCGATGGCTTAATTGCAGCCTGGTGATTCCTTTGATCGCCAGCTTATGTCCACAAGAAGGTGATCCGGTTCCTTTTTTCCCGTGGTCCCTTTTTCTTCGTTCCTTTGGAACCCAAAAAGACTTTGGATCTACCCCACCAACACCCAGCGGTAAGAAAAGCACCCGTTCTTGCAATACGTGAGGATTCTATCGTCATGACTCAGGTGACTTTACCTGTATGCCATCTTCGTTGATATTCCAAATTGTCGCTTTGCTGCAGGGTTCTTCATAGGCTAACGATACACACCCTCCAGCACTAGCATCATGAAGGCAACTCGAAATATCTACAAAAATGACGTCGACTTTACGACGCTGGCTTTGCAGTCGCCTGATTTCGCCAAATAGTATGTCTATGATTGTGGTAATATTTTAGTGGCTTTTGGTCTAGAAGCTGAACGATCCACAGCGTGAAGCCGAATGGTCAGCTGGATTTTACCGATCCAAATGCCGTCCGGTAGGCGAAGAACCACAGCATGTTGGCTAAGGCTGATTGGCTTTTAGACAATTGACGAAGAGTCTGCTGCAGCGAGATTTCAACTTGAAGGTTGACATTCCTGAAAATAGACTATGTCCACCAGTATGTATAAACTATAAAAAATCTCATGCTGGTCTAATTATTGCTCTTAGGTACCCAACAGGTAAAACGAGCATTTGAACCACCAAAATCCTCCGTCTGACTACCAGTAGATTAAACTATATCCTATGGCTTCAAGACCTTATAGACACCACGGGAGACGAGTATCGGGATGACTTTGACCCCGATAGAGAGGTTCTCGGGCTTGATATGTACGCAGTCATTAACTCTTTAGTCCTTGTTGAACAACAGTTTTCTAACTATTGCAGAGGAACAGGCTGTTGCAGTATATACCCGCTTCTGGGAAGCGCCTTGAGGCCGCATTGGAATTTCGTGGCAACCGGTAAGTCAAAAGCTTGACTATTCCATGTTTCAAATCAGAAGAACTCATGACGTGAGTAGATATCGATGAAGGAAACTTCCAATCCTCCAAAAAGACCGTGTCGGCGAATGAACTTGAATCTCGAATCCAGATAATTAAGACTGACCCCAAAGATGACCTCATTCCATTGCAGTCAAAACTAGGAGCTGAGAGGTATGCAGAACCCTGTGATCTAGTCGAACTTTCAAGCTCAAATCAACGTGATTATAATCTAGCCTGGATTTCACCATGTGTAACCCTCCGTTCTATGAATCTCGTGACGAAATGATTGCTTCAGCAACGGAAAAGGAGAGACCACCATTCTCGGTAAGTTGCATCTGAACTATTACAAGAAATCAGTCACTGAGAAGAGTGCACAGGCATGCACAGGTGCAGAGGTTGAGATGGTTACCGCTGGTGGCGAAATAGATTTTGTAACGCGCATGATCGAGGAGAGTCTTCGTCTTCGCGAACAAGTCGTGTGGTATACCTCCATGCTCGGGAAACTGAGCAGTGTCTCCGTCATCGTAGAGAAATTGATTGAGCACAAAAATCACAATTATGCCGTGACAGAGTTCGTCCAGGGCAACAAAACACGACGATGGGCGGTAGCATGGTCATGGACTGACCTGCGCCCGGCAATGGTATGTCCCCTTCCTTTAGTTCAAGTTTATTCCACGCTGTGGTAATACCATCGATACTTACCAGCCAACAGAACATAGCTAGAGGCATTACCGGCTTCCCCAAACATCTCCTACCCTTCCCCTCAGAATTCACCTTTGACATACCAACTGCATCAATCGACGATATAAGCAACAAAGTCGACGCCGAGCTCAGTACCCTTTCTATCCAGTGGAACTGGCGTAAAAATCTCGGCACGGGCGTAGGATTCGCGATGGAAAACGTCTGGTCCCGTCAAGCGCGCCGGAAAATGCAGTTAGCCGGGGCAGGTCACAAGGCCGAGATTGACGACTCCAAAGCCGCGTTGGGATTCAAGGTGCAGTTGAGGCAGGATAGGATTGAGGAAAAGGGGGTGCGGGTTCTGGTTAGATGGCTCAAGGGGACTGATTCTGTTCTGTTTGAGAGTTTTTGTGGGATGTTGAAGAGAAAGGTAGAGAATCGGTAGACTGCGATTATAAGATATGGCGGTGCTGCTTCTGTCCTATTATAGCAGGAATACAGCCAGTCTTCTGCAAAGCATGAGAAATCAACAGGAAATCAAATTTTATGCAAGTCTTAAACCAATATCAAGACAAGAAACGCTGATTGTGATAACATTTCTCATTAACAAACATTCCATCTATATCCCATCTAACCACTTCCCATCTCACTCTGCAACCCCTTCAAACGAGTCCAGCCCTCGCTGTCCTCCCAGAAGTCTTTGCCCTTACCCAGGATTCCCCTAACAGCACTACGGGCCTTGAATCGCCAGTCCTTGGCAACGAGCTCGGCCTCTCCATCGGCAACGCCTTCTTGGCCCTCCTTATCCATCGGGCCAAACTTGGCGTAGCCATCACAAACCAGCTTCTCTGTCGCCCGGACAACTTCCGACCACTTCTTCTCATCGCCCATCTGGAACGCACCCTGTGTTGATGAGGCGATGGTGGCACGCCAGGCCTTCTCATTGGCTTCGAATGCCTTGGATGGCCGCTCACGCCACTGCTCCACGCGGGCGACGACGAGCCAGAGCCGGGCGGAGTGGGTGATCAATGGCACAACATGGTCGTCAACGAGTGAAAGGATCTGACCGGGGACTGTACCACTGCGGATGACACGGTTGGCAGGCAGCGATGGGTCTTCGTTGATATCGATCAGAAGCTTCTCATACTCGTAATTGTTGATGAGAAAGTCGACCAGAATGGACAGAATGGGAAGATCAACACTTTCTTCACCCTTCTTCGGGCCAAGAATTTCGATGAGTCGTTTCTGGGCGTGAACGACATCTTGAAATGGTGTGAATGGAGGCGGAATTGAAGCTGCTACTGTCAAGACGTTATCCCAAATGCGAGCGTCAACGTGTTTGAGGTGTGCGGCGCGGTGGAGGGCTGCAAGGGCCCCCCGCTTACGCTTAAATGGGTCTTTTTGCTTCTTCGGAGCCGGTTGTTCGTCTTCTTCGTCGTCGAGCTTTTCTTGAGTAGTATTAGTCGTTTCTGTCTCCTCATCATCATCTTCTTCTGTCGCTGGTCTGGGGTTTCGGAGCATAGCTGCGGCAAGGTTACTCCATGCTTCGGCATCGGTGTCTTCAATCTGAACAGTCCGTTGAAAAGAAGCGACGGCGTTATCCCATTGCTGCAACTCGAGCTGGACACAACCAAGAGCGAACCAGGCACCATGGTTGAGCGGGTTGATGTGAAGACTTTTGCGGTAGGCATCCTCTGCCTTCTCCAGAGCGGGGGGCTTCAAGGTGAGATAGTGACGAGCCAAAGAGCGTTGGGCACGGGCATAACGCTTGTTGGAGACATCCCAAGCACGCTCGTACATAGTTGGATCCGTATCGATGTCACCCAGAATACAGAACAATCGTGGAGCATCAGCAGGAAGGGGAGAAAGTTCGGGACCTTCGAATTTCTCCTTGTCCTCATCCTGTACAACCCTGTTGGTGGGTTCGTAGAGCTGTCCACGAACGATATTTTTGGCCTTCTCTTCTTTTTCAGTGGCGGCGTAACAGAGAGCTGCTTCAGCCCACATCTGTAGGCGCTCGTAAATGTCAAGAGCGGTTCGCAAACCTCCGATGTTCACCCATCGTTCTGCCAGCTCTGACTCGAGGTCCCATCTGGTCGAGAAGCTCAAGGGCCAGATATACTCAAGTCGTTCAGCAGCGGATGCGGATTCTGACTCCTCGGGTCTGGGGAGGAAGGTTGTCGGTTTTTCGACAGCCGTAGTGGCGTCTGTGTCAGAGGTGGCAGTGTCCGCGATGATCTGGTCAACGAGGGCTTGCAACTGCAAAACTGCTCTCTCAACTGTACGCGCTCTATAGCCTTCGACTCTACTTCGGACAAGCAAGGCTTGGGTGTAGATCTGCCAGTTGGAGCTACCACCCTCAAGGACACGGTTTGCGTAGGGTTGGGTTTCTTCTCGGGTCAATCCGTTATCGGGTGAGGTGTTGGTGATGGCCGATGCCATAGCCAAAAGGATGGCGGAGTCAATAGGGTCAAGGATGGGCTGGTTTCCGGCGTCTAGGGATGCCAAGGTAGGTGATAGAGAGGACTCGTCTTGGACGGTCACGGGCTTATCTTTGGGTGCCTGTTCCGTATCCTTGGTAAAAGAGATAGACTCCAGAAGGGTATCATCATTGAGATCCAGGTTCTTGGGCCCTGACGGTTGAGTAGTGTCCTTCTCGGGGGAAGAGATATCGTCAGAACTCTTGGCTAAAACAACGAGTTGACTGATGTCGCGCTCTTGGAACTTGGTTCTCTTTCCCAGCTTTCCAACCAAAGCAAACTCGAATTTCCTCAGTGCTGCAGCCTGTTCAATGTCTGCTCTGGCTTTGATGTCGAATCCATGGTGAGTATTGATAGTTGCTCGTTCCAGGAGGAATATTCCTTTTTCTTGCGGAGAAGAGACCGAGTTTTCACCCAGTAAAGCCTTCGCCAGCTCCTCAACACCATTATAGATTTCATTTTGCAATGTGCCGGTGACTTCCGAAAGCATCTTCTGGTGGAGGAAATTAACACGCATTCTAAGTGTCCGAGCCATCAAGGGACCGTTTTCCTGCAAGACATTTGCGTCGACCAGGACGGCCTTTGCCACAGAGAAAAGCTCCACATTAGGTGTCAACTTGTAAGCGGCCTCACCATCCACAGAGAGCTCGCGAATGGCGTGGGCGCGGACAGCTTTGAGAGTGGCGGCATCAGACTGGATAGCAGATGGGAAGATGACCTCAGCCGGGCTAAAGTTCAACGGAGGACCAGTGACATTGGACTGCAGAAAACCGAACAGAGCAGCCTGACCGATGTGAAGTAGTTGAGAACGTTGTTGCTCAGGTGTAAGGCCATCTATCGAAGTCTGCGAGATTGCTCTCGTCTTTTCAGCAACAAAGCTGGTGTAGGATGTTTCTCCACTAGAAACACGGTTGATGGTATCTTGATCCGATGAGTCATGTCCAAAGATTGCCTTTGCCAGGGGCAACTGCAGGATTGGAAAGATCTGTGCATCCTCCAAGCGCACGGGGTTGAACTGTCCCTTCAGCGGCGATGCAACGTCGAACAAAGTGTTCAACGATGTGGGGTAGGAATCGGTAGATTCGGCCATTTTGGAAGATGATATCTTTTATTCAGTCGATCAGAAAAAGATAAATGATCTGGGGATATTTAATAGATATGATATCTCTATCAGAGCAGCCAATGGGGTATAATGTCGTGCTCTTTTGTAGGTATCTGATATGACTCGATCTTCAAATTGTCGACTTCAGACAGGGTGATCAAGGCAGTCGATGTGCTCACAGGGACATGCTGCATGCGTCTAACTGCACTTGAGAGCTGTCAGATAAGATACGACAGCAACAATAGCAGCAAAGAACTAGGCCGTTGGAGATGAGAAGCAATTAATGTTGATCGACCCCGCCAACAGGAGTTTTTTTTCGTCGCTTTTTTTTATCGATAAGCCAGAAATTTCGGCGGGGATGGTGGGGTCACGGGATGTGGCATTAGCGGGGTGTCTAGTAACTGCTTTGTAATCTGCACTGCAGATCGCAAAGATACGCACATTCGAGGTTATACGCACAGTATTCTAGAATCATATGGTAGAACAACGCAAAATTGATAATCAAATCAATTCATTGGAGCACAATGAAGCCCTCATGGTGGTATAAATAGTATTTACAAAAATTAATTATTCAGCGGTCAACATACATCCACTATGTACTTGGTATCTGTGATTAGTATGCGATTTAATTGCTGTTGTCTTGAAAAGGGTCATATTTCTCAATAACGACAAAACTTTCAGCCAAGCAACTGAGATAACTCAGTTGGAATCTTCCTTGGTCTAGTGGTCATGATTTCCGCTTGTCATTAAGCTGATAAGCGCGGGAGACCGGGGTTCGATTCCCCGAGGGAGAGATTCTTTTTTGCTAATTTTTTCTGCATCTCGTTCAGCCATTTTATTCTCGTTGTTTTCCCCATTCTTGTCTTTTCCCCGGGTGTTTTAATATGTTCATCTGCATTAAGAGGTGATCTAATAGGTCCGTTGTTCGTGTGTTACTATATAAGTCTTCTTTGGGCAGCTATCCACGGGCTATATATCGGCCATATGAAGAAACAGTAAGATCAAGACCCAGGAACACCAGAATGACACTTCAGAATCTCATTGAGCCCCCCTCTTTGAACACACTCATCGAAATGAAAACTATACGCCAAAGCCTCTAGCTCGTCCTCACCCATCCCCCGAAACAGCCCTGCAAACTCATCCGCAAACGAAGCCGCCAAAAAGGTCTGGAACACCGCACGGAGTAAATGTCGCTTCGTATCCCAGGATGTGGGATATGTATTTCTTGCTGTTGGGCTGACTTTATCGATCCATTCAACGAGCGGTGCTAGTGCTGCCTCGGGCTCGGAAGAGGGTCGTCTTCCCCAAGAATCAAGCCAGAGTTGATTCTTCTTCTCTAGGAAAGACTGAATTGTGGTATTCCACTTGCTATCTGGGCTGGTGTGAATCATTCCCTGGAGGCCAATGTCTTTGTATAACCAGATGGACCAGTGGATGTTGTATTTGTCGTATATGCGTAGTTGCTCACCAAGCAAACTGTATCTCTCTTGGTTGATGGCCCCAGCTTCTGCATCTATTCGTGGATCTGCATAGACTGGACCAAATTCACCGTTCCAGATTGGTGTGCCATGCTGGGTCATAAACTGTGCCTTGCGGAGGAACTGACTCTCGAGGAGCTGCTTTTGCTCTGGAGTGCCTTGATATCGTTCACCTGTAGGGAATCCCATCGACTGAGTAACACCAATCAGCCATCAAGCCATCAAACCACGACAGACAGAGAGAAGAAACCCACAGAATAGTCATGAATAGCGTAAACGCAATTGGGAAGTACTTTATCAAACTCCCTCCACTCCATCGCAAACGTATTTCCATCCAACCACAGAATATGATTTGGATCAACCACCCGAATAGCCTTCTCAATGCGCTCATAAAAGGCTGGCAGTCGTATATGTTCTGGATCGCAGGGCTCGTTGAGAGGATTGTATCCTGCAACCCAGGAGTTGTTCCTATATCGGGCCGCAATCTGCTCCCATAGCCACACGGTCCTGTCTTGGTGGTCTTTGTAGTCCCAGAAAGCAGCGTAGTTTGTGGGATTGTCCGAATGCCAGTCTCCGTTTTGGCCACCGGGGACGGCGTGCATGTCCAGGATTGTGTATATCCTTTCTTTTGCGCACTGCCTGGTATTTAGTAACGAAACCTTTACCTCAAAAATCCAGAGAGCACTCCACTCACCAAACCAATCACCCGATCCAGATGCCTAAACCCAGACTCCTTCAGCACGCGCGGATTCATATCATCCTCCAGATGGCGATAGTTAAATGGAATCCGAATACAGTTCAGCCCAAGTCCCGCAACAAACCTAGCATCCGCCTCTGTAAAGAAAAACTCCAGCCACTTGTTGAAGAAGAAATCGTATTTCTCGGGCCCCAGGGCTTTGTGCATTGCAGCGTGTGATGCTGCGCTGCGACTCGTGGCCTGGATATCCGGTGATGAAGTTTTCCATACTGAGAGGGAGTCGTTAATTTGAAATCATGATCGGAAAGTGTTTGTCGGGACACAAATCATGGAAGGAGGGAAATACTTTAGATATCCCCCAATGGCCACCCCTCGAAGAACGACTTCCCGGCCATTGTTGTCCACAACTTTGCTACCTTCAACTCGTAGAATTCCCGTAGTCATCTTTGTAATTATTTTATGAATAAGTTTGGTTGCTGTGTGTAAATATATTGGTCCACTGTAGCCTGATGAGAATTTGACAAGACGACTAGGACCACTGGGCCTTTTATCCTGTCTAGACTACTGGTAGATGCACGCCATTGTCCATGATCTGAGGATTGCATATGATGACAGGCGGGGTAAGCTCAGCTCGCCTATCCCATCCTGTAGATTAGTCTGGATGTATACACATGGCGGATAATTTGGGCTATTTAGGCTGATATCCCAAGACAAGACACGAAGACAAGACACGAAGACAAGACACGAAGACAAGACACGAAGACAAGACACCAAGACAAAGTGTGGATGGCAGCCAAGAATCCAGAATCTGAAAATTTAAACGATGCAGTTTGTTGCAGTCGAAGACATGGAATCATGATTGATGGAATTTTGCCAAAAAGAACAGAAGCATGATCAGCTTGGCATCAAACTTGATGCAGCCATGAATGAAATAATATAACATGATCTAAACTCATTATATCTGCCCTCAGGGTATCTGTAAACACAGACTGAATGCTGAAAAACGCCACAAAAGGCACAATGAAGATAACTCCACGAATGCTTGTAAAACAAAATCCCATATATGAACAATACCTCCTTGCGTAGCTGAATCCAAGGACAGTCAGATAAACAAAAGTATTGACGCGAAATATCGTAAACTTCGAAAAGAACTAGTCGTGAAGAGCCCTCTACCAATCCTGGCCACGGTCTCTCATCAAAATCTCAATAGCCTCGTCTTCGGGTACTGGGTTATCGTTGATTTCCTTGACACACTGTGTTAATCCCTCGGCAGCCTCATCAACTTGCTCAGCTGTCCAATTTGTACACGCTATTACCATTCGTCGGTAGTTTTCCCCAAGTACCACATTCTTGGACCTGAGCCGGCCCACCTCAGAAAATAATTCCCCGTTGAAATCTTGGTAACATTTTATGCGTTGTTGCAATGTCCCAACGGATGGTAACGATGCAAGATAGGCGGCCTGTTGCTCGGAAAATCCAGAGGCAGGGTCAAAGTCTTCAGGGAATATGGACTCGAATTCGGCAACTTCAACCCCAGAGTCTTTGTCGGCATCTCCAACCGTGACAATTTTTGATGGACCGAGCGATTGACTGTGAGCATTCTTCAGGTTTGCAACAAGATCTTGGGACGATCTTTCCAGATTTTTTATCCGTCTTTCGAGCTCCACACGGTCTGATGATCTGCGCCTTAATTCATCAAGCTGTTTTTGCTCAATTTGCCGCGCCTTCGCAGTTTCCCGGATTTTTGAATGCCAGTGGTCAAACTTCTCTTGCTTCTTTGTCAAATTCGAAGATAGCTCCTTGTCAATACTGCTTAATGTTTCCTGCACCATTGTGTTGATTTGGGATAATGTTGCTAAGCCATCGTTAGTATCTTGGGAAATCCTCGTTTTGCGAACACGGTTAGGTTCTTACTGTCAAGAATTTCTTTCTTTGCCTTGGCAAGTTGATCTGTGAAGGAATCATTCCTATTCCCAGACTGCTGGGATTGCGGATTGCCGTCTATCATATCAACGCCGACACCGTAGTCTGCAGGCCGGAGACCAGTGTGATTGGGTATGTGAGGATCCGCACCCACTTCCAGAAGTTGAGGCACGAGGACAGAACGTGCACGGCCTGCCAGATTGAGTGCAGTATCTCCCTGGTCATCACGGAGATTGACTATTTCCGAGATAAATCGACCCAGTGTTATGACTTGGCCTGGTTGTAGACCATTCTGCCCTTTATCGATGGCACCATTGGAGATCTGCTGGCCGACTGAAGTCCCCCCATGACGGACTATGAACTCAAGCAATGCTTCCATGTAGTGCTTGGCTGACACATGACCTCCGCCCCCGGTTGCTGCCATCACTGCAATATGGTGGAGGATTGTACGTCCGCTAAAGTCAACCATGTCAATAGTGGGAGCAAGCACCTGCAGTAAACGCGGGAAGCTTCGGTAATCAAGATTGTTTCTTGTCCCAACAGACTTTTGCAATGCCGTTTCCCCAGCGCCATTTAGACGGAAAATACTGACACCCTTCTCAATAAGTGCATGCACTAATGGCATACGGGCAAGCATAGCTGCCCAGTGCAGAGCGTTGTTCCGATACTCGTCGAGTGGAATCTCTAGGTCATCGCCGCTTAGCTGTAGTAGAGCAGGGTGGTTTGAGAAATCTTTGGTCCGTTTATCAAGGAACAGCGTCATGATCAGCTTCATCTTCTGAAACCTGTGTGGTGTTGAGGGCGCGGCAACGGGCTCTGAGCCACGTGGGTTGCCATCCGCCATAGAATTTGAAATATCCATGTCCTGGTAGAAGGAGTCATTGGGTTCAGTTGGTGTTGGCTCATGCATTGACAATGTCGAAGGTTCACGATGCATTCCAAACGACGGTGGGTGGTTGGAGGAAGATCTGATGCGCTTCAGAGGAGGCTCCATGGGCTCCTCATGATCAAGGCCTGAGGCATCATTGGGCGGATATCGATTGCTGTTCTGGAAGTTGCTCCCGAAGCCACTATCAGACGTCACACTATACATGCTTTGCTGGCTGTTGTAGGGCATCGTGGACTCTTGGCTGCTCATCTGTTGCGAAGGCCTGCGAATCATACTCGTTCGTCTATTGTCAGTGCCCCGAGCGGCAGGGGAGTCGAAACGAGCTTTACTGATAGCGTTGACGGCGGTCGCGGCAGTGCGAGAGATGTTCTGGAAGAAAGTGCCCTGTTGTGGTTGACTCACACCACGATTATCCACACCGCTGTAGAGACGTTTCCTTTGTGCGGCCATCGCTTGTTCCTTCGTAGGTGTATCCAACGTATCGTGCACCGCAGGGTTGGTTCCATTGGGGGCCATGTCATATTCAAGAAGGGGCCTCAGCATTTCTTCGACGTTATATTCCCGGCAAAGGTCGACGCCTCTTTGGTAATTCACCCAGGTCCCCTGATATTTTCCGTACCCTCCTTGTACTTTTTCATGTTCACCGGCCGCAATTTCCTTTTCGAGAGTTTTTGTTCTTCTGGCTTTCGCTACCCCGGCAACCTTAAGAATCTGTGTGGCATTCAACCAAGAGTCGGAGCGACGCTTCATGACGGCGACCCCATTGACTTCCATTTCGTAAACCGCGATATTCGAATAGACGGCCTATGTTGTGGAAGGAGCGGTGAGTATATTGACTTTAGAAGGAAAGTCAACGAAAAAGGAAAGACATACCCTGTAGATCTGAGGCTTGAACTCTTCATGATATGTCATCATTGGCCCATAACCATTCGATTCCTCCATCCCACTAAAACTGTTTCTAGCCATGTTCGGCATACCGTTGGGATAGTTAAACGACATGGTTGACTGTTGCGATCCCTTGGGTGGTGGTGTTGCTCGGGGAGTTGAGGCGACGGATTGGGAAGCATTGAAGGATCCCATTTGCGATTGCGAGTATTGTAACCCATTACCGGACCCCATACTGCTCTGCGAGTACGACACGGGCAGGCCTGGTCGCGCTACATTGTGGTTGTTGGAAGCCATCGGTCCGAATTGAATTCACAGTCGGGGCTCTAACCCAGAGGCTGCGCACATGTGATACCTAAAAGAATGACTAGATATCAGTACTATGTACAGCTTTCCTACAGACACAATGGCATGTCGTCTAAAGGCATAGATATTCAAAGGAAAAAAGAGGAAAGTATGTGGGGAAATGCACCTATCTTGGGATCTGCTCGGACAAGGCGCGCGAGGAGGCGAAAGTAGGCGCGTGGCTAGCGCAACGGGGATCGCGAAAAGGGAGGCAGAACAAGGCGGAAGAGGAATGGGATGGATCAGTGGGCATGTATACCATCCAGGATGAGTTAAAAATACTGATGAAATCAGACAAAAAAATTATCTCCCTCAGCCAGGCCCAGATGAGATAGAACGTGCATGCAAACAGGGAGATCGTGGTGAGAAAGTCGCGGGGTTTCGCTCTGGGTCGCGTTTTCTGCCTAGCGTCGTTTTTCGCGTAACTTAAAGCAGCTATTTCCCTTTCGGGTGTCTTTTTCTCACCACTCTCTGCTTTTGGTCTGCATGCACGAAGAGCAGAGCCTCATGGAAACAAGAATCGAGGGAATTTTTGGTTAATACTTTCAATTCTTGACAGTGAACCTACGCTTGACCCATGTCTCAGATGTCGGTCTTGAAGGCTGTTCCTCGCGAACACTGGCGACATCTCTACCGTGCCACGATTCGCGAATGCTCCTATCTTCCGGACCCGATCGCCAGACAATTTATGCAAAAACACTGTACTGAAAGGTTTCGACGATACTGGAACAGCCCCGAGTTGCGATCCGACTTCTACCGGCAACATCGTCTCCGAAAAGATGCCTCAAAGAACCTATCCGTGTTGCAACGAGCCAACCAAGGATATTCCAAACCTCTCGAAAAGATCCTTCGAATGTCATACGGGCGAGTAGGGAAGCGAAGATGGGAGTTATTGCAGATCATGCTTACACCGGAAATGCCGGAAAACACGGCGGCTGTGCTAGATTTGATCCAAAAACCGACTATGCTTGAGGACAACTGGAAACCTCCATCTATCGTGGTGGATCTTATAAAATCCCAGCACAGCAACGGATTGATCGCCCAGCTTGGAGTTCGCACACCGGTTAAGACCCTCGAGCCACCGATACCGAAAGAAGATATCTGGGGGAAGCCGCTTTCTCGATCACGCCAACGAAATATTAGAAAAAGATGGTACAGGGCTGCACTTGGGAGTCTTCTTCCACCGCTCCCACAAGCGGAACTCAAGACTCTGGAGGGTTTACTTGCTGGGACTATTGCCTGGCAACAACCGAAGAAGAGGATCCCACTTGGGCTTTCGCATCAGACCGAACAAAATCTCACTGCAAAGTTCTTGGCTATGGGTCCTGAGAAGGGGGTAACGTTCCGAGAATTCGCCAATGGGCGACCGCACAATATTACGCATCGGTTTATGCAGAGGCTTTGGAGACGCATATCATGTCTAGTCCCGCGAGAAGAGCGATATGGCCCGACCCAGAAGCTCGGTTTCCAATGGGGGACAATCAGACCGACCCAGAAGTTGTCTATCGTTGTAGAGCCTAGTATCTTCGACAATGTTGATGCGAGAGGAAAGATGACAAAAGCGCAGGAGAAGCAGGGCTCTGCGGGTAGTTTGGAGGATGTTGATTGATTTGTCTTCTGAAATGAGACAACTTAGCACTACGCTGATACAGCAGTATATCTCCAATCGAGCAGTACTCGACACCCAAGGGAGTAAAAATCCTATGGCCTAGTGCCGAACTACGGTTCTGGCACAACCAGATTTGGGCCATGCTTGGAACTGGCCTTGCACACCCATTGGAGTCTATGACATAACGCCCTGGGGAGAAAGCCAGACCGTAAACACCATAGCTTGAAAATGCTATGGCTTTTATCTTGGAAGCCAGAAGCTCCAGATATTACAGTTCCCAACCGCTAGATAGCAATAGCTATATACACATTTGGATAGGATTAATGCATTGTACACTACCTATATACTCTGGCAAGGTTTGCTGCCACGGAGGTGATTACCGACTGATCGTTTCTTTCTTTCACCGAAGAACGCGATTGTCGAGATGCAGATATCCGCTACTGGCATCAGGCCATTGATACGTGAAACCTGGACCTGTCTCGTATTCCAATAGACCTTGGATCAAATAAGACCCCTAGCAGCCAACACCGGCTGCATAAAAAAGCTATCATACGCAAGTTCCTCTGCAGTTGAACGCTCTTCAGGAATCCAACGAAGAATGCTTCTCAAAAATCCCAGAAAAAGCTCCTTATCCTGACCAGAAAACTGCCCTTCTCTCATATCGAGCGATTGTTCGGGTATGGGTATAGAACCTTTCCAGTTACCTAAAATGGAAAATTAGAATATAGCAGTTCACTAAGGGGAGAGAAAACAATGTACCTTGCTCATCCCAGTATTGGAGACATTTATCACTTCGTTTGAGAAATTCTAGAGGAGGGGGTCCCATGAGGGATACCATTTCTGCCAGATGCTGCTCGTCGTCTAGGATGCGGTTTTTCTTTGCGAAGAAGAGGTGGCCGTTCTGCACTAAATCCCAAACCTGGAATAATAATGTTAGATATGAGTGATGTTTCGAATTCATAAAGGGTAACCACCATAACGCCAATCGACCACACGTCGACCTTAGAATCCCACTCCATGCCCAAGATTACTTCCGGTGCCCTGTAAATCCCAGGCATGACATCTCCCCTGTGCTTTTGATTCCCGATTCTAGCCTCGCCAAGGTCACAGAGAACAGGCAAGCCTGCGCTGAAAGGTGTTGGTTGGGAGTAGTAAATGCTGCGATTATCCAGAACCTTTCGAGCAATTGGGCGCTTCATCTCCTCTTCTTCAATTTGGGAGAGGACAAAGCTGTCTTCGATTCCTTGGAGGATGTTATTTGATGAGACATCTGTGAAGTCAGCTCATCTTCCACAGAACCTATTGATGTAAACGTACCAGTATGAACGACATGGTTTTGATGAAGAAAGGCCAGTGCTATACAGAGAAGCTGAGTGCCCCTTTGGATAAGATCCTTGGAGAACTTGTTTTCAGGCAGCAAACCCTGAAATCCGGTGAAGCTCATCCCGAGGGGTTGATAAACCAAGCACTTGTGTTTTCCATGAGGGCCGACAACATCAAACGTGTCCAGGACAACACGAACTAGCTTTTTACCAGGATGGTTGTTGGAATTCCTCAGGTGCTCGGAAATGGTAATCTCATGATCTGGCTGTTGCCCGCGAACACATACCTTGAGTGTATAATATTCATTGTGTCTATAGCATTTAGAATCCGTTATGAACAAGTGTTGATTGGATGACTTACTGAAGATCTCGACAAAGCCAGGCTGTAGAAGACGTCCCATACCCAAGCTTCGAGACGATCTGGTATCGAGACTCGAAGACTTGGCCAATATGAACGGGATAGTAATTTTCCGGAGCATACAATGGAAGCTCCTCTTCTTCTAACTTCTCCGAGGAGTCTAGTTCAACGAAGCCTGTCGTAGGGAACTGACGTGGAGGGAGTGTTGGGAGCGAAGCCATGCGTCGCGTCAAGGCACGATGCGGGAGAAGACGCGTGTCAAGTGAACATCGTAAAGATGGTAGTCGTCTCATTAAACTCCATCGAAATGCTAACATATTTCAAGACGAATCTGCTAAAAAGTTAGATGTAGTTGACAGGAGGATGGGATATCTGATCTTACCCCCTTGTTCTTGAGTCACAGGCACAGGTGATCGACGCACGCCCTTAAAACACAGCAGGCCATATTCATCCACATTTGGCCTTCCTCCAAGTCTCTTCATATACTTGGTATGGGAGATACAAGACCGATTGAAGCCGTCCTGCCAGACCTCCTCCATCTCCTCTCGAAATTTAGTCTTGGGTATGCCTGCTCTTATCCTCAACTTTTCAAAAAAGACATAGCCCGCATAAAGCACCGTATTTGTATTTCCATTCTTAGGTCACCGCTGCCTCAGAACTTCCCGCAGTGATTTCCTACAAATTGTCTTCTTGTCCTTGCGAGGAAATGCTGCTCTGGTAATCCGAGGAAACTTGTTTGGTTGACATCGGGTTGGGCAAGATGGGCTTCGATCTTCTGGCGCATGGTATTACAATTATCGTAGACAGACATTTTCGGATTCTTCACCTTCAAGGTAGATATCAGAGACATCGTATCTGGCCCGTTCTTCTTCGTTAAGTGTATTTCCCTTCTGTGGCTGTTTCTTTTGCTGCCCGGGGCCTGGTAATGTCACTGGTGCTGCTGAGTCGGTTCTCTCCTCTTGGTTTTGGTCTACGACCTGGGGAGGCCTGTTCCGTAGCTTCTGGAGATCGTGTGCGCGTTGGATCTCCTTGATTCTCATTTCATGGGCGTGCCATTCATCCCACAATTCCTTGGGCGTTTTCAGTTCCTCAGTATTGTCATACTGAATACTCGTAGGGGCCATCGCTTCTTCCCCTTTATTCTGGCCCACAAATAACGAGGATACACTTAGTGGGCCTGGAGCTGTGTGTTCGTGTTGAATATCATTTGCTCTCTCGTTGAATTGTAATTCTTGCCGCCTTTCCGTGCTTTCTCGCCTCTCGCGAAACACGGTTTCTTCATCTCGATTCACGAACAACGATTCGCTCCGTGACCTCGGAGTTTGATCTATACGGCTGAATATCATTTGTTCCATCATTCTCATTCAGTCCCTGCAAGACGAAACTGGTGATTCGATCTTCGCCTTCATTACCATCAAGGGAGAGTTACTGTTGCCTCTCGCTCTTGGTCCTCATTGTCTGACTCGACGTCGAATCCAGCTAATGTGGTGTTTCTTTTTCTGTCCATTCTTCTATTCTTCTTTCCTCCTCCTTTTCAGCTCTCTCTTTCGTTGATTAATGCGTGGTTGGATTGTTTTGCCTGAAGTGAAAAAGTTTGGTGTGTCGTGTTCGGATCAACAAAATTCGACGCGTCGGATGGCATCATTGATGAATCTAGTTATCGAATTTCCATATTTTATTGATGATGCTTATTTTATGCTTAATTATGGAACATTCCTATTTAATACGTTCATTATGGATGGATAAGAAATTACCACTACTAGATGAAAATTAAACACAAATTTGGCTACTCGGCTACACAACATCCGACAACACTCGTACTCTACAGCCATCAATGCATTGACAACCATAGATGATGGACACATCCATTCTAGGCAGCAGAGGGCGAAAATTGAATTGATATCTGACCATGATGAAGAGGATGGAATATTTCTGATTTAGTTATTCACATAGCCATCTCTGCCTAATCTCTTCCATATTACCATTTGTATACTAGATGAATTACATCTATACAGTGAAGCAGAGTCAATGAATTCATCGTACTAGAATCCTCAATTAACGACTGCCTATTCATGAATATTTAGAGCGATTTTTTCCATATCTAATCCTTCTTCCTTTCTCATCCTCATTACACTCCCAATCATAATTTCAATATGCCTTCGGCCTCTGCCTCTTGTTCTTCCATTCAAGAGAATGCCCTACGTCGACACCATGTTCATGGACTTCCTGATGCTTCAACATCCATCCGTGGAATGGGCATTTCTTCTCTTTTGCTCAAGTCTCCTGCCTTTTTCCCGATCTTTTTCTTTCCTTCGACTGGTGGAGTGCATGACGAATGGCTCCACGATACATGGTGACTTTGCAAAATGGCACGCTTTGCACATGGTCTCGCATCGCAGAGTATTACGCTCATCAAATCGGCAGTGAGTATCATTGTTCAAACATCTTCTATACTTCAAACTAACCTAGCAGTGCGTGAGAATTATGCTGTATTTGACAGCATTTTACTTCCCTTCTGCTGCGCAGGTATGTGGTACAGTCTGAATTTATATATTTGTCGATAAGAATGGGTTTATTAATATGCGAGAAATAGAGCGACTGCCCTTCATGGGCATGCCCAGAGGTCTCCGGGCCAGTCTTTGATTATGAAGATAGAGTATGTTACCCAATTTCGAATGCCTGCTATATATGGTTTACTAATACAAGAGAAATAGGAGCTCACCACCCCCTCTCCCACCAACTATTGGCCTCTATGAATTATGAAAAGTGCTGTATATATCTATTGTTGAATATGAGTTGGCTAATATAAGAGAAGCAGGAATATGAGGATATGACGCCGGCCACCCCCCGAATCCCAATACTGCGCCTGCTCCCACCAGACTGCCAACCAGGTATGTGATACAGTATAAACTGCTATATATACATCTGTCAATAGACACAATTTTGCTAATATAAGAGAAGCAAGCAGGAGAATGCTGCCACTGCTGCCGCCCTCTCCGAAAAAGAAAAAGGGAGACTGTTCACGAGGAAGCATGAGGTCGGATGAATGGTCTACTCTACTATATATTTGGAATATACTAATTATAATTAGGCGGTGGAGATGTATGCCTCAAAAGGCATAACTTTGACAAAGGAGGTGATCAGAGAGAAGCTCGATCAAGTGGACTGAGAAGATTATGACGTTAGACAAGAGTTGAAGCAGAGAAAAGATATTATGGGAGAGAGTGTTGAAGCCTTTGAAAACAAAAAAGACAAGGCTCGAAGCAGGCACAAAGGCAATCCATCCATATATAATACGACCTATTTATTTTATATACTAACCATGTGTATAGGCGCGTGAGCAGTTGAAAGGCCAATTCCAGAAACTCCGAGTTCAAATACCCGACGAGATGGATATAGGCGCGCTCATTGCATCAAAGGGATCCACGAAAGTACTCATGCCCGCCCAGCAAATGAGGCATGGAGGCGGGTAAGTAACCTTTCCTAGTATTACAGATAGAAATATACTAACTATGATCAGGTTTGGGAGATGTATGCTATTCAGGGTATACATCTCCCATCATAGGAAGAAGAAAACCGAAAAGCTGTCGATGAGGTCCTCAGGACCAAGGAGGAGAGGCGTGATTTTAGAGAAAAATTTGAAAATATACTTTGTTAAAAAAGAAGATGACATGGATGCTGCCTATGAAGCAGCAATTGCGAAGGTTAATACCTTCAAGTCATCATATTTGCCATTTTGTTGTGTTGTTTCTATATAAGAAAAAGAAAATATGGATGCCGCCTATCGAGCAGCGATTTCAACGGTGAGCATGTTTGAACAGGTGATGAATGATTGTCTTATTGTTTATTCGCATGTGGTTTCCCCTGCGAGCAAGAGATGGCTCTGAAAAGCCAGAGGGAAGCATTCTTCGGAAATTTGATCGTGGATGGAAAGAAACGAAAGAGAAAGTTGACAATGTTTCAATTTCAATTCGGTGTTGATGTGGTTGCTTTTCGTTCTGGAGGGAGTTCGTTGGGGTTTGGAGAGACAGGGCATGAACAGACATGGAATCAGTCTATACCATATTACAATATGATTCAATATATACGTCTCTCGGAGCTCGAGAAGCCTTTGAGTAATTCCTATATCAACGTACTTTTGTTTTGCCAACTTGCCAGAAGATTATGCATGGACCTATCGGGAACATGACTTATACAACAAACGCCTCTTGGAGCCTGTCGGTGTTGGACGTGGGCAGCGAATATTGACTGTTCTGTTTCTTCTATGCGATGGCTTCTAGTGATGATCTACTGGGGCGTAACACTGGGCCTGTCGAGTCAGTGTACAGTGAATGCCTAGTTAGTCCCGGATTGGCAACACGCCCAAGCTGCATATCCAAATATCTGAGGTGGGTTTTCTTCTCTTCTCTTCTTGTAAGCAACAAAACACATCGAACCCATTATATTCTCTCTATCTATTTCGCTTGATCTTCTTTTTCCTGTCTTCTTATAAGAAAACAACGACAGTAAGTATCATCGACCAAGAACTATATCACTCTTGATTAACGCATATGTAGCCATGGGGATCCCAACACCCAAGCCCGAGAAAAAATCAACCGCGCCTACCCCCAAGGTATGACATCAAGTTACTTCCTTTCTCCATTTTCAACACAGAAATTCGTTGATTCTCTTTCATGATAACTGACATGATCTTAATCATATAGAGCCAGCCAGCCGCTGCCGTCGTCACCACCACTACCACCACCCAGTGCTCCTGGCCCGAAACCTGGGAAGAGGTAACATGAGCCAATACGTATCTACCGCCACTATAGGTACTAACAAAGTCTTTCTAGATGTTGAATGACCTAGCCGTCCAGGGCGTGCGCCTCCCTCCGGGGGACGAGCAGCAGCAGCTCCCGATGTCTGCGCAAGACCAGCGGCGTCGGGAGCTGCTTGCTGAGCTCGAGAGATCCTGGAGGGAAGGCCGCGCCGCACAGGCAGAGAGTAGAAGAGCAGAGAGGGCCTTAGAAAGGGCAGAGCAAAATCTGCGGGAGACAGAGGCACGGCTGGAGGTCAAAGAGGAGGAGTTGGAGGCAGAGGAGGAGCAGGCGGAGGAGCTGGAGCGTGAACTTGAGGAACTTGGAGGGGCATGATTTTCTTTCTTCTTACCCGCAATTGTTTCCCCGTTTCTCTAATTTCTGAAATTTACCGGGAAAGAAGAACTCAAGCTATACCTGGAGACATGTCGTTGTCAGTATAGTCTTGACCAAGAATGAATTCGACTCACCCCACCAATGCTGCTTGCTTATCGATAAGGAGAAATGAAATTGCTGACGATGCGAATCTTTTGCATGTATCTGACAAAAATATCCTTTGATAGATAGCATGACTGACGCATACAATGACGAATGAACAGCTGCAAGTAATAAAATAATGAGATCATGCAGCACTGTATCGATCCTCTCGTGGCTGTGTAGGACGACGTGTTCCCCACCTTCAACCGCAATCTCCCACGCTGTCCGAGCAACCTCAGCCACAATTCCTAGAACAACCACTGATCTACTGTGCATATCAGAATAAGATCATCTCTCTCGCACAGAATGCCCACATAGGCTTTTTGTCGTCTCTCTTAGTGGCTGGTCATCCCATCGTGATTTCCGCCCCCCTGAAATGCCGACCATCACCACCGACTCAGCCCCGCTGAGGTGAGGTAGATAAACCATGGCTCTTTCCTTCGGCTGAACGATGTCGAGCCATCGTTTTATTCATATTTAGTCTGCATCTGTTCTCTTCCTCAATCGATACTGAACTTCGATTGTTGAATACCTTCCATACGACATCGGCATCTATCTATTTCTCTGGTTTATTAAACCATCATGTCCAGCCCTTACGGTCATCCCCAATACAACCAATACGGCCCGCCGCAGCCAGGCAGTGGTCAGTACGACGGGGCATACTCTAGTCAGCAAGGCTACTACCCTCCTCAGGGCCAGTACGGACAGCCGCAGCAACATGGATATTATCCACCCGGGGTAAGCCCAAGACTTCATCCCTGTTCTTCGCTTTTGTTGCAGACACTATCGCCCCAAGCCAAGCTACACTTTCATGCAGACCTCGAGGGCGCGGGAAAACTAACTTCTGTCAGCCCCCTCCCCAGCAGCATCATCCATACGGCGGCCCTCCCCCATCTTACGATCAAGGGCCTGCTCCCTCCTATGGATACAGCTCGCAGGTGAATTATCCATACGAGCGCGGACACTCCCCTTATCCTCCACAACAGCCACAACACCAAGGGGGCGCGAATGCCTCGTATTATAATTCTCAGCCAGGGGGGCAATATCCAGCAGGGCAGCCGCCAGCCCCAGGAGGCCCAGGAGGAGAGAAGGGCTTAGGCTCATCCATAGTCGGTGCTGCCGGTGGTGGTTTTGTCGGTCATAAACTCGGTGGAGGATTTTTGGGGACGGCAGGAGGTGCGCTGGCCGGTGCTGCAGGAATGAACATGGCTAGCAAGCTGTAAGTTTCTTCTGGCAAGGAAGCAAAGGTCCTGATGCTGATTTTCAACCAAACAGACACAAGAAGCATGATAAAAAGCATAAGAAGGAGAAGAAGCATCACAAGCACCACAAGCACCATAAGCGCGGATCAAGCTCTAGCTCTTCCAGCTCAAGCTCTGACAGCGACTGATGGATAACTGCGTGCGATCATGAGGCTGTGATATGGATACCCTGTTGAGTAGGCATCGTTGATTGGTGTTTATATGGCGCCCTGAATGAGCGGGAAGTTGGCCAACGAGTTTTTTTTTCTTTCTTGAATTGTATTCTTAGTCTAAATAGCAACCTGTGTTCTATTGTTCCGATTCACTTGGAGATGGCAACGTCTTCTGAACTATTCGCCACCTGTTGCATATGGACCTCTGCATGAGATGACATCGATTTAAGTTTGGTCGGACGATAGATGTACTCCGGAAAAGCACTGGGGGGTTGTATCCGTTGCCACCTTGATCTTCTGAAGTACGTCGATGGCTTGATATTATTAGGGCAGAGGACAGCTGCTTCTAGGATCCATCGGAGTTATTACGGGGAACCTGAAAGCGAAATGAGCAAGTGGAAATAAAATTTATCAGTTTATCCAAAAGACGACTGTTTTCGAACGATAGAAATGTCAAGGATAGAACCGAGGAGTAGCACCGACGTAATCCCACCATTGCCGGTGGCAATTTATGATTCCACGAATGGAAGAAAAACATATGAAAACTTTGCACTTATGTTTTGAGTATGTTTTCATCTATCTTTGGCTAGATATTAAGTGCTATTATTAAAATCCACCGAAATAATAACGGCAGTACTTCTGTGTAGCGGCCGAAGCATTCGGGCATATCTACAGAACAACACAGCACCACACCATAGCAACAAATTCTAAAACCAATCAATAAGCAAGGCACCTCTAAATAATACTATATATTCTACATGCTGCATCTGCACCTGTAGTCCGTAGAAATATGATGTGTGGTTAAAGTTCCAGACCCACCACTGTACAGACAATAGTTTTGCCACCATCTCCGGTTCTTTTCGCGGGGGATAAGGAGTGGGTAATAGGGGCTTCAAGGGTTATAGTCCGAATAGTATATTGTACTTTGTTCCAGAGAGGGTTTAATAGGGGGGCGGTAATGCAATACGAAAGTCAGTCAAACCCAACCCTATGTATGATGAACTGGCCAGAGGATGGGAGTACTCCATTGAGTAGATGATAATCCAGGATGATAAAAGATAAATGAAGAGCGGTGAGTACTGACCAAGTCAAGGATGGCTAAAATGGCGGTGATGCTCATGCCTGTCCTCTCAGTCCGCCATCGTTTCAGTCGATGGACGAGTAATATGATGGATGTGGTGGTTTAGCGCTGATCTACCCCAGAAGGACAATCAATCAATCTACGCCGTAAGTAGGCATGCTTTTTTCTTTGAAACATGACTCGGAAGATGTATTTCTTTCATATTTCATTTCTGATATATGCTGTATGCCTTGTGCTGATGTTTGCTATTGCAATAATAGCATCAGCTAAGCCTGGTCTGGATTTCAACGGACATGAACGGAGACGCAACAACATCTATCCATGGAACATGGCCAACTTTAAAAATATGGTATTCGATGAGGAAGAAAATTTTTGAAAGAAAAAAAAGAAAAAAGGAGAATCACTGTAAGCTGCGCCACCGACAGGGAGGGAAGCGCCAAAAAAAAAAAAAAAGTTGTTGATGGAGGGTGGCGACAGAAATAGAATCTCCCCCAGCATTGTATCTGCAAGCCAACACACACGGGGACGGGGACTAAAGTGGTGATGCTATGCTCTATCCCCGGATTCACGGCTTGTCAAGGCTGCGCTGATGCACTCAGCCCGTTTGAGGGCTAGTCAAGGGGCGTGCTTAGAGCCTTAGAATTACTACGTACTACATAGATGATCACGGGTGATAGCCTAAGGTAGAAATGTTGTTGAAGCCTTAGGTACCTAGCAGATAACAAGTAGATAACAGTAGATAGCACATCTATACCGTAGTAACAGTACTAAGCATTGTCGATAACAATGCTGAATCCGGAATCTTCTGAAAACTTCCACTTTTATCAACCCTTCTCCTTTTCGGTCCATCCGACGGAGAACCATTGGAAAAATAAAAATCAGAATTTGATGCATTTTAAATCCTGCCCTGCCTTCCAGCCAATCACCGTGCATGAATTTGGCCCAATCCCGACACGCACCCTATCGGGGACGGCTGTTTCGACAGTCATCGGCACTAGTCCGCATCCGGCACTAGTGCGGGACCAGGGCCGAGCAACAAAAAAATTTTTTCGCTGTCCCTCATGGAGGGTTGGGCGGCGAAAAAAAAAAGAGGGCCACAAAGCGATAAATATCATCCCCTCCTCGCTCCCCCCGTTCCTAATCTCTCCCCTCCTCCTCTCCTCTTCCATCCTCTATCCTTTTTCCTTTTTTTCTTTTTTGAGAGGTCTGGTCCTCTTTTTTTCTCTTGTTTTCCGTTTGTCTTTTATTTAGACAAATAGATTTCGCTCAGGCCAGTTTAGAGCGTTCCCTGCGTCTTTGCGAGACGTAGTTCGTGGGCCGCCACTTTATCAAGATACCCTCATAGAACGCCTTTTGGACGTTCTTGTTTTTCATTTTTATTTTCTTCGATTTTACGACTAAAACTTCAAAATGCCTGCCGCCGACGTTGCCTCCGTTCCCGCCGTCTCGGCCAAGGAGACCGCTCAGTCGGTTGCCGTCCTTGAGGACCTCATCAAGAACCTCAACATCTCCACCAGCCAGGATGAGGTGAACGCTGCCGCTGGCAACATCGCTTCTCTCTTCGGTGGTCCCATCCCCGAGCAGACTCTGCCCCTCAAGTATGTCGCATCGTCTTACCCCGCCAAATCCAGCATACAGTTCACTAACAGAATTTTCTTCAGGGCCGTCGAGTCTTTCAAGAAGCAGCTCGGCAACAAGAAGGATGCCACCGCCCGTGAGCGCGCCCTGGAGGCCATCCGCGCCATTGCTTCCCACTCCAGCGTCGCCCCCGGTGTCGAGCCCCACCTCCTCGCCCTCCTGGGCCCCGTCCTCGCCGCCGTTGGTGACAAGATGATCCCTGTCAAGAACGTTGCTCAGGCTACTGCCATTGCCATTGTCAAGGGTCTCAACCCCAACGCTGTCAAGGCCGCTCTCCCTCCTATCCTCGACTCTCTGGCCAATGCCCAGAAGTGGGCTGAGAAGATGACCGCTCTCGAGTGTCTGGAGACTCTCGTTGAGACCGCCCCCGCTCAGCTCTCCTTCCGTGTGCCCGACCTGATTCCCGTCGTCTCCGAGGCCATGTGGGACACCAAGAACGAGGTCAAGAAGGCCGCCTACGGCACCATGGAGAAGGTCTGCGGTCTTATCGTCAACAAGGATATCGAGCGTTTCATTCCCGAGCTCATCAAGTGTATCTCCAAGCCCGAGAACGTCCCCGAGACCGTTCACCTCTTGGGTGCCACCACTTTCGTTTCCGATGTCACCGGCCCTACCTTGGCTATCATGGTTCCCTTGCTTGACCGTGGTCTCGTTGAGCGTGAGACCCCCATCAAGCGTAAGTCCGCTGTCATTGTCGACAACATGTGCAAGCTCGTCGAGGACCCTCAGATCGTCGCTCCTTTCTTGCCCAAGTTGATTCCTCGTCTGGAGAAGAACCACGAGACTCTTGCCGACCCCGAGGCCCGTGAGAAGACCAAGCAGGCCTTGGATACCATCTGCCGTGTCGGTGATGTCAAGAACGGCAAGATCCCCGAGATCTCCCATGCCGGTGACATCTCTACTGTTTCCGCTATCCTCAAGGATATCCTTGCTCCCAAGTACAAGGCCCAGGCTGAGCAGTCCGAGGTCACCATTGAGTTCATCTCCGCCATTGCCGGTCAGCTCGTCGACGAGAAGGACGCCGATGTTGCCAGCTGGACCCAGAACGCTCTCCCCTACATCACCGCCCTTGTTGGTGAGGCTGATGCCAAGTCCATTGCTGAGACTCTCCGCAAGAAGGCTTCTCCTGACGCTGCTGAGGCTGATGCCATCCCCTCGGACGAGGAGGAAGGTGAGGACCTTTGCAACTGCACCTTCTCTCTGGCCTATGGTGCCAAGATTCTGCTTAACCAAACCCGTCTCCGCTTGAAGCGTGGTCAGCGTTACGGTCTCCTCGGTCCCAACGGTACCGGTAAGACCACTCTCATGCGTGCCATCAACAACGAGCAGCTCGAGGGTTTCCCCAAGAAGGATGAGGTCAAGACCGTGTTCGTTGAGCACGATTTGGACGCTGCCGATACTGAGAAGACTGTTATCGGCTGGACCATGCAGAAGCTCCAGGAGGTTGGTCTCGAGCCCAAGCAGGCCGATGTCGAGGCCAAGCTCGAGGAGTTCGGTTTCCTCCGTGAGCAGTTCGAGGGTCCCATCACCGCCCTTTCTGGTGGTTGGAAGATGAAGTTGGCTCTTGCCCGTGCTGTGTTCGAGGAGCCCGACATTCTCTTGCTCGACGAGCCTACCAACCACTTGGACGTCAAGAACGTTGCCTGGTTGGAGAACTACCTCAAGACCTCTCCTTGCACTTCCATCATGGTCTCCCACGACAGCAAGTTCTTGGACAACGTTATCCAGCACGTCGTTCACTACGAGCGTAACTTCAAGCTCAAGCGTTACCGTGGTACCCTGAGTGAGTTCGTCCAGAAGGTTCCTTCTGCTCGCTCTTACTACGAGCTCGGTGCTTCCGAGTTGGAGTTTAAGTTCCCCGAGCCCGGTTTCCTTGAGGGTGTCAAGACCAAGGCCAAGGCCATCGTCCGTGTCACCAACATGTCCTTCCAGTACCCTGGAACTCCCCGCCCCCAGATCACCGACATCTCCTTCCAGGTGTCTCTGGGCTCTCGTATTGCCGTCATTGGTCCCAACGGTGCTGGTAAATCTACCCTGGTCAACGTCTTGACCGGTGAGTTGATCCCCACCTCCGGTGAGGTTTACCAGCACGAGAACATCCGTATTGCCTACATTAAGCAGCACGCTTTCGCTCACATTGACCACCACCTCGACTTGACTCCCTCCGAGTACATCCAGTGGCGTTTCCAGACTGGTGAGGACCGTGAGACCATGGACCGTGCCAACAAGATCGTCACCGATGAGGATGAGAAGGCTATGGACAAGATCTACATGATCGAGGGTACTCCCCGTCGTGTCATTGGTATCCACTCTCGTCGTAAGTTCAAGAACAGCTACGAGTACGAGTGTTCGTTCAGCTTGGGAGACAACATTGGCATGAAGAGTGAGAAGTGGACTCCCATGATGACCAGCGACAACGCCTGGATTCCCCGTTCCGAGATCCAGGTCTCCCACGCCAAGATGGTTGCCGATATCGATCAGAAGGAGGCTCTTGCCAGCGGTCAGTTCCGTCCTCTGGTCCGCAAGGAGATTGAACAGCACTGCTCCATGTTCGGTCTCGACGCTGAGTTGGTTTCCCACTCCCGTATGCGCGGTCTGTCCGGTGGTCAGCGTGTCAAGGTCGTCCTTGCCGCTTGCTCGTGGCAGCGCCCCCACGTCATCGTTCTTGACGAGCCTACTAACTACCTTGACCGTGACTCTCTTGGTGCTCTGTCTAAGGCCATTAAGAGCTTCGAGGGTGGTGTCGTTATCATTACTCACTCTCGTGAGTTCACTGAGAACCTCACCGAGGAAGTGTGGGCTGTCGTCGACGGAAAGATGACTCCCTCCGGTCACAACTGGGTTCAGGGACAAGGATCTGGACCTCGTCTGGCTGGTAAAGAACAGGCTACTGAACACGTTGATGCTATGGGCAACAAAACTGTTGTCGAGCAGAAGAAGAAGCTCACTGCCTCCGAACTCAGGGTAAGTTTTCATCGATTTTTGCCTTTCCCCGCATTTTTATCTGATCCAGGATGACGCTAATCCCAAAATAGAAAAAGAAGAAGGATCGCATGGCCAGACGCAAGCGCGGTGAAGAGGTTTTCTCTGATGAGGAGTTGTAGACTCGAAAAACGAGCTCTGAACGACAAAAGTTGCGTGTTTAATGACTGGATTGGGGTTAAAATGGCTCGATTCGTGTAATGTTGTTTATAGACGTTATGATCGTATGAATTTCATCCATGGACTTCATTATGTTCATGCATTTCAAAGACTGGCTTCATTGTAGACGTTGTGGTGCGTTTTGATGCTTTTCGATCCAGCGAAACTTGTATACAGATCGGATATCCGATGGTGTTGATATTGCCAAGACATCCGGGCCGAAATGGTCCGTGCAGCGTTTCTGTCCGCCCCACCGCCTTCTACCCTAATCGTCCTGCTCCTCCTCCATCTACTTCGTAGCTAAGGTACTTCGCGATAGCTTCATCGAACCCGGTTTCTATCGTCTCATTTACTCTATTTCATTTCGTCCTTTTCTCATTGATCTAAATAGTTACCTCTCTGTACAGATCCTCAAAATCCATTGATAGAAAACCGCACCTGTGGAATATGCAGCGCATGGGCTTTGACAGCTCGCATAGTGCAGAGGCAAGAGCTTAATGTCTTGTTTATTGATTGCAACTTGCAATAAAACAAGAAACTCCCCGGATCCCAATCATTGACTTTGCATTGACATATATGCCATGTTAATCCCAGCCCCGAAGCCCGAAAGGATGCCGCCACGGCTGCTGAAGCTTTCTGGCCCGAGACTTGGGAAGAGGTAACCCGATCCAATACGTATCTACCGTCATTGTAGGTACTAACAAAATGGTTCTAGATTCTTGATGACCTGGTCGCCTCCCCAATCTCAATCTCCCGCTTTATCTCCTCACTTTATAATATTTGCCTCGACTTCGCATTTTACAATCGCAGTCTTTGATTAGCCACTGGCTGCTATTACGTATTGCTACTGTCAAAATCTTCGAGCCCAGGCAATAGTGATTTTCCAAGATGACCACATCCCTCAGTCGCGCTGCAGCTCGCGGTCTTGCATCTGTGTGAAGATATTGGACCTGCCTAGATGGACGAAAAACATAGTAATTGCTTCTAGAATGATGCTAAGAGAAGTAAATTCTACCTAATTGGACATGTTGGCTGTTTACTGACATTGCGCATAGCAGAACCTATGACTATTGATTTGCAGACTTATCTGCTGCTGTCTATACAGCCCTTGCTGGCTAACATAAGCAACACCCTCACTTTACTTTAGCAATCGTTCTTGAATTCCCACATTGACACACGAATGGAATGCTTCAGTCATTTCTGGGCCCGAATGCCAGGGAATTCCCAAATCCTTGACATCGCATACTGTTTTCTCACACATCAGCCATAAGGACAGGCTCATTCGCTCAAGAACTTGAACCTCAGAAGATCAGCTAGCCCAGTCTCAGCAACGCCAAAAAAGACCAGTCCATCAAAACTCGAACGTCGTCAAGCAACACCATATCGTTTCTCATGCACATAGAACTAGCTAGGATGCTAGTGAGTTTGTTCAAATAGCTGCTGTGTTTGATTAGTTCATTTGATGGTACGCAACATTGGTTGGCTGAATCTACTCTCAATGGGGCACGACAGCCGTTCAGGATACTCTGGAAATTTCTCAGAACAGTTCGCCAGAATATTTATTTAGCAGCACTAGTACAGACACTGAAGATTGGAAATTGGAGCTTCTACCCGCAAGCTGGTGTTCAAGGCAATGATTTTCAGTTTGCAGCGGGTGAGGTGGAGGTGTTGAGGAAGAACGAGAATAGACCCAGCTCTTAACTTGTGCTGGCTAAAATGCCAATTTCGATGAAAACACTCTTCTTGTGCATACTACTCTTGAGTTTCTTTTGTTCCTTTCCTAGTATCTTATCCCCTCTTTTATTTCTACTTGACCAAAACTAAAGCTAGCTTTTTACAGTACCCTCGAAAGGCACAGTTCGATACCATGAAACCTCCCTGCTGCGCTGCCGAGCAGTTTCCCAGCAGATAATTCGATCTTGACTTTCCATACAAACATATTCGATATCACAAACCCCATGGCTTGGCAAGATACCGTGCAGCATGAAATGGTGATTCTTTGTATGATGGTCTGACAATGGTATTATGAAAGACCTCCGTGTATATCTGTCTAGTAGCTAAATACTCATTTTCGATATACACATTTGCTTGTCCTGAACTTGTCTAGTTTCGTGCCATGTCCAATCATACCAAGGCCAATATTTGAGACTATAATCTATATAGAGTTCCACGAGTGTCTGCAGCTACTTATCTTCCTCAACACCTACACAATGTTCTCTTCATCATATCAACCTACTACGCACAATATCGAGCAATTTGATTTCGACCTCTTATCCTTCAGAGGACCTCTCGTGTCGGGGTCGCCGTGCCCGCAAAGGCAATTGTCGTAATCGACAATACGGCAAACCAGCACATGGCTGATGGCCCAGCAATCAGCATTGATGCATAGTTGAATATTAATAGAAGCCCTGTGAAAGGACAAAACCTTTAATCCAGTATACCTAATAGAATTAATGCCACTCTCTGTAAGCTAGAAGCTAGATCAATCTACATATAGTTCAGATAGTTTATCTTAAGGTACGATATCATGTCTTAAGAACGCAGGTCTTTTTCGTAGGATGCTTGACTTTGAAATTGAAGTTGTGATAGGCGAGAGCTTTAACCTGGCCACTGTCATCCCTATAGATGTCAGAACTGTGCCAACCTAACGGACTAAACTTGGTGGATAGGGTACAGGGCAAGGGATAGAATCGTGTCAGTTAGGGCTGGTGATACTTGCGCATGCACATTTCTGCTCAGCAATATTATTGACTTTTCATCAAGACTGCTTCAAGCAATTTTAATTGTTCAAAGAGAATATCAGATTAATCCTGTGCATACTCTGTAGATAACTGATGATGCAGTGCAGTACATTAATGACAAATCGGGACTAGCGTGTTTTACGCGTCTTCACGCGCCGAGATTCGCGATTCAACTTCAACTTCAAGACTCGCAATAACCACAGCAGACACCATTGACTATTCCAATAACCATATCCACGACAGAAATGACTCTCTAAACGCCTTTGATGACGACTTCGCCTCCATCAGTACCCCCCTCCTTCGACCCGGCCTTACACCTCCACTCCGATATCCCAAATTTCCCCTCAGAGTCCTTCTCCGACGACCTCGAGGCTTTGAACAACCAGCGCATCGAGAAAACTCGCAATAAAGTTGTTATCCAGCATCGCGCCTGGAATCTCTCCGATGTTTTTCGCAGTGACGACGATATAAGACCTGGTAGGTTGGTTCTATAGATCCAGACTGGCTTATACTAATGGGCAGATACTCCGACCAAATCTAAACAGTTTCAACATATCTTACCCTCTTCGCCAGCTCGTTTATTACCACTACTACCCTCCTCTCCTCCCACGGTGAAAATGCCCTTCATGTCTTCGCCCGCTGGCTTCCCCTCAGGACCCCCCTCGCCTACAGACCCGCAGAAGAGAAAGAATGACGAACCGCCGCAATCGTCGGAGCCCAAGCGGCAGAAAATCATGGGAGGTTTCCTGGACGACGAGGACGAGGATGAAGACCAAGACGCATTGGATGCGTTTGGCGATGCGCAGATGAGCCAATTCGAGATTCAAGAGCAGCCCACCGTGCAACCCACACAGTTCCCGATTATTCCAGGACCGCCACAAAAGTCTCCTGACTCGACGCCTTTGGCCAATCCTCCTGTCGCGAGAGAGCCAATTGTTGAATCTTCTGGTCCATCGAGGAAGCCGGCTGGAGTATTTCAAATCAAAACGTGCTCGGGCAAATCGCATAATGTCGCTTCGAGACCTAGCAAACCCGCCATTCCCTACGAAAGACTCGTTGCTGGCCGATCTACAACCGCCCCTGGACGGGCTCAGAAGAGCTACTACGGAATTGATATCCATAAACTGCTTGACGAAGCTGCTCAAGAAAGCCAGGAGAAAGCTTCGAGACCGCCGCCGCCCCCTGCTGTCCAACCATCCATTGAATCGAATAATATGAGTCATAAGAGCAAGAAAGCAACATATGCAATGTGGACTGAGAAATACCGAGCTCGGAAATTCACCGACCTCGTTGGTGACGAACGCACCCACCGATGGGTTCTCCGCTGGCTTAAGGGATGGGATCCGATTGTCTTCCCCAACATTGCCAAATCAAAAGCCAAGAAAGCGAATAAAGATGAAGAAGAGCGACCTCATCGGAAAGTCTTGTTATTGTGCGGCCCGCCAGGTCTGGGAAAGACCACTTTGGCGCACGTTTGCGCCAAACAGGCAGGCTACGAGGCGCTGGAAATCAACGCCAGTGACGAGCGAAGCAGAGATGTCGTCAAGGGCAGAATCAGAGATGCTCTTGCCACGGAGAATGTGAAAGGAATGAATGTGGAAGTCGGTGACAGCAAAGTTCGCAAAGCCGGCCGACCCGTTTGTGTCGTCGTTGATGAAGTAGACGGCGTCGTCAGCGGATCTGGCGGGGGCGGCGAAGGAGGTTTCATGAAAGCCTTGATCGACCTGGTCCTCCTCGATCAAAAGAATACGGCCCGCCTGTCTGAAAAGAATACAAACACCGGCAAGAAAAAGAAGACGGATAACTTTCGATTCCTTCGCCCACTCATTTTAGTTTGCAACGACGTATATCACCCCAGTCTACGGCCACTGAGAGCTTCGTCTGTGGCTGAGATCATTCATGTTCGTCAGGCACCATTGGAAAATGTCGTGGCACGCATGAAGAACATCTTCATTAGAGAAGGGATCCCGTCTGATAACGATAGCGTGAGACGACTCTGTGAAGCATCCTGGGGTCTTGCCAGCAGGAAGCAAGGCGGCAACAAACGCAGCGGATCAGCAGAAGGCGATATCAGAAGTCTACTCGTTGCGGCTGAATGGGTGGCCCATAAACTCAGAAACGAAAACCCCGCTTCCTCTCTGAAGCTGACCCGGAGCTGGCTTGAGGACAGGGTTCTCAACGGCTCGACTGAGGGTGGTGCATTTTTCAAGGGTCTAAACCGCGGAGGTGTTAAAGATATTGTGGATCGAGTATTCACGGAGGGTGCGGGATTTCCAGACCCCCCTGTTGGCAAGGATTCCTTCCAAGACCCATTTCAGGATGCAGGCACAAAAGTCCCAGTAGGCGTTGCCGATCTTAGGAAACGCAATGCCATCAACAGATTGCGCGAGATGGTCGACGCAAGCGACGAACACGACCGCTGCGCTACTGACTGCTTCGCTTCATATCCTCTCCAATCTTACCAAGATGACACATACCTGTCTAAACCGAATGCAGCCTATGACTGGCTCCATTTCCACGACTCTCTATCATCCAAGGTATTCTCACAACAATCCTGGGAACTCACTCCGTACCTCAGCCAGTCCACCCTAGCCTTCCATCACCTATTCGCATCTTCAAGGGGCAAGAGAAACTTCTCAGAAAAGAAGGACGAGGAAGACGAGGAAGAACACCCTTTCACCGGTCCCCGAGCTGAATTCGCAGCCTTCGAGGCCCAGAAACAAAATCGGGCTATCCTTACCGGGTTTCACTCCTCTTTCCCTGCGCCTTTGATTAGATTATTCCGATCGACAGACTGTGTCGTTATGGACCTCATTCCCAATCTCCTGCGGATGCTGTCTCCCGATGTGAAGCCGGTTGTTGTTCGTGGTGGTGGAGACTCGAAAAGTGTAGCTAGTGTTCGCAAAGAGAGCGAGCGTGTGCTCATTCAACTAGCTGTGCGGGTTATGGCCGGGCTAGGCGTGACGTTTGAAAAAGTGCGAGTCGAAGGCGAAGGCGGTGCTCATAGCGGATGGGCGTACAGAATGGAGCCGTAAGTCTTCCCTTCTCCTCTCCCCTCCCTTAAACCCCCCTAATAAATAAACAGACCCATCGACTCCCTCGTCTCATTCTCCAAAACAAACGGAACCACAATGTCAAGCAGCGGCTCCGCCCCCGTCCGCTACGCCATCCGCCAAGTCCTCGACCAGGAATACCGCAAGGAAACAATGCGCAAACAAGCAGAAGCACTGAACTCATCCAATCTCAACAAATCCAGCAAGACAGCCGACCAAAAGAAAACACCCACCAAAGACACCGTCAAAGATTTGAGCGTCAAGCGCGATTTCTTCGGGAGAATCATCCAGCAGCCATCACCGCCTACGAAGGGTGATTCGAATGAAAGCCAGCCGGTGCAAAATGAAGAGTCCAAGGCTGGGAGAAAGGTCTGGGTGACGTACCATGATGGCTTCTCGAATGCGGTTCGCAAGCCGATTTCGATGGGCGAGTTGATGGCTGGGTTATAGATTATATGGGAGATTTATTGATCGATTGATTGTATGCTTAGCGAATCTGCATGTATAATTGTATATATCTTAATGAACGACAGCTGTCTTTTGAATAATTCACAAACATTTCTTTAAAGGATGGATTGTGGTCAAATGAGTGCATCGGAGATAGTGGACCCAACAGGGGTCCCTCGGCCGAGCTTTGAATTGTGGGTCGGCCGAGGGCATAGAAGCTCTATACAAATGTCGCGAATCGATTCAGAATATAAATAGAGACTGATTAACTAGTTATTCTGAATGTCACCTTGATAGATCAGTTTCGGTTACTATTGTGTCGAATAACTCTTTTTGCTCCCGAAAGCATCCATCTAGCATGCACGTCGCGAACAAGAATACCACCGATGAAGAGAAGAATCTACCTGTTAACGCATATACTCCTCCCAATGGAGGGGTGAAAGTATGGGCGTGTGTTGCTGGGTCGTTTCTCTTACAGTTTTGCTCGTTTGGTTATGTGAATGCGTATGTTATTTCCGGCCTATTATGGATTCCGCATGCTGACTTGAATAGTTGTGGTATCTTCCAGCTTTACTACCAAGATGTTATGCTCAAAGACTCGTCGTCTTCAGCATTAGCCTGGATTACAACAATCCAGGTCTTTCTGCTATTCATGCTCGGGCCGGCAATTGGTAAACTTATCGATGTGTACGGCTGTCGGATGCTGCTTCCGCCATTTAGCACCCTGGCTGTGTTTTCGGTTTGCATGTTGAGTCTTTGTAAGGAGTATTGGCAGGTTATGCTGACACAGGGTGTGGCGTTTGGGCTGGCAGCTGCGGGATTGTGTCTTCCTGCTATGGCGTTGGCGACGCAGTGGTTTTCGACGAAGAGGGGGCTGGCGGTGGGAATTGTGTCTGCTGGGAGTAGTTTGGGTGAGTCTGATGCTTTCTGTTTTAGATATTTGATATACTGACTGCGATATTGAGGTGGTGTTATATATCCATGCATGCTACCCCGTCTGATAAACGAAGTCGGTTTTGCGTCGGCTGTTAGATGGACGGCATTGATGCAAGGTATTCTGCTTCTCCTTGCCAACATCCTCTGTTCGAGACCATTTCCCCCCAAAACGAAAGAAGAATCCGGGGATAAGTCAACTTCTAAAGCAGGCCTGGATGGATTCAAGAACTGGCCATGGGGTTTCTTTATTCTGGGATGCTTCTTTACCATGTGGGGTCTCTTTGCCCCTCTCAACTACCTCCCCGAGATGGCTTCGCTTCATGGAATGTCCGATTTCGCACAATACACTTTGGCTATCGCGAATGCTGGATCTCTCATTGGCCGGATTGTACCAGGCTGGATAAGTGATCGCATCGGACAGTTCAATATGATGTGCACCGTCACTTCCCTCTCTGGGATCTTGGTTTTGGCCTTCTGGCTTCCTCTGGAATTCCACACGTCCATGGCTGGCGTCATTGTTTTTGCTTTGCTTTTCGGCTTTGTCAGTGGCGGATTCGTGAGTTTGGGGCCGCCTTGTGTTGTTTCACTTACTGGTGATAGCATGGATTCTATCGGTGTCAAGCTTGGTGGGTTTTGTTTGGCCATTGCCCTCGGTGCCTTGACCGGTCTTCCTATTGAAGGGGCCATCAAGGATCGTGAAGGGGATCGTTTCACGGGTTTGATGTGCTTTTCCGGTGTGGCAATGATCTTAGGAGGACTATGCACCGGAACTGCTCGAGTGATAAAAGGTGGAGCCAAAATTTGGCAGAAAATTTAAAGTCGTAGAATGCCCTGCTAAGGCACTGCTGTTGCCTCCATGAGAACATGCTCTCCTCTCACTGTAATTCAGAAAAAGGTCCATCATCATCATGTATTATCGCGGTTCATATATAGAATTGACTTGAAAAAAATGCTGAATTATATCATTTCGTGTCACCGTAGAGGCGTAGATAACTCGATACCCGTCAGCTTATATATGCGCTTAATATTTCATCAATATGAATTCGGATCCGTTAGGTCGAAATTCCAAAATGTCTACTTGTGTCAATGAAAGCTTTTTCATTGAGATATGATAAACTCACCCAGTCGAAGCCCATGGAGGGATTCTGCATATTCAGAGCTTCCAAGCTTTCCGAGTCAGGCAACGGGATCAATTCAGCTATGTCTTCCAGTGCAGACGGCGCCTCGTTATTTGCCTGGGATTGCTGAGAAGCCGCCGTTGTACACATCTCGGTTAACGACTGGGAAATGATGCCCTGTGTCTGTGTCAAGGTAGAACAGTTTGGCGAATTTTGCGCCAAACAATTCGCAATAACCCGCCAGATAACTTTCCATGTCGAACTGGATTCGAACTTCCTTGTTTCCAACGTCTGTTGTAAGGCAGAAAATGCTCGAGAGCGAAGAATATTATGGCTCGATTTCTGAAACTCGGGTGTTTTCAGTTCTGATATGACATGCATGATGGCTTGGAAACATGCATGGCCGCTTATGTGCCACTGGAATCTTTTGGCATCTTTGTTATCTGGCATTTGATTCATGCCCTCCACTAGACTGACAGATTTATCCATAACCCTGTTCAAGTTAGCCTCATACCAGGTATTTTCCAAGTTCAGAACGCACATTGTTCGGATCTCCGGGGACACAACAGCTTCACGATACTGCTTTGGCATGCGGAGCCAGAATACAGACCAGCATCTCCATTCGATCATTTCAGCAAGGCCAAGGGCAAGACGCTGTTCGGGTATACGAGGATCGCAGTATTCGAGATATTGCGTCTGGAGATATGCGGTCATTTCATTTACCATGGTTTGAACCTCGTTAAATAATGACTGAAGCTCTATAATCGAATATAGACTGCCACTGTCGGGGATTGCTGATTTGCTTTGACGCTCCCATCGATAGGTGCTTCTAATAATTTTCCTAAAACAATGGATTCCATGTAGACGAACCAAATGTCCTGTCATATCAGCAAATCCAGTGGCAGAGTAAGCTCCAGCTGTTGGGGACTAGCACCTGCAGCTAGAGCCTCATCATTGACGTTTCGGGGTAGCAGTGTTGTAAAGTCATCGTCAGATATAGTGGGCTCTTGCCCCTTACTCTCAGCAGACCTGAAATCTAGATAACATATCTGATGCCATAGTCGACGACGGAGCTCTACCTGAACAGCGTCCACATTTTCCGATGGGAAGAGAGAAGGTTCCCGATGAAGACCCTGTGAAAGGGCTATCCTGACAACAAGGCCAAGAAGCGACCAAGTCTTTGACATATCATCTTCCCGGGACTGACAAGTCTAGTTTTGTAATATCCACGAGAGTTCGAACTTTGAAGGCTTGGTGTACTCACCAGAAGTAGTACGAATGCCTGAAGAACTTCGATACTTGCCGTCGTCAAGAGGCCCTCCCTCCCTAAACCGAGTTCCACCCCTCGTCGATACTGGGAAAGGGCGATCTCCTTCTCTAGGCCAAGTTTAGTCATGGTAGACTCGGGAGACATGCTGTTCACGGCAGAATAAAAAATGGCCAATGCCAAAGGTTCGAATGTAGATAGAGAAGTATCTGACTGTCCGGTTGTATCTTGACTCTTCTTGTCATACATTTGGTGGATGTATTTGGTGAAACGATGCCCTAGAGAGGGCTTATGAATCAACCGCGTCATTGGATCAACATTCGAATAGAAGATCTCGAGTAATGCGAAACAGTCATCTGCAGACGTTGGTAGCCACAGTGCAAGGTTTTCGATTGAACTGGTAGAAAACAGAAACGGGGAGTCTGACTCCTCAGGAGATAATTTCCTTGTAGTTGAATCACTTGCCTGATCGCTCAGTAGCATTTTAACATCGCGGATCTGCAATGGTCAGCCATGAGAATCAGACTCGCATATTTCCATCCTACCTCGTCAGCTAAAAGTGCGTAGTGGAGAGATGAGACCCAGCGAGACTGGCCACTTTCAGACTCCAGAAGCAGAGCTCCATCATACCCATCACCTGAAAGTGTCTCGCGGGTGGGAGTGACTGACCCACCACCAGTCCTTTGGTCAGCACTACTCGTCGTTTCTGAAACAGTATTCTGCACTTCCAATGGCTGAGAGATGTCCTCGCTCCCAGCTATTGCTCGTTCGAGAAGTTTCTCCAGCCTGTCCAGACGGTTCTTGATTTCATTCTGTCCAGTCCGCCAATTTGACCGAGACACTCGATCTGTCGCAGCACGAGGCTGAGCTGGGGGGCCAGGCTGTGGTTTTGCGTATAAACACACATGGTTTCCTCTCTGGCAAGTTGAGCAGACTGGCTGTTTATGGTCACATTTGACCTTGCGACGGCGACACGTGAGGCAGGTTGTGACGACTCGTTGCCGTGGAGGTTTGGGGGTTCCGCCCCACCTTGACTCTAATGGTATGGAAGATTCCATGAGATGCAGCGTCTCAGTCCAATTGTTTATGATTCAGAGGTTGGCGTTGGTTAGTTGATCGACTGGTGAAGAGAGAGGGAATGTTCTTCTCAATTTGGGGCTGAAGTTGGAATGGCTGGGCACTAAGACAGAAAGGGAAACCCTGTCATCCTTCTAAACAACAGGCGAAATTGATATAAGTACTTTTATTAGAAAGAATAGTTTTTTTCAATCAGTAAGAAATAGTAAATTGTTATGTATGCAATCGGTATTCTAAATTCAAGCGTAAACATATATAGGCAAAGCTCTCCAGATATTAAAAGAACAAGACCCAATATAAACACTGGAAACCATTAACTCCAATGCCAAATCCCATAAAGCAAAGCAGGTATTTCTCGCAAATATCACTCGTAATCTAGTTGGTATATTCGTCGTCGTTAAGGTGGCATATCGTGTATGGAAGGGAAATCAGCGCAGTGCCAGGTAGGTGGCCATGGCCTCGTAGTGGACTGCAGATTTGGACGATTCATCCTCTACAGACTCTGACTTCGAGATGGGCTTTGTATTTGGCTTCGAATCCGTGTTTGTGTTGGACTTTGGCCCGAATGAGAACCACTTCTTCTTCAGTTCAGTGCCCTTGAGTGTAGTAGCGGTGGAGGAGACGGAGTATGTAGAGGCAGCATCATCTGATGGAGATGGCTTGAAGGTTGAGGTGGGATTGCCCATGGTGAAGTTGAGGAAACGAGGCATTCGTGGTTATGAGGATAGATGTTGGTAAGAGTGGATAATGTATGTGTTGTCTTGTGGAGTGGTAGTTGCTTGAATAGGGTTCAAATAGAGTAGATAGATGTGCAGACAGTATCCGACTGATTATATTCAATGATATTCAATTAAGCTGGTGACAGTGAATCAGATGGAGGGGAAGGAAGACTTTATAGCCACACCGAATGTGCGCTTTACTCCGTACGACCTCCAATTGTGATATGATATTCGGAGTAAATATTTTTTTCAGCTTAAAAAAGGAAGAAAAAAGGACCCACTGATCACCATCGAGAGTGATGTTTTTGAATAGTATCCCAATAATTATACAGGGCTACGTCACCCATCTCCAGTGCTAATATAAAATGTCTGGCCCAACAAGGAAAAGGGCGTGCCAACACGAGTCGGGGTCCCAATTAGGAAACATCCCCAAATCTTCGCCCACATGGAACAGACGACCAGCCAGATTGATGCCAGATGCTCAACAGTGTTACACAGAAGAATGCGGAATAATTTGAGTCACTTGCATCCGACTCGTACGACATCCACCGTGACTCAAATTTAAACTTCTATCCCTGTCAGGCGGATTTGAGGCTTGGATTCTGTCGTTGTAGGCAGATCTAGACTGTCTGCTCCGAGATTGCTGCGGAGTTCGGAGCTCGGACTAAAGTGTCTATCAGCCTTGGATATTGCAACATCTAATTATATCGGAGTAGATCTAACACGATATAAATAAATATCTTATAGCTGTTAAGCTGGATATTCAAGTCTAAAGCCTTTGTTTGACTTCTCTCATTCATCATTCATAATCCATTATCTATCACCACTATTGTCCATCTACTCCGATATACGAACTGGGGCACGCCCTTGAGTCTTGGCATTCATCTTTGTGAGTCAAAAAACGCCATCAAAGAGTACTTGAAACCTTTATAATTCCACTTAGGCTGTTCAAGTGTTTTCCCAAGATCATATGGCAGAATAAATAGCCTCTTTTGACTAAGGATTTCTCCGGTGTGCCTTGATTCGATATCAAGCTCCGTTCACGGAAATGCCACTTACTTATTGACACGACAGAATATGGCAATTATGATTATTCTTCTTGTTATTCCACCTCATCTTTCACTCTTAATGGTGGATTCTATATCATATCACCGAGTACATGGGTGATCGTGGCTGACTTTTTGAAGCAATATCTCCGACGTCATAGTCTCGTTTGATGCTTGCTGTGCTTAGAGCATCCTCTCTCAGCCCTATCGAATATAGAAATACTGCTTTCCGTCTTATTAAAATCAGTTCAATAGGATGAATGCTATATATTCAAGCAAAAACATCTATGTATATCCCCCTCCGTGTAACTCATGTCTTCACTGTTGATCCCCCGCTTCCCCCCCGATATGGATTAATAAACAGTGATGAAATCTTGCTAAGCCGGCCTGATTGGTAATGCAATTCCTTGGTAATGCAATTCCGCTCTCCTCGACATTCGATCCTCTTCGATTGGACAGTTGGAATATGGTTACTCCATGGCTCTCAATTTGTCAGCGCGCTCTAATGCCGCGCTCGGCATTCCGATCAGACAATTCATCCGTATGTTGAGTTTGGCATGAGTGATTTCTTCAGTCGACACGTGGATATCCTTGCTATTATTGCGGGGCTTGGTTCTATCCACAGGGTACTTGGCATTATTTAAAGACAGTCTACGTCTCCTCTTTCCTTTCTATCCATATCTTCAATTTCAGACAATTTTTATCAAACTTCTCTATCCACCATGTCTCTCAAGCCCATCACCCTCTACAGCCACTCCAGCGGTCCCAACCCCTGGAAGGTGGTCATGATCTTCAATGAACTCAACATCCCCTTCGAGACCAAGTACCTCCAGTTTCCTGAGATGAAGCAGGAGCCCTTCGAGAAGATCAACATCAACGGCCGTGTCCCCGCCATCGAGGACCCCAACACCGGTATCATCCTGTGGGAGTCCGGCGCCATCCTTGAATACCTTGTCGAGACCTACGACAAGGAGAACAAGATCAGCTTCGCTACTGGCACCCCCGAATACTTTCAGGCCAAGCAGTGGCTGCACTACCAGATGTCCGGCCAGGGCCCCTACTTCGGCCAGGCCGTGTGGTTCTCCAAGTACCATCCCGAAAAGTTCCAGAGTGCCATCGATCGCTACATTAACGAGATTCGTCGCGTTTCGGGTGTGATCAACCGTGCTCTCGAAGGAAAGGAGTACCTTGTTGGTGGAAAGTACTCATATGCCGATGTCGCCTTTGTGCCATGGTTCGATCTCGTCTCGTGGATTTCCCCCGCAAACCCGATCGATCTTGAGAAGGACTTCCCCAACCTCAATGCCTGGTTGAACAGACTCAAGGCGAAACCAGCTGTGTCCAAGGCTTTGCAGGACAGAGCCGCTGCGATTGCTGCTTCGCAGCACTAAGAATGGATCAAATATTGCTGGACAGTGAACGATGTGCATGACATGATTTGCTTAGTTTATTTCGGGCTGCATTTGTAAATAAATATCAATATCATTGCTCTCAGGACTAAATCGTGTCTCAACGTAAAGGTTCATAATGTAGTAGTTGTTTTCTCGTAAAATGCCGCGGGACTGGGTTCTCATTAGTGATCGCATAGCATGGCCTCCATGTTTCCCATGGATTAGAAGTAGGCCATTTATTGAACAATAATGTTTAGAAAGAAGGGACTGTGACATGAAATTGTTGACGTGAAGACAGAAAAGATCAGGATCTCAATCCCGTGTCGCACTAGCCCAGAAAGGCTAGCGCATGTGAGGCTCTTGGCGCGAGTTTTTGGAGCCAAAGCGTCCGTGTCGCGACAGATGCGCTGCTCTCCCGGCCATCCTCTCCTCCCTACCGTCCATTGAACCCTTCCTCGCTGCGGTGTGATATCGATCTTCTGGCTCAGCTGTCAGCTTCGTTTATTGTAGAGGTTGATTCAAGGGTTGCGCTTGCACCCTTTTCCCACCATCCACAGCTGAAAGACAGCAAAGGAGCCTTTTCCCTCCGTCGCCTGCGACCCCAGTTTCATCTCCATCATCGTTGAACAAGATGGATGAGACTCCTGTCATCCATGGCGGTGCTGCCGATGAGATTCATGCCGGCACCACCACTCAAGATGCCCCCGGTGATGTTGTTCAGCCTTCCAGCCATGCTTCCGGTAGGTTACCTTTCTTTTGCCTCCCCTCCACCCCTCTTCACCTTGCCAATACTGGGGGTTGCCAACGTTCGCAATCGTATATTCAGAATCGCAATCGCGTCAGGAATTTGCCGTGAAGACATCTGAAAATATTTCGGACACTGATAATCCGCTAGATGCCCCTGCCTCTCCCAAACCTCAGACTGATGTCGATCCCGAAGATGAAGAGATGGGCGGCACTGAATTAGATGGAAAGAAAGAACTCGAAGGGGGCGACGAAAATGCCGACGGCGTTGCGCAACCAGCTGAAGGTGCCGTTGAGGAAACGCCGGCGCAGGCCAAGCAATCGCTCGAAGCCTCTGCTCGGTCACACTTGGTCTCGCAAACACACGCCATCATTCTTCCCAGTTATTCAACATGGTTCGACATGCACACCATCCACCCTATCGAGAAAAAGGCTTTGGCAGAGTTTTTCAATGCCCGAAACCGAAGCAAGACCCCCGCTGTCTACAAGGACTACCGAGATTTCATGATCAACACCTACCGATTGAGCCCTATCGAGTATCTTACCGTTACTGCCTGTCGCCGCAACCTTGCCGGTGATGTTTGTGCAATTATGCGAGTTCACTCGTTCCTCGAGCAATGGGGCCTGATTAACTACCAGGTGAGTAGCAGGAATTTCTCGTTTTCATAGGGTAGATACTAATATTAATTGATCCAGGTCGACCCTCAAACACGGCCATCGAACATTGGCCCGCCGTTCACGGGCCATTTCAGAGTCACTGCTGATACCCCACGGGGTCTTCAACCATTCCAACCTGGACCCAACCACTTCGTGACCCCAGGAAAGCCTCTCCCTTCCACTGACCGTGCTGCCTCTGCTACTCCAGCATCCAAGGCCGATCTTAACCTCGAAATCCGCCGTAACATCTACGATGACAAAGGCAAGGAGATCACACCTGCTACTGAAGAGAAGGACAAGCAGACCAACGGGGACGGATCGTCCGCCAACGGCACAGCAGGCGATACCAAGACACTGGAAGGCGCTGCCCGAGACCCCAGAAGAAAATTCCACTGCTTCACTTGTGGCATCGACTGCACTCGGCTTCGATTCCACTATGCTAAGGCAACCCCAGCCAATGCAAACCCTAACGCCCCTGACACAAAATACGACCTTTGTCCCAACTGTTTCTTGCAAGGACGGATGCCTTCCAGTCACAGCGCTTCCGACTTTGTGAAGCTCGAAGACAACGCACACTCCCTCGTTCCCGATAAGGATGCCCCATGGTCTGATTCGGAGCTTGTGCTGCTCCTTGAAGGGTTGGAGAACTTTGATGACAACTGGGAACAGATTGCCAACCACGTTGGCACAAGGACAAGGGAAGAGTGTGTGATGAAGTTTTTGCAGCTTGAAATCGAAGACAAATACGTCGAAGATGTGCCAAACCTGCGCTCTGGAAGTGGAAAGGAGCCCATTAGCCAGTCTGAGAACCCCGTCTTGTCGGTGGTCGCATTCTTGGCACAAATGGCAGAGCCCGCTGTGGCCGCTGCTGCGGCCGGACGTTCCGTGGATGAGATCCGCAAGGAGCTGAGGAAACAGCTCGAAAAGGGCCCCGAAGGTGAAAACCCCCAGGACAAGGGCAAGGAGAAGGAAGGTGAGGTGAAGACAGAAGATTCCATGGATGTTGACCCTTCGCGGGAGGCTGGATCTACAGATGTCGTGGAGGCCGAGAAGCAGCCTAAGTCATCGCTCCCCACAGTCGCTCTCGCAGCCTCTGCTGCCCGCGCTGGCGCTCTTGCCTCGCATGAAGAACGCGAGATGACTCGTCTCGTCTCTTCTGCCGTCAACGTTACTCTCCAAAAGTTCGAGATCAAGTTGCAGCAGTTCAATGAGATGGAAGAGATCATTGAAGCCGAGCGTCGGGAACTCGAACAGGCCCGCCAGCAGCTTTTCCTTGACCGAGTGGCTCTGAAGAAGAGAGTTAAGGAGGTTCAGGATACTCTGCAAGCCGTCAGTCTCAAGGGCCCTGGTGAAGAAGCAAACAACATGCTCGCTGAGGCCTCATCGATTGGCATCGGTAACCGCTACAACTTCCAGCCTGCAGGCGGTGATCTGAGAGCTGGTGCTCAGCCCTGGAGTGCAGAGGCCGGTGCTGAGTTCAAGACGCTTGATTTGTAAGGATGATATAAACATAAGAATGACATGCGTGAAACGTTCTTCAACTTTTCAGACAGAAAAAGAAATATTCCCAAAAAATAAGCGATGGACAGAGACAGTGGGTGGGCCACTTTTCATAATATGATGTACTATACAATATCCAAGGCGAAGGAGGAGCCACGAGATGTCAGACGGCGCAAAGAATGCGGTCCTGATAGATGGGATGTTCGAGTGGGACGGATGGGATGGTTTTGTTATGATTCTTACTTTCTTTTTTCTTTTCAGATATCTAGCTAGGAAAAGGCGCAAATGTTTTTCTTTTTTGGAGTTTAGAGCTACGCGTCTGCAAATCGTTCCATTTTTTATACGTCCTTTTTGCCTTTGCCAAACATACGGGGATGAATGGAATAGGGAGCTCGGTTCTGTCAGATTTATTTTTGTTCAGTCGAGATGAAATGAAGCACTTGGCTAGGATTTTTGAGGTGCAGTAGTAATATTATGTGAAATTCTTGTATTATTTTGCCCATCAAGTCTAATGTGTAGTCTTCTATATAGTACCGTTGAGTCTCGCTCTCATGACATTATAACGAACAATTCAAAGTTCTTGTTCCATATCCATATCCAATGCAAATCTTAAATCCGAATAAAATGCAGCAAATTCATTAAAGCAACAGAAAGTCCGTTGGACTAATCGGCTGGACTCAATGGTCGAGAATATAGGGGTATGCCACTGTCTTCATCAGATGAGTAGGTTTTTACCAGCCGCTGGTCGGCAGGTACATTATCATCAGAGTCGTCGGACGTGTATTCTTCGTCTGAATTGGGTTTTATACTCTCTTGCTTGAATCTTGTAGGGCTTGTGTGTGGTTTCACATCATTATCACTGTCAGACTGGTACTCTGATTCTGATTCGTGGCCTGGCTGGCTTTGTTCGAAGCTTGTGTTTGGTTTGGCGTCATTTTCACTATCAAGATGGGAGTCTGACGCTGAATCTGCGTCCGATCCATGATCCTCCTCTTTTGATTCGGGGTTGGTTTGTTCTCGATCAGGGTTTAGGTGTAGTTTCAGGGAGTCTGAGTACGACTCTGCTTCTGAGCCACTCTCTTCTCTTTCAGGCTCTGGTTCCATGGCTTGCTGGTCGGAGATATGATCATATGCGGGATGTGGATTGTACCCAGACTCTCCATTCTCGTCCATATCAAAGGGTAAGTTTTCTGCTAGTTCTGAATCCCGGTTTTCTGTTGTTTCGTTTTCGGCAATTGGGCCGGAGCTGGGGTTTTCGTCCAAGTCCATTGCATCGGGCTGAGTGTTATCGTGGTCGCCATTTAGAAGAGTCATTTTGAAATCTTGTTGGCTACCTTGCTGACTTTGAGCAGGATCAGTACCGATGCGTTGACTGTTACAGAGCTCATCCATGGTGATTCCCCTCCAGGATTCAACTGATGCCAAAGAATCCAGGCTAGCAGATATAGGGTTGTCAACCCGTCGTCTTTTCCGGCGGTTTTCGGAAAGATCTTCATACAGATCAAATGTATCGCTCCCATATTCCTCCCAGTCGCTCCGGTACAATGTTCTGTCGCGCCAATCAACCAATTCTTGTTGAGTTTTCCGATCACCCACTGGCTTTCGTACTGTTTTGGAAACTTCTTCGTCCTTGACGAGTGATTCGAGCTGGGATGGCGCTCGCTGGCCAAGTAATTGCCAGAGTTGCAGCTCTTCAAGGCCGCTACTTTTCTGGTCCACATTCTCTGCATGCTCATCCTCTAGGTCCGATGGCTGTTCCTCTTCACCCGTTACTGGTTCAGCTGATGCCCGGGAGTTCGTATCAGAATGGCTATCATCGTTGTCGTCCATATCCTCATTGTCTGATCGCCGGTCACGGAATCGACTTCCCGATCTCACTTGCGAAACACTTCTCTCGGACATTACATCGATAGACATTTTTCCAGACAAAACATCCTCAACTTCGTCATGGTCCATACATACTGCGTTCCAACCCTTTTTGTGGCGAAGATCTGCGACTTCTAGGCTGCATCTCCGAGCCAGTCCAACCCAAAAGTCTGAAGAATCCCGCTTCATGTTAAGCACCTCGAGAGCTGTTTTGACATCGCGAGGCTTTACGACTTTGGCTTTAAGGTTGCCAGTATCTCTCATATTCCGTAGTCGTGACATGGCAAAGAAAATCGACGACTGGACCAAGCGTCGGGTGACGCTAATGGCCAGAGAATAGAAATCACCATATGCATCCGCCGTCATTGATGGTGTTTCGTCTGCAAAGGCAACATTGACCCAGTTATCTTCTAGCCTTGGACCACCGGCATTCATGAAGAACCTATGAGAAAGGTGAATCCATCTCTTCATGTTGAGTAAGCTGGCCGAGAGATACACGCTTGAGTTGGTGGGGACTTCGTTCCCTTGCCGCCGAACCTGCTCATCTATCTCTTCCGCTTTTTCGTGGTCGATGATCCACGCATCGTGATGTTTTTGTCTCCCAGCAACGTCTTCCGAATACTGTTCTTCGAGGGACAGAAACTCTGCATGGTTATCCAAAACTCTACAACATTTTTCACTTATTTCCGAGGTCGCTGGAATATCGCCTAGAATGACCGTCCGGCTATGGCGATCTCTGAGATGCTGTCTCTCCAGGCCCTTGTGCAGAAGCTTGAGGTGGTCCTGAACCTCCAGTTCCGATTTTGTGCCGATGGTCTTTGCGATTTCCTTGATGCCATTTTTACCCTTCCGATCCAAAATATTAAAGAGCACCTCCTTCTCTCTCGCAGTCCAAGTTACAATGCCATTCCGTGTGACATTGTAGCTCTCACCACTAGTATTCGTAGGGATCGGCGCAATATCACTGGCTGCATCTTCCAACACTTTAGAATATGCCTCCACCGATTCCTTTTTCATTGATCTGCGCAAGTCGTCGAACACCTCATCTCGTGTGCCACGGGAGCAGCGTGGGACCAATTCGGACTCATCCTGTTCAGCCGATGCCACAGAGGAAGATATTCGTAAACTCTGAATAGGTGGAGAGGACGGAGGAACTTTCGAAGCTGCGCGTTTATACTCGGTATCGGACTCAGATCTTTCTTCGTCTTCCTCTGGCTCGTAAAGGCTGGAACTGCTCATTGTCAGGTACACACCAAAGACATGGATGCTGGCCAGACGACGACAACATTACACCTGGTTCTGGCGCATCGACAAGCTCTGCAGCATCACTCAGGGTGATTGAGGTCCTGGAGGAAAATCCAAAGGTAAAAAGCTGGGTTGGCGGACGTTATCGGGAGAAAGATTTCTGATAAGGCAGAGATAGTGTTTGCCTTGTTTGTTTTGCTCTCCGCACCATTTCCCCGATAGAGAACTATCAACCACCATCCCATTTGCGCCATCATCAAGATTCGGCTTCATGGCATCTGAATGGAGCTCATCCGACGCAGACTGGGGAAACTCCCCGTTTCACGTCTTTTCGTGAGCGCGCGGAGGCCTTCATGGAGGCCTTTGCAGCACCGACCATGGCGGTTCAACTCCACATTCGCAACCCCTATACCAGCTCCGGAGGAAGCGATCACAAATGCGGTAGATTCACCTGGGATAGTTCTTAGGAACTATCAGGAGGAAAGCATTCAATCAGTGCTCCGCTATTTGGATCAGGGTCATAATCGCCTTGGAATCTCACTAGCAACAGGTGCTGGCAAAACGGTTCGTGAAGCCTGTTTGAATATTAACACAGCGGCTAATACTATACTTTCGATTTTACAGGTAATCTTTACACAGCTTATTAGTAGAATTCCCCAGCACCATGATAGGGGCGACAAGAGTCTCATCATTGTTCACCGACGGGAACTTGTTGAACAGGCTGCTCGACATTGCCAACTCGCGTATCCGGATAAAAGGGTTGAGATTGAAATGGGCAATAGTATGGCTTCTGGATCCGCGGATATAATTATCGCCTCAGTTCGGAGCTTAGCGTCGCGAGGTCGCTTTGAGAGGTTTGACCCAAGATCATTCAAACTTGTTCTGGTGGATGAAGCACATCATATTGTGGCGCGTTCCTACCGTGAAGTGTTGAAATATCTTGGTTTGAGCGAGCCATCCCAAGAGTCGCCCGTGCTAGTTGGTGTTTCTGCTACATTTTCACGGTTTGATGGTCTCAAGCTGGGTGCCGCCATAGACCATATTGTATACCATAAAGACTATGTGGATTTGATCGACGAGAATTGGCTCTCCAATGCTGTTTTCACAACTGTTCAATCTGAAGCAAACCTTTCAAAAGTCAAGAAGGATAGTTTTGGCGACTTTGCCACTGGCTCCCTATCTGAGGCTGTCAACACCGAAAGGTCAAACCGCATTACGGTTCAAGCATGGCTTGCCAATGCAAATGAGCGCAAATCCACTCTGGTATTTTGCGTAGATGTTGCGCATGCGAAGGAACTTACTGAAATGTTTCGCGCGCATGGCATAGATGCCCGCTACATCACAGGCGCGACATCGAAAGACTTACGTGCGAAACAGCTCGATGCGTTCAAGAATCAAGAATATCCAGTTCTTGTGAATTGCGCCCTTTTCACCGAGGGTACTGATATTCCCAACATCGACTGCGTCCTCCTTGCCAGACCTACCCGGTCGAGGAATCTACTGATCCAGATGATTGGGAGAGGACTTCGATTGTATCCAGGAAAGGAGAACTGCCATATAATTGACATGGTTGCCACGCTAGAAACAGGTGTTATTTCGACACCTACTCTATTTGGCCTGCATCCAGATGAGGTGCTCGATAAGTCGAATGTTGCAGAGCTCAAGGATCGGGAGAGCCGTGTTGAAAACGATAATGGAGACGCTGAGGCGCCTACAGATGGGCCAGAAAATGATACATTAGATGGTGATATCAAGTTAACATTCACCAAATATGACACTATCTACGACCTTATTGGAGATATGCGGTTCGATAGACACATTCGATCCCTCAGTTCTAATTCATGGGTTCGAGTTGGCGAGGACCGCTACCATCTTTCAGACAAATCAGGATGGTTAACTATTGAGAAATCAAAAGATACATTCGATGTACGACATGTCACTATGTTCAAAACACCTACCGATCACACGCAATATACTCGGCCGCGGCTTATCGCATCAGCCACAGATCTCGACACGGCTGTTCGAGCTGCTGACACTTTTGCAAGCAGCGAGTTTGAAGAGCATTATATCGCATCCTGGAAGGGCTGGAGGCGATACCCGGCTACGACGTCCCAGATACAGGTCTTAAACAAGGCAAAGGTCAGGAACGAAAAACTGGGGCCATCAGACCTAACCAGGGGACAAGCAGCAGATATGATCACGAAACTCAAGCATGGCGGGAAGAAGCGTTTCACGGCATCTGCTAGCGAGAGACAAGCATTACAGAAACGAGAGAAGAAGCGAGAGAAAGATGCTCGAGAACTTGAGAAGCTCAAGCAAAGAGAGGACGTGAAAGTTGGGCCTGTTGCAAATTAGGCTTCGGTCATTCTATTTTTAAGATCAATCACAAATCACAGTGCAACGGGTAATCACCTTCTGATCCTTCTGATCCTTCGTGGCTTCCTGGATCCTGTCTATACAAATCCAACAGCCAATCAAATCTTTCGGGGTGTTATTGCCCCGAGTCCACGTGACCTATTTCGAGTGTTCATCCCGACGGACCAGAGTCACACCGGCGCTAACCAAATCCGGATTATTACTGCGCTGTACAAGAATTGGACGAGGCGATGCATGAGAGTCGGATAGATTCATGGATGTGGTGTTGAGCACTATATATATGGCCACGGAAGTCATGGGCGTAAATGGAATCATCAAACATCAATCATTAAATCCTCAGTACAAAACATACCATAATCCATCTACACGCATACAATTCATCTCACCCATACCACTACAACATCTATAACCATGTCTGAAATCACAAAGACCATTGCCTTTTTTGGAGCAACAGGCGGCTGCACAAACGCTTGTCTCGCTCATCTCCTCAAATCCGACACCAATCTCCACGCCGTCGCCCTCGCTCGCACTCCCTCCAAACTCCTCACCCAACTCCACAACCAAGGAATCACCCAAGAAACACTCGACACCCGTCTCCGCATCATCCAAGGCGACGCCACAGACACGGAAGCCGTGAAATCAACCCTCGTACTCCAAGATACAACGACATCAGAGAAACGACAACTCAAACTCGTCAACACCATCATCGTGGGAATTGGAGGTACACCAACCCTGCAAAAGAAATCGCTCATTCCACGCTTCACACTCGACAATCCACACATCACGGAGGAATTCACACGAGCTCTCCTCCACGCCCTCAGTGAGGTGGTCCCATTCGCCCCCGAGAGGCCATTGCTAGGCGTTATCTCGACGACGGGTCTCACGGCCGGGACGAACGCGCCTAGGGACGTCCCCTGCGTTTTCAAGCCGATGTACAATACCCTCCTTGCTGTTCCGCATGAGGATAAAGAGAAAATGGAACGTATGCTGGACGAGGAATCCGCCGATGTGCTCAGGGGGCTTGTGATCGTCAGACCCAGTTTGTTGGTTGGCGATCAAGACATCACGACTGGCAAAGGGTGGAAGACGCTGAGGGTTGGTGTTGAAAAGGACCCGGCGGTTGGGTACACGATTTCTAGGGCTGATGTTGGAGAATGGATTTTTGAAGAGATCGTCAAGGGAGGCGGTGGGAAGTGGATTGGAGAGAAGGTGACTCTGACGAGCTGATGTATATACCCCTGTTGGTTAGTGATTTTGTTTATATTGGAAGCGAAGCGAATGTTAAGTGCAAATTATGTATTTCAACTCTATCGATTCGCGTACATGGCATTCTTTGGCCAAGAGATCTATATCCAGATCCAACAGAACAAACTGTATATACAGACAAATAAATCACGAGGGAGTCAAGTCAGTAAAACTACCCCCAAAAAAAGGAACTATGAATAGTGAGTTGTCCTCATGTAAAATGAAAAGGGGAAAGGAAAAGCAAAAGCAAGATGGCAAGGGGCGACGACGACAAAGTTCAAACCTGACCTGCCGCCCTTGTCACCGGGATGCATCACCGTTCGATGCTGAACGCTCAGAATCATCCGTTATTCCTGTACAAACCGACCCATCGGTATATGGGGAATGAACTCAAAACACCGCTCCAAGGTTAAAAAAAACTCCGGTATAAAATCACGGTCCAAGCTATGCTTAATCAGACCTGTAGAAAATGGAAAAATTAAAGACAAGAGAAATGGAAATGGGAAAAGTAAACAGTGAAAAAATGGCAGAAGGGGATGAAAAAAAAAAAATAGACTCGGAGATATCATGGCTTCTTCTTGACGTGGCTTCCTCCCGGTTGGGATATGCTGGGGGCTGCATCGTCTCCTTCTAGAATGCGCCATAGTCGCCGGACGGAGAAGCCGCTGCTGAAAAAGTAGAGGCCGACTAACCAGGCGGCGAGGATATTGGCGAGGTGATGAAGGAGATAGGCATATGAAACGCCATATACTGCCGAGTACGTGGCGATAGAGAATAATAATATGGACGTGACATGTTTTAACCTGTTTGGGTTAGATACAGCTATCAGGAATAGTAGTAGAGACATACCTAGTCGTTATCCGAGGGACCATGGTTCCACTGGTCATGGTTTCGACAAGGAGGATAAACGGCATTATAGATAAGACATTATGGTGCGAGGAGAACGGCATGAGCCAGTGGACGACGAGGTTATGGGCCCAGACGAGGAGAACGAGCACATTGATCGGCAGGATCCACAACATGAGGATGAGGATCGAATGAGCAAAGTTAGTAAAGTTGATATGCGTCATAGATCGCTACACGGTTTGTTAGCAACGCCATAAAGGATGAGAAAGGATACGCACAGTTTCTCTCGCATGCCATTGGGCCCGCACACATGTTGCCAGTTGGACGATGCAGGCCACCATGTAAGCAAACTGGTAAGGAATTGCAGTTGACACGAGAATTAGGAGAACAGCGGTGTTGATCATGCGCCGCCTAGGCGTGGGCGCGGAGAAAATAGGCAGGTTCCTGAAATCTAATTAGTCGCGACATTCCACGTTATAAAATCATCGACTTACCCTCTATCGTCACGTCTGATATAACCGGACTTGCTATGTAAAAGCCCATAGATGAATGAAAGAATGGACAAAAGAGTGAGAGCGAGGTAGTTGACGATAACGCAGACTCCAACACTGATCAGACCAAAAACAGGAACCAGGAACCAGAAGAACGCATCTTGAGCTCCCAGTAGCAAGTCGTTCTTGGTAAAATCAATCGGAGTCTCGGTCGAGTTCGTTCGCCAATGAAACGGGTCATCGCTCACAGGCAACGCTGTTGAAGTAGCTAGAGACGAGGCCAGAAGCGACATAGCAAGCAGCATGAGGGGTAGAGACGACCGCAATGCGCTGTCCAGGCCCTCGGAAAACGTGATAAAATACCCGGTTTCGTCGTACGCCTGGAATTGCTTGCGAAGAACAAGGGCAACGACCAGGAGCGGGAACGCCGCAAACACTGTCCTATACCGCATGACAAGCTCGCCCAGACTACTGGCAATGTCCACCTTGAGGGAAATGTCGACTGTGGAGCTATAGCTAGGGTCTGTCCACAGCTGAAAGGAAACACCGTTCAACGTTGCTTGTTCGCGGAGAGGCGGGGGCATGAAAGGCGCCAGTCCATGGAGGTTCACATTGACCTCGTCCACATTGACGAAGAATTTAGATTCGTGAGGGTCTGGGATAGATTGCCGCAATAACGGAGCAAACAATTCCTGGGTGGTGCTGTGGCCTTTTCTATTAATCTTGAGTTTGTATGCAAGCAAGCTGGAATGCAGAGCCGGGATCCTGACTTCTGTGAGCATAGGACGGTTGGCAGGAAGTCTCATATTCAGTCCAGCACTGAGCAGGCCACCCAAGCCCACGCGGGCTCTTATCACCGCGTCGGAACTATCCGAGAACTCCGCCACAACCCAACCGTGTGTAGGTGAGTTGGCCTTGTCAACGACAGCAACAAACTGGTGCTCTGCGAGATCCTCCAGGTCGTATTGAAGATACGAGAAAGGCTGGGCTCGGTCAAAGGCATACTTGGACGAGGCCGTCGAAGCCGGCAGGTGAATTCCATCCTCAGCAGCATTCTTACAGGCCAGGCGAGTCGATCCCGGAGCTCCCCCGGAAAGGTCCATATTCATCGAGAATACAGTTGAGAATTTTCCATTGTGGAGTGGGAACACACTGCAGAAGAGAACTTCGAGGTTGCCGCTCTCCCCAGTTTTGTCGAAAGATTGGTCTGAAAGAAGGGTGAATTTCTTCCCAGAAACCCCTTGTGGCGGAATGGGCAGCAGGTGTACGTCCGGACCTTGGCTGTAGCCCAGTTCACGGAGGATAAGTCTCTGGCCTTGCGAGAGGATTGTATTGGAGTTATCTTCAAGCGTCAAAAGAGTATTCGGTTCTAGGACAATGTCAGTCGATAACGCCAGTTGGTAATCCAGAGAAGATATAAGCCATACCTTTCTGCGAAAGTGTCCTCTCTGCCACAGGTTCAAGCCCGGTCAGGTACCATTTCTTAAAGATCCGCATCCTCTCCGCTCTAGGTTTCGTTTGGCTCGCTCGTCGGACGTCAACGACCTCGAACAGTGACTTGATGATTGCCTTTCGGAATTGATCACACCACGTGATGGACAAATGATCCATCCCAATCCAAACATCCGGTATAGTAGAAGTAAATACGGTGAAACCGTGCGTCTCGGGAACGAGCGAGGAGATACTGGCATAATCGGAGGGAACGACGGTATCCCGAGAGCCTCCGGCAATGGAAATGAGCGTCACATGCCATAGCGGGTTGTTGTTAGCCCACGTCTGCGAGTAGGCCTCACGCCAATAATCGTTGATCTGCTTATAGGTATGGACGACATCCGACTCGAACGATACGGGAGGTTTTGCATGAGGCGCCGACATGGTGACAATCGTGTTGACCGAGTTCGCTTGGTAATTCGCCATGGTGAGTGTGGTGCGCGCGACAATTCCTCCCATGGAGTGACCGATAAGTACGACCGAACTTGGGTCTGGCAATCCGGGGTCCCTTCTTGACCGTCGGGGGTCGTGATAAAGCGATAGGATGTAGGCCACGGCCTCATTCACGTATTCCGCCTGGTCGAGTAGTGTCTGTCCATGAAAGGCGGCCATATCCTCATTGAAATCGATCATGAAAAAGTCCAAGCTCCGGGTTCCGGCCCTCAGGCGCTCCTCGTCGTGACGAACAACATCGAAATAGTGTCTCGAAGCCTCGGCGGCCAGGGATCGAACTTGTCGGTAGCTACCTGCATTTCCGGGTAAAAACAAAACGGGGACGCCGTTCAACTAGAAACCATTAGCCCAAGCCAAAACAACAGTATGCATAAATCCTCACTCCGATATCTTCCTCGTTGTATGCATCGACACCTTGCTCCCGATAAAGATACAGATTATATTTGCTGGCAAAGCGCGTGTGTTCCGTGTCGAAGCCAACCATCCGGATAAACGTCGGACTCATGACGGGAATCCCACAACCATCCCCACCGACCTGACGGGCAGAAAACGAGCGAATTATAGAGAGGAGAAAGAACGAAGCGATTAAAGTCGTAAGAACCGTGAGGATAGAACACAGCCACGGACTGCGTAGGCGGGACTGTCGAAAGCGGCGGCCCTCGGGGGATCCCTCCATTGGCAGCCGCTGGGAGGCCAATGGCATCATGATGGCAGGCGGTTTCGGGTCGTGGGAGGAAAGCGGCGGCGACGGTTGGTGTAATTGTTGCTGCTGTAGTGAAGCGGTTGTTGCAGTAGTAGATGACGAGGGGATCCTCCACATGCTCGAATTCCTCGAACGGGGGGTGGACGAGCCGTTGTCTCGTCGGAGATCGAAGCTGGTACCTGTTCTTGCTACCTGCGCTCGCGATTTCTCAGGCGTCTCGAAGACATTGGGGGCATGGGTATCCTCAGCGACAGAGCGAGAAGCCAGCGAGTCTTCAGAGTCGTCCTCAACAGGCGAGCCAGACGAGCGTCTGTGCATTGGAGGAGGTGGAGATAGGAGAACTCATCCAGCGCGCGAGAACCGATCGACTAGCAGATAGCAGACGCCTGTGGGATGGGATTGGGGGGATCGCGACGGCGGTAAGGGGCGGGCGAGGAATGCCAGTCGTGAAAAAGCCACCGAGAGCGAAGCAGGAGGTGAGACCGGTCAGAGCGATGCAAGATGGACGGTGTGGCTGGTGGGACAGGCCGTTTCGGCTTTTTTTGCTGTCTTTTTTTGCTGGACGTTTTCTGACCCTGGACCGACGAAAGAGCGACAAACCGACCGGTGGGCGGAACGTGGGGGGTAGCACAAAGGACCAGGCGGGGAGGACGGAACAATTGTGAGGAGCGAAGAAGAAGAAAGAAAGAAAAGAGAGAAAAGAACGAGATGAGTGTGGATAAGGTGAGGTCGAACAGGCTGTTCGGTAGCCTTGCTGGAGACGTCGTGGAGAGATTCTGAAGGTTTGCTGCTTCAGGGACCGAGCCGGATCGGGATGGAGGGTCTTGGCGGATGCACTCGTCTATCTCAGTATCTAGAGATGCAGTGGAATATAAAAATTCAAGATTTATTACTATGAAGATGGTTGTCTGTTACTGTCCAACACGTCATGCTCTATCCTTGGACACCGGAACTGTCAACCGCTTCATCTACACCACTATCAATGCGATTATCCACCACGAGTATCTCCATACGACAGAGTAAGACGACCCCGTCCAGCATTGAATTTCGATCGTCTGAAGAACAGGATACAACCAGTAACACACTCTTCCCAGCATCAAAAAAGGCAATAATTTTCCCCTGTCATTTTAGGCCAGTAGCACGCAATCCTTAGCCAAAACTACTTATTACAGGCACATGTCGGTGTCAGCCAAGATCGGGGTCAGAACCATGAAAAATAAGCATAACTTATTGCTATTCCTGCTGACTATATGTTTGCTTTCTGCTTGTCATAGGCTATTATCGTTGCAGCCTGCATTAGAATATACTTATTCTCCTTGTGACATGTAATAGTGATGATGCGGGGTTGTCATACATGAATATATATAGCTAGTCAGATCTCCCCCCTCTTCTTTTAAGCACAGGTAAGTATTATTCTGTACTTTTATTATTATTTTGATAGAATGAAGAAACACTATTATGAATATCTATGATTGTTATTAAGCAGATTCTGACTGTCTTCTCTCTTGTTACCTGCCTGTTGATCAGCCATCTGATGATAGATACTAACCATATATTAGGCAGCGTTTCAGTTTGATGCTACAGACCGAAATGTGAGTGTATCAGTGAACAATTACAGTGACGCAAAATTCAGACAGATCTTCGAATATTTGACGTCTATGAAGCAGTTCAATAATACCCATGAAGCCGAGCTGATATTCCTTCCTTTCGAGCAGCCGTTGTATTCACTATTGGCAATGGATCGCTGATCTGTCGATCTGGATGAATTAGGTTTATTTTGCTAGTTACGGAGTATATATGTTGATCTTAATCATTCTGGGCTGAATTGTATGATTTTTCATATGTATGGCGAGTCAGCATCTAAGATTCGGAGCAGCCGCATGCGACCAAGCATTATCTATCTACCTGTGAAAGCAAACTGCCTGGAGACACAAGGTAAATAAGAAAGAGCAAAAAAATAAAACGCAAAAAAGAATCTCTCCCTCGGGGAATCGAACCCCGGTCTCCCGCGCTTATCAGGTTAATGACAAGCGGAAATCATGACCACTAGACCAAGGAAGATTCCAACTGAGTTATCTCAGTTGCTTGGCTGACAGTTTTCGTCAGAAAGTGCTTTATGAGAGAAACCAGCAAGATTATATTTGTAGAATTATCCAAAAAGTATCCAAGTCATCAAATATTCAATCCCAACCAAATCGTCAATATATCACATGAAATTCCATCATAACTGGTATATAGCAATATAACACCCAAAGTCGGAAATAAAACCACTAGTTCTCAAGGTGTAACCTGTGTGATGCATCCGCCTTTTCAGGGTCACCCTCAAAACTATCCTTCTTTTCCATCCCTCTGTGGGCTGTGACTTCTGCCATATCATCGTCGTGCTCCACGTCAAACTTGCGACCCAGATGTTCTGGCCCAAGAAGGGTGATCAGAATAGTATATCCAAACACGCACCCCATGAAGATGCAAATGACCTTGCCGTACTCGTAACGATGGGCTTTCTCTGCCGTCGGAGGGAGTGGGAAGCGCTCGCCGATGGTGGATTCGATGGTTGAGCTAGCTGACGAGACAAGGTTTCCGAGTTGGTATGCGGTACCGACGACAAAGGTTCGAATCGAGCCTGGAGACAGTTCCATCAAGTGAATTGGGATCACACCCCATGCGCCTTGTACGCAGAATTGCTCAAAGAAAGCTGCGGCCATGATGGAATGATTCGAAACAAAAGTGTATGGATATAGAAGTGCACCGCCGACAATGCTGATGGTGATGATGGAAAATCGTCGACCGAAGATCTGACTAGCCCAGCCACAGAGTGTACCGCCAGTCAGCGCTCCAAGATTGGCAACAACCTGAGTAACGGTGACAGCGTTGGCTGAGAATTCGAACTGGCTTTCCAGCATCGTAGGATAAAGATCTTGAGAGCCATGAGACTAGAAAGGTTAGCAGATGATTTCTTCGATGATTGGAATGCTTACCATGAAGTTGAAGCCAGCCATCAGCAGAACCATATAAATCAGCAACAACCAGTGACGCTTCAAGGCCACCTTGCCCTCGGAGAGGAAAGTCGAACTGACATTTCCCCGAACCTCTTCCCGAGTAGCCTGTCGCTGCCGGAAGGCCTCTGTCTCTGGGAGACACAAACGGAAGAGAATGATGAGCACCGGAGGACAAGCACCAAACCAGTACAGCGGCCTCCACCCGTGCGAGGTGGTGTCAACTAGACCGCGCGCAAAGGCCGTTGCAAGCAGGTACCCAAAAGCATATCCTTGTTGGAGAAGTCCAGATACAATACCACGCGCTTCCATAGGACAGTCCTCGAGTGCCGTCGCCGCAGCATTACCGTAGAGACCACCCATGGCGATTCCAAATAGAGCTCGACAAGCCAGAAACTGTTTGTAAGTCTGAGAGAAACCGGCACCAAGTTCCAACACGATAAACAGCAAGTTATTGACGATGAATGGCCATTTACGACCCCAACGGTCCGAAGCGATACCAAAGCTAATGGCGCCAACGGATCGGAGCATAAGCACAAGAGTAATACCCCAGGTAATATCGGTGACGGATTTATCGAACTGTTTGGCCAACTGGGAAGTCGTCAACGAGACAGTGAAGAAGTCAAAGGCATCCCACGTCCAGCCAGCGAATGCGACCTAGAGAGTCAGCTGTGGTCCTGCTGGGAGGTTATTGGATGACGCACGAAGAAAAAGAGCCATTGTTGCTTGTTGAGAAGAGTCAGGGCCTTGAATGGATTGGGGGCCGGGTTCATCGGCGGCACCAGAGTTGGCAAGCGGGTGAGAATGTATCGACCAATTCCCATGTGTTCGTCTTGGTCGGGCACGGGAGCCTCGGGCAGAGGCATATCGCGAGATTCCGCCATGTTGGAGGAATATAGTGTCACGGTTGACTATATCATGAATAGGAAGAGTTGGAGTCAGAAAAGAAGAGAGAGACGAAGAGGGAGATGGGGGATGAGAGGGGGGAGAAAAAGAAAAACCGGGGGAAGCGAGGGTCAAATACCTTTGGACCGAAAGGGTTGACGGAGAGCGAGTCATCAAAAACAACCCCGCCCGAGAGGCGAGTGAGCGAGCATGGATGGAGACATTGCGATCCAAGCTGACGGGTCAATTGGAAAGAAAGAGAGGAAGACTGAGAGGGAGAAGCTATTGCCAATCTATGGCGGATGCCGATCCTTTACGTCTGGGGAGGAGAGAGCGCGAACAACCATGGATGGAGGAAGGGATGAAAGCGAGTCTGACAGGTCAAATCAATGGATCAACGAGAGTGCCACGAGCGTCCATGTGTCTGGTGATACTGCAGCGACGAACAGACACTGCTTGGATGATAATTGTTTGCCAAGCTTTACTCCAGACTCACGGGGACCAAGAATCCCCACCGATTTGTGATTCTTGCGGTAACTCCGAGGACACTCATCTTTCTGTCTCTTTCTTTCCTGCTTATTCTTTTTAATTCCCCGGAGAATGTCATCCAAGCCAATCTCATTTGACCCACTAGTCACACTGCCTGCCCTTTCTATTGGACAACGCGGTCTGACCACCACCACAGCGGACCAATCCGGATAGCCTCGTATAATACACCTAGCCTCATCTCGTGACTCGACCAGGATGGATATAACCTTAGGCATTCGGACATTTGCCGTCGATATGCAGTAACTTCATGGCTGCGCTCCACAAATTCTCTGGGAATATGAGGTATTAATGCTGCTCCCTGTTTTCCCCGGAATCGGCATCAGAGCGGATCTTTGCGGGGATGGGGGAATGTGGGAATGTGGGGTTAGAGAGCCTCGTATCCAGATGGCTTTGTCAAGCACTCTTGGACTCTTGGTCCCGCGTCTTGGAACGCTTGATTTGACTTTCTCATAAAGGATATTATTTCAGTGCACCTATCATTCAATCATATACAGCCAATCATAGTCTTCCTACTTTGACCTCTTATCCGCCCCTTTGCACTGACGGAACCACCTCCCAGGATCAACACCAGGCGCTGCCACCTTCTTCTCTCTATCTTTCCCTGTATCTTCTCCCCCAGATGACGGTTCTCCTTCCCAACTCTCTTGGCCTTATCCTTCCCCCGAGTACCACTCGAAAGACTTTTCTTCGTCTGGCTCGCCACAGCCAGCCCCGGTTTCTTCCTCGAGACAGACGGCTTCTCGGCCTTTCTCCGATATTATCGTATCCTTTGTGGAACGGAGTCATGTCTTTATCGCGGACTGTGGGCTGTGGAGCCTTTTCGCTTGACTGGGCTTTGGAGATTATCCACGCGCCCTTGGTTTCGTCGTAGACGGGAATGTCCGGTCTGAAGGGCATCGGACGTTCTTTCTCGGGGGCTTTTGTGGTTCGGATGGCCATTTAATTAGATGTTTTTGGTTGATTGAAGAATATTATATTGGTTGTAAAGACTGATGGATGATAGATGATAGAGTGGAGTGATGAAGATGAGATGAAGCAAAACGAATAGAAGTGGGAGGTGTCGATGAGAAGAGATGGCTGCCTATACAAGTCGATGGATGAAGCAATACTTCCATCAGAGCACAATAATGGACTATCAAATCAAGGCAAGTGCAACCTATACCAATACTGCTCAACACTACGTATGGACTTTCGATAAATCAAATATTGCATTGCTAACTCAGTTGATTGCAGATAAACAAAGATCTCGTCTATTCGATCGAGTCCAGGGCTAATTCGATCAGTACAAGGACATATATCCATACAACCAGGGAAACATACCGTGGATTTCATCAGACCATCTGCTTCTCAGAAACAAAAGACATTTTCTCTCAATGATGTTCATCGTGACCCTTCTTTCCATCATGCCCCTTGTGCTCATCTTTGTGCTCATCTTTGTGCCCATCCTTGTGTCCATCCTTCTCTCCATCGTGACCATGAACGTCTTCATGCTTCCCTTTATGGCCTGGAACCTTGTCTCCCTTTCCAAAGATGTCTTCGTGCTTCACCTCAGGGACGACATGATCCCTGAGATTAATGTCATTCTTACTGGCGACGTCCTTGATATCTGTTAAATGTCAGTCAGTTATATTCATGTCTAGATGTGGTGTTGAAAACACGAACCAGCATCAACATCGACGGGAATAGCCGAGACCAGTCCGGTGGCCAAAAAGGCAGAGAGGATGGTAGCGAGCTTCATGATGATTGTGGTCGTGGAGGGAATTGATTGGATTGGATTGTATGGAATTGTATTGCTGTGTCTGATTGAGAGTGATTGAGGAGGGATAGCTTCCATCTCTTTATAGGATTCTATCTACCGCATTCAGTTATTGTATACAAAGTTATGGCAGCATGGATGGCGTGCTGTGTCGTCAACATGCCTATGATCACCAATTTCGTATACATCATCGGTATGCGTCAACTGCCAGAGGAATGGATTGTCGATCAGGCGATCTACGTCAGCCCCGGACATGTGGAATGCCTGTGCCACATTCCATATGACACGTCAAAACGAATGCATCGAGATTGGTTTGTTTCAAGATAGCTATTGCCAGCCTTATCAGGTACATGGATGGAAAATAAATTAGGTGTCGCTAATAAAGTCAATTGATGGATTACTTCTTACTACACCATCTTTCTCTATGTTCTGTTCGATTCCACCATATTTACCATCGTGCTACAATATGTCTTGATTCATTCGGAAGAAGATAAACCTGGTATACCTCCCTTGAATGTAATTCCTCTTCGGCTCAGCCTCGATGCAACGTTTTGGGATACGTCATTCGGTCACATGTTGGATTTTCATACTTTGGCAGCTTAGCATTCTAATCGAGTACCCTTCCAAGGGATCAACCGTAGCCTCAAAAATTGATAATCTGTGCTGTAATCGTACACGTACCCGCTGGATGAATCTTGTGATGTATCGTAGAAAATGGCCAGGAAGGCGCTTTCCAGATCGGGAGCATTACTAACACTGGCAGGTACGATGAAGCTGTCGTGTTCCCACGAAATGGAGTCTCGACACTCACAACTTTCTCAACCATTCACAACTCCCTCGACCATTCGCAATCCATCACCAGCCATCATCATCAGTGATCATATCACTGTCTTCAGTTATATCTATCACTATGACTGATTCTACGTTGCTGCCTGGCTATATTCACTTCATTCTGGCTTATATATACCCGTTTCACGTTGGCTCTCCTCTTTTCTCTCACCAACCTCTCAAGAACAACTCGCATTGATGCAGTGAGCATCATTCCATCATTGTCTCATTACATACTTCATGCATGGCAACGGATGACCTTGCCATTTTACCTTTCGTTCCATGACTACAAGTCACATCGATTGATGGTTTCTTTTACTGTCGTTTCTCTGTTGCAGTTGCAAAGGAAACCCTTCCTTTGATCACTTCGACACCTTCGAAGGTTTACTCTTCTATTTTTTCCTTCCTCCATGGATGTGTGAGTACCATTGTTCGAGTGCTGTACGAGCTTCATGCTAACATGTTTATGGCAGATCAAGCAGAAGAAACTCCTCCCCCATTCGCCGCAACCCTCACCCAAGGTAGGGAAAATCCCTAGAAGATAATGGTATAATATAACTAAGTTCTATAGCTCTTCCGTGGAGAGAAACGTCGTATCCATCATCAAAAAGCCTGTGACGCCGCGGCGAAAAGGTACCTAGTATCATTCATATCATACTTCCTATACTAATAATGAATATAGGCACAACTCGAATACCATAACCAGCTGGTGGAGCCTGGTACACTCCTCCCTACTGAGGAGATGGAGGCCCCAAGCCCCAAAAGTTCCACACAGAATTAAACGCCATTGATTTTCAGGTATTTGCACATGCTGATGTTTCTACGCAACTGCCAACAGTTCTTTTGGGAAAATAGTACGAAAAGCTGGTCCACGGAAGCTATAGCCGGAACCTCTCAATTCCAGGTCCCGATGACATTTATGAGGACATCGCGGCCGAACGGCTTGAGGATCCTCAGTTGGTTATCCATAACCCAAACCCAGCCACCAGCAATGATACTGTTTTTGCAGAGATGCTGTCAAAACCTACCAACCAACTGATCGAATGGGCCGTGACACATGACGCCACATAAATGGTTAACAAGGACAAGCCAATGACTTGGTTATTGGTCCCTTCTCCGCAAGGTACTGGGAAACACCCTTTGGAACTGTTCTTGTCTGGCATCTCGACAGAGGCGCAAAAGCTCTTTCGCAAGGAAAAATGGTCCGAAAAGGATTTTACCTTGCTTCCTAAAGCTGCTGATGATGATCAGCAGGGGATTTATTACAATTTTGCAACTGGTGTCGATGAAAGTTGCGATGCCTATGTAGGCTCGGCTTACAGGGCTTACAGCTTGACAAAACGCATCGCATGCCATCTTCAGATTGCCAAGGCAAAAGTGTTGCCGAAAGAAGATGAAAGGATTTTCCATTAGGTACCGACGAATTCGTTCTTCTGGAGTGACCTCCGATTTTCGAAAGCTAGCAGCTTTCCATCCTCAAATTGAGAAAGGATATCTGTTATTGCTTGAAGGTATCTTTATGATACTTCTCGAATCGTATAAATATCCTGGCTATGCGTCAGAATATGCGACTGGGCCATCATATGAGATGACAGAGTCGATGAGAGATTCTTCCGATTAACGCGATGGAAGGGAATGAATGCAGCGTGATGGGGTTCGACATAGCTTCGAACATAGTATCGGTTTGTGTTAACAAAGCATGTAATAGCATGACTTATCCTGCGCATCAACTACCAGACGGTGAACCAATCTATGCTAGAAAGACTGATGACCCTCAAAATCAGTTCGGTGGATACCTCTGCGGGATCTGTTGGAGAACAATATCGTTGCAGAGTTTTGCAAGGCGATTGGCAATGAGGAATGAGGCGGCTGGTGTACGTTGTGGTATATGTTGATCTTGTCTACGATTCTTGCTTCGAAAATTGATTCCTGTTCCTTTTGTATTATATTGAAGCAATGTATATCCACGGTATCGATTCAACCAGAATCTTCGCGTGTAATTATGGATGTCTAGTCGTGACTCTTGTAATATTCCAGCACTTTCCATTTCAACTTCTCGCTTCCATAGAATCATGAGGTGCCCAGTAGTCAAGCGTATTAATTGACAGCATGTTGCGAGAAAAACTCTTGGAGGTACGTTTGACCAGCCCAGTAATCAGTATCATCCATAACTTTATTTCCGATACGGCAAATGTCAGACGAGTACATTTGCTAAGTATCTAAATAGGCATTCATCACTCATATTTGTTCAACTTAAGGAATGTTGGCCATTCCGAGCCAGAAGTAATCGATTTCATCGTGTTAAATCAAAAGTCACAATGTCGGTTCTTAATAATTCCGTAAATAGATGCGTGGGATCGAAGAACGAGTTTCTCAATCTCTAAGTCTCCCCTTATGTCCTCTTGAAACGATACATGATAATACAGCAAAACCAGTCCTATAAAGGGATTATATCACAATATATCATGAATGCAGTGCCATTCGACAAAGCCAACCTCAAAGCCTCTCGGGACCGCTCAAACATCCCCGATGAAGGGAATATCGGTCCAATTGCCATGAGAAATATGGATGCCAACCTTGGTGGCCATCAAAGCAACTGCGATTCCATACGAAACGTACTTGGCAATCTTAGCCACAAGTTCGACTTCTGGCTGTGTATCTAGAATAGTTGTCAGTCCTGCGAATGTGCAAATATACTAAAGAGAGAACATGCCTTTGATGAACCGCTCAAGCGCTCCGCTCCAGGAACCAAGGAGGAGAAATGTATGAGTCGCAATGTCGAGTCCACTGTCAGCATCATCCTTCCCTTTCCAATTCGGTGTCTTGATTTCCAAGACACTCGTTGCGACGGAAAGACAATAGACAATGGCTTGAAGGATTGCGTCTATCACAGCACGAACCCTGTCTACCACCAGCTTCGACAGCGCTGTCACCAAATGCAGTATGATGTTAAATACCGAGTTGAACAGTGAAACCAACCAGCCGATCATCTGCAACGTATACCCTGGATTTTCCTTATTCTTGGGAATGCTGTGCAAGGTATAAATCAAAACAGCAGCATCCAGCATGTGCTCAGTAGTCACTTTTCCTCCACCACTGGAGAAGTCGACAAGAACCACCAGAGATGCGGTCGGTGAAGGCCGTTCGACCAGCAGCTCCTCATACAAGTCGGATCCAGGCTCAAAGGCAAATGGCGAAATGGACTCTGGGATACTGAGAACAAGGGAGATTCCAAATGTGGCTACTCCTGTGATGGCAGCAAATTTGTTGAAATCTGCATCTTTCGCAGATTGACCGTCTGCCATTTTCTTAATCATGGCAGCAAACCGACCCCTTGGAATGGCCGGTAGCTTATTACCAGTTACCAGCTTTGCGATGACCGTTGCGGGTATAGCGATAATCAACGCCAAAGCATCGAGAAGGGTCAGCTCATTTCCAGGCGAGATCCACGTTTTGTAGATGGAGGAGAAGATGGGGACGTTGATGGGAGTGGTGAGGAGCCCGTTGAACTTGTTGATGATGGTTTTGATGATATTCAGAAGCAGCTCGGTCAGCTTTTCCACTCCGTCGATGCAGTCGGTTAGAAACGTCTTCTCGGTCTGCTCGTGGGCATATTTGGCATCGAGTGAGCGTTTCCCCTGGGGTTGATATTCCTCTACCAGCTTCTTTTGGCGTGCCGTGACTTTTCCATGGTATTTGTCCTCGAAGTTTTTGAATTCCTGGTCCAAATCTCCAATTGCCTTGCTTTCCTCTGGAGTTGTCATATCGGAACTGAACATCTGCAGGAACGTGGATGCGTCTCGAGCGCCTCCATGATTGAACTTGGTCATGTCAGCATCGATGAATTCTCCAGAGATGCTGCTGCTTACCTGGTACTGTGCCCAATTTGAAGCCATGGAATTCTGAGTCTTGCTCTTAGACTGATCCGTTGACCCTGTTTTATCGTCTGCCTTGATACCAAGCTTTTCCATGTCGTGGTCGCTGGGTCGACTGTCTGAGACTGACTTCTTCATGGATTCAAAGAAATGCTTGGATTTGCCCTTCAAGGAGTCTGTCAGAATGGGCCCCTCTTCCAAGGCATCCTTGACAATGTTCACGATAGAGTCTTTTGTGCCGGTGATGTCCTTCCAGTTGAAGATGAATCCTAACCAATCGATGATCTTTTTCCCAATGTCAAGAATTTTGTTGAGAATGACAGACAAGACCTTTCCCACTTGATCAACAGTTTTCATGACCCATTGATAAATTGTCTCTCCTATCTGGACCAGGACTTTGGCTCCATTCACGATGAATGAAATGATCTTGTCACCCTGTTTTTCCAACCAGTGCCAGGCCCCCTAAACCAGATCTGTTAGTGAGTCACATCAATATCAAGGAGAGACTACTTTCCCAAAACATGTCCTTGACCCCGCTCCCAGCTCCCTGGATTATATGCTCGGCATTAAATCCATAGCAGGATTCGAGTGCCATTGAAGACGGTGTCTTTCCTTGGGCAATTGAATCTCTCGTTTTCATGGCTTGATGGATATTTCCTGCCACTTGTTCGATCTGCTCTGGGGTCAGCTTGGTGCCATCGAGTAGCTTTCCTTTGCCGGGGCCTAAATCGATGTTCAAATCCTCTTTGTGTTGAATTTTCGACAGTTTCTGGTTGATCTTGTGGGCTGGATCAACAAACTTTTGCGTTGATTGTGTAGAAGCCTTTGAAGCATCTGTGACGGTAAACGTGTGTGTTGAAATGTCATCTGTTGGCACAGTGAGAGTGAGAAGCCCAGTTTGGTCTGTCCTGACTGAGATTCCTTTTCTGGTGGCGAGAACACTGCGTCCATTAACAATCACACTCGTGTCCCCAGACGCTTGCAGGATCACCGGATGGTTGATCAAAGGACCACCAGAGGCGTTGAGCGGTTTTATCTGGGTCATGTAGGACTGCATCTGAATCGTCTTATCCAAAGATGGCTGGATAAGGGGAATTGTTTTCCACACTCCTGATTTAGCGTCCTGCTCCAACATGGACAGATTGCCAACATTGTTAGCAAAGACAAAAGCCTCACACGAGGACGATGTTGCCTTGAAAGGAGCAAAGTAACCTCCTTGTTGATCCGGGACCACCTGCACCGGGGGATCAGGCGATTGGAAGTCGAGATCGGTCATGAGATATCCAATGCCATTGTCCGTGTTGGCCGCCCACAATGAAGCTTTCGAATTCGACCTTGTGACTTGGATCTCCTTGACTGAAGAGAATACTCCGGTATCTGCGATTTTATCACATGAAGGGTGAGCCAGTCCCTTTGCTTTGAACCGATAAAGGCCAGAACCTCCAACGAGGAGATCGGTGAAGCCATCGGCGTTTGGTAGAGCTGCCAGAGCTCGCGGATCTAGGTAGTGTCAGGAATCAGGTTATACGGGATTTATAAATCTCATACCGGATGGAGTTGTGTCTGCCGATGTCAGTATGCATTGATAAACCTTCCAGAAGACTCACCAGAAGCTTGCTTGAGAGGCACTTGAAGCTCGTGAGGGACATTGATCGAGTAAAAGGTAATAGCTTTTTTGCCTGCAGACACTGATTAACAGGATTCTACAATGAATGCTGCTCTATTGGGGAATAATACCTTGAATCAAATACAAAACGGCATGCCCCGGGATTGTCTTGGAGCCATACTTCATCACCAACGGCTGCACGGCGATGATCTTCTCCGCATTTTCCGGAAGCTTCACATTGTCCTTTTTCGTCCACGAATAACTGTCCTCCGACCTGGTTACAGCCGCAGAGGCAAGGTCTTGCGAGTGGTAATTCTCTTCCTTGAAAGCGAAAACAACAGGGGGATAGTTTTTGCCAACGGCAGGGGCCTGAAGGTCAGCATTGGCATAAGATACATAGAACAAGACATACCATGAAAATCTCAAACACCCTGGGGTTATCCCCTCCACTCCCAGCCATGATGAACGGCTTGAGGTTGAACGACGAGGACGAGAGGTCCACCTCACGAGGTTCAAAGGGCCGAAGCAAGTATAGTAGACTTCGAGAGGCATTTGAGCCCGCAATAGCCACTGCGACATATAACTTGGATTCTGCGTCCTGGACCACATCGAACGCATGGCCGGTGTAGGAAGATGCAAAGCCCAGCATCAGGCCCAGATCACGCACGACTCGGTTTCCAGACTGGTCGAGGGAGGAGACGTATAGTTTGGAGTCGGTTCCCAGGGAGAAGAGCATCAATTGGCCGTTTTTATCGTGGACAGCCACGAAGCGACGGGCGTTTGGGACAGACACAGCGGCGACATACTGGGTCATTAATTCGGAGTCATGCTGGATGGTTTCCATGGTTGGTGGCGTTTGAATGTTTATAGAGGGCAGTAATGGTTGTGACAGATGGATGAATGGATATTGGTTCAGAATTGCTGGCAATGGCACTTTATGTCTGCAAGTCTACCTATTCTTTGTGAATGTTAATGCTAATAATGTTTAAAGTACTTTTGCATCCGACTTACAGCTGTCAACCTGAGTAGAAGCTGCACTCGATGCAGATCTACATGAGGGGATTCAACACAGACCAATGATATTGCTTATGGTATATCGATCCCTCCATAATCTGACTTTAAAGACTCGGTATTAGGGTTCGGTGGCTGGCTGAGGATGAGGCGCACATGCTACCTATTTCAGCCGACTGCACATCTCATGCACGATGAAGTAAATCGGGAAATGATATGCCACGAGCTCACGAACATACGCGGAGAACACGAACTGATCAAGTCTCAATTTGGTTACAATAGTGGGCGCTCAAATAATGTCTCATACTTCTTGTATACGATCTTACATCACTGGCTCACTATCAGCTGAAGCATCCCTGCTTCGGGCAATGGATTCAGCTGGCATGTGTTGATGATCATGGTAATCATGTTCAGCTGAAGAAATACTTATCCTGGTGGCAAGAGGTTTGTATACTGCTACACATGGTAGACAGTATGAGGGATTTAGAGACTTGTCTTTGACGCTGTGCCTTATGATGAGGTAATAGTAAGTACGATCAATGCATATAAGACCTGCACATTCCTTCCTTCTCAACCATCAACAACCTTCAATTCACTCTTCATAATATCTACACAGAACAAACATGTCATCGGAAAAAGACAAACGTCTCCAGTCGTCTCTCAAGACCGCGACTGGGGCTTTCGACCAAGCCGTGGCAGTGTCCCAAGACGCGCTCAACGATGGCCTGTACTACCTCTTCGACAAATACGAGGACTTGCAGAAGATGAGGGTCAACTCGAAAAAGTTTGGCCGGATCGATGCGACGATGGACCATTCCGAGGTGTCTCTGCCGGTCAAGTCGTCCAACTATCGGACGCTCGTTTTTTACTGCATGTTTCAAACGGGGAAGCTTGTTCTCACGGATGACGATGGGTATGAATAGACGCAATTCTGAGTGTGATGATACTGACGATGAGTGCAGAAATGACAAAAAGCCAATCGATCTGGCAGAGTGGCGGTTTGCATTCGAGGTGGACTACACCACCCTCGATGTGCCAACGAATACCGCCGAGCACCAGGAGGCGAAGAAACAGCTGAACCAGCCTGGTGACTACTCCATCAAGAGACTCTTTCTGGACTTTAAGAGTGAGTCAGACCATGGATGAAACTGCCCATTCGTAGCACACTGACACTTCCTAGCCCATAAGATCAGAAAGTTCAACCAGGACCTGAGCTACTTCAAGAACCACAAATGGGACAATGAAGACTTGCAAAGCTTCCTCTCCTTGATAACTTTCTGGGGCGATCCTGAACACGGCGTTATGAAGGACAAGCAAAAGTCGACACTGGGATACTTTTTGACGACTGCGAAGCCAGAAACCGTCAATCCGCCCGCACCGACATTCCCACCCACCTCGATGAAGCACCAGCACTACAAATACATCGCACCCGGGAAGCAAACACCAGATGAAGGACTGAAAAACGGCAAGAACAATATGCTTTTGTACCTGGAGATGACCCAGAACCGATCGTTCCCCAGCGAAGACATCCTGGAGTATTCGGGCAATTTCGTGACTCCAGGCATGAAAGGAACAACGTGCATCTCGCGGGACATCTTTTGGGATGCGTATCTTCTCCGGAGTCCGTCTCTCAGTGGCCCCTATGGATCACAGCCTCCTCTTCTGCGAGAGTTCAATCGACATGTCTATGCCTGGCTTGGGGAATTCCACGTCTGGGCCAAGAACTATTCCACCGATTTTTCATGGAGCTATGGATTTGGACACACCCGGTGGGAGCCATCTCGAAGCCCGGACTACTTTGCATGGAAGAAGGTCTCTGCAAGTAAATGGCAGTGGAAGAATCATGATCACAAGAAGGGGCATGATGAAGGAATATGGCCCGTCCGTTTGGACGCAAAAGCGAGCAGTGAGCAGTGTGGCATTCCTTGATGACCTTTCTAACGAGATCTTCAGGCGATACGTTGAATGAATTGTGGTTCGATCCAGGGAGTAACAAGATACATCTCAAAGGCTGCTCGAAAATCTGGGCGGAAATGAAAAGGAGCGGTTTCAAGAACATCGAAGAAAAGTGAGTGCTCTGAGATATATAACCTATCCGCAACTTATATTGATATCATGACAGAGGCGGCGTTGCCATCAACTGGGCGCTGGATATCACGATCGACTCAGTCAGCGAAGGAGGGCTGAAACTGAACATGAATCTTCCAGCCAACCCCAAAGACATTTTCCACACCTCTGCACTGAAAGAGCCATTTGCTTTCGCAGAGACGCAGGATGAGGAACCCGCTAAGAACGAACCGGCTGAGAATGAACTCGCTGAGAGTGAACTCGCTGAGAACGAACCGGCTGAGAACGAACCGGTTGAGAACGAATTCGCTGAGACCACCCCGAAAACAGGAAAAACTGGTAAGATCAGTGTCCATGACATGACAGAGGCAGCGAATGATGCAGCTTCAAAGCTGGATTTTAAAAGTGTGACGACCAATCTACAGACGGCGTTGGAGAATTCAGCGCGTTTTGTTCTTCCTGGAGGCCGGCAGTTCTTCTACAACAACGCCGTCTTTGGCAATAATGGAGATCTGTTGGTGGAGGCCAAGTACAAGTCTTGATCTGTTATGTGTATTCCATTCATGTATTTATGAAGAGTAGAGTGTCAAGCCAAGTATACATCACAGCTCGATCCTCTCGCATTCATCCACAGATCCCAGCCCGAAACTCTTCCTTCCACCCTGCCAACTCAACTCGATCATCTGCTTTGCAAAGCTTCGTAGATCATCTTCATATTCTCGAATAACCTTCGCATCCAACATTTCACCAGCAGCAGCAAGTCTTCGTGCTAGATCCGCCGCATCTCTTAAGGCCGTGTTGGCACCCATTCCAGCAGTCGGAGGCATGGCATGAATTGCATCCCCAAGCAGCGTTACTCGTGAGGATTCCCAAATAGGCAAATCTGGCGGTGCTGACGAGATACGCAGAGTCGAAGTTTGTGCTCTATCCTGCTGTTCAAAGAGTACTCGCAGTGCAGGAGTCCAGTGTTGCGTCAGACGGACTGCCAAATCAGCCGATTCATCGTTCTTCAGACGGAGCAGTTCATCATCTGGAATAGACATTGCCGAGGTATGCGCTAGAAGAACCCAGTAGACATAGTTCTCAGGCAATGCAAACGGCAGCTGATGGCTCCTATCAAAACGAATCGGCTCTAACAAGAGTGTCTTGCGAGCATCACTCTCATCAACAACGAGAGACATCCCCCTCAGACAATCTGCCGGTAAAGCCGCTTCCAAATCTGCTCTCAACGGCGTCTTCCCATATACTATCCTCATCCCTGTGTCGAGAATATAAAACTGCTCGATAAGCTGTTTTCGCACTCGCGATCGCACACCATCAGCACCAACCAGCAGGCCTCCATCAATGATGCTCCCATCTTGAAAATGCGCCCTAACTCCATCCTCACGAAGCGAATACCGCTCAAACTGCATCCCAAATGAAACAAACTCTTCAATACCCGTCATCAACACCCGTCGAAACGTGCCGCGGTCAACGGTAAACGCTTTCCCAATCCCCGGCGGAGGACCACCTGGTCCACTGAGCGTGTTGCCATTCGCGTCAAGGCGCGCTCCTCCGCCAATTACCATCTCGGGACATGTTTTTTCAAAGAGAGATAGTATTTTTGGGGATAGAGAGGATTCAAGCGCGTCGTAGCCATGCTGCGTGATGCGGATGCGGTAGCCTTGCGCGCGGAAATCGGTTGCTTCGTCTTTTTCAAACACACGAAAGGGAATGTTGTGTTTTTTGAGGGCTTGGGCGAGGCAGAGACCGCCTAGGCCTGCGCCTACGATGAGGACTGGAGACATGATGATACTAATGATTGATGATGAAGATGAAGATGAAGATGAAGATGTGAGATTGGGTGAGTTATATAGCTAGTCGGGGTTGGTAACCCCCGAGGCCGATTTGGCCCCGAACGGACTTTTGTAAACTCCAGATAGCAATGATCTAACGAGATGATGACAGATTGCTGGTCTATAAACAATAGCAGCAAGACGATCGCATGCACGGTGACTCACAAATGCCATTTGACAGACACGCTCATCAGGCTTTAATGGCTGCGAAGTATCCCTCTGAACGGTTGAGACAGAGCCGTCGATGACATTGGCTTTCTGATATTCCGCTGGAGCAAGGTGATTGTCAAGCATCAAATGGTGAGCGACAAGTCGTCTCCATTCGTCACCAGCAGGCTTCCAAAGGGCCAAGTTGGTGAGATCTACATCATCGAAAACCGTGACTGCGCCTACAGCGCCCGCACAGGCTTTGCATAGGCACGGTTATTCTTAGTGTAGATAGCTGGTCCGAACTCACGATTTCTGCTCCCTTGATGGATAGTCAAGGCGAGCGATACCATTCACCTTTCGAGAGCGCATAGAGACAGGCCTCGGAAGTAGACGGCGGCGTTGGATAAGAGGGCATTGAAGAAATGCTTCACGCTCGCAGCGGAAGCTATTCGGCTTGACGTGCTTGATTGAAACCACCTGCACCGACTCAGGGAAGCACTATGTCGTCGTATCCAGCAAGCCAGAAGATGGAATTGACCCGGCCATTTGAAGTCCTGATATTGTCAGTGGTGCGAAATAAATCACAACCAGACATCATACCCCGGCCTTTTTCAAGTATCCATGCAGGTGCTGGGCCCCTGGTAAGTATCGTGTTTATAGAAGTATTTCGTCTATAAAGCTTCGTATTATCATCCGTGACCTACAACCCCGATAAGCGTGACTAATCCGGATGATAGAGATTCCCGCCGGCTTGGCCACAAGGTATTTTCCACCAACTCGTAAATCAAGGCACCCATATTCCAACTCGAATCCCTGAAATTGCAGATTCTTTCTGGTCGGTCATCTGACAGTCAACATGGACACACTCGGTATGTCCAGCGATATCGAGCTTGAGCGGCTGCGTGGATCCCTCGTCAGCCCGCCAGAGACATCGTGGGGTAAACAGATTCATCGGCGAATTCGCCGGGCACATGCCTATCACACGTCCCAGAATATGCACATCAACCGTCTCATCCAGGTGGCAGAGGACCCAGCTGCAACGCGGTTATTGGATGATCGACCAGACGCGTCGGCCTTTCACGTCAAAGCCGCCATAAACTTTTCCATCTACGGCACCATTCTTGTCGCCGTGCTGCAGATCTACGCAGCGGCGACGACACGTTCTCTCTCGCTCTTCGTGACCATGGCAGAGAGCTGCTGCGAGGCTGTGAGTAACATCGGCCTCGATTACCTCCACCGGAAATCCAGGAAGCTCAGCGATTCGACCCGATGGCCGGCCGGCGCCGGGCGACTCTGCAATGCGGGCAACATCTGCTTTGCCTTTGCCCTCATGGCCGTCTCCCTGGTGCTGGTCGTCGAGTCGATCCGCGCGCTGGCCAGCAGCGAGCACGAGCTGGGCAGATTCGAAGTCGCCGCCATTATCGCTGCGGCGAGTGGATTCGGCATCAAGCTTTTCCTAGCTGTCTACTGCTTCGTCTTCCGGAAACACAGCAGCCAATTACAGATGCTGTGGGAGGACAACCGCAACGACTGCTTCGAGTACGGCTTCGCCATCTTCACCTCGGCGGCGGGCGCCAAGCTGAAATGGTGGGTTGATCCGGCCGGCGCCATGCTCATCGCCTGCATCATCATCGTCACCTGGATCGGCACGGTGCGCTCGGAGTTTCTCGAGCTCTGCGGACTGGGAGCCTCGCCCCGCGTGGTGCAGGAAATCGTCTTCCTGACTCTCCGTCACTCCGATTTGATCTTACAAGTCGACACCGTCCATGCATATCACTGGGGGGAGGACTTGTTCGTCGAGGTGGACATAGTCATGGCGCCTGAGCGCAGCCTTCGTGAGGTCCATGATGTCTCGCAAGGGCTACAAGACAAGCTTGAGACGGTCGAAGGCTTCAGTCGAGCTTTTGTGCATGTTGACTACGGTAAGCCGTTTATATAAGTATTATATGGCTATCAACTGACAGTTTTATGAATCCAGAAGCATCGCATATGCCTGAGCACCGCAAAACCCGCTGACGTCGTTTGTCAGCGTGGATCCGCCTTGCACAGAGAACCAATTGCAATATAAAGGGAGCAGAGATAAGATAAAAAATAAGAAAATCTAGGAATTAGAATAAGTACTTTCAAAGAAAATTCGTCTCTTTTTCAGCGGTACCTTGCTTTAACCTTCAGATACATTCAAATCCATGTATTCCTGGCCCAACTCGCTTAGTCTATACAGGATAAAAAAGAGTCTACCATCAAGATTTGCATACAAATTCTCTCATCAGCATAGATCCTGTTTATCACAAAACCATGCAGCATATTCTTGTAATGCCCATATTAGCAACTCCTAAGTGCTCGCCAATTTGTCGCTTGAAGTATGAGGCTGATACTATATAGATATATCATACTTAGTAATTTTTGGCCAACAGCGAAATTTTCATACACTCCTTGCTTCCGATTATTATCCTCAACCAGGGGAAGAGATTCAAAGTCCTTTAAGGGCCATGTCTCTTTTGCAAAGAGTTCCTGGGCTTCCTCAGATTGCAATAAGGATACAATAAAGTCAATAGACATGCACCCGAAAAAGCCCCATGGCCCACGGTCATTGGTCTATCTTCATTGTTCAATCGGTCAAGATAGGGTTCACTTCTTCTAGCAATTATGACATGTATTCATCCCCATCAAGACCATTATCCACGACGTTTCCTTGTCAATGAGGTCCATGAAGTATATTCTTTGTGAAGTCTGCCTGGCCAGACTGAAATATGGCCGATGATTGTCATTATTCGAACGACTTCTCTCATCGTTGACATTTGCCACCTCAGATGCCTCCAAAGGAAGTTATGGAGGAAATTTCCAACAAAATCGTTGCCGTAAGCAAACTCGAAGTACGCTTTCTGGGAAAAAAATCCGTGTCGAGCGGTTTTGTTGGAGAATCCTCCAAAGCATGAGCCAGTCGACATCCAGCCCAGACGGAGATTCACCCGAGGGATTTCTCTGTGATTCGTGTGATTGCTGGAGTGTTTGAAAAGACCTCTTCGAATAAAGGACAGACGGGGGACACTTGAAGGGCTCTTATGGAGTTTCTGCTTTTGCCTTCTGCTCTTGCTGTTCTTATTCTACACTGATATTTGATTCACAGCCAATCCTCGAGCATAAAGCTTCCCCTGTACTATCTTTCTAAGACCGAATGGCGATATATTTCCTGTCTTCAAATATGCGTCCCAAAGGGGACGACTGAAACTGTATAGGTGTTTGAGGACATTCCTTTCTTTTCATCATAATTTGCCAGAAGTTGGCTTGGATGATAGTTTCTGTTCCTTGTACAGAGTTGCCCAAGGTATCTATCTCAAAGATGGGTGGGAAGAGGGGAGTGATATGCCGGTTAAGAAGTGCTTGAACACGTGCCGTAGAGCAACATCATCAGCGGCAGCGGCAGTGGCACTCATCTAGTACCAGGCTCATTCTGTTTCCGTTGATAATATGATCAGTTTCCAGAGGATTTAGTGATTCTGACGATGAATCTGTGGGTGAGAGAAGGAAAGGAAAAGGAAGGAGGGAGAAGACTGACCTTGGGCACAGGACGGCGCCTTCCCAGTTGGGCCATCAGTCATCAGGTATTCCATCAAGAGATTACTCATATATCATTCTGTATAGAAGAGCTAGTCATGAACAGACTTGTGTAAAGCCAAGAAGTAATTCGAGAGGATAAGCAAGGTAGATGAGAGACCTTCCATAATATAATAGCTGATACATTCACCGTGCCGTAGAATATCTACAATATGAGTGAATTATCCAGCCTTGAGTAGATTGATCCACGGAGACTATTTCCCCGCTCCTAGTAGATATGGCTATCCAGTCAGCTGAGGCTAGATGGATGATCATCCCAAAGCATCCACCTGCATGTATAGCAGTTGCCTTTACCCCTCACCAGTTGCCTTCCCCTTCGTTCCTCGTCTACAACACTTGGGTTAGTATAGTTATGAATAATTCAAGCTGGTACTCAATATACATTAAATATATTAATCCATATACAAAATGTAATAAGAATTTGTGTGGTCAATATTCTACTATTCAGCCAGCCACAATCGACCCACGTTGAACGATTCAGCTTCACTTCAGCCCGATGTGCATGGCAGCCCAATACGAATCATTCCATGGCGGGGTTAGACGAGTTATATTGACTTGAATGCCCCTCGAATTTGGAGTCCGGAATACTTCAACACTGCTTGTAACCATGTCGTCTCAGGACAAATTCACCCTCCACGACCAACTGGCGCATGGTCAGTATGTAATCGAACATACGGAGCCACAGAATGCAAATGCAACGGACGGCATAATCGACCACAAAATATGGTTCAGCTCTGGAGTATGTCCACTTACTCTTTCGCATTCTGTATCTAACAATCTCAGGAACTCAGCCAGGACATCATCAAGCGCATCGACAGTGTCCAGCTGATTGCCAAATCGAATGATCAAAACTATGTCACCAATCCTTCTGTTGGAAACTGGACTTGGTTTGAGTTGGCTATCTTTGAACAGGATGCAGACAAGCCCAAGGAAAAGAACGGAGCTCAGCTGGTATGGATGAGCCATCCGAATAGGTTCTGGACTGGCACTCCTGGATGGGTATGTTCTTTCTATCTCTATCTCTATGGACAGTATCTAATGGTTATCTAGAAAGAAGGAAAGGTCTTTGGTCGAGATCACGACTTGGTCAAGTTTCTTGAAGTGAGTATGAACTCCCTATCGTCTGGACAACGTTAACATCATCCAGAAAGACGACAAGATCGTCGTCCGTCTGAGTGCTCGCTTTGGTGGATGGACACTCGAAGCCAAAGAAGCAAAGTTGGTTTTCAACATTGGCCACAAACAAGGTACGTTCTACCGATATACTGATTCAGTTCTTGCTAATGAGGTAGCCATCCCTCAACCCATTCCTCTCGAGGCTACTGAAAGGCCTGTCATTTCGTTTCGAACGGGAGAGGACGAAAAATTCCGCCAAATGCTGGCATTGAACGAGTCTCAACCAAATTCAGACACTGGCCCATTCCAACTGGTCCTCACGTATCAGGGCTTCGCACCCTATCCGCGTATTTCAATCCTCGACAAGTGTCCTCCTAGTCGAGACAATCCAGAGAGATGTGCCACTCACCTCTTAGTTGTCGTGGACGCCGACTATCTCCGGAATAAAGACATTAAAATCGGTAATCTGTCATGGGATCAGACTCTGGAAGATGTTTCGAACAATTTTCTGAAAGAGAGCGACTATGCAGCCGTGCTCCAGGGCTGCCATGTCGTCGTTCGCCTGGGATATGAGGGCGTCATATACAAAGGGCCAACGGACCAAGTCCCGATGTTTGTGTTTGAGCCTTCCAAGGCAGAAGGAAGTTTCCTTCAGTCCTGCACGGCCCTCAATCAGGACCAAAAAGAAACACTGAACAAAGAACTCAAACTCCGGTTTCTGGGTGGACTGACGGCCTCGCTGGCCCAAGAGTCCGCCCAATCCGCCAGGAACCTGGGCAAAACACAGCTCAGAGAGGCAGTCACCACTGGTCTCAACTGGGCCCGTCGGTTTGCATCGATTCAGCTGTCAATGACAGAAATAGCTCAGCCGAGCATCTATGAGATGAAATCCAGGACAGGAGCTGACCCAATCCTGATCACTGTCAATACTGAACCGACCGGTCCAGAGACCAGCACGAGGAAACAGTCGTTGATCTTCAAGAGTTTGTCACGGAAGCCGGAAAAGATTGCCCGGGAGATTGTGCAAAAGGGACTCAAAGATGTCTTGTCTTATATTCCGACTGCTCACTTTGGCCATATGACCACGGTGGATCGGAATGAAATCGATGGCTTCCGACACCTGGCCAGTACCATCGAGAAATATCTAAAAGGGAACGACGCCAAACCGCTATCCATTGCGGTATTCGGCCAGCCTGGCGCGGGAAAGTCGTTTGGCATCAAGCAGGTGGTCAAGTCTGTTCTGCAAGACCAGGGATATCCAAAAGAACAGACAGAACCGCTGGAGTTCAACCTGTCTCAGTATCTACAGACTCTCAACTTGACCGTGGCATTCCAAACCATTCGAGACAAATCTGTGGAGGGGGAGATGCCAGTTGTTCTGTTTGATGAGTTTGATAGCCAGGATCTGAGATGGCTGGAACACCTTGTGCCGGCGATGAAAGACGGCATCTTTACTGATGATGACCAGACGAAGCGACCTCTTGGGCGAGGCATCTTCATCTTCATCGGTGGCACCTGCAGGACGTTCGAAGAGTTCAAAACAGGCGCGAATGAGCCCCCGCCCCAGTCCCAGCCCCCGCCCCCAGCTGCAGAAGAGCCAGTTGAAGAACCCGCAGAGGATGTCATAACATCTCCAACTAAAGCAAGCTATCTCAGATACACGCTGCCATCGAAGTTTGACTCAGAAAAACTGACTTCTGTCTTCCACACCATCCGGGATGAAACCTTGTCAAAGAGGCTTCCCATTGTGTTTTTCGAGGATATCGACACTGCGATCGAAACAAAAGTTCAGACGGAAGACGGGGAGACAATTAATATTACGAATCTTGGATGGCTGAGATATTTCCTGGCTCCCATGCAGGATGCCAGATTTCTGGATGACGGCCGGCAGCGACCTCTGGGTGGTGGCATCTTCGTGTTCATCCAGAAGAATTCCCCCAGTCCTCCCCTCGAGCGAGAAAAGTTCGAGCTGTTTCCCAAGCTGCATGCGGATGAGGATGTGGCACCTTCATTCTCGCATCATTTTAAACTTGCCAAAGGACCAGACTTTGTGAGCCGACTGCGAGGATACATTGACAAGCCTCAGGACAAAGACCAGGAGCCAGACGTCAAGTACGTCAAGCGGGTGATTGGGGAGTATCTGGCCGACAAGAACAGGAGCAAGCCTCTCTCCATTCTTGTCCATGGCGAGGGTGAATATAGCACCGAAAAGATCAAAGATGCGCTGCACTCGACGGGTGCATTCGACGTCACTGGCTCAGGGATCAAAGATCTCACTGTTCCACTGCCATCTGATTCTCCTGCATCGCCTACACCAGGCACTACGACAGATCTCAATGCTCTCAAGACCAGCTTTGTGGAAATTATCAACGAGAATTTTGTTGATATCATCGGACTGAATCCAGTTGATAAAGACGACGTGATGGTGACCGTCCGACGCGCAATTCTCCTCCAAAGCCTGCTCTCACGGCGTCTTCCAAAAGGGAAAAAGCTCAACATCGCAGAAAGCATCCTCAGTGCATTGCTATATGTGAAGCGGTTCCACCATGGCGTGCGTTCTCTTGAGGCTATCCTCGGCATGAGCAAGTTGTCCACCTATACAGAAGACGAGGGATTCCAGGAAGCAGCCCTTCCAAACAACCAGCAACTCGCATTGCATGTGGAAGTGCAGAAATTCAAGGAGAAGCTCAGGGAAGATAATACCTCGACTATCGCTGGAGGCAATACAGGACCTGATGCAGCTATAGGCCAGCTATACTCCGAATTCAACATGATGAGCTTCAGCGCTGGATCGGCAATCAGCAAAGGAGAATAGATAGTATTGCAGTTTAGCTAGATATCAATCTATACATATCCCCTACTCTTCTTAACAAACCCCAACTAACACCAATAAAAAAATCGCACCAGCTAACAATCCAATCAACGTCCCATAACTCACTCTATACAAAGGCCCAAACTTGGACTGATAGACCTGTAGTCCAATGATTTCCACCAACTGCGCACAGGCCTAGATAGTCAGCATCACATATCAATCATAGAAACAAAGATAGATAGACACACATTCATAACCCTTAGACGGAGTAACCTAAGCAATGCCATTTAGGTGAGATAGGTCATATCCACCTCTGCTACTAAGCTATGAGGACTATATTATTATCGTCAACAGCCTAGATAACCCAGCTTTAGCCTAGAACTAGCTAATAAGGACTAGGCAGGTTACCCTATCTTACTAAATAGATAGTATCCTAACTCTCTAGATTTTATATTAGTATAATCCTTACCTTTACCTATATAAGTCTAACCTTAGCCATCTTCAGCCCGTCCATGAGCTAGGTGGCTAAACTCTTTGGTATTAATATTAAAGTAGCTGCCCTATCTATCTTACTATACATTACTGGTTATATATACAGCCCTCTAATCTAGGCGTCTTTCTCTAAATACTATAGCTATTATTTCCCTATTGTCGTGGCCATGCTGGGGCTCGGCACTTTCAACACGGCCGTCACCGTCTCAAGGATCTCTAAACCCTGATGATCTGTCGCTTCTGCAGTTGATAATGGCCTTAGTTCTTGAGGGCCAATGAATTACCGTAAATAGTGACTGAAGGACTAGGATTGATATATATAGCCATAGAAGCCTGCATATCCCTTAGGAAGGGTAGGTGTAAATAAATCACATGTACTGCCTCTCACTTTCTATGTAGTAATGTTCCAGATCTTAATACACTGCCCATATGGATATGCTAACAGTTCCCCATCTGGTGAGAATACCAGACTATTTTTCCCCCAGTAGCCTGTTAGTTTGCACACCTTCATGCCTGTGGAGACTTTCCAAAGCATAACTGTCTTATCATCAGACCCAGACGCCACCAGTGTTCCATCCGGAGAGAATACTACAGCATTCACACGGTCAGAATGGCCTCTCAATATGTAAGTCGTTACACCTGTGGCAGTGTCCCAAAGCTTAACTGTCCGGTCACTAGATGCAGTTGCCACCATTTTCCCATCCGGTGAAAAACTCATGGTATTTATTTTCTTAGAGTGGCCTTTCAATGTCGCGCGCACTGCACATGTGGTAGTGTCCCAGAGAATTATTTTCCCCTGAACTTCACATGCAAGTGTTGATCCATCTGCTGAGAATACCATATGGTTCACCTGGCCATTCAAGGTTCCCATTGTTTGGAATTCGCCTGTGGTACTGTTCCAGAGCCTGGGAGTACCATTACAGATCTCAGATGCCACCATTCTATCTGAGGAGAATGCCACGGCAGTCAAGCGACTGGCTGGGTGGTTTAATATCTTGCGCGTGCTGCCTGTGGCAGTATCCCAGAGCTTGACCTCCTTCCCCAGAGTTCCTGATGCCAGCAGCGTTCCATCTGTTGAGAATCCCATAGTATTCACGCGGTCATCATGCCCATTCCGCATGAAGATCTTTGCGCCTGTGAGAGAGTCCCAGAGCCAGACCGTTCTATCCCGAGAAACAGACGCCAATCTCTTCCCATCCGGTGAGAATAACACAGTATCCACACGGTCAGAGTGGTTACTCAATATGAGCGATGTTGCATTTGTGGCAGTGTTCCAGAGCCTAACTGTGTGGTCTAAAGATCCAGACCCTATGGTTTTTCCATCTGGGGAGAAAGCCACACTCGTTACCAAACCAGAATGACCTTTCAGAGTGTACCCATCGTTTTTGATTTTATTGTTCTGGGTTCGCTCGGGGTGTCTTGTCTCCTCCTGCGATGATTGTCTTGGGGTGGCCCGAATAGTAGAGTCGTCATTTGTTAAGTCAATCGCGGATAAAATGTGTTTGTCCTTATCAGGAACTGTATTCTCTTGGATGTCGTCTTGAAATTTGGTTCGATCCAAGCTTAAACCACTCAAATCAGGGGTCTTTGGTGTAGCCGTAACAACCATGGGATCGGAGCTCATTGTCTCCTTGACTTGTGCTGGGAAGGTGTTGGCGTGACTAGTTTCAACCACATAGAGAAGTTCTTTAGCGTATGCAGCGGCCACTGTCGCTGCGTATCCTTGCCATTCATCATTCTTATGCGAGTCGGCATAGTCACTGATACCACGAATGACCAAACACGGGTAGTCTTTGAGTCCTGCTGCTTCCATCTCGACACAGTATACCCCAAATTCTTGAGCCAGTTGATCTCGTCGCCTACCATCTTTCATTACTTGATTTGCGGATGCTATCAGTCCATAGTGGATAACTGGCCGATCGTGGTCCCGAGGAGGTCGTAAGACAGTTTTCCTTATATCACAGCCAGCACAAGTCTTGGCATTTATATTGACGTGATTGTAGTCAGTGAGATATAAATGGTCTGGTCGAGTCGGACGAGCGAATTTGGTGGTGTTGTGCTCGGGTATTTTGCGTTTCATCTCAGCTAGAAAACCCATAACTTGACTATCTTCTATAAGATGGCTCGCTTGCAGTTTGGAGAGTGCTGTACGGAGCATCAGAGGCGGGCAGTTAACCATGCCTCTTCGCTCAAAACTGCCGCCATTCAGTGCTTTGCCATAATCATATTGAATCACTCCCCCGTGCGTGCCTGTTGGTTGACTGACCACAACATCACCAAGGCGAATATCCAGGTCTGTATTCGGTACCCCCCCTCCAATGCCGACCATGAGACAAAAGCGGATTGATTGGAAACTAGACGATAATTGCGTGGCAACGATAGCGGCAGGAGCAATGCCAGGTTCACCCGCCGGTAGGCATGTAACTACCACGTTATGTTTCCCAATACGTCCGAGAGTATACGAGTTGTGATCAGTCAGTTGTGTTAGTAGGTTTTCATGGACCTCGTCGAGCATGACCGTCGCAGCTGCCATCTCCAGCGGTAGAGCGCAGATCCATCCAACGGTGTACTCAGAGTGAGAAAGACGGATTTTAGCTGGCATAATGAGATTACGTATCGGGCGGGCTCTCAGGTCGCGATAACAGGGTCTCTATTCACGCAGAATATACCAAAGGCGTTGCTGAAACCAAGTTCAGGAAATAAATGCCAGAGTTGTTCGGAGGAGGGGTAGAGAAGTGAGGCTGGCACTAGGCTTTTTAACAAAGGCACTGGAGCCTTAGATCTGCCCAATCAATTTCAGGGACCACGACAAGGATAGCTGAGGCTGGAGTCATTCCCTTTACGCATTTTGACCAATCAAACATCTACCGTAAAGAAAACAATGACTGGAAGATGTAGATCCTGTTGATGGATGGCTATTATTGATCAAGGAGGGTATCTGCATTACTCTCCTATCAATGGCACTCCTACTGAATAAAGCAGATGAGGCGCTTGCTACTGGAGAATTCGTGGCTAGGGGATTCATGTTCGATATACTAGGTTTTACAGCAAATCTGTTATCTGTTTAAGCGCTTCCACAATCAAGGGACTGCACGTGACAGTCAGTAGACTTGATGAGTAATGCAATCTGTCGTTAGGCTTGATCAAACCTATAAATGGAAGTTCAACCCCGTAACGGCGCTAAATTCCAGCCTGATGCACCGACCCCTTCCATCCTCGTTTTTTTCGACGGCTGATTGCAAACCTGGCCACGTACACCGTGCCGATCTCCTCACACTAAGCGCTCCATATACATACAATATAAGAACAAGATAGAATCAAATCGGCCGCATTCGATGCCATCACAGCCAAAACACGAGTCATGCCCATGCAAGTAAGGGACAGGGGACTCGGATCCATGATCATGATAGGTGCTCATTGGTAGGATGCTATATTTACTGCATAATCCCGGTAGCAGTGATCCAATCAGCGTCAGCCTTGTAGGCGAATCGTCCGTCCAGGCAAACCTATGCACATCGATCCCACAGCCTCAGCTGCTGGCGTTTGGATGGGTTGGTCTATATCCAATAATTCTCCAACACATCAAATCCTCTGTGACGTGGCTATGTAGAGCTGCTGCGGCTGTTTTATTACCATTAAACACACTATATAAAGGCCTCGAAGACACTCTCCCGTCCTTTTGGTAGAGAACCTATGACGAATTTGGTTGCTAGTTATGTTGTTTCTATACTGGCCCAAATAATGAATCCTCGAAAATTTACTCAGCCCTTCCAAATGACAACCAACTCGCCCTGCACGTTAAGTGAAGAAATCCAAAGTGAAACTAAGAGAAGATAATGGCTCGACTATCGCTAGAGCTAAGCTTCAGCCGGATCGGCAATCAGGATGGAGAATAATGCACTTTAGCTACTTCTAGCCAGAAAGAACCTATATCCATTATACATCATCTATATCCTAGTCTGCCTTTTCAACAAACCCCAACTAGCACCTATAAACAAAATAGCACCAGCCAACAGCCCAATCGAAGTTCCATAACTCACTCTATACGAAGGCCCAAACTTGGACTGATAGACCTGTGGCCCAACGATACCCATTAATTGTGCACAGGCCTAGATAGTCAGCACCACCATACACAACAGATAAAGACGAACATACATTCGTAGTTCCAATCGCAATAGCAGCAGACGTCGTTCCCTTGGCTGCTCGAATTCGTTCTACCACAGTCAGTATCATATATAATACCAAGGTAGAAAGGGATATACCAGGCCAAAGAACCGGATACACACAACTCGCCGCCGCATTGGCAATCATGACGAAGATGTATTTCACCACTGGCGTGTCGACTGTTATTAGTATGATATAGCTGATTATCGAGATAAGTTCCACTGCCACTATTAGCACTGTTCATATCGACAGGGAGTAGGTGGATATACATCCAACAGCAACAACCCAACAATCCCACCACCCCTTTCGGATAAAATATCCCAGAATGATAAGTACGATGAACGCCAGACTCGATGGTGGCTATCATCATCAACATATACTCAATAGTTAACCATAGGAAAGACAAACCATCGACATCAACTGCGAAACAGCCGTATCCGTCATGCCCAACTCATAAATCACCGTGGGAAGCACAAACGAGATTCCCCACCCGCCAATCCCATGTGTTATCCAGAGTAAACTGAACGAAAGAAAGGTCGGATCAGACAGGAGTGTCTTTACCTCTTTCCAGTTGAAGGTTTTGGCGGACATATTTGGGGCAGTGTCAGGGAGGTTCTCCAGGAGGAGGGTTTTCTCTGGTTCAGATAGAAGGGGGGATGTTTCTGGGTCTGTAGTTATTAGTATTTTAGATATATAAATAAGGGAGAGGGGGGATACAGTTTGGAAGATAAAAGTAAGTGTATACACCGCATAGAACAGCCGGTATACCTTCTAGAATAAACACCCATCTCCAACCAGACAATCCGCCAGCCTGGTTCATGAATGAAACAGCATACGCTATGATCATCTTAGCACAGTCCATATAATATAATGAGGAACATACCAAGTAACCCACTAATCGTCCCCGAAAACACACCCGACGCATAGAAAAACGCCAGTCGAAGGGGCAATTCGTCTGGATTATACCAGAAGCTGAGATGGAATCTATCATTGTTAGTATTTATATAGAACACATAATATATTCAAGATACGTACAAAACACCAGGATAAAAGCCTGCTTCGGCCAGACCGAGGAAGAAGCGTGTTGCCAGTATACCGGCGTAGTTGGTCGTTGCGCCTTGACACATTGATATAATGCCCTATTCATTAGTATATTTATACAGATACAGATGGATATAAAGAAGATACCCAAGTAATCATAATCCTCGACATCCACACCGAAGGCGACCATCTCTTCAACAGCACCGTCGATGCCGGTTCAAAGAATAAATACGGATAACTTTACTGTCAGTATAACCTCACAATATAAAAGTAGACATACTAGAAAATACTCAATGCCCAGGCCCACTGACTACTAGTCAGATTCCCCAATTCCTTTTTAATGCCATTCCCCTCTTCGATGTTGATGATGGCTGCGTTGGAGATGTTGGTTACGTCGACGCGCATGATGAGATAGACAAAGGAGTACCAGAGGAGAATGCGAGTGTCGATCTGCCGATGGATTTGTTTGAGGTTTCTGGCATTTGATTCAATTGAGCCATTGCTGGCTGTGAAGCCTTTGCGGTCTGTCATTTTCTTCTTACTTGTATGATATATTGTACTGGGAACTGTACATACTTATACCGAAACCCCGCTCAGACCCTACTATCACGACATCTTGGCTTCAATAACATCATAGATAGACTACTCATGAAATATCCTCGTCTGAACCCCCCCAACCACCAAATTCTCCTTTCTATCCGCAGGCGGCTTCTCCCAATTCTTCCTCACTCTGGCCCTCACCCAATCTCCCGCCTTGATACTCTTCTCCTCCTCCTCCCCAGCAAAGCCCTCTCTCTCCAACAACGGGCTCTCCACCGTCTTCAAGTCCAGCTCATCCCCAGGACGCACAAAATACAACACCCCCAGTCGATCAATATGCGCCTGGTCCTTCGGGGGAGCTATCACACGGTGTACACTACTTTTCAAGTACCCATTCGTCCAGAACTGCAGCGCGTCCGCGATGTTCACCGTGATACTCCCCGGATGAGGCTTGACGTACTTCCACTCCCCCTCTGGCGTCTTCACCTGTAATGCAGCAACAGGCTGCCGGAAAAGAAGCGTGAGACTGCCAAAATCCGTATGTCCCCTCGAGTACAGATTCTCGAATTTGGCATTCTCTTCCGCACTCCGCGCGCGGTAGATCATATACCGCAGGTGACAGTCACTATTCCCCTCATAACTATGTCCCGGAATGAGAAAATCCTCCGGTAACTCGAGTATAATCGCAATAAGTCTCAGCAATCTATACACAATCCCCTCGTGGATAAACCGATGAAACCGCTCAATTTCATCCCGATGGCGATGTATCACATCCGGATGCGTCCGTTCATACTGCGGCACAAACTTGAACACGTTGTACATTTCGATATTATCGCGCCGGCCGGGGAGAATCTCTATCGAGCCTAGTGGTCGATAGCCATTGTAGCTTCCTGCTTCGAGATCGGCGCGGTGTTTGAGCTTTTCGTCTTCGGGCAGCTCGAGCAGTTCTTTTCCGATGGCGAATTGGCGGTCGATTTCGTCTTGTGTGAGGCCAAAGTTGGTTATGTAGAAGAAGCCTGTTTGTTAGATATTGTAGATGAATGTGTATATAGGGGAGGTACCAATTCGGTGAACAGCATCCTTGAGTTGAGCTGCGAGTTTCTCCTTTCCACCTGGGAGGTCGAATTGGGATAAATCAAGGGTGACCAGATCAGCCCAGTTGACTACAAATTAGCATAATTCGGAGTAAATACAGTCAAGACATACGCTCGTGCTTTGTCTCTGGGACGTGGATGTATTTCTTCAGCGAAGTGGAAGAACTCGCCTCAGCCTGGCCGGGTTGGGCTGTAACTTGAGTCATCTTGATATTGATAAATTCAATCTGGATTCTCAATATGAATCTGACGGTGACAGACAGTTTATATCTATTGTTTACCCCTCAGCGGGGTGTATGGTGACACACTTCCTGGTGATGGTGTGCTACCCGACAAATCAACATCATCACTATGACCACGATTTCTAATCAGATCAGAATATTATTGTTTCATCTCAATAGATTGGATTCAGTTGCATTAAATACTAATCCTGGTAGAAATCCTATCTCACAGATCAAGCAGCATGATAAGGCCTCACATTGGTTCGGTCCGTGATTGTAGCTCCGGCACGCATACAGCTGAGCCTTACATCCATTCCAAAGCACTGCCTGCCCACATCGGATATGATGTCCATGAGCCTTTTATTGCAAAATAAATGTCTTTGGGTCACCCATTTTCAATCCTTCCCCATCCATCAGACCGTGCACGTGGCAATCGCCGCTCAGCTCGAGCCTCTCATCACTACTGATGCCATTCAATTGAACCTTACTTAATAGTATAGGGCCCTCCAGCCCGTGAACAATTCAGATAGAAGAGCCCATCGTTGCATTTTCTGGTAAAATAGTGGTCTTTTGGCCTAGTTGGTAGTCGTGCTGCCCAGAATACATGATCTATTACAGCTAGAGTCAATTTGAAAAAGAATGTAGTAAATACCCTTTGCATTTGCATCACAGTATAGGAAAACCTAGTAGTCCCTAGGGGAAAACCCATACCAAGGGGAAGAGAAACTGCTATAAAACCATGCATAAAGCCATACTTATTGCATTTATTAAATCATTTAGAAAAACATGAGCAAGATCATTTTGCAGAAATAGTGTAAAAGTTAGATAACACACCGTGGTAAAGGAAAACGATCTAAAGGCCGTCCATCTATTATGTAATATATTAGATCAGAATTTTTGATAATCATTATTGTAGCAGAGACTTGGGTAAGACACTTACTTTTAAAACAAAGAGGGGGGGCTGTCCTTCCACTGTTTCGCAACCAGTAACCCTTTTTGGTCTTATACCAATTCCTATTGCCATGGCTGATAAGAATTTCTCTCTCTAAAGTAAATTGCCATCTAGAAAGATTGCATAATCCAATGCAAGTATGATCATGGGTCAACTTACGTGTCACCAATTTGCCCTTTACAAACAACATTAATTGGTGAAAGTCTTGAAAATGATCCAGCCCTGGGTTCGCAGGGATAGGGAGAGTCCCAGAAATTCTTATCAGTGCGAAGTTTGCATCCACTCACTTCCCTCTTATCGAATTCTGTCTCCTTGTTATTCAATTCCAAGCCTGGCTCCTCAGCTGGGGCAGCCTGGATTATGAAAGGCAGAATAGCAGTAAGAGTGAATAAGGCTGGCTTCATTTTGATACACGTATTCTTGCAAATAGTGAGAATCTGGTATCAAAGAAATTTGAAATTAAAAGATTATAATATTCCTTCAGATATTTAGAGCCTTCAGATATTCTTTTTTCTACAAGTAGATGAATGGGTTAATTTATATGTAAGATGAACTTGCTGGGGCCAGACTCCTATAGAAAGTACACTTTCCTGAGCAGTGATTGATTTGCATCGTACCACATTTACTTTTGCTCCTTGTTTCCCCTCTTGGACTATGGATATATCATATGTGATTCTAGAACCAGTCTATTTAGTACTGCAAACGGCATAAACTAATTGTTTAATATGTTCAAGTAGTGTGAAGGTTGATATTTGGTGGATCTTTTCATATTGGTCTGAATATTCAATCCACAGTGGCTGGGACACTCAGACTAACTACCTCATCTTAACATCACTTTTTGATTACTAGTTCCAAGGTAGGCCTGATGCGCTGATGCGCTGATGCTATGTTATTGTATAATATAAGATTTAATTTTTTAGTAGTATACAATGATAAATTTACATTCATAGTTCAGTAAACTCTGGAATTTAATCTACAGTGGCTAGAAATACTCATAGACCAACTACTCCATCTTAAAATCACTTTTTGATAGTGCGTCATACTAGTTGAGTCAAGTAATTTGGTCGAGTTGAGTCCAAAAGTTGGATTCGACTTGACTCGTGTAACACGCTACTTTTTTATTCCTGATTTAAGGTAAGGCTGACACTATAATATATTTCTAGGGAGATGTAATAGGCCGGAGCTGTTAACTACCTATATCTAGGCTAGCGCAACAAAGAACTTAAAGAAAAAAAAATCAAAGGATTAAGTGATGATAATTACCATAATATGCTGCTATTATAGTAAGCTTCCTCTTTATCATTCTCTCTTTCTTATTGACTAGTTAAAGTTAAGTGATATAGCCCTTACCCTCCTTTACAAGAATTATTAGTAGCCCTTCTTATCCCTATGTAAGACTAATTAGATCACGAGGACACCATCAGGTTCCTGTTAAAAGGTGCTGATAAAACCTAATAGGTAGGTTTTAAGTTTAAATTAAGGGATCACGAACTCTTTTTAATTGCTTAAATAAGCTTGGTTGCCCTTCAAGCAATCCATTATACGGTTTCTAATATACAAGTTTGCTAAAACTTTATCAGGTGATTATATTACATGACTTTCATGTGCCAAGTCCTCACTACCAGGTTGCCAGCGGCTCACTGGGCATGGCATATATATTACCATATATCCAGAACCGTGACTAAACTTCCCATGAATAAGAAATACAGGCTGTGTGAACTACATCAGCGGTTTAGAATAGGAGCCTTGAGATATATATTCCTAGCTAATTAGAAAACAAAACCAAAAACCAGCCTCGTGATGTTGAACCTGGGGCTACTATTTTCTTGGCAAATCTAGTTTTACCCAAATTTGTCTCATTGGCATGGAAATGTCTAATTGGTTAAAAGAAGTTTACCATAGACTGATCTAGGCCAAAATCTACTATAAGAGATTATAATTCCAACGGAACTGATTTTAATAGTCGGATGTTTTCCGCGCTTAATAGGGGCTTGTATGCGTAATGAGACTTTTCAGGTTCAGGGAAAACCCGGGAGAAAACCTCCAGTATACACGTCCAAGTAGAGAGGAAATTTCATTGGCAATAGCAAGCACTTTGAGGCCTACTAGAAGCAACCATATGGTATACTTAAAAAGGAAGTGGATTATGACCTCGAAAATATGGTCGTGCTTATATCTCGCCCGGCTGTCTTAAGATCTACTTGGTGCCGCATAAAGAGCATAGTCGTACCCAGGAAAAATGCCACTGTCGATAATTTTGTCATCGGTATCCAGTTCGAGCAAAGTGCAGCGAGTATAGCATGCAGCATTGATGACTGCAACATGTACCCAACAAGAAGTACCCCTCTTGTAACGATCTCTGCGACTTCTTGCCCAGGAAATTCGTCGGGAGGCCCATCTCTTATAGCCCAGATTGAGAAAGATTGGACGCATTTTTGACAATCAAGCAAAGTGCTGAGTCTAACGACCCATAGCGAGGAGAAATCGGGCTCCGTGACAAAGGGTGGAAGGATAATGAATCTTGTATTCCCAAGAATAGCTCTATAGCCAATGTATCGCGAATAGCGGCAGCTGAGATGAGGTAGAGCCAGGATAGTGCCGTGCTCTGTGAAGCGTACGGAGACGTGGACGGCAAGAGTGGTTGCAGCAGATTCCGGGCCATGTACCATATACCAAGCGCAGCATTAGGAGCTATCTCCATCAGATCTCTGAATACGTTGCTTTCTAGGAGGGGGAAGCTGAAATCATCCATTTTGGCTATTGAGGCCGTACAGGGTCGATAGAGTGATTTGTTTGATTCCCATTCCCTTTTATTTCTGTTAGGCCGAAGGACATGGTAGCCGCCTCAGCCTGATATGTCTCGAAATTCTGGTACCCCAGTCAGAGCAAACCCATCAAATATTGACTTCAACGGCGCCAGCTGGTGAAGCTTTTTCAGCTTTGTGTTTCGTCATAAATCTATGAATTAGTTTCATTCCTATTCCTTGAAATCATCGCACAGCCTCGTTCGCCTTCGCCACCTCTTTTGAAACAATTTCCATACATATGAACGAGAAAGAGTGTGATCTGTGCAAACAATGTGAGATTTTAGCCCCATAATACAACCATTATCAAATCTAGTTGAAATTATGATCTAGTTATATGTGGTATATATAGTTATATAGCGCATCTCATTAAAGTTAATAATTAAGATGTATTCAGAAGTTAACGTTTGGGTTCTCATTAAATTCAGTCTTAAACTAATCTAGACCACAGCCACATGTGAGACGATCACCGGTTATTATAAGTCTATGAGGCGCCCAGAACCTTATCAGAACAAGGTGGGGAAGTGTACAAGTCATAGTATTGTTTTCTGGCCGGTTAAAACTGTGGCTGTTAATAAAGCTCAATAACAGTACTGCCTTATGTCTTATAGTTCTCTGGATTACTAATGTTGAAACATCGCGATGATAGAAAATTATTTTTGCTGGGAATGCATACACTGAATACCTCATATTTTTTTTCTCTACCAGGGAGTAACCTTTTGGTTTGCCTCTTAAATCCGGCTCTTTTAAAGTTAACTTTGACGGCAACTCTTAAGGTAGGCTGTAGATCATTGTCCAGAACACCACACAGACATTCAAGAACATGTCCCATGAACCAGAGTAAGTGTCAATATATGGTTTGTAAGTAGGATAAATGTTGCGTGAAGTACCACAAACACAGGGCTGCCAAAAAGATACGTGGTAGGCCATCCACCAACCGACTAGACAGCTTTCCTACAGTGTGAACCATATTCTGGGATGGACCAGTGTTGACAAGTTCTCGATCAGCCTAGTGGGTGTGAAGTATTGAGGAAAGCCATCGCATTCCAGCCTCCAAGAACAGATGGACTGCACAGCTAAAGTGCATCAAACCTGACCACGGGAGCCTTGATTGGGCTTGAGTCACGCTGCGAACATATGGCTCCTTTCTGCAGTTAGGTAGCCGGGGTGCAGTTTGCGCATGACCACTTGACATCTAATCGATTGGTATATGATTAAATTCTAATTGAGAATGATGAAATTTTTGCTTTTTCCTTCTAAATCCGTGCTACCAACCTTACTCTGGGTCTTATCACTATGTCTGCCACCGTTACAATTTCACCAATACACTGAGTGCGACCGGTAGTGTAGCAAAAGAACTATAGCAAACTATAACATATAGCGGGTTTATCTTGAGTTGATTAACCCCTGACATTAAAGTCCCATAACTAATGCTACTTCCAACATGGCAAGGAATGTTCAGTTTCCATCAGGAAGAACTCCCTCATCAGGCTGGCATTTTGATGCTGTCGGCCTTCTGGCAGTGATTGGGGAGTCATCGATGACACTTCACGTGCCGGCCCTGGCGTCTTCATGGCTCTGCCTTCTCCCTCACCTGATTCCTGCACCTCAGGCGATGCTGAAACCTTGCAGACCAACACGCCTACCCCCAGTCCCTGCCATCGTGGTTGGGGTGCACTCCGGAACTCGAGTTGACGAGTTGAATTTCTATGCAGAACTAATCCATCAAGTGGATGGGTTGCAGCCCTTTGAGTTCCATGAATTTAACATCACCAGGCGGTTTGACAGTGCATCGCCATTCTTTTCCCACGAAAGACGTTCACCGATTTTGCGTATGCATGCTTTCTCACTACTAAATATCCTGACAGCTATGTCTTGTGCCTTGACAGTTGGTTTAATTATTTGGGCGTGTCTGATCCACGATGGAGTTGCAATTATCTCTCTTGCTATACTGTCACTTGCTTCACTGCTTGTTGGCCTGGCCATGTGGTATCAGCCGCAGCTTTCAATCCGACCCACGGATGCTGTGGTCCCAAATGGCGATATTGTTCTACGTACACGAAACGGTGCATTTGTTGTTGTGCATTGTTCAGACGAGATCGCAAGAGAGCTCTACATTGGCACCGAAGAAGCGAGATATATTGTCGGGGAAAAGGCTTTCAAACTCGTCATGGCTGCAGGGACGGTGGCTTTGATGATTGGCGTTGTGCTGCTTGGGAACTGCAGTTGGACCATGCAAGCAGCGATTGGAACAGCCTATCTTCTTCTCAACGGCGCCTACTGGTTTGTTGCACTATTGCCCCAGACCTGGATCTGGGATACCTCGGCCTACCACGTCAGCGAGGCGACACCACCGATTTTACGATTAGCGCATGTACAGGGGATCGATGGGATTAACCCAAGTTACACGCGGACTTTGTGGTACGCGATACAGTCCACCAAGGAAACAAGTTGGATTTCCATCAGCGGAGCATCACCGAAAACCGCAGCATGGGAGGAGTGGAAGAAGCTGGCTTACAGTAACAGAAACAATCTCGATTGGGATGCTGTGAATGAAAAGGACAGATTGATGCGAGAGTTTAAAGAAAATGAAGAGCATCAATATGGGGGAGAACATGGATTTACTGCTGCAAACAATGCTCCTGATAATGTACCCAACCGCCAGGTGACCTGGTGAATAGTCTCGGTACTTTCGTTGGTGTAAAGCATTAGTCCTTGTATGATGCAAATATTATTGTATAGCGAAAGGGAAAAAGTTATCTCGCAAATCTTCCATCCAGTTCCAGTAGATTCAGCTGTTTCAGGACTAGTGTGTATGCAAAACTCTAATGTTGATACACAGCTCGTATTAAAAGTGAGATGCAAATATTAGTACATCTTTTCCAGAGCTACGTCATGATTTCAACTACATGAATTGGTGAAGTGAGAGGCACTATGTTTAAAAAAAATATCTCCAGATGAGAAACAGTACATATCTGTATTGATCACAAGTGCATAGTCTGAAGTACAGTCCTTATTTAATCATATCTGCAGAATGCAGACAATATAGAAATAGCTATGGTCTGCATTAGCTTTGCAACTTGGACTGAATATTATGTTCAGTATGCATTACATTATTAAATGAAATTACAGACTCACAACTATGCTTTGCGACACCTGTGCGGATTTATTTCGAAGAAACTGGGAGCCCGAGTATGATGGTAGTTCCGAGAGCATACCTCAAGGCCATCAGCCGTCGACTCATAGCTTGGCTATTTCCGTGGCCCAGGGATGTCTGATCTGCAATGTCCTCAATGCTACTCCCAGTATACAGGCCAAATTGAGGGGTGTTTCCGAGGACCAAAGTCCACTCATCTATTGCACAAGATGGGGTGGCCAGCTCACTGAAAACCCAGCTTCCAAGTATTTCACATTGTGTTTCACGGTTGGATATCCGAAGAGAAATGAATTCAATTACCCTGAGCCTGCCGACGCTATGATCGAAGTTGCCCCAGTGGAATGTAAGTCATCAAGGATTGGCGCCTATTTTCGACACTGAATATATATTAGTCTTTCCGCCCAGCCACGTTGGTTCGGGCAGTACGAGCGACAAAGACGTGCTCAGCCGGGTTCAGGCCTGGATCCATGAGTGTATCGACCACCATGAGACTTGTCGGCCAGGAGCGGATTCAACATGGAAGCCAACCCGTCTAGTCGATCTAGGGGAATCTACGACCCAGCTTACTGCTCGTCTGATAATTTGCAACCAACATTTCAATGGCTCTGAAGCTATCGGCCCTGACGTCAACCACCAATCCGCGCCGTATATGACCCTCAGTCACTGTTGGGCCAAAATTCCGATGTTCAAGCTAGAGAATGGGAATCCGGACAGGAACGAAGCGTCACTTTGCGACTCCATTCCAGTATCTGAGCTATCCAAGACTTTCAAGGATGCTATGCAAATCACGAAATGGCTGGGAGTCCGCTATTTTTGGATTGATTCTCTTTGCATAGTACAAGATTCGGCCAATGACTGGAGACATGAAGCCGCCACCATGTCGCAAGTCTACAAGAATTCCTTCTGTAACCTCGCTGCTACCTCTGCACCGGATGGAAGTTTCGGATGCTTCGCCGCTCGAAATCCGATCAACGTATGCGCAGAAATCGTCAGACCAGAGTGGAGTGACATTATCGGCAAGGAATTCGTCATCGCCCAGCCTCACGAGGCTCTAATGTCGAAACTGATAGAGTCACCACTCCTGAAACGAGCATGGGTCCTCCAAGAGCGTTTGCTCTCTCCGCGGATGGTTCATTTCACAGACGATCAGGTGTACTTTGAATGTCACAAATACCTAGCATGCGAGACATACCCCGAAGGTATCCCGGACCCTCATGGCGATATCTGCAAGAAATGCGTGAAAGACTACTTTATTCATCGAAGCATTGATGCTGAAGAACAGACGTTCCGTGGAGTACCGACGGGGATCATTGAATGGAACAGGTTGCTGGAAAGGTATACCACCTACGGCATTACATACGGCACGGACAAAATAATCGCACTTTCTGGCATTGCCACAGACTTTTCCCAGCGTAAGATGCCGCATGACCGATACCTCGCAGGGTTCTGGGAAAGCCAAGTCCCGGATGCTCTCCTTTGGAGGTCAATTGGAGAAGTGAACCTCCCACCCGAGGAATATCGTGCACCTTCATGGTCCTGGGCCTCTGTCGACAATGCTGTCTCGGTGCGTGAAACTGAGCGTGACGCTGGATACTTCTACTGTGAACTCGCAGAAAAGTGGCACGCTGCTGTCGAGACAATAGACAATAACAAAACCGGCCAAGTCACGGGCGGAGAATTACTGCTCTTTGGGATTGTATCAGAGGCACGGTTTGCTCAAGCTGATATGGATTCAGGTAAAACAATGGAAATGGTAAGCATATTACAGCCCAATGGCATGTTTCATTTGTACCCTCGACAGGAGGATTGGATCAACGCCTACTTTGACCTGCCTGTGAAGGAAGCCACCATGACAGCACCCATTCTGTTTGTTAGATATTCAGCCAGAGTGGAAGGATCAAGATATGATGGAGCAGTATTCCCATCTCTTGAGGGATTAATACTGGAACAGGTAGGCAAAAGTGCTTTTAAACGGATTGGTGTCTTTATGGTGCATGGCTCCCGAGTGCCAAAGGTACTGGAGTTTGTAGATTACCCTCTGGCAAAGTACATTACACTTATTTGAGCTTGAGGTTTGGATTAGTTTACTCCTATATTTGGAAATAAATGTTGCGGTTCTATCTCTATACATGTACTTGTGTCAATTACAGCTGTGGTTTTCTTATCTTTTCCCACTCAAAAACTAATACATGTCATATATTATACAGTAATTCTCCATTACATCTGTTAAGGTTAACCTACATGCACCGCATAATGCTTGTTTAATTGCCGCAGTCACCCCTCCGATCGTCACCAACACGACAATACCTGAAACCAACAACAGTCTTGACTCGCCATCACAGCCTTCCTCCATCACCATCACATTTCCTCCTCCCCGTTTGAGCGGCAATTTCTGGACTCTCTCTGGTCTATCTCGACCTGCCCCCACCATGGTCATGCGACGATCGGCTCCACACTGCGTCATTTACGCGAGATTTTCTTCCTCTCCGAATCAAGCATTTGACACATATTAACCCCTACTACCTGGGCGCCTTAGTTCTTGTTCCTATCAACCCGCTGCTAAACGCCATACCCACTTCGTCATGCCCTTTCAAAGACTTGCTAATTACTCTAACCTCGACGACCCAGAGCTGAAATCACTCAGGGAAAGCTGTCGACAAGGCGACCTTCCACGGGTCCAACAATTGCTCCCGCACTGTCAAAGTGGCTCGTTTTCTTTAGGATTGCGAGATGCTGCTACAAACAATCAGATTGAAATCATGCAATATCTTTTGAACAATAATGTAATCATTGACCGATATGTGGTGGAAGAAGCGAGATCCCCAGCAGCATTCAAACTCTTATTCGACCATGGGTTAGATATCCATGAAACAGATCTGCTGCGTAATGTCCCCCTCATGTAAGTTCTTTCATATCAAACATCAAAAGGCGACTTCTCACGCTGTTAGTAGTTTCGTGGTGCAACACAATGACGAAGCCCTTCTTCGCTGGTTCCTCGACCAAGGCGCAGATCCCAATTTTGGCCCTGATCCGGACACGGCGAAATCCAGTAAGCTGGGCATACACGACTCTGGTGCAGTTCTGGAAACAGCTATTATGTTCTCCACTCACGCCATTGTCGATATTCTGCTCGAACACGGTGCCATACTTGAGAATAGTCTGGCATTCCATGCAGCAGTCTACAGAGAAGATGGGGGTGTGATTGACATGAAGGAGCATCTCCTCCAGCGTGGAGCAGATATAAACAAATTCGGACGCCATATATTGCCATCCCACTTTGGAGCGACAGCCCTTCATGTTGCTGGTTCTATAGGATACCGGGAAGTTGTTCAATGGCTGCTAGACCATGGCGCTGACCCAACCATCACTGATACACATGGAATGGGCCCTCATTTGCTTGCAGAATTATACCTTCAAGATGAAGTTAGAGAGATTTTACTTGACGCGTGGCTGAAGAAGAAGAGGTTTGAGAATATGGATGAGTTTGACAGACATCTGGCCGGGGCTGATCAAGGTTGAGTGATATGAAGACATGGAGTATTAGAAATTGGATATCATGTTCGGTCGTCCATAGCTGTCGAGAATAATTCTGCTCTTTGTCATCATCATCCCCTTTATATACTCTCATGGGGGATTCAGTTTATGAATTTACCTCTGATATAAGGAAATGATCCACTTCAATGGATGCTCAACAATGGCCAACCTCAACTCGCATACCCTCCCCCCCAAAAATAAAGAAAACAGTACTCGATGGCCACCTTTCCATGCGACAAAATCTTTCTGTTAGTTGCTACTATGGTCTCCGCACCATTCTCCAGATTCGGGAAAGTATACTATCATGCATCTAATCACCAATCCACTAAAGTCTACTCACGTATAAAACAGCCCTTCTTCAAATCATATCCCGCTGCAACCCACTCCTCCTCACCCCCATACACCTCCACCAGCGCACCCACCAACTCCCCCGTCGCATTCGGCACCTCTCCTATCTTCGGTAAATACTCAGGATGCGCCACACAAAACCTCAACAGAAACAACACATCCAACGCATCCGACCTCCTCTTCCCCTCTGAAGATCTACACCCTACAGACCCGCATTTCGCATTAAGCAGCAACGCAGGCTTCAACACGCTCACCCCTTCAACGCTCACTACACCCGTAGCCTCATCAAACGCCTCCTGAAACATAAACGGGGGCGTGAGGATCTCAATATCAACCGGTGTACCTCCAGTGTAGGTGGTGTGGTTTGTGCGCGGGTCGACGCAGAAATCTGGTGAAGAGCGTAGCATTGCCCGTGCTGTGGCTGTTGTTCCGCGGAGGACGACAATGTCGATGTCTTGTGTTGCTCGAGGGAACAGGCGGCGCCGCCGATGAGGGCGTATTTGGGGTGGTGGGAGAGGGCGGTAGAGAGGGCTTGGGCGGCGGGAGGAGGGTGGGTGCTGTGTGCATTTTCATTATTATTATATTATTATATTATCATGATTATCGCAATTATAGAAGCGAGGCTATATTTATATTCTCTTATATCGACTAGGCAGACGGATAAGAATAGATCTGCCTAATAAGCATAAGCTAGTAGAGTGGGTCCAGCGGGGCAACTTAAACCAGACTTCATCCTCAACATATGATAAACAACAATATGAACTACTACACCAGCACCAGCACTGCCCCCAAACAACAGAGACATCTACCATGTCAAGTCTTTTCAGATAATAATATCCCCTACGTCGTCTGGTTCGAAGATGCACTTCATTACCACGGTGTACCAACAGTCGTTTTTGATTTATTCATTCTCGTCCCTGACATCGACATCGATGTAGCCGCCGACTGTCTTGTCAAATCTGGATGGATCGTCGATACAGAACGACCCCATCGGATAGGCAATGCAATCGTGGATCTTCCTCAGCGACCAGTGATATCTCCTGATCGACATACGCGAACTGTTCTTCTCCCTGCCGCTGACTGGAAGTTCCATCTATCTACAGACACGGTCTTGGAGAAAGTACCATTAGAAGACTCGGCCAAAACAGTACCATATCCACCACTGGCTGCCCTTTTAGACTCTCTAATTGAAAGCTGGCTCGACTGTCCCGCCGAAGACAGCGGTCTGCTCATCCACCTGGCATGCCAGTACGGCTATCTATACCAGTACGTCCCCGCCGTCAAGGAACGCTCTTTCGCCGAAAAGATGCGATACGAACATCGCCAATTCCACAACGACGTGCTGTCAGAAATGAAAGCAGGGACTTTACCATTTCGAAAACACGAACGGGCTATTCGAGACGCACTCGTCCGAGGGGAGTACGAAATCACGGAATGTTCTGCACCGAAAGATAATGCGGATCTATTTGATGTAGGCAAGGAAGAGAGACTACTAGCTAGGAAGAAGGCGATACAGGAGAAGTTGAGGATGATTGATCCAGCGGAATTATTGGATGAGGAGAGGGCATTTCTGGAGTCTTGATCATGCTGGATAGGTTATTGTGCTTGTGCTATACAGCGTCATAGTTATGCTGTAGAACTAGTTGGTTTGAACATTCTTCGGATTGTAGTTGTAATTCTGGATAACTACAGTTCACAGAGGGGATGGAAGGGATGTATGCAAGGGGCCAGAAATATCATCCAACATCAAGAATTCCTCACTACAGTATCCCGTGAGCAGCAGTTATGATGATGAACTGGTGTAGGGTAAGCTGGCTGACCCCGCATTGAGGTTATACAGGCCGTATACACAGACTGTATATATACTATATCTACACCACTTTCGTCTCCTCACCCGGCGTCAACCAACACACCTTCCCACCCAATCCCTCCCCTTCTAAAACCATCTTCAACTCGCCTCCAAACTGCGTAAAATGACCCCACGACTCAAAATGCATCGGCACAAGCACATCCGCATCCAGCTCTCTAAACAGCCGCGCCCCCTGCTTTCCATCCATCGTAATCTGCAACGGCCCATCAGGAAGCGGGGCATGCGCACTTCCAAAGTTCAGAATCGCCACGACCACATTCCACTTTTCTGGAATCTTTGCCAACTCGGGTATATACACCGTATCGCCAGAGACGTAAATCACATTCGGACGGCCATCACCCGAAAAGCCGAATTCGTCTGCCTCGATGATGAAGCCTGTACATTCACCTCCGGGTAGATGCTGACACGGCGTACCGGTGATTCTAAGCTCCTTCCCATCAACAGCCAGAGTAATAGTCTCCCACGGCGAAATACCACGCACGCCTGGTCGGGGAGCTAACTTCTTCTCCCCATCCTTGGTAGTCAGAACGTGTCGACCATCAAGCAGCCGCCGACCCAGTTCATCGAGGTTATCGGGGTGATCTTCGTGGCTGAGGAGGACTGCGTCGATAGGCGGGAGAGTTTCGAGACTCATGGCGGGGGTGTCTGTGTTCTTGAGCACGGCGATTCCGAGATCCCATTCTGTGCCAGACGGAGAGAAGAAGGGGTCTGTTAGGAGCTTTGTGCCGTTGATGTCGAGGATGGCGGTTGCGGTGCCGATGTGGGTGATGGTGAGGTTCATCATACTGATTTGATGATTTGATTGATGATTTGGACTGACTGACTATAATGGTTTGTCTACTTATGTATGCCAATCAGCTTAGAAATTAAGAGAACTTCGTACTAATCATTAGAAATCGAATTCATCACGTCTTGGCGAAATATGCAACCGGAATAAGCTAGTGGAGACAAGATCCACTGCACTAACCCGATCAGGTTGCATAAATCGCCAAGACGGATGACATCCGATCATGCATACGCTAAACCTTATCCAATCATCAATAATGCCAAAACACTCAATTCCGTACATAGTAGATACTACATAGTATGGAATTACATGATCTAACCCACCCACATCCCAAGCACCGACAACGCCGGCGCCAACCACAAAAACCCCAATCCAGGATACATTTTCATCCTAAAATAGCGCCATCCGATCACAGCGCCAGTACACATCCACGTATAAATCACCGCACTTTCCTCCCAGGTTCTCGGTCCGCCCTTCGTGGCCCATTTATAATTCAGAAGACCTACTCTGTCAGTTACCGCGGATATAGACATTGTGTTTCAAGTGAAGTGTGTGTACATACTGAGAATTCCCAGCACACCAACACTAAAATCCCACGTCGTCGGCGCCAGAGCCTTTCCCCTGGCTGACTCGGGGATGGCGGGGATTTGGTCGATTGCTTTGTGGACGTGGTGGATGCCGATGCTGATGTGTTTGGGGGTTGTGGCGAGGCAGATGAGGGTGGATGTATAGTATAGGGAGGCCATTTCCAGATATGATAGTAAACATGGATAGTAAACAATGGATAGTAGATATGTTGATTTATTATATAGTAGAGAGGTTGTCATGGCTATCCAAATAGGAAAACTAACCTAATCAGGAAATATAACCCGCCAAGCAAGTCTATCCTCTTATTGGCTGCTGCTGTCCCCGCATATTCTCACTTCATCCAGTTCACGTCACTCCCCTTCCATTTCATCTCGCAAGATGAATACGCGATGAAGACAAAACAAAAGTCAGTCTGCCAGACATGTAGGAAACGCAAATTAGGGGTATGTTCTCTTCCCGTCCATCCCGTGCCACACTAACAGCTAGGCCAGTGTGATGGAAAACGGCCAGGATGCAGCCAATGCGTACTAACAGGCCGTGAGTGCGATGGATATACGACCAGCTGGACATTTATCCCGCAGAAGGCTCAACCTCAGTCTCTGCCTAAAACCCAGGAGTTAAGACTCCAACCAAGCAACGACATCATCCAACTAGTTATAAACAGCTACATTCCCGGGAGCGAAATCACCGCAAATACATCAGATCATACGCAGTCTCGAATATGCGGGTCGTGGGTCGAAGCTCTTCCGGTTCTTCATTGTCGACATACCCCCAATTCCGTCTTATTCACGGCTATACAGGCATTATCTACATCGATTATTTCGAAAAATGCACTCGACTGTTTGCAGAGTTATCAAGTAGCCATCCAAACTCTCAGGAAGAGTTTCACGACTGGCCATGATGTAGATGTGATAGCGGCTATTATGTGTTTGACTTTGGTGGAGGTAGATCCCCCTGTTATATATTATATATGAACGAAGCTAATGGTATTGTATAGGTGATGCTCCCTGAATCAGCGTCAGCGCTGACAGCACATATTAAAGGCGTCGGTCTCGTGCTGCAAGCACACGGTGCGGAGTCGTGTAAATCAGGCGTGTTGCATAAGCTGTTTGTTGGCTTTCGGCCTCTTCTAGTATGTATACCTCTAAGCTATATTCATATAAACTAACAGACTAGATCACCGAGGCATTCCGCCATCGAATGCCCATCTTCCTAGCACAGGAAGACTGGATCAACGTCCCTTTTTCTGTCTTTACTCCTTCCCCAATGCAGAATCTGCTAAGTAGGAGCGTTGGTATTCCAGCACTACTGCAGCGGATTGATACTCTTTTGGATACGCCTTGTCAACAAACCCCAGATGAAGTAAGAGAGACATTCTTCTCTTTCATCGACGCGATGAGAAATCTAGAGGCGCTCGAAACATCCCTACACCTCCAGGCAGAAAGTAAAACCCACTGGTCTCGTGGTGCAGATATTTGGTATCCCAACGTGACCATGGCAAACGTCCATACGCATCTATGGACATTTAAAATCATCTGTCTAACGGAAATGGAAAGACTGGGACTATTCTTCCCGTGTATTATCCTCGAGGACGCATCCCTTTCATCACGATTTCAATTCGACCATGTACAGGCTGATACTGTGGAACTGGGAAGACATATCTGCCAGAGTATGGAGTATTTACTGCAAGACGAGATGAAGTTGTTTGGGCCTGCGTCGACGTTCTTTCCGTTGAGGGTTGTGTATGAGCGATTTCTTGCGATGGGGGATAGGTGTAAAGAAGATGCTGGGTATGTGGAGGGTGTTGTTGGGAGGTTGGTTGGGAAGGGTCTTCGATCTGCTCCTGTTATTATATTTGACGTTGAATAGTCTTATATATCCTTTCGTGCGTATCGACTGTAGTTCTTTCTCAAAGTCTCTCCATACTACATCTGTCAGCAAGTCAAAGCCAATATAAGATAAACTCACCCTCATCAAAACCACCGGAATAGGAATAAACACAATCGACAAAAACGCCAGCGTCGAACTCGCCCACCCAACACCGAGATTGTTATACATCGCTGACGCAAACAGCGGAAAGCCTGCACCAAACGACGACCGAAACAGATCATTCCCCGCAAGCACAGAAGCCGCATAGGCCGGGTACGCATCAGGCAGGTAATTCAGCACGGGGTTAAAGAGGAGGAACGCGCCGATGGAGAAGAATCCCGATCCGACGATTGGCATTATCCAATGGACGTCTGGGCGCGCACTCCAGCCGAACCAGAAGAGACAGATTGGGATGAAGCAGCCGCCGATACACGCGGGTGGGAGACGGGCTTCGGGAGATACGTTGCCGTTTGAGTCGAATTTTGGTTCGAGGTATTTGTTCATCCACCAGTAATACGGGGGGATGGTGATGATGGCGCCGGTGAGGATACCGATGAATGCGAGGCCCAGTTGGCCGAGGTTGAAGCCGTAGATGCCTGTGAAGACGATGGAGAATGACTCAAACCAGACATAGAGCAGGCCGTAGATAAGGGCGATGTACAGGTTGAGCAGGAAGACCATTGGTTCGAGAAAGTTGAGGGTGAACGGACGGACGAGAGTGATCATGACGATCTCCCTGCCCATGAGATCTTCGCTTTCGATTTCAGGCTCGCTTTTGAGGTGATGGCGCCCGGTGAGGTTGCGGAGACGACGCGCACGGCGGTAGAGGATGTTGGACGATGATGTCTCTGGGAGGAGGAAGATGAGCAGCAGCAGAGAGAAACCGGCCAGCCACATTAATTCCCAGATGGTCCATCGCCAGGACTCTGCTTGTGCTGCGAAACCACCGACTAATGGACCTAATACTGGTCCGCAGATGGCGCTGATGCCCCAGATGCCTATCCCGTATGCCCGTTTCGAGGGTGCATACATGTCTGCGATCGTAGCACCGCCCTATCCCATCAGCAACCCATATCGTCATATGGAGTATCATATAGATACATACAGTAGCCAAAGCAGGCGACCCAAAGAAACCCGTCAAAAATCGAAACGCCAACAACGTCCCCAGATTGCCAGCCAGCGCAGTCGGCACCTGCAGCGCCACAAACACAGCCAGCGTAGCGATATACACCGGATTACGCCCAATCTGGGGAATCTCACTCATGGGCGACCAGATCAGCGGACCCAGGCCGTATCCAGCCACGAACAGCGTCAGACCGAGTGTGGCTGCAACGCTGCTGATGTGGAATTCCTGCGTGACAGAGGGGATGCCGGGCGTGAATATGGCACTGCCAATATACACGCTGAAGGTGAGGAGGCAGATTTCCAGCGTCACAAAGGCTTTTTTCCACATCGGCCAGTTTTGGGGGTTCTCATCATCTTAGCACATATTTGTCTATATAGAGATAATACTCACCTCGATGTCTTTCTCATTCCACCAATCAATAACATTCACATCCTTCCCCTTTTCAGGATTAATCCTCACCCCCGTCAACCCCTGGTATTTATGCCCCTTATGCGTCCACGCCGTCGACGGAATCCTCGACACAGAAGCCCCATTACTAACTGCATCGTCATCGTCTTCAGGGCTATCAATTGAGTCCACCCGACCGTGATACGCCATGCGACTGGACTTTTCCAGGTTAATGTAGCGCTGCCATAACGAGGGGTCTTTTTCTTCGGCGTATTGGAAGACGCGGCCGTGGGTGAGGAGGCGGACGAGGTGGCCGGCTATGGAGTCTTGGATTAGGGTGGTCATTTTTCTTTGATTATCTATTATGGTGGCATTTTATGAGTTTGAGATATTGATTTATTTTAGTGGATGTATAGTTGTTTAAGTGTGCAGGCAGTTGTGGTGATGTCGGGATGATGTATGGATGAGCACATCGGTGGATTCTGAATAAACTTGAATAATGCAACAAATATCAGAATGGTTGAAAGCAACACTTTTCAGAGATTTTTAATAAATGAAACAAATGACTAGCTAAAACAGGCATTTCTGAAGCATAATTTCACTAACCCGGAAGAAACCATGTATCGGAAAAAGTAAGAACGTTCATTCCTCGTCTGACATAGCATTGACCAAGTCATTGAGGGAAATAAAGTTCTCGCCGGGTTTTCGCAGTCCAGTTTCTGGGGTTGGTTTATAAGACTTTGCTGATGAATCCACCGGTTTTAGACGATATCCATGATATGTAGAGACCCAGGATTCCGCCAAGGACCGGTATGCTTTGGCTGCTACCATTTCGCTGCAGTAAAAGTTCTGGGGAAACTGCCACGGATAGTAGCATTTGCCATGAGATCCTTTTGTGAAGAAACGTTTATTGTGGACAGCGTTGAGTGCTGATAGGAATACCTGGCAGCCGCGGCAAGACAGTTTAGAAACGCCGATATAAGTGTAGGACTCGTTTTTAGTTTGTATTGCGTGAACCGCAAGTTTAACCTCAGCGTGTACTGAGACATGCCGTCTAACCGCTTCCCTTGCTATGTGCTGGCATTCTTCTGTAACCACATCCATGTCCATCAAGTATTCCTCTCGATGGACACTCGCCGCCATTTCGAAAACTCCTTCCCAGTCCTTGGCGGTGTTGGGAACGGTGGCAACTTTTGCTGTGGAGGAAAGTGCTTTGATATCAAATGGGCACATGAACAGCTTCCTGCACTGGGGGGATCTCGTCGCAGCTTTCAGCGCATTAAGCTGGTTAAGCGGCGTCGTGACCTTGCGGAGGTATTTTTCAAGAGCTGGAAACTCGACAAATCGTCCACTGTTTGGGCCATGGAAGGGCTCTGTTTGTAAAAATGCCTCGATAGCGTCTTGAGTTTCTCTGAGGTAGACGGTGAACTGTCGCCATTTCACTCTGTCCTCTGGTTTTCCAATTTTTGCATTCTCGCGGGTATACAGTAGAGCCAGACCTAGGATGTGTTGACGGGCAGCAAGAAATGGATCAGTGTCTGGCAAATCCACGATGCTAATTGAAAGCAATGCAGAAAGCTTCGAATTAAGACGATGCTTCCACTTGTCAAAGGAGAAGTTTAAACAGAGCTCTGAAAACCGGTGGCTCAGATCCTCCAGTTCACTATCCTTCTCAGAATCAAGTAGGTTTTGTCGATAGACAGATGCCATCGCTTGCATAAGACGCCACATATCCCCAAGATGCCGTTGGGTTTCATCCTCGACTTCATCATTATTCGCAATGAACAAGACAATCCTCATCTCAGGTAGCTGCTTCCACTCCACGGAAATTGCAATAGTTTCCTTGGGCTTGGAGACGCAAAAGGCTGCCAGGGCATCAAGGACTTCTCTTAAGCGAAGGGGATTTCTCGTGGGCGAATTGTCCGGTGCTTCTGTCTGTCGATTGTCATGGGGAATGCGCACTTTGTGGCGTTGCTCGACCTTGCGAATCGCAGCCAGGAGGTTTTGGACATCAACAGCTGTTGGTGGAATCCGTTTCTTTTCCACTGGTTTGAGCTGTGGATTCATTGTGTTTATGTGTAGTCTTTGATAGTTGATAGGTGTGGGTAGGGTATTGACTCTCATGAAAGAAAAGAGAAGAGAAAAGGGAACGAAAGGATCATGTGACATGCAATTTACTTTAGCCAGTGAATATTACTGTCTGCCTATTTATTCATTATTTATATTAACTGCTGTTTTCAGCCTTTAATTCAGGCAGCAAGTCAGCAATAGAACGAAAGCCATCAGGCTTTGGCTCTTCACCCTCGATCTCTACAGATGGATTGGGATTTATTAGATAGCCATGATATCCCGTAACCAACACTTTTGCAACTGATTTATAAATCATCCGTGTCACCGCCTCTTCAAGGTAGAAGTGGCCTGGAAACTGCCATAGATATACCTTTCCATTCGATCTCGAGTACTCCAGTTGTTGTAGATATAGAAGGCAGTGCTTTGGTATCAAACGCATGCATAAATAAATGCCTGCACTGAGGAGACCATGTTGCTGCCTGCAAGACATCCAGCTGGTCAAGAGGTGCTGTAATCTTGTCCAGATACTTTTCCATTGATAGAAATATAGATTATCGCTCATCTTGATTGAAAAGGTCTGTCTACAGGAATTTCTTAATGAAATCCCGTGTTTTTCCCAGATATATCCTATATTATCTCCATTTCATCCTTTCCTCGCCTGGTTTTCCGATTATAGGGCTCGCGCGGGTGTACAGACTTGTAAGGACGTGAATATATTGACGAACAGTGACAAATGGATGATTCTCTGGTAAATCATCAATAGGAATATCAAAGAAAGGAGATATCCTCGAGTTAATTCTCTTCTTCCATTTATCAAAAGAGAAACTCAAACAGAGCTGGGCAAAGCTGTCAAGTAATTCAAACCTCTCATCCTGTCTTTTACTGTGGTAGATTGATGCCATATTCTGCAGTCTGTCACATTTCTCTCAAATGCTGCTGTGTCGTGTCTGGTACTTCAGAGTTGCTGGCAATAAAAAAGGCGACCTTCCGTTTCCTATTAGATATCTTCACATACTCCACAGACAGTGCAATGATCTCATCTTCAACCTTCGAGACACAGAAACCAGCCAGGGCGTCAGGGACTCGTTTCAGTCGGAGGGAATCTCTAGTGGGTGAATTTGCAGGGATACATTCATTCTGGTCGTCTACTGGAAACTGTCGACTGTGGATTTGTTCCAGTTTGTTGATTGCAGCAAGAAGGTTTTGAACATCGAGAGGTGATGGTCTGCCCTGTAGTTTTCTGACTGTTTTCATATTAGCCATTGTCTATTGCTTATGAGATGGTATTGTTGCTCTTATGTGCTTTTGTCGGTGAAGCTTCAGTCAGACATAAGATGACTGCTGTCTACATGATGACAGGTCGACGTAATTGACTTTTTCAATTCCTAAAGATAAGTTCCTGTGCTCAGTCTGATAGTGAACTGTAGTCGAGAAAGTGAGGCTGAATCCTTTAGCTATGCCTGTTAGTATACATACATTCATTGGCCAAGTGACGTGCATGTGTAGACATACTTGGATATGATGAACGGATTTGGATATTGGGGTAGCAGTCGAGTATACAAGGGCAGTGATGCATACAGAGGACTGGTTGATCTGGAGGGTATCACAGTGCCACCTTACCTCTCTATACATGCTGGTCTGGACGAGCATCGGCTATCGTCACTCAGCGTTGATGATATCATGTTTGCTTTTATGTCCAAGAGAGAGGATACAAAGCCAGCTCAATCCCCTCTTCTCGATCATCGTCACTGTTTCACTTCCGGAATACCAGATATCAAAATGAGTGACGATTTTGCAGAAGTCTTCAAAACTCTTATCAGTACAATCTGCAGGTTGGCGGACCGAAGAAAAAGAACGAAAGTCTCTTGCAGCAGCTGGTCATGAAACCGGCACAGCAGTTTTCTGCGGTGTGGAAGGCGACGGTTAATTTGATTGGGACCAGCAAGGTGGATATTGTTGAGAAGGCGAATGATAAAAGTCATAGGCAGTTGGTTGTTAGTAGGGTTTGATGACTCGTATTAGGAATGAGGGTATATAAGAGCCGAGTTCAAATGACAATGCATTTTCTGTTCTCGATCTATAGCAATGTTGAATATCTGATTACTGTCTCTATCTCATCTATATTTTCTAGACTAGAAACGATAAAATTTAGTATAGACTATAGGCATAACTGGACACTGTTGACTTATAGAAGCTCCGTTTTTCATTTGCATTTGGAATAATTAGGCAGATACCTTGAATAATTCCTTATTGATATAGCCATATAACTCTCACTATCAAATGTCGTGGTCGTTTGTAGGATCTAACCATACACGTGACGCACCATCTAGCCTACACATCACATCCCTGGCAGGCAAACACACAACAAACCCTCCTCCAAAACACCCTTTCTAGGAAAATCAGCAAAATGGCCTACCTCGACCTCACCACCCTCGACACCAGCACAACCGCCGTAATCCTGCAGATCCAAATGGAAGAGCTCGAACATCTACACGCAACCAGCAAAGGCAAGGCCCGCGTTGACGAGCCCACAGACTCGGAAATCGCCCTGCAGCTATACATGGAGGACCTGAAACGATGCAACACGATCATGGCGGACCGCGCAATGTGCCGCAGCATGGCGGCGGCGGTGGTGAGCGACGGGCGTGTTTTGGGGCAGTGTGATGCCCTGGAACGGCGGGAGACGAGGGACCATGAGATGGCGAGACAGATGGGTGGGTTGGAGGCGTTTACGGAGGGCGTTCCTGTCTCTGGGGAGGAGGTGACGGATGATACGCTGCTTAAGATGCAGCATTTGTATGTTTCGCCGGTGGATGAGGATGGTGGTGAGGGGAGCTCGGAGGGAGTTGGGAAAGCGAAGAAAGGCTCAGCACAGCGTATTCGATGCGAAGTCTGTCATGAAGATAAACTCTTCTTTGATGTGACGCGGTTGTCGTGTGGGCATGAGTATTGTCGGGGATGTCTGCAGCAGCTGTTCGAAATGTCCATTACTGATGAGTCTCTCTTTCCACCGCGATGCTGTCGACAGTCGATTATCATGAAACATGTTCGGCCTTTCTTAACCTCGGACGTGGCCAAGAGATTCGTGGCGAGAAAACAGGAATTGGAGACGTCGAATCGCACGTACTGTTGCTCGCCGACTTGTTCGTTGTTTATTCCTCCTGGCTTGATTGTCGATGATCGAGCTACCTGTCCTAACTGCAAGACTGTCACTTGCAGCATCTGCAAGTGTGAATCTCACCCTGGCGACTGTCCGAGTGATACTGCTCTGCAAGATCTCCTCCATCTAGCAAAGGCAAACGAGTGGCAGAGATGTTTTTCCTGCCACAGAATTGTTGAACTCAACATGGGATGCCACCACATCACGTACGCCCTCTTCCCATACTCTTATATCATTCACTAACCACCTATCCAGCTGCCGCTGCGGCGCCCAATTCTGCTATCGATGCGGCGAAACATGGAAATCCTGTTCCTGCGATCAATGGGATGAGCATCGTCTTCTTGCTCGCGCCAACCAGATCGTCGACAGACGCGATGCAGACAATCGCCAACCTCGCGCGGTACAGCTGGAAGTAGCAACTCGCCATCTGAGACAGAATCACACATGCAATCACCAGTCGTGGACGTCTATTGGTGGGCCTCAGGCGTGCGAAGAGTGTCATCATCGATTGCCAGCGTATATTTTCCGGTGTCAGCAATGTGGGGTTCAGGCGTGTCATCGGTGTAGGAGGAATCGACTGTAGACTCGTCGTTGGTCGAAGTCAACGGCCGTTTGACACCAGCCTCCCAATCAGTCAGAAACCGGTGCATGGTGCAAAAGATCCCTCCCTTCTTGATATACTCAGTGTACACATTCATGTCCAACAGCGGTTGTATATCACGACCATAAAGTGCCGATTTTGATGCCGGAAGGCCCGAAAAGAAAGTCCAACGAATTTTTTCACTATCCCAGCGCTCTATCTCCCCGATACTCTTCCGGTGAAACGTTACTCGAGCATGGTGATAGAGACAGACCAGGGCAATGTGCATGTTCTTCAGCAATGTCAATTCTGGATCATACTTGTGGAATATTTCTGGATATTCCGTTGCAATATGCATCATCTTATCTTCGAATCCGGAATGCCCACTGATGCCTTCTTCGAACCAGTGTTGGATAAAGTCGCGGCGGATGTTTTGTGTCACTCCTCTCAGGGGGCCATTTTCCCAGATTTCTTGATGAAGGCGAAAGTAGTGCTCTGCAATCTTATGGTTGATCTTATCAAGCCTTTTCTCTTCAACGGCCTTGATGCCCCAGTTGATAACGGCCCATTCCATCCTATCTTTGAGTTTCTTGGAATGCGCCTCAACAGAGATACTTTCCAAATTCCGTAGACTGCAAAACAACATGAACACGACATCATGGCTATATAGCTGTGTCTCTGTCTCTGTCTCCATCTTATCCATATCAACCCAATCAATCCCATCTCGCTTCTGAAACCGAATAACCAATTTTCTAATCCTAGATGCCCCCTCAACCAACCTGATATGTTCAATAACCCTCTCCCTCAGACAATATAATCTCCCCATATCCCCAGGAACAGGCGCCATCAGATTCACAACCACCTCTTCCATCTTGTGCAGCGGCAGACACCCAAACCCTCTCAATGTGGCATTCTCAACGCTAGGCAGATACCACCTTGCTCTGTGGTCATCGGGGTCATCGTCTTCATTCTGTACATAGTGTCGATGGTTAAAGTAAGCGGTAGACCATTTCTCATTGTAGTTATAGAGAGGGAAGATGTCGAATTCTATCGACGAGTGCTGGTATATTGTACTTGAGATTTCGGTGTAGAGGGCTCTGCTGGTACGGAGAATGCTGAGGTCTGACTTTCGACAGCGAACGAGATAGGTATCTTGGCCTGTTGGGACGAAGTGTAGCCAGATTTGCTCGCGGATTTCAGGGGGGAGGGGGGAGAAGTTTCCTAGTGACATTTTGTATAAATGGTATGTATATAGATGTATGTAAAGTGGTTGGTTTTGGGATAATGTAGATGTTCTGGGGAGATGGAATTCATGACTCAGGTAGAGTATAAATGTAGGCAGTTATCATGATGTTCTTTACGTCTTGTAATTTCGATGATGAATACTGATATAACCAACTAGAAATCTTTTGAATTAATCCACCCAGCCTTACTCAAAATCGTCAATTCCCGCAACAAAGGGGAGACTGGACAAGTGGGCTCTAAGATCACAAGGGAGATTGGCAACACTAGAACAGTCAGCTCTTTCTGTAAAGAGTTTCATACATGTCAAGAAAAAAAATACATGAGTGAAGGGCCCGCCTCTAAAAGAATAGCCAATGGCGTGATGCTCTGCCGATTCTATTATTATTGTATCATGTTATATTTTCTAGTATATCATAATAAACATGCAATTACAGATCTATACTTTTAGATCTAGATCTAGATACTAATCTGTGGCAAGATCGCCATCTGATACTGTGTGGTCGTGTGGTCATACTTGCATAACACACATTCTTTAAATAACCATAGGCCAAAAAGGCTACTTTGACCTTCTTAACTATGCTCAGCACACATCAGTATACCTCCATACCTCCATACTTCATCCATAATATCAAAATCAACATCAACTATAACATACCCTATATACAAACAGAAATAATGAAACCATCCCTCCTCCCCCTCCTCCTCGTAGCTTCCACGGCCTCCGCCGGCCCAGCAGCTTACGGCGTCTGTCAGGCCGGATGCTCAGCAGTCGTGATGGCCTGTTACTCGGCTGCTGGCTTCACCTGGGGTGCGACTGCCGGGGCATCTGCGCCTGCTAGCATCCTCGCATGTAATTCGGCTTATGGGACGTGTCAGGCTGCTTGTGCGGCGGCGTTGTTGGCGCCGACGCTGTGATTGATGATATCGGACCTCTTGAGAATGGTAGTTATTGGACTTGAGACTGATTGATTGTTGGTGACGGGTGCTTGCTATCAGCTTACTGTAGTCGACAATCTATGTCTTTTATCAAATGGTTACTATGTGGAAGAGCAGTTGGACTTGTGGAAAAATTGTGCCATGCATTCCTTCTTCTTTTTCTCTTTAAGCATGGGCTTTGCATTATCAACGGTTGATATGTGAAAACCAAGGCAGAATGATTTCTATGTTCGGTCTTTTGATTACTAGTAGATATAATTCGGTTAAATGATTTAATATAAGACAGTATAATCATCTCATCAGCTGTTGTCCTGAGGTTTCATTGCCTGGTGGAGTGAGATGGGCAAAATGTGCCATATATTCCTTCTGTTTCTACGGATGGGTTGATTCACTACGGCAGTACTGGAATGACAATCTGTTTAATAATATGGCACGCTCATTAATAAGTCAATTCACTTATATGGTATACTTATAATCTAACAATCATTTACTGCTTGAGCTTCTCAGTCAACTCGGGCACCTTTTCAAACAAGTCACCCACAAGTCCAACATCAGCAACCTGGAAGATAGGAGCATCCGCATCCTTGTTAATAGCAGCAATGACCTTGCTGTCCTTCATACCAGCCAAATGTTGGATGGCACCGGAGATACCCGCGCACAGGTACAGCTGGGGAGCAACGTTCTTGCCGGTTTGGCCAACCTGCAAGCTGTTGTCGGCAAAGCCGCTGTCAACGGCGGCACGGGAGGCACCGATGGCCGCGCCCAGGGAGTCGGCCAGGGGCATGATGACTCGGTCGAATTCCTCCTTGGACTTGAGTCCACGACCACCGGAGACGACGCGCTGCGCGGTGGCCAGGTCGGGACGCTCCGACTTGGCCAGCTCCTCGGACACCCACTCGGTTTGCGAGGGAGCCTTGGGGTCTGCTCCTTCGACGATCTCGGCGGATCCGCCCTCGGTCTCGGTGCCCTGGAATGCGGTTCCTCGGACGGTGATCACCTTGATGGAGTCGGTCGACTGGACGGTGAGGATGGCGTTTCCGGCGTAGATGGGGCGGACGAAAGCTGCGATCGTTAATTCAACATATTCCCCTGTCTATCCAGTCGGTACGTACTGTCTTCGCTCTCAATTCCTGTAATGTCCGAGATCTGCTGCACGTCCAACAAGGCAGCCACACGGGGCAAAAGACTCTTTCCAAAGGCAGTGTGACCAGCAACAATATGGGTGTATTCGCCCTTCTTAATGTTCTCCACAAGAAGAGGTGCAAAGTTCTCAGGCAGACCCTATTTTAATCAGCCATGTCCCAATCCCATACCACCCCATAGAATAAGAAATCCCACCTTCTCATAAGCTTCATTATCCACCGCCACCACCTTCTCCAAACCCTTAATCTTAGCCGCCTCGGCAGCAGAGCTGCCCTTCACCCCAGCACCGGCCACAAACGCCGTAATCGAGCCTCCGAGTTTCTGTGCGGCAGCGACGGCCGAAAGCGACGAGTTCTGGAGCTTGCCTTCGCGCTGTTCGAGCACGGCCAGGGTCGAGAGGAGGCGGGCAAGAGCCGAGGACGTGGGCTGGTTGAACACCCGCGATGGGTAGAACTGTGCGCGGGCAGCCCGCAGGACCGAGTGTCTGGCGAGTGGAATCATCGTGTGTGTGTATAGTAGGATTGAGGTGTGAAGTGTGCACTGAAGAGAGCGGCGGAGATTCTGACGATGCTTCTTGCTGCGGGCGGCACGAGGTTATCGTCGGAGGCGGCCAAGAGAGTGAGCCGATCCTCGGAGTCCTCGGTTACTCACCGTACGACCTCGTGAGAGTAGCCTATTCGTCGGTCGACGGGATTTAATTACTATAATGTGTTTACATATTATGTAGAATGGAATACTGGGTAATCACAGCAAGACTTTTGATTCTTAAGGGGTATTGAAAACACGCCCTGTGTCTAGTAAATGACAAAATTGACACACGTGACATTGGATACGCCGTAATCCCATAGTACTCTGCAATCGACAAATACAATCCGTAAAAGAAACAAACACCTGGCGATATATTTTAAAATTATGCAGTCGTCTTCTTCTTCTTCTTTCCTGCCCCCGTGGCGCTCTTGGCCGTGTCGCCGTCCGCCAGGGCCTTGGCCTTTTGCTGCTGGAGCTTCTCTTTCCGTGCGGCATCTTCTTCGTCGACAGCGGCCTTGGGCTTCTTGGTCTTCTTGCTTCCTTCCAGTAGCTTCTCCTCACCGTCGCCTGTTGACTTGCGCTTCTTGTTGGCGCCTTCAATGGCCTTGGTCTCCTCGGCATCCTCCACCACGTCGGCGTCCTCCACCCACAATTCGCTGGCCAGCCAGATCGGCATGGCCATGGTGTTGGCGCCCTTGATGTGGAGAGCCTTGATATTCCTCCAGCCCTTTGTAACAAACTTGTCGGTCAGACCCTTGACAACGGCATCGACGTTCTCCGCCAGCTGCTCAGCGGTGAACTTGGAAGAACCGACGCGGATAGCGGCGGTGGTGGCCGGTGCAAGCTGCACAGCGGCGCAGTTGAGGGTCTTTTCAATCTCCTTGGCCACGATCAACGGGGAGGCGAAAGCGCTGACGGTCTCCTCCTCCTTTGTGGTCTTCTTCTTAGGATCCTTCTTCACCTTCTTGCCATCCACCTTTTCAATCTCGGCAATGCGAACGGGAATAGGCCGCTTGCTGGACTTGTAGAAAATCTTTCCGAGCGTGTTCACCAAGCGCATGATGATCCGGTCATCAGCCAAAAACACATCGTGCTCGGCGAGCAGCTGCCGCCGGCTCTCGAAGCTCTGGTATCTAGCCTTCAATTTCGAAAAACCAATGACCTTGTCGATGCGGGAGGAGAGAGATTGAGGGAAGGAAGGATCAGTCACGATGTTCTTGACCGCGCGCTGGGGGTCCGCGGTGATGAGACAGACGCTTAGCGATGGCGAGGCGTTGAGCGAGTGTGGGATGCTAATCTTGCCGGGCTTGAGGCGGTTCTTGTCCACAACGTGCTTCTTGGTGGTGAGCACCAACCAGACGGCCTCGTTGTTGAGGGGACCATCTTCTGCGTCCGACTCGTCGTTGTCTCCGATCAAAGTCTTCTTGGTCGCAGACTCTTCCTTCTCCAGCTGTTTCGATTTAATGTGGCGCAAAAGTGCAGACGAAGCTTTAGCGACCTAGATGCCATTAGCATTTGCATTGAAGTTTTAAGACCGCACAATTAGGACATACCTGGCTGTTGTCGAGCTGGTAGGGCGAACCCGAGGTCAGCTTTGTTGTGAGGGCAGTTGAAGACGGCATTTTGGCTGATTTTGCAACTGCTGAAATTCGACTGCTCGATCGTCTCAATTTCTGCGATAATGAAATTCAAAAAAATTCGCGGAAGGCGGTGGGCTTTTGTCCGGTCTTGGCGCGGGATGCTTAGTCATCTTTTTCTACATCAGACATGTTTATACAGAGTATTTTTCATGAATATTCACAGTTAATGCATTGGTGATTTCTGTTATATTGTATCATTAAAGCGATTGTTGCCAATATTCAAGTTGGGTTAGTAGACAGTACGCCGTACGGAGAGCATATCCGGTTGTCTCCAAGATGTGGGATAGCATTTCCGATATTAAGCATCACAAATCATACGACATTTTCATTTGAAGAATGCCAGTTAAACAAGATAAACACTCAGTTAACGATATAAGATGCATATAGAGGGATAGTAGATTGCGGGGTACTCTATGCGAACTCGGATTAAAATATCTCATTCCTTAGGTATGGATTCTACATCTTCCGCATTCCCCGCCAACCCAACAATATAAACATATGCTTGACAAGTCCAAATCTAAAGTCAACACCAAATTGAAATTGAAATGAGTATATATTTGACAATTTTGTTGACTGGAAACAATACTCGTAGCGACAAGAAAGCGGGGTATTCCAAGGTAGTTGAACAGTGCCACCAAGTACCATAGAATGATGACCCTGATATCACGATCAACCGTCAAACCTTTTACTAACCAAGGATACATGTCTTCTTGGGTCTTCCATCCAGCTAAATATAGAATCTAACATTCAATCAAGTAAGCATATATACTCTTTCAGGTGGCGAGAATGTAGGTCCGAGCCCCATGGAAAAATCGACGGTATCCATGTGAAAACTATGTATTAGGTTGTTATCAGGTAAAGCATGATCAATTTGATTCTGAATATATTTATTGGGCATGTCAGATGGTTGGAGGTCTGAAACAGCCGTGGAGTTATGATGCTGAAGATAGCAAGGCTAGATACTTATCTGCGGTGCATACTGAGTCATGGGTAGGATAATAGATGGGAATATGCTCAAACGTATAATATGTAGACTAAACATCAGGAGTTCTATGCATCATAATATCTCGTATGGATTGCCCCTCAATTTCGCGGATCCGTCAATATATCAACTTCCTGGTATGAGGAAAATGGGATATGACAAGCCTAGCAGAAATACTGCTTAGATTGCAGAGATCGATAGATGTAACATAATAGAGTCCTTAAGCTGATCTATGCGAACTCACTTTTTTCCAAACCAAACTAAATAAAATCAAATCAATCTGACTGGCCAAGTCCATCGAATAAATCCTCTTATACATCATTTCCATCAATGGATGGTTCTCGAAGCTATTCGACATGTGTATTACCCCTCTTCTCCACAATCCCACCATCCAATTGATCTAATCTGCTATGTAATACCCAGAGTCAGCATTTTCGAACGTGTATATCGAACAGGATCTGGAGTAGAAACCCTGTTCGTGTGAAATAGATATGATGTCACAGGCAAGAGTGACTTTATGTATTGACTGTGACATCAAGTGCATAAGAAATTAGTATTCCTTCTGTACTATGTATGCATGTTGGCAAAGAGTGGTTCTCGCAACTCCATGGAAAACTACAGCCTAGTTGGATAGCCGAGTATGAAACACGTCCCAGTCGGATCCGAGACAGAAAGTAGATAGTTTGTACTACTTTGCTGGATCAACACCTAAAAAGTCGACAGAAGAAATCAAAAAGCTTCCATCGCCTGCAATAGGATGGACGAATAAGCATCGCGTATTTTGTACGGGGCATATACCCGGAAAAGTGAAGCCACGCAAGCACCAGCTAGTGATATTATGCTGCTAGGCTAAATCGCTCCGCGATATCCGAGAGCGCATCTTTGCGATGGTGAGGTATTAAGCTTTCAAGCGAATGACATGTGAATCATACTGCAGTAGTAGAGTGGAAATGGTTTTAGAGCTAGGCTGATGCTGACGACAGCACCTTGATGGCTCGATCGGTTATCGGGAAGATATATTGGCATGTTATCTGCAGTTCGTGGGAGTTCGTCGGGCACAATTATTGATTAAATATTGGAAGTCTGTTGGTGTTGGGTTCTTCTGACAGGTTTCAGAACACTCTTGAACCGGAAAATCCAGAGAACAGCATGAGGATGGAAAGACTATTAAAGTGGATAGGGATAGGCCCTACGCAGAGCACGAACCACTGGGTGGGATGGAGTAGCCGTCAGATTATGGATTCATCGCTAATTACTCCTAATTAAATATGGAGACTCTGGACCGACTGAAGGATAAAAAGCAAAGACAAGATGGATCTAGCGAGGACAGGTTAGAGCAGATGAGTGGAAGTGTATCTTGCTGGTGCCACCGCGCAATATATGCACAGAGGCAATATAGGAGGGGAAATGATGATGCCTAACCGTGGAAGACCATTACTCCATCAAATGATACACAGCCACGAGTTCTCCAACCGAGTCCGACAATAACAACAGTCAACCAGAGTGTTCAGTGTTTGTTGTCGGTCCTGGCAACATCTTAAGTTGTGATGTTCAGGACCAACGGGCTCTACTGCACCACAACACTCCGCAACGGCCTCCTAGCATTGGGATGAGTGTCAATCGTCCCCCTTTTTTAGGAACAAGTCGCTGGATGATTGGATTCGATGCAGATCCAAAAGTGGGCTCTGTTCCGTGGAGGATGGCGGTATTTTACGTACTGCTAATACGCTCGGACAGACTTGCTGTCGTCCTTTTTGGCTGTCTGGACGGGTTATGTACGGTAACTTCGGTACCAGGCACAGACTGACCGTTGACAAGTAAATTGCAGCATGCATAACAAGAATCCATAGCCTTACCGCCAGTTGAGAATAATTAATCCATGCAAGAAGGAAGAGGATCGTACATGAGACACACCCTGGAGCGGCCAGCCGTGGAAGTACCTGCGGCACGATGGATGCTGATTGGCGTTCCTGATTCGGAGGGGGGAATCACTTCCATGGAGTTTCCAGGGCTGGTTGCCAAGTCTGTCAATGCCCATTGGCCAGACCCCCTGGGTGGTAATTTCGGTAACCGCCAAGTCTGGGTCATATTCAGGAACAGGAAAACATTAAACAGCCGAGTAAACCTTGGAAGTGTAAATCCATATCGTTATTATTAGGGGTGTTCTTGATTCTTCCACCATTGATTACAGACTGTATAGTACTGTATTGTAAGTCCAGAGAGTCCAGACTGTGCATGGGAAAATAGAAAATAAAAATAAAAAGGAACACGCACTCTGGCTGGCTTTGGGCCACACTAGACCCCACTGTGGCTTGCTGCCTCTGATGCCCGGACCCCTGTGATTGGGCTGTTCCTGCTTGGCCTTGTTTCCACCGACAACCGCCAGCAAAACACTGGCTGTGATGATTACCTTCAGCCGGTGGGGCCCCCTATTATTATTACACTGTGTATTGCCTCTTCAACCGTGCCAAACACTGTGCGGACTCGCTTTCCCACTCAACTAGACCCCCCTGGCCCTCCCTGCCCCTGGGCCGCGCCAGAGTCTAAATCTCCAATTCCTTTTCATCTCCCTTGAACCGCCCTCTTCTGTCGCGATCTCTTCCTCTCTCTCTTTCTCTCCGCTTCTTCTCTCTCCCCAGCGTTTCGTCTCTACTGTCTTTTTTGTTGAGATTTCCTATCCGACCTGAGGGAACTTTCGTGTCTCTCTCGCACACTCTTTTGGAAACCTTTACGCTCTCTCGACTCCATTCTCGGCGATCCGCCTTTGATACACCGTCCCCGCGACTCTCCCATTCCTGTACAGAAGTATTTCCCAAGCGCGCGACTGGTTTGCCGTTCATGTATGTACACAACACGTCTTTGGCCTCCCCGAATTGTCATCTTTTGCGATTGGTTGTTCGAATTGCTTGGTCTGGTCTATACTCCGAGGTTCTGGACCTGCTAGCGACGGTCACACAAGGGCTGCATGGCATCATGTCGCAGCAGATCAACCTTGTTCGCTCATCGGGATCGTGACTGTTACGAGATGCACGCATGGTGCTTGTGTACCAGGCCTAGACTGCCATTGGACTACTATCAGATATTGTTATGACCATGACTAACTCATCCCTCTACAGATAAACAGTCGACAGAAACATCAAGATGAAGTTCAACAACATTGCCCTTTTGGCGACAGCAGGCATCGCCGTTGCCCAGCCTCACCACCACGCCCACCGTCACCACCACAAGCGTGGGGTCGTCGAGAAGCGTGAGGTCGAGGTTGCCGGTACCACGGTCTACGAATTCAAGCTCGGCGACGAAGTCATTTCCTCCACCCAGGCCTGCGATGGTATCGAGAGTGGCCTTTACAACTGGGCTGCTGGTGTCGATGGTGCCGATGCTTGCCCGTCGAGCTCCTCCGCTACTCCCACCTCGACCCCTACCCCCACTTCGACTCCCACTCCTACCACCACCCCGACTGTCCCAGCTGCTCCCGCTGAGTTCTTCGAGACCCCTAGCTCCTCGGCTACCCCCACTCCTGAGCCCACCAGCTCGGCCACCCCTTCGCCTAGCTCGGTCTCCTCCGCTGCCCCCGCTGCCAGCAGCAGCAGCTCCTCCAGCTCCTCCAGCTCGTCCGCTTCCGGTATCGACACTGACTTCCCCGATGGTGAGCTTGACTGCGACACCTTCCCCTCCGAGTACGGTGCCGTTTCCCTCGACTACCTCGGCCTCGGCGGTTACTCCGGTATCCAGTACGTCAAGGGTGACCTCCTGAACGGCCTCATCACCTCGATCGTTACCGCCGTCACCGGTGACAGCTGCAGCTCGGGCGCCATGTGCTCTTACGCCTGTCCCCCCGGCTACCAGAAGTCCCAGTGGCCCAAGTCCCAGGGCTCTACTGGCCAGTCCATCGGTGGTCTTGAGTGCAAGAACGGAAAGCTCTACCTCACCAACAAGGACCTTTCCTCCAAGCTTTGCACTGAGGGTGTTGGCGGTGTCCACGTCCAGAACAATGTCGGTCAGCAGGTTGCTGTTTGCCGTACTGACTACCCTGGTACCGAGTCTGAGACCATTCCCCTTGGCCTCGGTGACACCGAGCTCCAGCCTTTGACCTGCCCCGATGGTGAGAAGTACTTCAAGTGGCAGGGCAAGACCACCTCGGCCCAGTACTACGTCAACAACAAGGGTGTCTCCACCGAGGAGGGTTGCCAGTGGGGTGACGGCAGCAAGCCTATTGGTAACTTTGCCCCTATCAACCTTGGTGTCGGCCAGAACAACGGCAAGTGGCTCTCCATCTTCCAGAACAGCCCTACCACCACCGCCAAGCTCGACTTCAGCATTGAGATCAAGGGTGATAACCTGAGCGGAAGCTGCAAGTACGACCACAACACCGGTAAATTCACCTCCGAGACTGGCTCCAACGAATCTGGATGTACCGTTGAGGTTCTGTCCGGTGATGCCACCTTCGTACTCTCTTCGTAAGTGGCATCGAGCCGGCCTCCAGCATCTGACACATGAGCGATGTGAACATCGGCTGCCACCAACCGCTTCATCCGGCCAAAACAATTCAAATGGGAGGCCATTCACGACTCTGCCCGCCTATATTATGATATGTAGCCCAGTGCGCTTGCTTTCTTCTGTGTATCTTAACATATTGTTTTTGGAACCTGGATCCCCATCCTGGTTGTCTTTTGCGTCTCTTGTTTATTTTTGGGGACAATTGTGGTTAGATTTCACTTCTCGGGGTCAAATAACTTTGATTTCAAATTTTTTTTTTTCTTTTTATCTTCTGGTTATCTTTTCTATATTCCTTTTTTTCTATTCTCTGTGCAGTGGACTGAAGATTGCATATCCGAAAATAATGGTCTTAGACTGAGCTGCCCAAGTCAATTTCGCAGTATATATACCCACTGGATATCTGGAGGAGGCTGGGAGGTTGGTGGTCTTGTATGTTGATTGCTGAATGCTGATCGATATCGCGTGGGATTTTGTACATTTGTTTTTCTTTTGTATAAGAGTATTTCATTAGTCTTAATGTTTCTATTTTTGTTGGTATATATAAATAATGTAAATCTATCGTTGGTAGTTTATACCAGAGGGCTAAACTTATGCACGTAGACAGGGTCATCATGACTATTGGCAAGGCTATCCGTGATATGAATAGTGATGTACCAGAGTAGACCGCCAGAGGTTCACCATATTTATCAAAGCTAGGGATGCTATCTAGTAGTATATGATGTCAATTGACAGATTGACAGTTGGTACTTGGTGTAACGATGGTCTGTATATAGCCTGCCACGACGTCGTATGCCTCATTATTGTCGGTGACCCCTTCGTCCTCACCCGTCTAGTTTTCGTCTTCGAAATAGATCGCCTGGATGAACGCGGCCCCTAGTGCAAATAATTTATTCAATGACTGGATAGTACGGCGTACCCGGTAAGGTGTTTCTGTGCATATCCAAGAATGTCACCCAACAGCCATCAGGTGGGGGTGTGTGGGCGGTCGGTGAGTATGGATGGAAAGTGTGGCCAGAACAGAAATGGCTGGCGGTTGGGTAACATACAGTATGGACAGGGGTATCCATCTCTGTGTGTGTTTTCAGGGTTTCGATGACTCGCATGTATTGGGGTGGTGATGTCAGTATGAATGCTGCAGCTGATTATCAGCGGTGCTGGGTCTGGAGGGGCGAGTTTGATTTGATTGATAGTGGGCAACGCTACTATTAGGCCATATTTTGTTGGTTTTTGAGATAGATGCTATGATTCTGTGCTCTTTAGAAGCTCAATTTTCTCAAAACACATTTTTTGACGTTTCGAATACCTTTTCTGTCACTGATTTTACCATGCAGTCTGCTCTGCCATCCGCCAATCAGATGCCAGAAAACTCTGCAGTCACCACATGGTGATGCCTTTTCCGGTATAGCGTCATGCACTCTTTCGCCGAGGCGAACTGATGCAGCGTCACGTGATGCAACGGATACCCGTGACTCGAACCAAAGAACGCGAGGCACGTGATTCTAGACGCGGGGGGACGCGACTTGTACTGCTGGGATATAGAAGCCGCAAGAGACAAGGGGATACAAGAAAAAATTGGTTGGAAGGAGCACACTATATTTTCATTAATTTGCGCGCAGACTCTGTCACAGACGATGCGGTGCAACGCATATTTCTGGACGGCCAGGCTGTGAAAGCTGCGCGAAGTGCGTGGTGGAGCTCTTTTTTTTCCCCTGCGACCTCGTCGGCGCCTATCGAACGCGTCTCGGGGTGTAAGCGTGCATTTCCGCGCTGGACTCTCCGTTCCGGTAGGCATTCCTCCACCACACACCACTCCTTCACCCTTTTCTGACCAAGGCCTTTTCTCGTTCCTTCTTACAGTCAAATTCCCTGGTCTCCCAACCTCCTGAATCTCGTTGAGGGAGAGCGGCTTTTGATCTTTTCTTTCCCTTGACTTTCACACGTCTTTTTTCTTACCATCCTTCTATCACTGCCCTTGACTGGTGATTTTTTTAGGCATAGAACACGTCTTCGACGCGAGTCAATTGGTCTTCTACTTTCTTTACCTTCTTCTTCTCTCTCTCTAGTTGTGACCATCCTATAGTAGCTTGCCTCTGCTTAAGCTATTCCATATCCATCATGGAGTCTTCTCCTCCAAGGAGCAATTCTGTTGCTCCTGTGGCAGGCGTGAAGCGTCCAGCAACCTTGTTGCCGGCTTTTGAGCCATTGAGTTCCTCCCCTTCTCTTCCCAGACCTCAGAAGCGTGTAGCACGCGAAAACCATGGCATCGTATCCATGTACCCGACTCCGGTCCCGACATCGTCGACGCATATCATGTCCTCGTCGCCCCCGAGAATGGCCCTGTCACGCTCCCGTACCTTTTGCTCTAGCAGCTCCGAACGAACGCCCCTGTCCGCCGTCCCGACCCTGATGCTCTCCGAGAATGGCGAACCGCTTCGCATGGGCAGATCCAGTGCCTCCTGCCAGCACCAGCTTGCTGCCAACCGTATGATTTCTAGAGTCCACGTCCAGGCCACGTACAAGCCCGCCCCCAACCCCTTCGACCGTGACCGGGTTGAGATTATGTGTATGGGATGGAATGGGATCAAGCTCCACTGCCAGGGGAAGACATACGACTTGGCCAAGGGAAAGACTTTTACGTCCGATATCAAGGATGCCGATATTATGATTGATGTTCACGACGCACGCGTCTTGATTCAGTGGCCCCGGGCTGAGAAGAAGGATTATGCATCGACCGATTCAGAGCAAACATGGGAGGAGACCACCCCAAGACGAAAGGCAAAGTCACGTCGGAGTCTGCAGGACAGTCCGCTTGTCGAACATCAGCGTCTGGCTTCTCCTGTCTCTCCTTCCCCTGCTGCCGTTCAGGCCGCCCTGATACCCCCATCCTCGCCTCTGTCTACGCCTACTCGTTCGCGTAACGCGGTCGTTGTGTTTGAAGATGAGGCGTCTCCTGTTCGCCGGAATAACGCTTCAGATCTCGCCGTGTCTGAGGGTGCTAAGAGCGCTTCCCAACGTGTAGAGGACATTCTGTCGAGCTCGCAGTCAAGTGATATCAGTGATCTGAGTAAGCCTGATGACTTGTCTGATCACGACGAGGAGAATGATCCCATCGTGCACTCCTTTGGACCGTTCGGTGAGAATATCCTCCCGAGAATGGCCTCGTTTTCCGCTGCCGATTCGCCAATTCGGTCTTCTTTCGCTTCGCGGTCCCAGCCTGCAGCTCAACCTCTTCAGCCGAGTTACTCCCCAAGACAGCGATCCAATACTGCTGAGCAGAGAGTCGAACCCGTCGTCCGAACCAAGGAGTTTGAGGAAGCCATTGAGCGGATCCAGAACCATGCCGTCAACCAACTTGCCTTTTCCCGGCTGTCCTCGACTCCTTTCTCGACTATCTTGAACAACCTTCCCCCTACCATGTGGAAGCGTGAGGACCGCTCCAAGTCTGGACCGTCCAAGACTGACATCCGAGCCATCATCGATGCTACCAAGTGCATTGGCAAGGTCGCCCGTGAAGGCAAGGATGCTGCTGGCAAGCCACTCGAAAGTGAATACTATTACATTCCTGACTTTGATGATGACGACATGAGACGAGAAGCCGTTGTCCATGATCTCCGGAAACCAGGTCTCCGAAACTGCCGGAAACAACACAAGGTTCGACCCCTCAATCCATTTCCTATTGATCTATACTAATATCTTCCTAGCAATATTTCTGGCGGAAGCCGAAATAAGCTGCCACCCGGTCGATAAATAAAATTTCCTTTGTTCGATTCTTCCGATGCCTTCTGATCGCCCGGATGATTCTCGTTCTTAGTACATAGTTGCAATGCTCGATTTTTCCCTTTACGTTCAAGTACTCGCATAGCGTGGCGTGGGACATACCCTGTCTTGATTTTTATGTTGTTGAATGAAGGTGTATGATGTTATTTTTTACCCTTTCTTCCTTTCTCCCTTTCCGACTCCCTTTCCTCCTTTCCAGTTTTTGTTCTCCCTCGAGTTCGAAGTACTCCTTTTCCCTTGTCCACGTGCAATGTTTTACACTTCTCTTTTGTCTGACGGCGGCCTTGGTACCCTTCAAAAGATCAATTTCCCCTGGACTTCATATGATTTATCCTTTATATCTTCGACCTGTCACCAGCTTGTCTGCTGCTGGTGTTTGTGTTGTTTGTTGTCAACTTTGGACACCATTATGATTGTATGCTATCTGTTTCTGGCAGAATAAAATTTACTTATGTTCGAATATCTTCAAGTCCGTGCATGCGCATTGACTAGGTTGTATACTTCTATTTAAAAATCACGTGGTACCACGTCATGATGGATGATTGAAGGATAAATTCGACTTCACTAGAACAACCATCACTAACTGACCAAGCTATCCACCAACTGAACTTGATGACCTGACTAGTCTAATAGCTGATACTACTGCCTGTTACATAGTATTTGCCTCCAGAAGAAATGGCCTCATGACCGGATCAAGACGTCAACCACGCTCATCCTTCCATCGCCACATGGACAAAACCATCACTCCATCCCATCCAACTAACTAACCCACCCTCCACTCACCTCATCTTACAGATAGACAGAACCCACTATGCCCATGCCCAAACCAAAAATACCAAGAACAATCCCAACCGGCCACAAAAACCCCTTCTCCGAACCCACCCCGGACGAACACATCCTCTTCCTCCCCGCAAACCCATCCTCTACACCCACACCAGCCCAGCCACCTTCTACATCACCGGATAGTATGCGACAGCGCGAGCGCGAGCGCGGGAGCCCACCGAAACCGATGATTCGGAGACGTCAGAGTTGGGGCGAGAAGGATCGGAGAGCGGAGATGAGGGCGAGGCTGTTGGCGGGGGAGAGGGAGGTGGGGAGGGAGTTGGAGTTTGTGGATGTTTTTTTGGGGAGGTAGATTTCTGAACAATTTGCTGTATATGTAATATGTATCTTGGTTGTGTTTAAGGGTGGTGATGGTGGTTATGGCGATGTGATGGTGATGGGTTGGGATTGGCGATGGGGCTATGGTGATATGGATATTAGTTGGGACTGGATGAATTGGGCAGTACTTTAGTATGAGGAATCAAGTGATAATATAGTTAATATTCACAAGACAAATAACCACCATTCAGTTACTTAGGTAGACAGCAAGATAATCTGTATAGACTGCAAACTCCGGATAAACCCCGCAAGCAAAAAGTGCCCGCCTTTGCACAACCAACGGGACCAACCAACCGCCTCCGGCCCTCCCACCTTTCGCCATCATCACCGATTCATGACTCCCACTATCTCCTCTCCATCCCCATCCCCAATAAGATAAAAAATAGCAGAACGCGCAGGAATCTCGCTCCGTGTGCGCATTCCTGCTCCCCGTCCTGGCTCTCACCAATGTGGCGTTCAAGTCACTCATGCGCTTTCCTTTCGGACTCTCTGAAGGGACCCCACGACGATTGAAAACGAATATCATATAATAACCCCCCCGAGAATTGGCAACGGACTGAGCTGAGTTGGAGCTGAGAAATGGATCGTCCAAGAAAGCGTATGCATTGCTGGATATTATTATATTTTTGCTTTTTTTATCATTTCTGTTTGTGATGTATTTTTTTTCTAACGCGGATCTACCTATCTAGGGGAGCTCCGCGATTTGAACGAGAGAGCTTGGAATGGCGAAAGTGGTAAGTCACTATTCTTATTCAAAAAGGCAACACAACCAACCATTTATGACGGATCTAATACTGTTTTTCAAGATCTCTTCCCAGTTAGCAAATCGCTTGATTCGGCCTTGAAGAAAAACACGGCCTTTATCAAGCGTCTCCGCACGGGGATCAACGCCCCCTCCCAACAAACCTTCCTGGGCGACATCCGCACCCTCTCGCTGCACAAGTACCTTTCCGAAATCATCTCCGCCTGCTACGAGGGTCTCTGCAAGCTCAAGTCCCCCGGGGAGATTGCCGCCGGCGTCGAAATCACAAGCGCACTGCACCAACGCTTCGGACCGGCTGAGTTTACCCGACAGATTGGATGGTTACTTGGTCGGGGATTGAGCACGCCTGACAAAGGGCAGTTGAAGGCGCTTAGTGCGGAGGTGCGCGAGCGCGAAGAAAAAGAACGGCTTTCTCGACACCGGGTGTTGCTGCGTGTGGTTTCGGAGTTGTGGCTGGTGGGTGTGTTGCGGACATTGGACGATATCGAACGACCTGAGGATCTGGGCGCGAAGGGTAAAGATGGTGTTGTTGGGATTGGAGCGAAGCCGGCAGATGGGTTTTCCAAGGTGAAGGTGGCCCCGTCGTCGACATCTGCTGCGAGGGATTCAGACAAGGAGGCCGAGCCGTTTCCCTTGGAGGTTTTGAAGGATTTGCTGGGTCATGATCGCGACCATACGAATCTTCCGCTTGCGGTGTTGTTTGTCAAGAGCTTTAGCTGGGATATCCTTGGTGTGAAGACGATTGATGAAGGGAGGAAGACGGTGGAGGCGGATGGTGCTACGACCGCTGCGGATACGAATGGGGAGAATACGGCAGACGCAGAGAACGACCCCCCGTTGACGCCCGAGAAGGCCCAGTTGCGCTTTAAGAGCATTCTGAACCGGTACTTGGAGGATGTCAAGGCGCATGTAGTCCGCGATCAGAGAGCGTTGGCGACGCAGAGTCGCCGGAACGCAGAGGCTTATGTGAAGAGTGGCGAAATCTTCGAGGACCGGCAAGCGAATTTCGAAAAGCAGACCAAGTCCCTGGAGAAATTGGTTGCGAATACACAGGTTCTGTGTGAGGTTTTGGGGGCTGAGATGCCGGTTTTGCCGGAGCAAGAAGCGACCGATCCGGCGTCGAGTGGTGGCATTGGGCTTGTGAAGACTACTGAGTATCTCCGGGGCCAAGGCGAGGGTGCAGGTATCTGGGAAGACGAGGAGGAAAGACGATTCTACGAGAACCTGGTCGATCTTAAGGGCAAAGTGCCCGCGGTTTTGCTGGAGGACGGAAAGAAAAAGAAACCCGAATCCGAGGAAGCAGGAAAGAAGAAGCCGGATGGCGAAGCAGCGGCCGAGACAGGAGCAGAGAAGCCTGAATCTGCCAGTCAAGCTGCAGCCTCGGAAGAGAAACCTGCAGAAACAGATGACCAGTCTACGGCCATTGCAAGCAGGACCGTTGGTGCTCAGGTGGACGCGCTCTTGTCCAAGCTTCCGGATTTGCAGTCGAAAGACCACGTCGATCAATTTGCGCTGGACTTTTGTTTCGTTAATTCCAAAGCATCAAGGAATCGTCTTGTCAAGGCTGTGTCGGATGTGCCCAAGGGCCGGATCGACCTGCTGCCTTTATACTCTCGTCTGGTTGCGACTCTCGGGCAGTATCTTGCGGATATTCCTCAAGGTCTGATCACTTACCTGGACGAGGAGTTCCGGAGTCTCCAACGCCGGAAATCAAAGGAATTCCTCGGTCAGGTTAGAATGAGTAACATTCGTTACCTTGCGGAGTTGACCAAGTTTGGTGTTGTTCCGGAGCATATCATCTTCCACTGCTTCAAGGTCTCGCTTGATGACTTTTCGCGCATGAACATTGAAATCATCGGTCACTTGCTAGAGAATTGCGGACGCTACTTGCTTCGGAACCCCGAGACTGCTCCCAGAATGGCCTCGTTCTTGGAGACTCTCGGGCGAAAGAAGACTGTGCAGCACTTGGGTCAGCAGGAGCGGATGATCATTGAGAATGCGGTCTACTATGTCGATCCTCCTCCGCGGCCTGCTATCCAGCAGAAGGAGCGCACGCCTATTGAATCGTACATCCGCAGATTAATCTACATGGACATGAACAAGCGCAACTATACCAAGGTTCTGAAGTCAATTCGGAAACTCCACTGGGAGGAGCAGGATGTAAGTTGCAATTTTGGGGGTTTATTCCTCTAGATACCTTGCTAACCGTCTTCGCTCAAGATTGTCGATATTTTGGAGCGTATGTTCAGCAAACCTGTCAAGGTCAAGTACGGCAATATCCACCTTCTGGCAATTCTTGTCAGCGCTCTGTACAGGTATCATCAGGACTTTGTGGTTGGCATTGTGGACAACGTCCTTGAGCAGATTACTCTAGGTCTTGAGCAGAACGACTTCAAGTTCAACCAGAAGCGTATCGCCGAAGTCAAATATCTTGGAGAGCTGTACAACTACAAGATGATCGATTCGCCTGTGGTGTTTGATACTTTGTACCGCATTGTTACATTCGGATATGAAGGCGGCACGCCAATTCCTGGAAGGATTAACGTTCTGGACTTGCCGGATGACTTTTTCCGGGTTCGTCTGGCTTGCACTTTGTTGGATACATGCGGTCATTGCTTCGATCGTGGATCTGCTAAGAAGAAGTTGGATTTCTTCTTGACTTTCTTCCAGGTATGCTTCTACTGACTACTGGCGCTCTATTTGTGCCTAGGACTGATCTGTTTTAGTACTACATCCATACGAAGGACCCATTGCCAATGGACCTTGATTTCCTCGTCCAAGACACTTTCGCCATGGCTCGTCCTCAGTGGAAGCTTGTCACTGACTTGCAAGAAGCTACGCGTCTTTTCAGTGAAGCGGTGGCTCAGAACTACAAGACTCAAGATTCCGAGAGACCTGTCGAGCCTGACGAGGATGACGCGGATAGCAGTTCATCTGATGAAGATCTCGAAGAGGACGGAATCCCAGAGATCGATGAGGAGCAGGAATCTAGCGACGAGGTTGATGTAAGTTTATCCTTAATCTAGTTCTACGACCCTCGAAATTTATACTAATAATTACCTTCCAGGTGTCTGGTCCGAACGCAGAGCAGAACGGGGATAGTGATTCCGAAGATGAGCAAATCTTCGTCACACGTCAAGAAGAAGAACGCGACCCGCAAGCCGAGGCTGAATTCGACCGTGAATTCGAAAAGATGATGGCCGAAAGCGTGGACTCGAGACGATTCGAACGCAAAGCCGTGTTTGACATTCCATTGCCCATGAAGCGAACCGGCCGTGATGCTCTTTCGTCCGAGACTGCCCCTGAGGGTTCCCAACCTCAACCACAGCCCGAACCCCAGCCCGTGCCCCAGTCTCATCCTCAGCAGCCGAATACCATGGCCTTTTCTTTGATGACCAAGAAAGGAAACAAGCAGCAGACGCGTACCATCGATCTGCCATCTGATTCCGGCTTCGCCATTGCCATGAAGAGCCAGCAACAAGCGGATCGCGAGGAACAGCAGCGAATCAAGAACTTGGTTTTGAACTACGAGATGGTCACGGAGGGCGACAACACCACTGAAGGTGAGAATTCTCCATCACAAACTAATTACTATAAACCTATTCTTACTAATTCAGAAAAAGTGGCCGAGAAACGAACCCCTCCCCACCGTGATACCAGAATCGACAAGTCAGGTGCAAACCGGACCGCATTCCGCTCACGCAAGCTCCAACTCAGCGACGTCAACTGGTAATGAAATTTCGACTTATGAAACCCTTACAAGTTCAGATTTCTGCATCAAAACAGAACAGAACAGACGCGCATCTTTGCATCGGCTTCTAGTCTGTAAGCAAGACTTTATTTGCATTGCAAAAAGGCCCTGCCTCGGTTGACAAAGAGAGCGTTGTTAACATGACCGATTGCGTATATCCACAATATGAGCAGTAACGTCTTCAACAGCCCCTGCTTGCTTGTCTCTTGTGTCTCACCTTTCTTTTTCCTGGTGATAACTGGCATTGCATCTGAGATAGCCATGTGTGGCTTGGTTCGGATGCTGTTCCTGGGGGAACGATAACTTCCGTGTGGTTTCTCTCTTATTTAAACCGTATACATTACGTGTCTATATCAGGACTAGGGCATGGAGAAAAGTGGAAGTGGGGCGCAGGTGAAGAAAGTGACGATCCGTGTCTAGATGGAAGGTGAGAGAGGGGCTGAGAGGCTAGGGGAATTGGCGACATAACATATCAAATTGCAATTACTCGTGGTAGCTGGGAAGACTGACAACTGATGGGAATTTTCAACTCGGATTCGGAGATTTATTGAATCATGATAGTGGATGATGAATTTGAATCAGTAGCTTTACAAAAAAGGACTCTAATTCTATTCGTCTCTTTTCAAAAGGCCACAAAGTACAAGTACAGTAAGTTACATGGTAGTAAAGAAAGGGGTTGCAAACGCAAGGCAAGAGTGGGAATGGATGATGGGATCAGACAAGAAAATATTGAAAAAAGATCGGTTTCTGAAAAGAGACTGACAGGGGGAGAATGGGGGAGGGAAAAGGTATATATAAACAATACACAGTGCGATCCCACGATGTTTGATATCTCCCCCTGGCAACTCAAATCAAGGCCAGAGATTCTTCTTTGATTTTGGATGACATAGCAGCAAGATTGGATGTTTTTCTTGTTCGTATTTGGCTTGTTCTATCAAGTAACATTGGGGGAAAGCGGACTCAATTTATCTGTCCGCCTACGAAGACTTGGGGGCCTCGTTCTTGCTTTCAGTGTCGTGCGATTCCTTGGGAATGGCGGTGGTCTCGGGATTCGAGGCGGCCTCGGTCTGAGCTGCGGGGGCGGGTTCTTCGATAGCCTGCTGGCCTTCAGGGGCAGGAGGAGCCTCATCGTCTTCTAACTCGGCGCCGTAGATCTCGGGGTGTTGACGGAAGCAATCTTGCATAGCCCTGTTTATGATTAGTAAACACGTCTAATATTACGTAGCACGAGGGCAAAACGAACTTGAACTTGTCGATGCAGTCAATTCCCTTGGGCTCGTCCTCGGAGAAAACAAAGCAGCTAAAGGCGGCCTTGAAGTCTTCTCCGCAAGGGCCGTGAGCCATACCACCGAGACACGGGCAGTCCCAGTTAATCTCGCCAGTCTCGGGGTTGAAAGCGGCTTCCTGGCCGGCTTCCTCCTCGAGCTCCTGGGGCGACTTCACAGCACCCTCACCAGACTCGATGCTGAGCTGGGCCTGTTCATCTGCGGCGGGTTGCACCTCGGTCTCGGGGGCCTTGGGGGCGGCTACTTTCTGCTCACGCTCGCGGATCTTGGACTTGACCGATTCGAGGGTTGGGAGGGAAGACTCGTCGACGGATTCTGTTTGGTTTTGGCTGCGGAAGGAGACTGTATAAATGTCGTTGTTAGCATCAGGCTTCATCAATTGAAAAGTCTTTTCCGCATAGCGTGGAAGACAGAAGAACGAATCAGAGCTGAGGGTGATTTTTTTCCCGCTCACATACACGTCGGCTCCTTAGCAAAAGCACTGCTGGTGTTGTAGTAGTAGATAGCTCCAATGGCCAATCCGAACCGGACGGCGGTATTCTTCCAACTCCTCGACTTGGGCTCTGAAGGAGTGGTGCTTATCAATCGCTTTCCAGCCGGGCCACGGGCTGCGACACCGGGTGCGCGGAGGAGAGCTCTGGAGGCGGGACGGAACATGGTGGGAGAGAGAAGGGGGAGGGAAGAGGGTATATTAATCAATTAGTGATGCGATGATGGCGACAAGGACATCCACCGGAATGCGAACGCGACAGGAAGAAACAAGGCCGGCCAGACCGGTTGCGAGGCGGAGAGAAGAAGATGTGGAGGAGTTGACGATGGCCGGTGGTGGCCTCAGGCTTGCAGTTGCCGCTTCGGGACTGCCCGGTCACGTTTCGGCTGGCCAATAGGAGTGCAGGACGGATGTAAACATTTCCATCATTTTCGTTTACGAACATATGCTGTCGTTACGATAATACTCAAATTCATTTCTACACAAGCTTGGAAATGTGAATTATTGGCTATAGGAGTGGTTCTCAAGCGCTCAGGCCCACTATGCCGTCCCTACTATGCGCCTAAATAAAGTATCTGAGCTGGTTAGGCAGAATCGAGCACAGATGAAGGCCATCGATTCTGTAGTTCAACTTTACTTTAACTTCATTATTTTTCATTATATTTTGTCTTTGTGTCATTAATTTAGCTCAAGTCCCACTGTACATTGCTGAGAATATCCAAGATGACCTCTTATATTCGTGAACAGGAGCCCCGAGCTTGAACTGTATGTGTCCCTGGCTCAAAATGAGTGCATAATACTCAAAAACGTATAGTACATGGAAAGCGAGCATCTTGCCTGGCAGATCGAAAATCGGATCCAGCCTGGTGCTCCGGAAAAGAAAATCACTGGGACGTGGAATACTATCTTGTCCATGTTCTTTCCTCCGACACAGGGTTATATGTCGAATTTCAACAGGACTAGAGCGGATGGACCATTGGATGTCTTTATCGAGCACATAGAAACCCACGCACCTCAACCCCGGCCATTCAAGTTTCTATATGTTCAATGCACAGCGTCAGGGAACGAGGATATTGATGAAGTCTGGGAGGAAAAACTACTTATCTTGAGTGACCAACTTCGCCAGTTCAATAGCAAGCGGGTTTTCGGGGCTATTGCGGTAGGAAGAGCTGTGAAATTCTACGAGTGGAATTCAGAGATGGGAAAGGCTGTCAGTTTGGAGCAAAATCCCAGCCCTTTGTTCATTGATCGTCATTGCCAGACAGTGGCCCGGCATTTAGAGTACATTCGCAATCATCACTTCTAATGCCTGATCCCATGTGTATATTTGAATTAGTGTGCAGTGTGTAATAACGAGATGGTTTGATTGAATGGATGTGATGTGCCTGCCTCTCATGTATCATCTAAAGAAACAGCAGTTCCTTCAACTTTCTGAAGGATACTATGTATGCTTTTGGACGTGTGTACTAGGTATTTATTATTCTGAAATGACGTCCAAATTCCTCTTCAATCCGGTTCCACAGAACTCTGCAGCCTTTATCGAAAGATCTCTCAAGCCCTTTTAAACCACCACTAACAAAGTTCCACGACAGACTGTCATCTGCAGCATCAGGCTCGAAGAAGGATCGAGACGCATCCCCTTCTAGTGAGAGGGATGATAGACTGGTAATCAGATCATACAGTCTGAGAAGAAGACCCCAAATCCGACTCCTATTTCTGTAATGAGTTTGCCTTGGGATGCGTTTCAATATCAATTTTGAATACAGACTTCCCCAGCTTTGCCCTTGACGATGATATTGTCGCGCCTGAAATAAGGGGTGGAATTCATACCCTCGTTGGAAACGCGACTTCCAAAATGATTCTCTTAACGGGATGATGGCAAACCTAGCTGATTCCAATTCGAGATTGAGGACATCTCTAGAGGGTAGATGGTGTAGAATAATATCCAAAATCTCCATTGGTAGAGATCCAAAAAGACCCTGTTAGTTAGAACCTCTAATACCTAGTCCTATTTTTCTGTGGGTTTCTTCTGAACTGGAGAGATCTCCATTCATTGTCTCCTCAATACTAGACACTTCAAGCGGATTCCATGGGTGTAGCATCCTTTCTACGGAGCCTGGCATTTCATGGAGAATGTATCTCCTAGTCAGACTGCCTTCTTCGCCTGGGGAAACCTTGCTAGGATCAGGACAATATTTAACCAATCCATTAAACCCATGACCCCAGTCGAGATGTCCAGCATAATAGGCAAGGACTGACATAAATCATAAAGAATTCGAATGTTTATCTCGTCCGGGTAGTATAACGCCTTTGGTAACGTCCAGCAGGCATCATGGAAGGGTCCTCGAGCTGATTCAGAAGTAGCAGGGGGAACTGTTGGAGACGGAACCGAAGGTCTGACTCGTAAAACGCAATATCAATGAGAGATTCCGGGTCAAGGCCTGGTGCATCGTAGCTCAAGGCTGGGTCGATGGGTGCTCTATCGCTTCGATAACCCCGTAAGCCCACGCCGGAAAGCTTTGGATCCAGACGGTCATTTTGATCTGTATATACTGCAAGAGATGAAATCAGCCAGGGCCTCACAATGAAAAGTAGGTTTGGTTTCCAAACTAGCACGAAACATGAGTATTCATTCGAATTCTGTATCGATCGGCATGCCGCACAGAATACAGCTAGCGAAATATCTACCCATTACATGAGATATGTTAATATTCAGTAATGCCAGAGTAGAATTATAGACAGAACCGCGTCCAAGCAAAGACCAAAGAACGAGGCGACAAGAAAGTTGGAGGAGTGACTTGACCGATGAGGGGTGCACGGTTACCCTATTGGGCAAAATCACGGGTCCCGTTCGCTAAAGCTTCCCTTCGTCTCTCTGACAAGGACTTTATTTCCACCTCCAAGGAACAGTACTCGGATCAAGATCGAGATCAGGTTGAATATCACCATATATATACTTGTTCCTCAGACACCCCATAAGACATTGCGATGGAGTGGAATCCCACCCAGTTCTTTAACGGATCTAATGATCTCCCCGCTCCTTTCGCGCTTGTCGTCCTCAACCAGCCTATCAACGAGCGAGCTTTTGGTGTTTTGAACGAAAATGGTAAGTTATAATCAAAATGATAAAAGACCTGTTAAATATCTATACCTATGGTTATATATCATCTACTATTCAAACTGCTAACCAAAAAATCCAGCCTGTTTCACCATCTGCGCCGACGGCGGCGCAAATCGTTTCTACGACATGATGAAATCCCAAGAAAAAGAATCTACCCATGTAAAAAACCCCCCACAACCCAAAAATATCCATCAATATCTAATGGCTCCTTCAAGCTCCCCAACGCAATAATCGGTGACCTGGACTCCATCAGTCCAACCGTCCGAACCCACTATGAGGACCTAGGCGTCCCCGTCATCGAAGACTCAGATCAGTACTCGACAGACTTTACCAAATGTCTCAAATATCTGCGTGACCACACAGCTCAGATAATCGCAACCGCACGATCGACCCCAGAAGCGGTCGAGTGGGGTAACCGCCTTGAGATTCTCATTCTCGGCGGACTAGGCGGCCGTGTCGATCAGGCTTTTTCGCAGATTCATCATCTCTACACCGTGACGCAGCAGCAGCGCGCGGAGCGGGAAGTCGCCGGCGATCTTTATCTTATTTCCGAGGAGAGTGTGACGTTTATCCTGCAGCCGGGAAGGAATACGATTCACACGCCCAGGGCGAATCGGCCGGGTGGCGCGGCTGGGCCGCAGGATTGTCTGCTTGAGGAGAATATTGGGATTGTTCCGCTCTCTGGGCCGGCGCGGATCACGACGAGGGGGTTTGAGTGGGACGTTGAGGATTGGAGAACTGAGATTGGGGGACAGCTTAGCACGAGTAATCATATTCGGGCTGATGTGGTAGAGGTTACATCGGGGGTGTCTGTTCTTTTTACGTTGGAACTGGCGAAGAGGTTCAAGAGGGAGAGGTGATCATGGGCTTTTATACTGCTTTCTTTCTTTCTTTCTTTCTTTTTCTTTCTGGTGGATTATTGGCATGGCGCGATAGATAGATGCATACTACCCTAGAGCAGAGATATGATTACGTCTGACGAAGAGATACCAATAGAAGAATCAATCACTGATGTTATCAGAAGCTGTATAAAACTCTCCATAAGAATAAGAATAGAATATACTAGATGGAATATACGTGACAAGAAGCACAACCAAAACAGACAACAACCAAAGCGCCTCTAGCTGAAGCGATAGGTATGAAAGAACAACCCAAAGAAAATAAACACAGACGTCAGCCTATCCACGTCACGCCGTACTCAAGTCAAAAACCAAGGATATCAAATAGACGGGAATGTATAGAATTCCATCGTCGACACCAGACACCGTAGAAACCAAGAAAAAACAACCTCGGGCTTTATACAGATAAAGTAGGAGGGGATTGCCTTCTTTCCTGTCTCTTCTCGCGCTCTTCTTTCCCGAATAACCTTCATTGCCATTGCTCCAATTGCACGACAGGTATCAATAGTCCTATCAATCCAATTGTTTGCACAACCCTCATATCAGACCAGATTCCAGCGGATCCCGCCGCGAAAACAATATATATATATATATATATATATAACATATCATTTACTTCCTGAGAATGGCCTCGTAGAATGTGCCAACACCGCCGATAGCAGCACCTGTGATAATACCGGCCCACTGACCGGGAACAGACGCATTGACCTTGTCAACGGAAAAGTTGCTATACAAGTCCCAAAAAGTAAAGTTCTTCCCATAAACAAGGTAGGCAATCAACGCCTTGGCAATGTTGAAACTCAAGGGATCGAAACTAGCTTGTTCGGAGCGGTCCTTGCGCGTGCCAGGTGCGGGAGTCGGACCGTTCTGCAAGCTGATATTGAAAAAGTACGCAACCGAGAGAGGCAAGAACAGACTAGTCAACAGCCACAGCGAGAACGGAGCCCAAAATACACCGTCAACCAGAACGAAGAGGTCAGGAACCTTGACCACAAACTCAGGCGAGTGAATCGCCTCCACGGCAGGAACGGTAGTCAGGTATCGCAAAGGAAGAATCTCCTTGGTGAGACTGAACCCTTCCAAGGCGAGCACGAGAATCTGAACGGCCTTGACACTGCTCAACATCGAGCGCAGCGCATGCGACCGCTCCCACACTCCCGACGCAGTCCACGCGTCATTGATGTTCTGGCGCCACACAGCCGTATGATGATCAATCGCATCCGTGACAACAGCCGGTGAAGGCGGCAAAGGGGGCTGAACGCTCAGCGGCGAACGCGCAGGTACAGGAGTACGGATAGACGGCGACTTGACATCTGAAAGGGAACCAGCATCGGAGTCATCTCTAAAAACAGGGCGCGACAAGTCAGTTGTGGGAAATTTTGTGATACGTCATTTTTCGGGACACGCGCGCGCACGCGTACAAACCAAACATACGTAGGTTCAGGCTCAGGCTGGGACTGGGGTGCAGGCTTAGGCGCGGGCTCAGGCTCGACCTCTTCCTCCTTGAGTCTCGTCTGTCGGCGACGGATAGAACGAGGGGCCTCTTCCCTGGGAGACGTGATTTCCACCTTGGCTTCTCGCTTTACGGGCGATGAAAAGCGCGGTGGCTGCGACAGACGTCGGTAGTATTCCGCGAAGCGCTCATCATTGGCGAAGATGGAGCGGTTGGAGCGGAGATGCTCGTCCAAAGCCGTAGCGAGCTCAGGCTTGTTGTACTGTCCATAACTGTCGCATTGTCAGAATATAATTTAAAGGATATCATATTAAGACAGAAATACATACTCCTGAAGGTCCGCGGCTTCCGCGAAATCAGCAAGCTGGGACTTGAGCAGCTTCTGTAAATAAGGCAATCCGGTAGGCGAAGACATGGTGTGCGGAAGATGGATGGTCCGGAATCGCGGAGACCATGCGACAGCAGAGACAGATAGAGTAAGGGATAAGATGTCAGCTGATGCAGTATCAGGGCAGGTATATATAGAGCGAGCAAGAGAGATGGTGGGTGAAAGTGGATGGGAAGTAACTGATAAGAGGGGAAGAAGCGAAACTAATGACAACAACAACAACCGGGGGATTTGCAGTTGATCTCGTGGGGCCGAACGGCACTCAAAGGAAAGGCGGGCCTGTGTTGTTTACATCAACACCGTTAGCGTGTTTGGCATGCCTGCCCCTCCGAATTTCTAAGAATGTCAGTCATTTATCCCACGCCAATAGTAGATAAATAATAGTAGTAGTATATATTCTTTAATCTATGATACATTGCAAAATTATCCGTCTCTAGCGTCTATGCAGACCGTACAAAAAGCCTCTCTAAAATCAAAAGTGGTGTGGTGTGTGCGCGCGTGTGATGTGTATGGGTATGAACAACAACAATAGCAGCCCAAATCTTGCCGCCATGTCAGCCGAACATCAAAGATGAGATAAATGAAATAAAATGGGGAATATCATGTCACAGTCCTGCCGGAACGCCCTACCAAAAGCTATCCAATGTGCAATATACCTTCTGTCCGCAGCAGGTCTTCCTAGATCCTAGGCCAAGAACAGAAATCACAGAGGAATCGGTTCCTCCACGCCTTGGTATGCCTCCAGCTTTTTCAGCAGATATTGATACATGACCAGCATTGTCCCGCTCTGGATGCTGGTCCAAACACCTCGGGGTCCCACTCCACGGAACCACCCCCCGAGGCCTTCTCTTTGGTAGATCATCTTCAGACCGGTAAAGAATGACGAGGTATCGAGACGCGGGGCCCCAGGAGGAGACACTGATGTCGACGCTCCACCGGTAGAAATAGGCCGCGAGTGTGCCCGAAGGCTCGAGGTATGTTGAGATGACGGGTGCTGGCGGGAACCCTCCTTAGGGTGCGCATTTTCGGTCGCGGGTTTCGAAGAGCTTGTGGATTCGGGCGGATTCTGTTGCGTTTGGATTCTGGTCTTGACAACGTCCATAGGACAGGTCATCACACCCGCCATACCACCGGCGGTCGCGGCAGTCAGAATCTCTAGACCAAGTCCAATATCTCTAGATCCCACCCATTCCTTGGCTATCCGTCGCTCTTGTTCATAGAAAGCGAATTGCAAAGCGGAGAAGGGAAGGTCTCGGTAGATGGTAGCTCTGTAGCCGTAAAACAAGGCGGGAAATCCCTCCTGTCGAACGATGGTACGCAAGGCATCGCTGGTGGAACGGTAATTATATCCGGAATTGAAATGAGGATTATTATACCGTCCCTGGAGCTGCAACCGCGTCTTCAAAACCTCAGACGGAACGTAGACAATCGATGCAGCCAAATCGGCAAAGAAACCTGCAAACACAGCGCAAATTAGCACCTGGCATCCATCACACACAGCCCCAAATAACAAATCTCTGAAAACAAAAAAAAATCACCACTTACCACCAGACAAATACGCAAGATTGGGATTAATCCCCGCATCCAACAACCGGCGCTTGGTAAACTCATAAACACCAAAGAAAATCACCGTTCCGGGGAAAGACCCATAAAGAGCCGGAATAGCACCACCATAAAGTCCACGCAGAACACCTTCTTGTCGGTAGATGGTCGAGTACGACGAAGTCATGGATGTGTATTTGGGAGGGAAACTCGGGTCGCCTTGCTGTCGGGTCTTGACTGTGTCGAGCGAGTGCATGAGCATATCTCCACATGTTCCTCCTGTACCGCCTGCTATCATAGCCTATATTTCATCATATCCAGTCAGCCTGTGTGCACATATCCCGAGTTTGAGTTTGCGATCCCGAAAAGCTGAGGGGTTTTTTCTTTTTATAAAAACCCCCGAAGCCATTTCGAACACAACACAATCCAACCCAGCCCAGCATCTCGAAAAAAAACATACATGTAGATACGGAGGACGAGGTTCCTCCTCCTCATCCTCCAACACCGAACCCCTCGAAGCATTCTGAGCATGAGCGCCGCGGTCCGACCTTATCGAACCGGTATTCTGATAGACATGGCTGGCATTGGCATTCGGCGCCGGCGACTCTGAATTCGAGATCTCTGTCGTCGAAAAGAGATTGAACACGCGCGAGGTCAAACTCATGGCAAGATCACCGCAACCCACCAGGTCGTGGTGCGGGCCAGACCACGGAGTTGGGATGCGGCGGCGAAGTGTCGACGGGAAAGGACGCCACCCCAGACGAGCGAGATGACGAGGAGAGGTAAGAAGAGGGAGGTGAAGGCTTTAGGGGAAATTGTACAAAATTATATGAAAAAAGACACCGAAATGAAAAAGAATATAATACAAATTGCAATGCGGATCTGTAGGTTGCACGTCTAATTGAGTTGAGCTGAAAAAGAGTTGGCTTGTTCCGTGACAATATCGCCGGAGCCCAAAATTCTCCACGGTTTTTCCGTTCTCTCCGCCGTTGGGGTCCGAGTTGTGGCCTCAGGCAGGCTTTCTTTAATAATGGCATGCTCACTGGCTGATAAATCTACAATTCATGGTTTGCCACGATGACAAAGAATTTAATTTTATTCAAGTACATGGCCTAGACGACACACTATCTGTCCACGACACTCAGTCGAGCCTCAATGGCTAAAAATAATCAATACGTTGGCATGAGACACAGTTCATCATAGCCGATGGACTCAATCTTATCACCATATGGTAGTCACATGATTCGTGCATTAGTAAATACCAACTAAACCTAATTAGGATAAAACAAACCAATTTAGGTGGCTGTCGAATATGCTGGAAGCACCGCACCTATCTGTCCTGATGGTATTCCATGACCTTGACATTCGCTAGGCGTCGCCTTATCAATCTAGATCACTCCTCATGCCCTCCACATTACACGTCCCCTCTGTCCCCCCTCCAAAAATATATACCTGATCACTTTCAACAAAAGCTGGGTATAGTGGCCGTTGTATTTCATTAAATGCTCGTCAGCAACGAAAGCCGAAGTCCGTATCAGTTAGGAGGCTCAAATAACGTTTTATTCGATGTCCATCTGTATAGACCTCAGCCATTGTTGCCATTTGTCTGGCTGCGCTTATTGGGCCTTCTTGCCACCAGCACCAAGGGCACGGCTCAGATCAGTTGCTTCGTAAGCCTGGCGCACGAAGCCCTTGAAGGTCTCCCATCCCTGACGCACTGCTGGGGGAGTGCTCTGGTGGGAAATCGAGGCATCAGCGCGAGCAGTGAGGCGGTAAACAGCCTGCTGGACGAACGAGCTCTGGGTGTATCTGGCGCGGAAGAAGGCCAAGTAGATGGCCAGGAGAACGATGCTTCCCTTGGAGAAGGTAAGGAGCGAGAGCACCAGGCGGAACAAGAGCGCAATCTCCAGGCCAGCGACAAGGCCCATGCTCGTATCATAGTACTGCTTGATGAAGCGTCCAATTGTCTCAGCGAGAGGTGGCTGCTTCGCAGCAGGCTTGGGGGAGCCGGGGGAAGAGGGCGAGGCCGGGCCTGCTGCGCCCTGAGGAGGCTGCAAAGTAGGGATCAGGTGCATGCGGGAGTAAGTCGCGACATGGAAGATCGAGTAGACGCTGAAGGGGAGAAGAGCCAGAGGGATCTGGCGCGAGTAGAGCCACACCAAGGCCATGCCTAATCCACCCTGTCAGCAAGAGGCAATCCATCCAGAGTTTCAAGGAAACTCACCCAAGTACTGGACATTCTCATCGGTAGCAAGCTTCAGCGCAATGGCGGGAACGCTACCCTGAAGACGGCCTCGCGCGATGTGTCCCTTGTATACGACGATTCCGTACGTCGCAGCCGCCGAAATGAAAGCCAGGCGGTACGTCACCTGCGCAGTGGAGGAGTACGAGTTGAAGGTGATGTAGGACAGGAGATAGCGGAAGACGGAAAGAAGCAGAGTCAAGTGTCTGTGTATTCGGTCAGCAAACCTGCGCTTACCGGCATTGCACCCCCCATGAACGACCACGACCAGGAAACGGAACTGGACACGGATTTCGACAGATCCAGAACACAATTGGCAAACATCGCGATGACGAGTCGTAGAGAACGCAGGACCAAACGGAAACCTACCCGGCAAACCAAGCAAACCTGCAGAAAGAAACACCCACTGGTCAGTACTGGAATTTAACAGCATCAGCGAAAGCAGGAAGAAAGGGCATACTGCAATGTCTGGGCGAGAGCCTTCAATCTCTCGGCCAAAGGCAAGTTGGATGGAGGCGGAGGAGGCATGATGCAAGACTTTGATGTAGGTGTACTGTTGACCTCGAGGGTGTTGGGGATGGTGAGAAGGAGGTAATGGGAAAGATAACGCGACAGTAGTAAAGCAGGGAAGGGCAGCCGCTAGGAAAGATAGGCCGCAGCGGTAGGTCGATTTCTCCAAAAAAGATCAAGGGAGAAGGGGAAAGAAAAGAAATTGAACAAAGGTAGGGTGTTCGTTTGGGGGGAGGCTGGGCTGGGCGGAGGGGTCTTGGGTTGGCTTGGTGAGGGTTTTGGCGATGAACTGCTGGCTGCTGGTGTGCGGCCAGCTGGACGGAACTTCCAGGTGGTGTCCAGCTCTGCGTACTAGCTAGTCCCACGCCGCTGATTCGCTCCCCGGCCGCAGTGACGTCTGGCACTCGGGATGATGCAAGCGATCTTTTATCTATCTCGATAATTATTCGTGTCTACGAAGAATGTTAAGATGTACCTACTATTCCCAATATCTACTGGGAAGAATGTGTGTGTAGGTTGAAAAAGTCAGTAACATTTCTTGTACTACCTCCAACTCACGGCACCCTCCGCTATTCCGCCATTCCGCAGTAAGTCGGTGATGCCCATCTATGTATCAGCGGTCTGTAAGGTACTCTGAGCACTGCTGGCACGGAATTTTTAGAAGGCCAACCAGCTCAGAGACACCTAGTGCTTACTCCGTAGTCTTTTCGAGACAATTCCCGTGCCTTTACGGTTTTGTTTTGGTCGGTGGCAGCCTGGTTGACCTGCCGCTATATATCCTCGGCCACGCAGGATCACAGGTCCAGTCGGCTTCTGTCTCGGGAGTCCAACTTTAGAGTTTCAAGATGCATACATTATAGGATTACCAGTCGAATAGGGAAAAGAATGATATGCGTTAAGTTTAATAAATATTACTTATATTCCTCGTCAACACCGCTTTGCCAGGATTTTACAGAGCAACAAGTTGATAAGATTTCACATTGACAACTAAAGACACAAACTTAAAGGAAAAATACCGCGCAAAAGATGGTTGGGGGTCAGTTGGAGCTCACTAAAATGTGTAAAGAGACAAAAAGTGTACGAATGTAAGTGAAAAAAAGACCACAATGGGGAATAGGGAAACAGGCGGCACAAGGTATAGCGTAGGCAAAAGTACATAACAAGAAGTGAAAGGTGGACATAAGGCAGGGGGCCGACGGACCAGGAAGCGGTCTGCAGGCCACCAGCCCGTGCATCATCTTGCAAATCAGCGACCAGACCACTCGAGCGTGCAGGCAATAGAAGAAAAAAGCAAGCATCCTTGTGTGCGTCCCAGCTCATCTCCTAGTCAGAGCCCCAGTTGATAATTAATCTTGCTAAATTGAAAATAAACAGGAGACGTTCTTTTCTTCGGTCCACCCAATTAAAAGTAGAGTCATTACCACAAGCAGATACGAGAAAAGGAAGAAGGGAAGAAAAAGAGAGATGAGGGAGCGTGGGGGGTGAACAATAAACACAAGTGAAAAAAAGAGTGTGGGGACGGGCGCTCGGTCAATCAGCAGTCGTGGGGAATCAAACGTAGAACCACCAGAGTGCCTCCGACGACAATATACACCTTTGGGGGTCCAAGGCATCTGCTCCGCATGGGGAGTTGGAAGGTTCCGGTCATTCAGTCTTCTTAACGGAGAGAGAAACCCTTTCTCTTTCCCTTTTCTTCGATTGGTCGTCCGCTTTCGAGACGGCCCTTCTTCTCGTCCAGCTCTGTGCGTTGACGATCCAGTTGATCCTTCATCTCGCGATGTCGGGCATATAGTTCGTCTTCGCTCTGTTTCAGCTTGCTCTCCTTCTCTGCGACCTTTTGCTGGAAGACCATCTTCATCTCGGCCTCCATCTTGGCGAGCTTCTGCTCGTGCAGGGCACGCTCCTCCTCCTGCTTGACAGCGGGGTTGACCTCCTTGAACACGCTGGGGTCCTGAGCAACACCCATCTGGGTGAGCTTGTCGGAGCGGTAGTTCTCGTAGAGCGAGTTGTTGGTGTGCTCCTTGAGCTCTTCCATGTGGGTTCTGATCAACATCTGGCGCAACTTGACAAAGTCGCAGTGTTCCTCGTTGTCGACCTCGATAACACCCCAGGGGTAGCTACGTCCGCGGACCTTGCGGCCATCGGCGGCGGTGACTTCTGTGTTGGCACCAACCACAGCGAAGGGGACCTTCGACATGATTTCCTGGTTCTCAGCGATGGTTTCTTCATCGTCAAGCTCATAGCGGGGGCCCTCGAAGATCTGAATCGAGTGGTGCTGGATATCGGCGGAGATCTAGAGAAATGATTAATGGCAGATCATATGAAGGGCAAACAACTGGGTTCGTACTCTTTGCTTGAAGAGAGCAATTTCCTCGTCGGTCAAGGTGTCGGCCTTGGCAATAACGGGAATCAGATTAACCTTGGTGTGCAATCGGCGCATAACCTCTATGTCAAGAGGCTTCAGCGAGTGACCAGTGGGCTGGATGAAGTAGACACAGGCGTGAATACGGTTGTCAACGGTGTTGGTACGGTTGACCTTGTTCTCAGCCTCCAAGTACGCATCGTATCTCTGCTCAATGTTCTCGACAATAGGACGCCACGAGTCATCGTTGTTCACAAAGTCACCGAATCCGGGAGTGTCAACAACGGTCAAGCGAAGGCGAACGCCATTCTCTTCAATGTCGGCGCTGATGGACTGAATTGCCACAGTCTTCGGGATAATGTCGTGGCTGGGGCCAGTGCGTTCCTTAGGGGGGTAGAGGGAGGTGTTGAAGAGAGTGTTCACGAGAGTCGACTTTCCGAGACCAGATTCACCTGATTACACACATTAATACCGACCCAACTCGACACTTTCCAAGTAGAATGGTAGAGACTCACCAACAACCATTACGTTGAAGTTGAATCCTTTGCGAACACTCTTGCGGTGCCATTGGTTGGGCAGATTGGCGAATCCAACGTAGCCGGTCAACTTGCGGCGAACGACATTCTTCATATCAGTAGCTGCCTGGGCCACAGCCTTGGGGTCCTTGGAGCTAACTGTCTGGGCGTTTCCAGAGCCCATTGGGTTGCTGCGTTCAACAAAAGGGGAGCCTGGTTTGCTGCTGGGAGGAGAAGACTCTCCGATAGAGGCAACCGGGGTGCCGTTGGCGGGAGGAGGTGGTGAAGCTAGAATAGTTCAACCCGATGTCAGCATCATGTCCAGGAATTCCATCTTTTTTATCTCAAGCGTTTCCAAAGCAAATGTAAATGACGGACGGCCATTGGGCCTTGGGGAGTGTCGGTCGAGAGATAAGACTGAGCCCTTCCAACATCCAGATGCGGGCTATTTTCCGCATCCTGGTGGGTAGAACGTGGCATGATCATTTATCAACGCGCAACAACCAACTCGAGTGGAGGCACAGACAGGAAGCATTGACGACCGAAATGACAGGGATAGATATAGGATGATGGATCAATGAATACACAAGTCGATGAGCTTACCCATTTTGGAAAGTTAAAGGTCTGGATCTTGGAGCGAGCGCGGGAGGGAAGATGAAGGTAGCGAACGTCGAAGAGAAAGTTCTCCTGAAGCGGGCTGCAGTTAGCAAACAGCTTCCTGACTGAATGAAGCCACGAAGGAGGTGTCGACAATCAAGATGGAGATATCCAACGGCATCACCGAGGGGTGGATAGGCGGGATCAAGGGACCAGGAAAATTATCATACCGTGATATCGTTCGCAAGGAAAAGGGTGAGATTCAGTCGATCACGAGCGAGGGGGACGACTGAAACCACGGGAATCTCAAGCACAGCTTGGGGGGGTATGAAGCGGTGTGCAGGAGGGAGGAATGCAGAGCAAAAAAAAAGAAAATAAATTAAAAAAAAAGTCGCTGAAAGAGAGGAAGAAAATGAAGAACAGGAGAGGAACGACTGGACCTGCGGAGAGTGGATGGGGGGTGGAGGTCGAGAAAGAGTGAGAGAGCAGAAGACAGAGACAGAAAGCGAGAGAGAAAGAGAGGGCGAGCGTGTTTGGTCTGGTCCGTCCGAGAAAGGGGCAGCTTCTCTCTTGTCGAGGTGGAGTGGTCAATCAATCAATCAATCTTAGGCCGGCCAGAGTTCCCAGCGGGCCTTTTTTTTTTTTTTTTTTTCCTTTTTTCTTTTTTCCTCTTAATATTATTATTCCTTCGTCTACTGCAGCCCCGTTGCACTACGTCTATTTTTTATGATTCCCTACTGCCGCCGCTGCTGCTTGCTGCTCACAATAATCAATAGGGAAGAGCATGGCTGTATTTGTTGGCAGCGGTAGGGGAAAATTCTCCGACCGGACGAGTCCAACGACATATTGGAGGGATTCGAGAAGATAGAAAAGAAAGAAAGAAACCGATCATTTCAGTTGAACCAGGTTCAATTGCTCCCATAACTATCCTGTATACAATTCCATTCTCCATACTAGTATCTAGATACTATGGAGATACTACCCCAGGGGTATCCGGGCATCTACATATTAAACAACTCTCCACCGGTCGAGCCGTTGGAATCGTCCCAATTGATTGTCTCAAAACACGATTATTGCAACCGTGACCACCTCCTGCTGCTATTCATAGGACCGATTGGTTCTCCCCTTCTGTACCCTATCCTGAGCACAGCAGATACCTTAATTTCAGGGGAAGAAGAGAGAGACAGAGAGAGGCCCGGTGCTACCCAGTCCAATGCCTTGTTGCTTGCCAGGGGTAAAAAGACCCGCCAGCAGCCAATCAGAGGCTGTCGATGGACGGCAAAGACCAACCCATGGCTCCCTGATTATCTAATGCCTGGGCCAGATGATGATCACCAGGGAAAAAGTTCAGATGGACAATATTAATATTAATATTTAATTTCATAGCCAGTTAGTTAGTTTCAAGCTCTAATTCTTTGGTTTATTTGAAAGCTTCTCTTTTTACGTAGAATAGGTGGACTGTGCTCGTCGGGCTAGGTCGTTGGCTATTTACCTGCACGTACACTGTACATCCATATTATGCACTGTACTGCTACCTTACTGTACCTCCAACCTGCCTACACCTACAGCTAAACTGTCCTCAACAAAAAAAATCAGTTCCTCCCCTCTCGTCCATTGGCCTCAATTGCAAGACTGTCTTGGAATTCCATCCAAGCCATAGCTGTCATGGAAATCTGTAGATAAGCTGCATCCCATCTTCCCTGTTCCTTCAACAGAATCACATATGTACATAGCAAAGTCAGTCACTGCTGATTCAGATAGCACCCCAAGGAGGGGCCCGTTCGGTGTTGGGGCGATTTTCTCACTCTCACGCTCACATTTTCCCTTTCCTTCCCTTGTTTTACCTGTTTATTTTTATTTTTTCTTGTTTTTTCCCTGCTCAGATCTACAATACATTACGCCAATATGCAAATGCAAATGGGGTTACCTAGTCCTTCAATAGCCTTCGAGGGATACAGTAGTCGCAGAGTTAACTTGTCGTGGCTGCAGATATACCTGTCAGCGAGGTTATTGATATGATATATCCGAAACTCTCAGTGACCGACACCCATTGCCTGCTTGATGTACGCGAAGAGAACCAGCTAACGGAGTCAAAACTAAACATTTAAAGCACTTTGTGGTTTTTAACTTTCTCCATATTATAGCACAGAATCAATGGTTCCTATTCATTATACAGCAGTCATTATGTCGACTCACGCTCAGTGTCGTCCAAAAAGAACCGTAGTCTTTTATTTTCCAACCTTGGACTTCTTCTTCGGTCGCGAGTCCTCGGCCTCGGACATCGCATCGTCGTCATCATCGTCGCCGCCGCCATCAGAAGCATCGTTCATCTCGGCGTCACTTCCACCGCTGCTTTCGTGGTCAGAGTCAAATTCTTCGGCCACATCCGAGTCCGTCTCCGTCTGGAAGTCTTCATCAATGGATTCCTCGTCTTCATCTGCGGAGCCACGGTCAGGTCGTACGCCCTCGTCATCGCTAGAGCCCATTTGCTCGTTCTCAAGGGCAGCGGCGATCAAGGATGATGAGTGCTGGGAAGAACATTGTCAGCTTGTGGGTCACGTCAACGCCATTTTGCATTGAACATACATCTTCTGTCATCTCGTTCTTGAAACGAATGTTCTTGGCCTTGAAGTATTCTTCGAGAGGTTGTTGCTCCTCACTGCGATGGTGTCAGTAAATCACAGCGACTGAATTGATGAATCCAGATAACCTACCGGTTGATGTTGCTGAACTGGTGCTCTCCCATGCCTGCCTTCAGGCTGACGGTAATATCAAAGGTTCTGCTGGCAGAGACTGCACCGCCGACACGCGACATGGTAATGATGGCGACGTTTTCAAGCTGAATGTAGGTGGCGGGCTTAGGAACGAAAATAAGGCTCTTATCCAAGAAGTACAAGAGACCCTCGTTGGCCTTGATTGAGCATTTGACTCCGCTGTGGCCATGGTGACTGACAAAGTCTTTCGATGGCATGATAACCTTCTTGCCAGACAAGCCACGGAAAATCTTTGTAACGACCTGGTGAACCGGCTCTTCATAACGAGACTGCAACTTGTCCTTGTACTGAGACTCCAGTAGATCACTAATGTTGTCAGCATACCATCATCACAATGTTTATATGGATAGAACTCACTCTGTCATGTTGAGCTCTAGGCTGATCTCTTCATCCAACTTCAACTGCATGACAAGGAAAGGGTATCTGGTCTGACCCTGTCGCAGAGGTGGGTCGAGTCCCAAAACAATGAGAGTGTGTGTATCGTCGTTCTTGGGCAGCAAGAAGAATTTCTTGATAGAGGAATATTGAATCTTGTAGTCGTATGTCTTTCCACGTAACCGGAAGGACGACTCGTACATATCGATATCGAAACGACCTCTGGATTACCCATTAATGCTTTGCCACGGAAATGGTCGTTGGGCGATACGTACCTGGGAGTGAGATGCAGAATGTCCAAGAAAGTAGCAAAAGTATCGCCGGCAACATCGCCAATCTCGGCCTTATCCATGAGGGTCTCGTAAAATAGGTTGGCAGCATTCTGCTCTTCCACTTCTTCCTCTTCCTCTCCATCTTCTTCTTTTTCTTCCTCGTCTTCTTCGCCCTCCTCCTTGGGAGCCTTCTCCTTCTTGACTGCCGTTCCTGGGATGTAGAACCGCATTTCAACTAGCTCGTCTGCGCACGCCGCGGCTTTTCTACCACGGTTCTTCGTGCTGCCAGCGGGCTGACCGCTAGCAGTGGTTCCATCGGCACCAAGGCCAAATTCAACTGCGACTTCGTTCTTTCCCGCAAGGTTGGTGTTGGTGATTTCCGAATAAGGGATTTCAAACGCAGGTCGATTCTGGACGTTGAAAGAAAGTTCCGCTTTGGTGAATTCTGCCTTACCCCAGTTCCATCCTCGAAGCGCATGTTCGCGGGTTTCGATGTTGATGCCATACCAGATCTTGAAAGCCTTGCTCAATCGCTCAAAGTCCTAGAAAAAAAAACCAACAAGTCCAGGTCAGAGGCCATTTTTCTTTCGCAATTTTCTGAAACACCACCGGAGAGCCTACCTCTTGGTCGAATCCGTCGAGCTGAACAACACCAGAAGACCGCGACAAAATTTTCAATTCGAACCCCTTAGCTGCTCGACTCCATTGGGCTGCGCCGATGTTGTTACTGTCCAGGGTAAAAGTATCGCCTCCGCCAGAAGGTCGCCATCCCAGACCACTTTCAGCAAGCTTGCATTTTCCGGGGTTCTTCGCGAGATCGAGGTACACGTTATCGAAGCTCTCCCTGGCAAAAGTATTAGTGGAACGGAAAATGCAAATACCAGGGGGACGCTCACATGTTGGAGGAGCTTTGAGACGAAATCTGTTGGGAGGAACGGGCTGTCAACTAATCAGATGAAAGTTTGGGATAACCCGACGAGAGGAGAGAATATGAGGAACACTGTCGCTGCTATGTGAGAGGTAGATGACAGAGCTATCAGTAAAGCTCTAGAACAACCTTTTTCTGGAGTTCGCGTTGCGCGCGGCTGTCGGCCTGCGGCGCGGTGAGGAAGACCTCCGGGCAACCGCCACTTCTTGCAGAATCGGGTTTAGTGTCTTGGCTTATGCCTCAGGCATTCAGGTACCATTCACTCATCTCAGTCTACGAATACGTTCTGTCTACCAACCCTCACAAGTGACAAGAATGTCTACCAGCTTTAGCTGCCCTGAAGTGTTCTTTAATAAGCAACTTTATCAAAAAATCAAAGAAGTTATCAATTGATAATATGTTTCGATCGAGCCTTTCTCATGGATACTTCTCAACTTCAAATATGTCCAAACACAAGTATCTTAGGATCATTCCATCATGGAAAGTCCGTATTAAGAGGTGATTTCATGATGATTGAGGTGACGCCACTCCTAGTGCATTTTTAATCACAGAGCATCCAGACCTCACCGTTTGGGCAAGCCCAGGGCGGACTATTAATGGATTCACTTCCACCAAATCCATCGCAACAAGGTTACCAGTCTCGTGTAGCTGTCGAGCAATCAACTCCCCATCCGCAAGTGACAATCCCTCACTGACTGGGTGACCGGTACTTGGTGCCCAGGCTGGATCCAGGGAATCTATATCGAATGACAAATGGGTTGGGGTTTCATCCCTGATATATGCCAAAGTTTCGTCCATGATGTTTTGAATTCCACGTCTGGAACCGTAAGCATATGTAAGGTTTTATCGGAATTTTCCTGGAGATTCACCTCTTCACATTCTGCATGGTATACGCCTTGATACCACAGCGTTCAATGGTCCTTTCCTCGCCATCATCAACATCACGAAGACCAATGTACAAAAACTTCCCAACATTGACCAGATTCTCCTTCTGGAGCCACCCAAATATATCCGCATCGTTTGAATTTATTAGTCCAGTGAGAAATGCCACCGGCATACCTTGGATGTTACCACTATCACTCGGCTCAGGGGTGTTGATGTCCGCATGCGCATCAACCCAAACAACAGCCATCTCACGGCCTCCCAGTCTTTCTCGAATTGCCTTGGCTGTACCGGACACGCTGCCAGTTGCAATGGAGTGGTCACCACCAAGGGTCAGAACAAACTTCCCTTGATTCGCATGGCCATGGACTCGCCGGCTAATGTCCTTTGTAACACTGCTCACGGTACGAGGCTTCTTCATGCCCTTATAGTCAGGGTCTGACTCGGGACTTAAGACTAGGTAGATAGAAGGGGCATCGTCGAGATCGACTTCATAATGAGAACCAGACCGGAGCTCGTCGAGGATACCGGCTGATATCAATGCTTGAGGACCTGCATCTGTCCCGGGTTTGGGCTTTGTATATGATCAGTTCTGTTATTTTCAAGAATAGTCGAGGGGGGATCACTATATACCACCTCCAGCGAAGCCAGCCGTAACGACAGCCATTCTGTTCTGCATAGAGAGGAATTTCTGAAATGTAGCCAAGCGTCGAGCCATGGTGATAGAGATTCGTTAACTGGATGTCGCGTGGGATATCAAATTAAAATAAAATAAAAATAAAATCAAGCACTCTAGCAAGACAATTTGTTCTCCCAGATATATCGCAAATGAATCAATTTGAAAATCCCAAACATCCAAATTTTCGTCAATTTTATACCAGCCGTTGAATCGCGTAAAGATAACTTTAATGGAAGGTGACCCACGCACTATACAACTCCCACGGGTAAATCCATCCTCAACGTCCCTTAAAGTTAAGCTTAACCGACAGACACCAGAAACGGTGAATGAGATGGAATGCAATATGACGGAGTTTTCTTCCTTTCTTTTTTTTCTTTCTTGCCAGTCGCTGGAAATTTCCATTTTCAGATGTCAATGTTGCCAAAGGTATGGAGTATGTGTAGCCCAAAATTTTCTAAAGACGGTGTTGGCTGCCCCTATCCATAGCCCAAGCTTGTATAAAACTGACTCGCACCTGACTTTTTCTATATTCGAGGATAAGATCCAAAGTAATGATTATTGGCTTCCCTGGTATCTGGGCATGTTTTTATGCTTTGGTATAACAGTGAAGGTATGAAGACCAAGGAAGCTACTATATATTTATGTTCACAGGCACTAGGACAGCCATATGAAGAAACTAGATACTATCCATCCATAGATAAAGTATAACCAGTGAATCTGTTTCCTATGAGATAGATTGAATCTACAAGAAAATAAATTCAAACATTATCAGTTGGCTTGATGTTATGTAAGAATATAGAATATAAAGTAAGAACTAGATGGGGGCTGGAGGATGCTTAAAATCAACAAGCAATAAGCCACAATTGCTGAGAAATCTTATGACTGTATCTAGGATATTTCTAGAGAATATATTAAATAAGACTGCATAATTATAAGATCGAATGACCAAGATCTTAAAATTTGGGGTCGGTGAACCAGACGCAAGACATACCTATGTAGAAGTGCTAATCAACCGCACTGATCTAGTCTGCGACGTTTGAAAGAACAAACTTCCTATCAGATATGACCATGAAACAATACTACATGCTACATAATTCACTCAAACTGCAAGGCTTTTGCAAATAATGAGTATCAGAATATGTGGCGCAGCTCCTTGATGATGGTGCGCCTTGAGGCCGAGAGGCTAACCCCCACCATGTAAATGCGCCTATCTAGTGTTACCAAGAGGTAGTACAGAGTAGATCCATTGCTTATCCTGCAATAAAATATCTAGCACTAGAATTAAGCCTGGAGATCTTTCCGAACTTCCATAATTTTGGGTACGATCATTTAAATACGATCAATCCTGGATCCATCTGAGACTACTCCATAAAAGACCCATAACATAATACCACTGTCTTATACCGGAAGATACGGATGGAATGCTCAAGGTTGCTGGATTGTATCTGCCTGCAAGTATCAGCGACTCCATTGCGCTAGTTTAATACCTATGCTGTTCTATTCCTGTCAAGATGGAACTTACGAAGCCTACGCGTCAATAGTAGTGACAGTAGTCTATGAATGATCCACATGGATATGGATGTATGAAATATGAGTTGTGAAATACCAAACTCGAAACTGATACATCCAGATGGCCAGACTTAATCCAAGACATACTAATACTATGCTGTACATAGCATATGTGGAAGCTATATAGGTTAGTGTTTCAACTGGTGGTGGCAAGAGCAAATATATCCTGCAAAGCCACAGTGCTGCAGAGGGAGAGTCCACAACACCAACACAAGTCAATATTCGAGAATGGCCATCCCTAGCAGCAGGCCACATTATTGTTATATCATTGATCATCGATGATCGTCTTTTTTTATCTGGTTGTTCTCGAAGAATACCTGGTGTCATCGGTATTGTCACGTGGAATACCGCTGTGATGTAATAGCCGAAATTCAAATAATTGCGCTGCCGAAAATAGCATAGCAGTTGATAAGGTTAAGCATGCAGCAGCAAAACACAATAATGAGCTCCTCCTATTGATCCCCCCAACGCAGTGTAACCCAAAAAAACCACAATCTATCCTTGCCTCCTGTGCTGTACATCACCAAGTCACCAGCCGTCCCATAATAAATAATCATGATCTTATTCCCATTAGTAGAGCCATCCTGAAGGAAGGGGGGTCCATAAATACCACTGCGGGCGATGGCCAGCATCAACCACGGAACGCCATCCCCTCCATTCCGTCTCGTGCCCAGTGGTTGGCGAGCCTGCAGCGGGTCTCATACCGGAACAGCGTATTTCCCCCCCTCCGGTCCCCTCAGACGGTTCGCTTAGTGCGGTCCATCCCAACTTTACCACCATATTACATACATACCGTAACAGCCAGACTCGAACGACTTCAACCAACACTGAGAGGGAGAAGCCCTCCGACCTGGACAAACACCACTGGAGCCCCTGCCATGTCACTCTTTCGGCCCATTCAACTTCTTACAGTCATTCGTTAATTCTGTCTATCGTTTTTTGCTTTTCCATTCCTTTCTTTCATTTCTGCTTATGCATTTTTAGACTCCAGTCGTGGAACGTGGAGTCTCTTTCATTCTTTTTCATTTTCTGCTTGGGTTTCCCCTGCCACGTTCCTTAAAGGCCTCTCCTTTTCAAAGTCCCAGCGCGTTCGCTGCGACTTTTGGGCCCCCTCTTATCCAACAACATTATTTTTTCCCTCTAAACAGTCGTTTGATGATTTTATTTGGGCCAGGGCATCTCTAGGCTTTTTTTCTCTCTCCCATATCATTTTTTTTGTCCCGTCGTCGGGCTCCTGAACAATGAGGCTCCCCTCACTGTTAGGGCCTGCGACGGTTATTCTCACGTCGATTTTTCAACCGTCTGCAGCCCAGGAATTGTCGTTTACTTCCGTTTCGAAACCCGACCTTGATCTTTCTTCGTTAGGACGAGTCGCTTTTACCGGAAATTTTGATGCGGTTTCGATTTATTCTTACACCAACCAGTCGGAAACGACACTGAACCACAATGGATCTCAATCGATTTTGACACCTCTCCCAAATGGCGTGCTTACGTCGCTCTCGAATGCAGACGCAGAAATTCTCGCCATGTGCCCTTTTACCAACAAGGATGGAAAGTATTCTGGTATCTTTGTGGGCGGAAATTTCACCAATTTGGGTGGGGTCAAGGCTGAGGGCGTGGCTATGTTTAATCTGAACTCGAACGAAGTCACTGCCTTGCCTGGAATCAACGGATCCGTTTCAGCTTTGCTATGCGACCAGGATACAAACAGTGTTTATGTTGGCGGAGATTTCAACTACAAGAACACAACGAACGCTGTCGCTTGGGTCGATGGTAAGGGCTGGTCGCGTTTGCCTTTTGATGGACTCAATGGACCGGTTACGTCGATTTTGAAGGACGACGACGGTCACATCGTTTTTGGCGGCTCTTTTGATGGCATCGGAAACTCGACATCAACCAAGAAGACCGGACAAGTGATCAACCTCTCGAATGCAACGATTACCTCCGACGCGCTCTCTTCGAAAGATGGATACAGTAGCCCTAAGAATATCATCTGTCAAACCGGTGGCGAGGACGGCGAAGGAAAGACGTGGTTGCTCGACGACTATTCCCCCGGATTCTGGCGCGCGGACATGAACTTCACCTATAACCCATCGAGGATTCGTCTCTACAACACCCATTTCGAAGGAAGAGGCACAAAGTCTTTCCTGTTCAGAGCTTTGCCGGACAATGGCATCATGAACCTTACCTACACCGATTCCGACAACAAGAATGTCTCCTGCGACGCTTCATGCCCGCTCTCCGACAACTCCGATGAAGAGTACCGCGAATTCCGTTTTGTGAACAATGTTGGCATGAAGGGTTTCCAATTGGAGGTTCTTGATTGGTACGGACAAGGCGCTGGTCTAAATGGTATTGAAGTCTTCACAGATGGTAAGTATCCAGATTAAGAAATGCTATAGTCTCTTCCCCATGCTGATTGATTCAAGACATCTACGCCTATGCTATCAACGACTTTAATGAGCCGACATGCGCAGAATCCAAGTACCCCTCTGAGGCTAAACAGTCTGGCTCGTGGAGTGTTACTGGATCTGGACAGTCCAACTATTTGACCGCCAAAGCTACAGGATCCGATGCGACCAGCACATCTATTGTCTTCGAGCCGGATGTCCAGCAGTCGGGAAACTACAGTGTTCTTCTTTACACCCCTGGTTGCACAGAAGATGGAACCTGCGATGCGCGTGGTATTGTTAACGTGACAGCCACTGTCAGTACCGACGACGATCCCGTCTCCACCGACCTCTACCAGACCAACGACTATGAAAAGTACGATACCATCTATACCGGTCATGTCGATGCTAGCAGCAGTTCTTTCCGTCCTAGCGTGACCTTGACTCCTAAACCTGGCCAAGGTGACATCACCGTGGTGGCCTCGCGGGTCAAATTCCAGTTGATTAAGGCATCGAAGGGAACCAGCGGAGACGGAGACTTGAATGGCCTCTACGATTTTGACCCAACTTCCAAGACCACCAACACCAATTTCACCGAGTCGGTTATCAATGAGGCGGGACTTGAGCTTGACCACGGAGCGTCGATCACGGCCTTGGCAATACATGACAAAGTGATCTACGCTGGAGGCAATTTCTCTAAATCGGGTATCAGCAACATCATGTACTTTGATGATGGTAATGCTACCGCGATGCCCGAAGGAGGCTTGAACGCCCAGGTCGCTTCGATGGCGGTACTCGATGATCTCCTTTATGTCGGAGGCAACTTCACGGATTCGTCTGATGGTGGAAACAGCAATTTGCAAAACGTCGCAGCCTATTCCTTTGATTCTAAAGCTTGGGTGGCACTTGGAGGAGGAGTCAATGGCCCCGTTAGCTCTGTTCTTGAATTCCCCCTCAACGTTTCTACCGAAATCAACGAGACAACCGTTGCCGTGAGTGGTCGCTTTGACGAGTTGCTTGCCTTTGACGACACCCCGGCAGTGCATGCGCCAGGGTTTGCCATTTGGGTTCCCTCCCGGAAGAACTGGCTCCAGAACCTCAATGTTACTCAGTCGGAGTTTGTTGGACAATTGTCGACCTACGCCACAGCTGAAAACACAACTATCATTGCCGGAAACTTTGTTTCTAACGGTCTCGCCGCCGATGGAGCTGTATCGCTAGTTGATGATGTCGAACTGGATCTCCTGCCTTTGCTGAGCAACACGAAAATTAACAGCTCTGGTGGCGGAGTCCTCACTGGCGTGTATGATACCAGCTCGAAGCGTAACCTCACGATCCTTGGAGGCCAGTTCAACATCACTACCAACAACGGGTCTACCGTGGAGAATCTTGCTCTAATTGACGGCAACCACAACATGATCAGCGGACTGGGCGCGGGTGTTGATAGCAACTCCACATTCATGTCCTTACTCGTCTCTAACAACACCCTCTGGGCTGGTGGCAATGTCACTGGTACTGTAAATGGCAATCAGCTGGCGGGATTTGTCGCATACGATTTGAGCAACAGTGAGCTCGTTAAGGAGCAGCCCCCCGCTCTTAACGGAGGCAATGTAACTGTCAACTCTATCGCTAGTCGCCCGAGCTCTGAGGAGATTTACTTCGGAGGTAGCTTCAAATCTGCCGGGAACCTTCCATGCCCCAGTGTTTGCTACTACGACCCGTCTGCCGGCCAATGGAGCCGACCTGGAGTGGATCTCGAAGGCACTGTTCTTTCGCTTAAATGGACTAACAGCCAAAACTTGATGGCTATTGGTGACCTCAAAGTGAATGATGAAAAGACAAAGATTGCAACCTACAACGTCAAGGAGCAGATGTGGACCTCCTTCAAGGGGGCATCTGCCACGGAGATCCCAGGCACAGTCACTGCCTTTACACCCGCCAGTACGGACGTTTCGACTTTCTGGCTCGCTGGACAATCTACCAATGGCTCGAGCTTCATCACTAGCTACGATGGATCTAAATTTGTGCCAGCCGGAGATCTTTTCGACGATGGAACGATCATTCAGGGCCTGGAGGTTATCCCTATCTCCTCAGACCACAAGTCCGATGATTACCTCAACAAGGATCTAATTCTTATTGTCACTGGCCAGCTTGTGATTCCTGATTTTGGCAATGCATCTGCAGCATTGTTTGACGGAATTGACCTGACCCCTTTTATGCTCTCCTCGAAATCCAATGGACAGCCGGGCACTATGTCACGGTTGTTCATGGAAAACCAAAACCCTTACACCCGCGGTGGCAGTAAGTTTCCCATTTATGACCTCACGTGATAACACAGGCTAATGTCTCACATCAGATAACCACCACTCCAACGGGATCGTCGTGTTGATCTCTTTCTGTCTTGCACTCGCCTGCGTTTTCCTCATCGTCATTGCCGGTGTCATCATGAACAAGATCCAGCGCCGTCGCCAGGGCTACATGCCTTCTCCGCAAGCGTATGGAACTGACCGGCCTACGAACATGCAGCGATTGCCTCCAGAGTACCTATTCAATACTCTGAAGCAGCCAAACCCAGGTGCACCCGCAATCTGATGTAAGAACTTGATTGCGCCCACTCGACGATAACTGTTGATCAGTGAAGACAAAAAGTCCTACGACATATACTTTACATTCTAGTTCTGTGTGGTATCTTGAGAACGGCGTTCTTAGGAAGCGACATTTTATACCCTTATTCTTAATGTTTGATTTGCCAGTTTCCCCCTTGGATTTATCGTCCTCTTCGATTCTCTTTGTTTTTTGATATCTTTTTTGATTCAAAAAGCACCTCTTTTTTCGCCATCATTTTCATGTCTGCCGTCTGTTATTTGGCAAGGTTAATACTAGCCGAAGACCAATCATTTTGTGAATACGTCATTTCGTTGGTTGATGTTGGGTTTGTACTATAGTGGTAGTCTGAGTGTGTTTTCTCCGCCACAGTGTCTGTGCGGGGGGATGTCATGTTACCAGCTGGGCGTGTAAATAGCCCGCGCAAGCTCGCGGTAATGACAATAATGCCAATCGAATCTGCTGGATAACTTGTATAAATGGGATGTGGACATAAAATAGACGAACTCAGAATTAGCAATCTCCCGTGACAGACAGAAATATTACGTAGGAATTAACCGATGAGGCTGGAGCGTGTCTGACATCTCCATAAATAAACTCTCTCGGGGCTTTCCCCGCAAGTCCGCATGACTAAGGCTGAAAGACCCCCATCCAATATGAGCGCCCCGAATCCATATTGCCTAGACCTGCTGATGTTCGTTCGTTTCGTTGCTTCGTGATCCTCGTTTTCCGCCCCCCGCTTCGTATTGTCTTCTGGCTTCTTGGCCGCCTCTATTCTTCTTTTCTTCTTATCATCTGTCAGTCAGGATTCCTCATCCCTTTCAGAGATCATCACGTTTCCCCCCCTCCGCATCCCCACAATTTTCTACATCACATACGGAGTACTGAACCCTGGATCGTCATCCCCTATTACGTCTCTCGAATGCGGCTGTTTAGCTACCGTTCTTTTCAGCCGGTATGCGATCACGCACAGGCTGGTGAGTCAGATTGAGATCTTGATTTCTTTCCTCTTCCCCGGCAAGAGCTTTTCGCTAACATGTTTGTGCCCAACCGCATCACAGCTTGACGTGTCGTACTCGAAAGCTCAAATGTAATTCCGTCCACCAAAAACCGTATCATCACAAAGAATTCAGATGGGATTTTATGGTTCTCCCGCAAGACCCGAATACTGACACAGCTTCGCAGGCGACGAGCAGAAACCAGAGTGTACGCAGTGTCGCAAAGGCGGGAGAGAATGCCGCCCAAGCGAAGGCATTGTCTTTCGCCATCAACAAAATGCGTCGATGAATAAAGATCTCGAGGAATCATCACCCGGTCGTGGTAATCTGAGGGGATTTTATTCGTACAAGAATACCTTCGACAAGGATAGTGTTTGGTTGGATATTCCGAAGCACGGTACGAAAATACTATCTTGATTTCTCTCTTTTTGGTGTCGTGTTCGGGTCGGGGTTGGTCGCACAGACAGGTTTGGTTGACATGTGGGTGTCTATACAATAGTGATCTTTGTCGATAATTCGGATCCTTATGCGGAAGACCTTGAGGCTACACTGGGTGAAACGGAAGCTGCTCTTCTTGCTGCGAACGCGCAGAGCCGGGAATGGGAGAGTAATATTCGGAATTCTTCTGTTGATGGTGAGACACATGGGTTGGAGGCTTTGTCAACGGCAGCGGCGAATGATCGTTTCCCGTACCATTCGCTTGGAGACCATCAGTCGCTGGCGACAGATAGTACACCCTTTAGCAACGTCGATATTCCTGCCTCCGTATCGTCTGGTCCATCTCCGATGCCCCCGCGCAGCGCCTTACCCTCGGCAACCTCTCCCATGTCGATTGCATCGACCGGCAACAATAATATCAACTTTCTTCTTAACCCTTCACATTCCCTGTCACCGCCACTTGACCCGGGTATTCCGCGTACCCTCGAACGGAGAAGCTCCTCGTTCACATCCAGATCAGGAGTGTCGCGAAGCACGATTGCAGAGCTGAGAGCGGATGCAAATGCAGAAACAGATCATAAAATTGCTTTTCTTCTGAGGCACTATACAGAGGCACCGGGGCTCTGGTAAGCTTAAGCTCATCTTCAAGTGCACGAAGGCCGCTGATGAGTCATGGCAGGATGGATCTTTTTGACCTAGGAACCTATTTTGCTTCGTATGTCCCCGTAAAGGCGCTTAACAACCCCCTCCTAAAGTATGCTGCTTGTGCATATGCCGGGAAACAACTGGGTCGCGTGAAGGGCGTTAAAGCATCGGTTGGTGGAAACTGCTCCAAGCACGCTTCTATGGAGACATGGCCGGATGAGATAGATTGGTATTGGGAAGGCGCCAAGTATTATGAAAAGGCGATCCAACTTCTGATGAAGGAGCTGCAGCCGGATGAAGGTCCCCCGCCCTTGAGTACACCGGAGGCATTTGGTCAGTGGCAGGCCGCTGAGTTATGTGAGGATGCTGAGAACCCTCGCAAGCGCCGGAGGCGTTTCTCTGATAGTCGATTCTCGAATGGAGTCCACTCGGATGAAGTGCTCGCTGCGGCGGCCATATTATCTGTATATGAATTTCTTGATGCAACTGGCCCGGCGTGGAACCGCCATTTGAGTGGAGTCAAGTCACTTTTAGATGTTGTTCAAGTTGGAATGATGCCTGTTGAGCAGCGATCGTCTCCTGCAGATGCTGGTTTCCAGCCACCCAAGAAGTCTGGACTGTCCAAGGCAAGAAAGGCGACGTTTTGGAACTTTGCTCGACAGGATTATTTGGCAGCCTGTAAGTACACATTGGCATTTCTGATACATCTTTTCCTGGCTCCGCCCGCTGACGTCGTGTTAGTTATTAACGAGACTCACACAAGGCTGAATACCGATGACTTGGTGTTGTGGACAGAAGCCGGCCTTCAAATCGATAATGCTGGTTTCGTGCGTCCTAGCAACATGTACGCAGCTGGTTACCCGGAAGGGGACGATGTGATGAGGGAGGATCTTATCTCCAATGCGCTCATATGGATTCTCTCAAAGATCGTCAATTTCATTAGTGCTGGCGACAATGTTCATTTGAACAACAGTAATTCTATCGACACAGGCCCTCTCGGTGTTTCACAGCAGGTGCTCCTCGAACGGTGGTATCGTCTTGAGGCCGAACTTGATGCCTGGCACAGCGGGCTTCCTGACACATTCCGACCAGTGGCTCGGATTGAGCCGTCACGGCTGCCCAATAAACCTGCAGAGGATGATGACGTCTCATCATTCCCAGAAGTATGGCACAGCATTCCCATGTGTGCAGCAACCATGCAGCATTACCACATGGCACGTATTCTGCTTCTCATTAATAAACCCCACGAGTCAACCAGTAGACGAAGTACAATCACGAACCGACTTAACTCATACCGCTCGATTGAGAGTGAAATCCGCTTTCACAGCCGTGAGATCTTGGGCATTTCCATGTCCCGTCCTGATGGCACGGTCCGCATCCACGCACTTCAGCCGTTGTTTGTCAGTGGTCAATGTCTCACTGAGCCCCATGAACGACGGATGATTATTCGGCTGCTGCGGGGCATCGAGTCTGATCTTGGTTGGGCCACTGAGTATCGTGTCATGCAGTTGCTTCGGGAGTGGGGATGGGACGAAGACCCTGCTGCCCTGGGTGTTTGTTAAGCGAGGTTCAGCCCTATGGACATGAACGTAGTTCTTCACATTCTCGGGAATCTCGATTGCCTTGGATTGCTTTATCCATATGAAGGGATAGCAATGCCATGCATTTCGACGACTCTGACTGGAATGGGATAGACTAATGATACTAGGTGGGCTATCCTGTCTTTCTGTCAGAGATGAGCGACAAGGCTGACCGACCCCTCCAGAGAATTAGTACCCTAATTATTTCTTTGCATTAGCGATGGCGCATTCGAGGGTGGTCATGACGTTTATGATGTAAAATAAAGAATTTGTTCATTTCTCGCGATGGACGAATCCAAGGGATTAACATGTCCAGTGTAAATAATCCATAATCTGCCTGCATTTACATGAGTAAATTTCCAGCGATCAATTCTGCGAGCCCGGAGCCCCTGCTTTTTATTAGACACGACAATTAAGGGATTTCCCCATTATTCAGAATCTGCAGAGGAACAGCGATCTTCGGCTGAGTTGCCTGTCCTCCATCGACGTTGCACCTCTGTGACTGAAAGTCTGCCGGTATCCACTGCTTCCTCCTTTCTTTCCTTCTCTCCGGCCTCTTGCTGGCTGGATTACCATCGCATGATGTGTAACGAACCACTTGCCCGCATTGACTGTCGGGGATCGACGTGTGATGGTGCTGATGATCAGTCCAAGGGAGAGGGGGAACAGGATGCAGCCCTTCTAATTCCACCCTCAACATTTCCTTGCCAATCTGGGAACTGTCGATCATATTTGCCTGATGCTACGGTACCTTGCCAATCACGAAAACCTAGCTACATCCACTCATCATCACTAAGAAATTCAAACCCTTCATCCCACAATATTATTGAATTCTCGAGCCATGATCCCCACTACCAAGAACCTGGGGAAACCGAATCTTTCCGCCCCGGGAAGGTTATCCGAGCCCCAATATTCCCCCCGCGCAGACACAGTCTCCCTGCATGGCCAAGTTGTGCCTTGTTTTCCTTTTTTTCTTGGTGATGTTCAAAGTCGATAAAGGTTTCCTTTTTGGCTCTTCAGTGAGCTGTTCAGCCTTTCTTATCGCGCTTATCTCGATTAACCATGGGGAAACTATGGCGAGCAGGCCTTTTATCCAAATAAGGCATATTTTAGCTCAGTCTGAATGGAAACAGGACTGCTCAAGTCAGATACCAGACGCGGGCGGATGGATGGGCTGGCCTATTTATTTGGCCACGAGATTGCTCATGGCTATTTCGTCGCTCTATACGACAAAAATCAACCTGGATAATATTAAGCCATAATACAATGTCTGTTGACATCGACGTGCTGATCATCGGAGCTGGGATCTCCGGGATTGGATTTGCTGTCCAGCTCCAAAAAAAGTATCCTCGGGTGAGCTTCGAGATCTTCGAGAAAGCTGAGGGCTTGGGTGGGACGTGGTGGGTGAATACGTATCCTGGCTGTGGATGTGATGTATGTTTCGACTGGTTTATTGAAGTGAAGAAGTGCTAATACTGTATCGCAGGTAGCATCGCACTTTTATTCATTGTCTTTTGCACTCAACCCCGACTGGAGCAAGAAGTTTGCGCCTCAGTCTGAGATTGCTGCTTACTGTCAAGCTGTGGCAGAGGAGCATGGTATTCCTCGCCATGTCACGTTTAGCTCTACTGTACAAAGCGCTGCATTCGAGGAAACTACCGGTACATGGGTCGTGACTATCCTTGAGCAGCAGACTGGGAGAGTCTACCAGAAGCGATCGAGGGTTCTGATCTCAGCAGTCGGAGCACTTTCTGTGCCTAGAGATTGTGAAATAAAAGGCTCCGAGAGATATACTGGAAAGCTGTTCCATTCTGCTCGGTGGGATCACACACTTGATTGGGCCGGTAAGGATATCGTCGTGATAGGTGGGTGTCTCTCATTGACCTAGCTTTACTGAGACTAACATCGGCTACAGGAAACGGTTGTAGTGCGACTCAGTTCGTACCTGTGTTGAGTGATGGCCCCGGAAAGGCGAAGAATGTTGTACAATTCAGCCGTCAGGCGCATTGGCTCGCTGAACGTCCTAACCCAACATACTCTTCAACTTTCAAATGGACGATGCGCTATGTGCCTCTTGCCATGCGTATGTATCGGTTCTATTTGTACTACCTGATGGAGCGAGATTTTGCTGGATTTGACCTGGCCAATGGAGGTAAAATCCGTGAAGAGCAGAAGAAGATCCAGCTCGATTATTTGCTACGCACGGCCCCGGAGCGATACCACGAAGCATTGATCCCAAAGACCGAGATTGGGTGTAAGCGCAAGGTCATGGATACGGACTACCTGGCCTGCTTGCACCGGGAGAACATGGAGCTTGTCTATTCCGATCCTGTCGCGGAGGTCACAGAGACTGGCGTGAAGACTGAATCAGGACGAGAAGTCCACGCTGATGCTATTATTTTGGCGAATGGTTTTAAGACGCAGCAGGTTCTATATCCGATCGAGATCACAGGCGAGAAGGGCGTCAGTATAACAGAGCACGTATGTACTAGCTAAACCCTCTACTTCTCGACTGGTATTGACTGTGACTATAGTGGGACCAATTCTCCTCCGGGTCAGCACAGGCATACTACGGTACCTGCGTGTCCGAATTCCCCAACCTGTTCATCATGATGGGTCCGAACATCACAACCGGCCATCTGTCTGTCATCTTCTCCACAGAATGCCAGATGAACTTTACTCTCCGAGTCCTAGAACCCGTACTGGACTCACTTTACCCATCTCTTTTATCATCTCTCAATCCCTTCACCAAAGCCATAGACACCGTAGCAGTGACACCATCAGCCGAAGAGCGCGATAACACTTGGATCCAAGCAGCCGCCAGCAAGCTCGTCTGGGCGTCTGGCTGCTCAAACTGGTACGTCGATGCCCGGACAGGCCGGAATACCATGCTCTACCCAGATTGGCAATTCAAGTTCTGGCTGCGGAGTATCTTCTTCCCGCTTTCGAGGGACTTTGTCTTTCGGTCTAGCTCTGTTCGTTTGCCATTGAAGGCAGAGAGTCGCGCGTTGGAGGGTAGGAAGAATGAACTAGCGAAGATTGGTGGTGTTGTTGCTGTTTCTTCTGTTGCTGCTGTAGTTGGATTGATGGTTTTAGGTCCACAGGATAGTAGAGATGTTCGCTCTTATCTTTCTGGACTTTGTGATGTTGGGTTTCGAGCTCAGAAGGAGTTTATGGATGGGTTTGCGAGTCTTCTGTCTCGTTGGGAGTTGTAGGTCTTATGCAGTGAGAAGTCCAGGTTGAATATTATTTACAGTTCAAGTTTAATCTATTCGGGTATTTACAGTCATACAGAAGCGATATTGCACAAATCTGATTAACGACTCTGAAGTCGCTTTGATATCCTCCTCGTTGTCGTCGTCTGCGATGCCTCAATAACAGCCTTTGTCTTTGCCTTTTTCTTATCCTTAACGTCATCTTTCGTGTCCCCTTCGCTCGCAGATCTTTTCACAGCTACTGCAGTAGTGACTTTAGTCTCAACCTTCACATCCTCATCATTCTCCTCTTTAACCTTCACGTCTTTCTCCTCCTTGACCTTAACATCCACCTTCTTAGACGCAGCTAACCTATCCGAGAAGGTCCTCAAGTCGGCCGTAAACAGCACACTATGGGCCCAGCCAGCTTCCTTGCCCCAGAGTTTACGGAAGTGATTACCCACAGCGTCGTATGTCACCTTGTTGAGGGTTTTGCCTGAGCCTTTGCCGAATCTATAGTCTCTTTGTGCGATTTGCCAGACTAGGCCATGTTAGTTTGATGCAGTTGATGTGAGAGAGACTCGGAGAACCTACCGTGCGTGTCTACTGGGACGGATTCTCCCCATCCAAGCCCCATTAAGGATACGCAATCGGCTACCTTGGGCCCAACTCCTTGCAACTCGAGTAGCTTCTCATGAGCCTCCCGGTACCCTTCTCTACCCTCGGGCTTCATTTCACCACCTGGCGCAGCTTCTACCCCGAAAACCGGTGACTCGGGGTTACACAGCCCATTTAGCCAGCCTCCCTCTCGTTCCTTGGCTACCATTACAGCCGTCTGGTAGATATATTTGGCGCGGTAGCCAAACCCTAAACTCCGAAGACGAGACTCGACATCGCCACCGGTCAATGCCTCTGGGGGCGGGAAATCGTGGTAGGGACGTTCGTCGAATGTCGCGATGTGCTGTCCGTAGTTGACGCATAGCTTCTCGACCATTTGCGAGATGCGCGCAATGTTATTGTTACTGCTGCAGATGAAGGAGACGAGCGCTTCCCATGGGTCCTGGCGGAGGATACGAATCCCCGTGAACTGGGAGGCTTTCTTTTTGAAATTGGGGTCGTTGGCGGACCATTGCGAGTAGAGATCGGTTAGGTTCGAAGAGAGGTTGAAGTAGTGTTTTATCAGGTTGAGGAGGGTGTCGTCGATGGCGGACGGTTTGGATGCATGGTGGAGTCTGTAGTATAGATATTCGGGATCTTGTCTTAAAGAGAGTAAGCGACCATGGAGGACGCATCTCCATTCATCGCTGTCAGGTACATTGTACCATCTCGTCGAGGTCAGATTCGAGTGTAGTGTTGGATAGCGGCAGAATCGACTTACCGGAATGACTGCCCACAACGCAGAGTCGTATTGATACATAGTTCGCTAAGACTCACAGGGAGTCTGTGCCATTGCGAAAAGATCTCTTTTGTCATTTTGAGCTCTGAACCACCGAATTAAGAGGACCAATGTCTTCGAAACAATCGGCGACGAACCGTCGGAGATAATATTCTGCCCCTGATTCTGCCACTTTTGGAAGGCGGTGGCGTCTCCGCAAGACACGCGCGCTAGCCGCTTCCAAGCTAGGCGCTGGGCGGCTCTTTCGCCGATCGTCACGACCTGCAAGTTTTCCCTCAGACGCCAGCGCTGGAGCTCTCGTCCTCTCTCCGTCTCCAGAACGAACGCTATCCCATACCATCTCATTTGGGATTAAGATTGATCTATCAGTGTCTTTTGTACCTGAGGATACTAACCCGAGGCTGTTCGTTGACGGTCTCATTTGCCACGCTTTTAAAGGAAAGACTAAAGAAGGTCGCTGGAGCTCAAGATGAACGGCGACACTTACGCTTCGAGAGGTGCGTAACATATGCTCTTACCCCGATTACTAGCTTTCTATCTAGTCGCATATATCTAACCTTTTGATCGCAGACTCTGGTCGCTCGAGAGACTACTACGTGAGTGATAAATTGCCGGTTCAATAACGCGACCCTGCCCGCAAGCCAGCTAACATGTCTTAATACCTCCAGCGGGACGAGCGCCGGGATCGCGGAGACAGAGGAGATCGGAGACGCTCGAGGTCTCCTCACCACAGCTCTAGAGGCTCCCGACGCGATTTCGAGGCGGACTCGTACTCGTCGAGCCGTGACTATCGCGCCAGAGAACGGGAAGACCGCTACTCGAGCAGCCGGAGGGACGATCGAGACTGGGACCGAGGGGATCGCCGACGCAGAGACTATGATGAACGACCATCTCGACGCGAGAGAGACAGAGACTTGTTTGATGAGAGACCCCGGCGAGAAGGCAGAGACAGAGGTGACAGAGGTGATCGCGATCGGGAACGTGGCGACCGCGGCGACCGCGGCGATCGTGATAGAGAGCGCAACCGTGACAGAGGAGAGCGCAGGAGGAGCCCTTCGCCTCCACGAAAGAGGGAACCCACGCCCGACTTGACAGATGTCGCCTCTGTCTTGACCCGGCAACGACGTTTGACGCAGTGGGATATTAAGCCTCCTGGTTATGAGAATGTCACAGCGGAGCAGGCTAAGCTTTCGGGTGGGGTTTTCCATCTTTCGTATAGCTATATCGTTATACTGACTTAGTTTTTTAGGCATGTTCCCCCTTCCTGGAGCGCCTCGACAGCAACCTATGGACCCCAGCCGTCTCCAGGCTTTCATGAGCCAGCCTGGTGGTGGATCTGCGGAAAGCTCGACCCTCAAACCCTCGAATTCTCGCCAGGCGAAGCGTCTGTTCGTATACAACCTGCCATCAAGTGTGACAGGGGAGTCTGTGCTCGCTTTCTTCAATTTGCAGCTTAATGGCCTCAACGTCATTCACAATGTGGACCCCTGTATCTCCGCCCAAGTGTCCGAGGATCGCTCTTTCGCTCTCATGGAGTTCAAGACGCCCAATGACGCTACTGTTGCCCTTGCACTCGATGGTATTGCTATGGAAGAGCATGGTGCGGAGGCTGAGAACGGAGCGCCCAAGGGACTGGAAGTGCGACGACCTAAGGACTACATTGTTCCTGGTGGAGCAGAGCAGGAATACCAGGAAGGAGTGCTTTTGAATGAAGTGCCTGATTCGCCCAACAAGATCTGCGTTTCCAACATTCCCAGCTATATCCCCGAAGAGCCCGTCACAATGCTGCTCAAGTCGTTTGGCGAGCTCAAATCGTTTGTTTTGGTTAAGGATAACTCGACTGAGGAGTCTAGGGTGAGTTTCATATGATACCGAAATCTATACCATGCTGACTGGCTATCAGGGAATTGCATTCTGCGAGTATGCCGACCCTTCGGCAACTAGCATTGCCGTCGAGGGACTTAATGGTATGGAACTGGGTGACAGGCATCTGAAGGTTGTCCGTGCCAGTATTGGAAACACACAGGCCTCTGGTCTCGACATGGGTGTGAACGCTATGTCGATGTTTGCAAAGACAACATCTCAAGATTTAGAGACCAGCCGAGTCCTGCAGCTGTTGAACATGGTGACCCCCGAGGAGCTTATGGACAATGATGACTACGAGGGTATGTCTCTTCCCTAGCATATGCCTCGGCTTGACTAACGCATTGACAGAAATCTGCGACGATGTGCGCGAGGAGTGCTCGAAATACGGACAAATTCTGGACGTGAAGGTGCCTCGCCCATCGGGTGGCAGCAGGCAGTCGTCCGGAGTGGGCAAGATCTTTGTCAAGTTCGACACGGTGGAGTCGACGACCAATGCATTAAAGGCACTTGCCGGAAGGAAGTTTTCTGACCGGACTGTTGTGACGACCTACTTCTCCGAGGTAAGTTGATGGTTCATACGTGTCTATCCAGTTCTAACATTGTCTGCAGGAAAACTTTGACGTCAGCGCATGGTAATTTACGGATGCTTGATGCGATGGCTGCGTTTTCGACTGGTTATATTTTATTCCCCTTTGCCTGTTATCTACTGGGAAGATGTCTAATTTGGGAACTCCCCCGAAGAAGTCCACTGGGCTGATGTTTGTTTTTTCTCCTTGCCCTGGAAAAATGGAGCGAGATTGTTGTGAATGTAACATAGCGGAAAGATAGTAACATGAAGTTTGGTCTGATATTGATGTTTACTGGAATGATGCCATCCCCGCATTATCCATCATCAACCATGGAATCAACCACGTAAAAGCAAAGTAAAAAAATCCAATAAATGAGCAAACGAAAAAAGAACACCGTTGAACCCAAATCACATGCAATCCACCCAAACCTTCTGTCACTGTCAATGTCATCTATATCTGACTACCTCGGCTCCTTCAACCGATAATCCTTCAACTTAATGCAAGCCCATCACATCTCACTAGCAAACATCTAGTGCTTATTATAGGTGGTATATAGTCTAGCAAACTATTGCCGTGGGCACGAGTTTGCTTCTTCTGTTTTCCCCATGGGGTAGTGGGAATGGGAGATCTGCGGGGTGTCAGTTCTTGACACTTCACACTATCATGAACATGCTAGTTAGTTAGTCAAATAGATACATGTCAAGAGTATAGCTAAGCCAGTAACAATCAAGCAATTCCAATACTGTGCTACCAATAAGACTACATAGGTTATGCCAATATTCTCAATTATCAGTCTTGTATACCCCGTATCGAGACTCTGACCACACCCTCTCCCATACATACACGATAATTCTAAATAGACTATTGGAAGAGAAAAAAAAAAGATCATCACGCCCAGCCACGGCAAATACACCCATCGAATAGATAGACAACAGCTTCGACTCGACCTTCCAAGACGAAGATAAGATCTACATCCTAAACCATGGAAACACACTTTCCCAATCCTTCCAGATCCCGAGCCACAAACCACAAACCACAGGACCAGAACCAGAACCAAACCACAAATCGAGATATGTTTTACAATCCGATGATGATGATGACGATGACGATATTCCTGTCAAACTGTTACATGCATAGTGTCACTACCTTACAACATCTAACTTCAATTCTGTCTCACCTACCCCATTCGTGTCTCGGCAGTTCCAGAAGGTCTCATTACAAAACGCACCTTCTTAAAACGGCTGGGAGATTTGAGTTTGGCGTTTTTGAGTTTGAGTTTGGCCTGTTGGATGTCGCGTAAGAAATCGGATATAACCTTTAGAGTTTGGATCGCGTGTTGTAATTTACTGTCTAGTTGTATTTGATATCTATCCATTTGAATTGAATTGGATTGTAGTACTAGCTAGTAAATTGGAGTATTTGGAATGGTTGTTAGATTGATAGATAATTATTTGATAATGTCGAGGCTGAATAGGCAGACTAGATTCTAGACTGTAATATCTAGGCGAGAATTCAGGACTAAAATGCCTGCAATACTGAATACGGTACAATACACAAATACAGACCCACACCTCCAGCGAAACGTCAAAACATCCCACTTTGACACTTTCTGGTACCGACACGACTGCCTAAAGCCGTTGGATCAATTCTCCATCTCCATACCTCATTCATCTCAGCTGCCTAGTGTTCAGTGTTCAATAAACCCGAGGTTCAGATTTGGCTCTATTGCTATATCTTACAAGGTTCTTGCATAAGTTTAAATTCAAATCTTCCATTATTGAACAGTTTGCTTTTTTTTTTTTTTTTCTATCCCAAAAGGTACTGTAGCGGCATAGATCAGCATTACATGTACATCACAGTAGTTCAATGCAACTAACTCCCCTTCCCCTCTTTTTTTGACCCATTTGAACAGTAGAACTGGATCCCGAGCCCCCAACCGACCAACGACCAAAAAATAAGAACAAAACTCCAACCAGCAATGTGGGAAATCCAAACACCAATATAGTTAGGGTATACAGGTCGTGCATCGTCCAGATGCGCCGTGGAAATGTACAGTTTTTTTCAACACCGCAAAGCGCAATAAATAATAAAGCAGAAAATCATCATAGTCATTATGCACCACTAGGATCCCGAGAATGGCTCGGGGCAAATGTGGATTTCGGGTCCCAGTCTCGACCTTGTGGACTGGCTGGCAGTGGCCGTGAGAAACTCATAGGTGGCCGAGAGTATTTAGCATCTCGTCCATAGTGCTCGCTAGTAGTAGGGCTAGCTTTCAGTATCGGACTCGGTGCTCTCACTACCGGCTCTGGCGTTTTGAGCGATGGTAGTGTTGAGTTGGTAATCATCTCGTATGCTCGAGAATCTGTATAGCGCTCTGGGTCAGCGGAAATAAATTCGCGCTCTTTACCGAATTTTGACCTGAAGAAATCGACCCATCCGACAAACATCGACGGTCGTGCAAAGAGGATAAAATTCCACAGGCCCACGAGTGACAACAGAATGAGAAGGGCTAGAAGCGTGGCTTCATTCGGGCCGAGGACCTCTGCTTTCTTCGCGCAGGCCTTTCTGTCACCTTCAGTGGTAACCAAACATAAGAGCCAAGGGATAGCCTTTTTGACGTTTGCCTCGTTAGGCGTCACAGCATTGTCCAATTTGATGAAAACAACAGCAAAGAAGATGACGTTTCCGATGATAATCAAGACAAGTGCCACGCCCCTCCATTGGAGCTGGAGGACCCGCCGGATGCGCTTGTATGCTTGACGTGCGGTGACGGTAGTGATGCTGGCCGAGTATGAAGGCAGGCCTGAGCTGTTGGTCGTGGTGTCATTGTCGAAAAGAGACCGGACATATACATGGATACAGTATGCCATTGTAACTACCTGGAGGACCAGGGCAGCAACAGCAAATACAGTGATGGGGATCCAGTAAGCCTGTAAGCCGTGGTCGATATTAATATGGCAAGTCCCTCCAAATCGGAAGGATACGCCGGTATAAATGAGCATCAAAGTGGTTCCAAGGGCAGGAATTCCCCAACCGCAGAGGAAAGCTCCCCACATGAACTTGGGGCCCAGCATGACTTCCCAGCAAACCTGGAGATGAAAGGCAACTGTACGAATGAAACCTAACTCTAGTCAGTGACGTTCAAAATAGCAATGAAAGTAAACATACTCCATATTATAACAATCCATCCTCCAAATAAAAGTAGAGAGCCGGTAAAAGCGCATGATAGATCAGAATACATGTCATTGGGGGTAATATCGTTGTGGCATTGCTCTGGTTTTGCGCCGAGGGGAATGATAAATGCAAGCTCCATGAAGCAGATACCAAGAGTAAAGCAGATATTCAGGTAGTGACGGTGAGTCCATTTGGCCGGAAGCACGGCGTAGGATAATAATAGGAAGATACAAAGAGGTAAGATGGCCACGCTGGTCCAGCCCGCGACTTCGGTTTTGGGAATTACATCTGAAGAGACAAGATCGGTTAGAAGACTTCAATGGCATATAAGGGGAACACTCACCATCGCCATATATCCATTCACCCAACGGACAAGGCAGACAACAAGAGACCTCACCACCACGTGTCGGAATCTTCTCACAGTATCGACCTTTGATGACTATAAAACGACATTAACCCCATTCGAATAGCAGGACGTATTGGGGAAGCGCACATCCACCGGAAGAAGGGAAGAGACCCTCCTGCAGAAACGGAGTTGGACAGAGCCCATTGAGTGTGCTGTTCGTCATATTGGAAGGTGGTCTGTGAAAGCGATTGAGGCGGCAGGATAATCATATCATTGGGAATTGACCGGATCTCGAGGCTTCGTTCCGTACGATCCAGCGTGTTGGACACCCCGCGCGAGAGGCTCGCAGCCTTATTACCCGGCAGACAGACAGATGGAGTCGAATAGATTATCTCATGCGGAGAAAGAAAGGAATCAATGGGTTCGGGAGGGGAAGGAGGGGAGACGATATAAAATATCACCTAAAGAAGAGGAAGAAGTAGCCGCATCGAGGAAGGGGATCTCGACTCTTTTTACAGAAGAGGACGGTCCGTTCACCCACGAAGAGCCAGAGTCCAGTCTGGCCATGATTGGACTGGGGCATTTAGTCTACGAGACCAAAGAACGTCCAGCCCAAGCTTGGCAGCAGCTGGCACCAGGGGAAAGGCCAGTGGAGATGCAGAGCTACTGCAGGAGAGAGGCGGATCCATGAGGAGCAGACAATACTGTACTGCCTGTATTGTTCCGTATCAGGCCTGCAAGTCGGGGAATCAACGGCTGTAAAAGTACCGAAGGTAGGCGCATCTTGGGTTGGTGGAGCTGTATTTTATGCCAATACCGAATATTACACACGTATATGGAGGATACCTACGTGATACTCCACAAGCATGACTCGGTGGAAACTACAAGTGTGTTTTATTATGAATGGATACGACATTTACTTTGAGGCGAAACATTATTGCGTACTGTTATTGCTATTATTGCCCTGCGCTTATTGCCCTGCTGTATCGATCGAGAGACTCCACAGATAACACAGTAGCATTGGTGAGCATTGACCTTGAGTTCTAATAAACCGATGACGACTCAGCCCACTTGAACCAAGATTACGGACAGCGTACGGACACAAACAACCGGCTGGGTCCGTCTTTAGGGCTCGGCAAATATCCATCAAACCAGGGAGGGGTGATACCGATTACATGAGAATACTCATGGATATCGAGGAAATGCCTGTATCCTCGTGCTGTAACTAAGGCCGACTATTGTTGCAAACCCCATTCACCTGCATAAGTCACTGACAGGGGCTGATCCTGGATGGTTCCAGCCGGATCTTTCTTTCTCTGGACGCCACTAGACTCGCGGATCCACTTGAGGCCCTATTGCTCGCTCTGGTAGGTGGAGGAAAGCGGGGCAGATCCCCGGTTATAGGCAATAGAGTTCGACCGTCTCCTCAGGATAAGCCCAATGGTACTCCAATTGTATTTCCACAGAATGAGTAGAATTTATGTGACAGAGAGTATTATTATAGTAGGCAGCTTACTATAATGCCACTGTTATATGTTACTTCAGATCTGAAAGTAATCTAATTCACGTTGTGTAGGTAGGGAGTAGGTGTTACTATGTATTTCAAATACATAGTGCTGTGCTCCATCTGCGCGGCGGATGGAATGCCGTATTCCGCCGTGTCTGCACGGGAGAATCCGTGGCTTTACAGCCTGTCATGCTGCTTTTGACAGCATCTGCCTATCCCAGTTAGCACTGCCATTGTTCCGTAGTCGAATCTCTGCGAAAAAAAATGACACATTCTAAAGCAGCAGGTAATTTACACTGTAGACACTCACAATCACTATACTTAAATAGGGAAAAGTACTGAGGCTACATACTGGACCAGACAGCAACAGGCGATCGACACTGAACGACGGTTTCCAAGGACTGCTGCAATTAGGGTTTCCATGCAAATGCATTGTTTCTAGGTTCAATCAAGGTTCTCACTACCGAATAAAGAGGCGTCATGTATTCGAAGTTGTCTCAAATCGGATGTCGTATGTCGGGGACACTCGAGCAGACGGAGGAATGACGGGGAATATCGAGAACAGTCTGCCCATGGCATGCGCAATCCTTGCACGCACTTCTTTTACGCACTTCTTTTACTCCGAGGGCAAATGCATTCGAGCAAAGACCAGCTTGACAAATACTGGGCGAACTTGATTTTCGCAGGTTGATGTGCACGTGGGGAATTTCTAAATATGGACTTAGGGTACGTATGCCGTCCGCCATAACCTTGGTCTTCGACTGAATCCAGAGTAACAGCACTACAAGATGGTCTATTCTTCTCCCATTCAATCATCATTCCCTCAAGTGTCGATTCTAGTCAAAATGACTCGTCTCACATAATGTCGAGTGCTCGGCATAGTATACACTGCCACAGCCAACCACAACGCTGCACAGCAGCAAAATCCAACGATTGGCTCTAATCCTGGCACTGTCTCCGTGAAATTCTCGTTTTATCCTGGTATTTTCCCGGCATCCTTGATTCTGATTCTGATTTGAAAAACGCGGTGGTTCGTATTCTTATGCAGGTTATCCGAACATGCAAGGAACCGTACATACGGCGTTGTAGGTGGCAACACAGTTGAGCCTGTTGAGATGGATTCTTCATTGTTGAAATGATCGCCACGTTCTTGTTTTAGTCTAATCACGCCGTAAAAGATCATCAAATAGTATGACAGGTGATGCATCATATATCGAGGCCAAATTGCTGCTGTTGGGGGGCGGCGGCGTTGATTGGCTGGCGTCCCAACATGACAGGTGACCCCGAATTCCTGGTTGTTCATCACTTCATCTCATTATCGCAGCTGTATCTTTGGTCGATCGTCACTTTCATCGTCTTTCAGATCACATCCATCTCGGACTCCAAGTCTCCAACCAGCTCCTGCTTCTTGGTATCTGACGGTGATGGATCTGCGCAAGGTCCAATCTGTGTCCAGTGGGCGCATTGCCGATATGATACATCACACTGCGCGTGGGGACTCGACATTGCACCCCCCACGATGCTAGCATCTGAATTTGACGCCCATGTCTAAAGGCTTGTTTCCTCTTCGTTAATCCTCACCGATTCTTTCTTTCTTTTCTTTTTCTGTTACACGAGGATGTCATGCAAGTTGTAACCCTTGTCTAGGCTGTGTCTTTCCGTGGAAGGTTGTTCGCCCTGCCCCGTGAAAAAAGATCGACTCCTACCGCTTATTCTGCATCTTTGTTTCTCCCACACCCTGGCCACACGATGCAACTGCTTTATCTTTGCCCTCTCGGGATTCATTGTCTTGCATCCTGGCCCTCTTCAGTGGTTGCTTTCAGGATTGAACTAGACGGGGAAGCTAAGATCCGTCTGCATCATGCGAGTCTATTCATCATTCCGCCCTCTATGGCGATCTCTTGTTTCTCGGGTTGCCTAGAATCGCGCCTAAACCGTGTACAGGGAATTCTCCCTCGAGTTAGTCCCTCGTGCGTCGTGGATTACAGAATGTTACTGCTGTCATCCTGGCTTCCATGTGCTTTTCAATTGGCGCTATTCCAACCATTATCTCACTAATAGGGGATTGTCTTGGATCTCGCCTAAATACTAATTATTCGACCAAGATACGGAATATGCCATTTCCTAAGTGCACTAACGATCCACAGCCCCGGTTGCTTTCTCAATTCTCTACTGAACTATACGAGCATGGAACAAAAAAGCAGCCGGCTTGAAAAAAAAGGTTAAAGAGAAGCTTTTACTCTATTTCACTATTCAGAATTCAACTGTGACACAACCAGCCTCGAAAACCCAGGAAGCTGGAGCATAGCTTGCTCATCTGTATACAACGCTCCACAGCAAGGTCCCGTGGAGGGCGCTTTGTGTTCAAAAAGCGGTGTGATGATGCTGTCGTCTTTGATGACTCTTCTAGTTGTTCCCATGACATCCTGCTCGAGGAACTACTTCTTTCACACCGAATCGATATCAAAGACGTTGATTATGCATAGTTGAAAACAACAAGTCGATGCACAACCCCTGTTGCTGTGCTTGACTCTTTACCCACCCTCATGCTCATGCTCATTTCAATCCTAACCAGGGAAGAGCGCAGACATTGCCATGATATCCAGATGCTGGGATGTGCTGTGCAACTGATCTCCACAGGTACCTGAAGATGGGCACGCGTTCTTCCTAGACCCTGGTCTCTATGTCAATCCAGACAAGGAATAGCCGTAATTACCTACCACTAGTGACATAACCGCCTGTTCCCTGCCAGGGTCGGGTATACTGGCATCATGTATGCAATCTTCGTCACTAGGTTTCCTATCTCCTCGAACAGTTCACTTCGACGTCTTTCTTCCGTCTGAGAAAATACCTCAATTCATCATCTGCCAAGACGTAATGGACTTGTTGGATGGATTGACGCCCCTGCTGCGAGGTACATCGGGATTTGCCTAAGCGCTTGAATGCGCTGATGCAGAGGTTCTCATGATCATCTACATGACCTTAACCTGTAAGTTGTCACGAACATGCTATCGTACCAGGAATAGCAGCTATCTCGCACATAAACACATGGTCTAGACCGTGAATTCACATCACTCAGGCACGAAATCAGAGCTAGGTACGGTGTAGAAGTACGACCCGAGGCGTTCCAAGGAATCGAACATGTTCTTGACAGCTCAATCTACAGGTCGATACGCATTACAAGGATACGAAAGAGAACCATTATCTCAATCATCAACAAAGTCAGATTCAATTCAAAACTCCTAGGCAATATAGACCCAAAAATAGCCATCACTATCAACAATCCAACAACATCAGAGCCCAGGTATATCTAGATCTCTTTCCAACAAGTCAGCAAGATTGCAAAGCAAATATTGGAGAAAAGAATTTCAATGTAATGAATGGGTATCAGAAGTCCATTTAGATCATCGAAATAACACCACGAGGATGCTACTTCTGACATAAGAGGTACCAGAAAAAATAAAAGTTGGGAGTTATCATCATTTTAAGCGTTGCGAAAACACTCAAGGCAGAGGGGAGATGCGAAAGCTGAGCAAAATAGACTAACCTTGTAATGAGATTTCCAACCAATTGATATCAATCACTGAGTTAGTTGAGATAGTCAACTGCTTGATAGCAGTAGCGATGAACCAGCATCATAAAGCCAACATCAGGCAGAGAATTGCTATTCTCGTTCAATCGTCGTGGCAGCAGAAATAATTGCAAGAGAGAAAATCTCCCGCCAAACAGCGCGGAAAAAATCAAACTTAAGCGAATCCCGCCAACCACGTGACCCACACTCCACTTTCGCTTCCCGCTCCCATTTCCATTTTCTATCTGGAGGGCAGAAAAAAACTTCTTGAACTTCAATCCAACACAACTCACGTCGACATCCCCAGTTCACCACCACCCCCTCCGACAATAATTCAAGATGGGTCGTCTTCACAGCAAGGGCAAGGGTATCGCCTCCTCGGCCATCCCCTACTCTCGTTCCACCCCCGCGTGGCTCAAGACCACCCCCGACCAGGTCGTTGACCAGATCTGCAAGCTCGCCAAGAAGGGTGCTACCCCCTCTCAGATCGGTGTTGTCCTCCGTGACTCCCACGGTGTTGCCCAGGTCAAGGTTGTTACTGGTATGTGATTGGAAATGCAATCTGGAAGTTATCGCGCGGAAGTCAGTCAGGCTAACAGTTTTGAACAGGTAACAAGATCCTCCGTATCTTGAAGTCTTCCGGTATGATTCACTCCCCTACGATCCCCTCAATGGGATGAGCGAGAAAATGCAACGAGAACGAATTGCGACTGTTTGACAATGCTGGATGAGGGAATTGGATGGACAACCATAATGGGTGAAATCATATGGGATAGAACACCAAGGACATTCTCCAGCATACACGGACAGTTTGCAGTCTCTGATTTGATTGCTTTGATCCTCATACCCAAAAGGAACTGTTGCAGAAATGCGCAGTCTCCTAACATGTATATGAAAATATACATCTTATGCCTCTGTTTGGTCAATCGGCTGACGGAGTGATTTTTTCAATGAGCAGGCCTTGCTCCTGAGCTCCCCGAGGACTGTAAGTACAATGGATTTTCCTTACGCCATGAATGCAGGAAACTAATTTAATGCTAGTGTACTTCTTGATCAAGAAGGCCGTCGCCGTCCGCAAGCACCTTGAGCGCAACCGCAAGGACAAGGACAGCAAGTTCCGTCTCATTCTCATCGAGTCCCGTATCCACCGTCTGTCCCGCTACTACAAGTCGGTCGGTGTCCTCCCTCCCACCTGGAGATACGAGAGCGCCACCGCCTCCACCCTCGTCGCATAAGCGGGTCGCCCTTGATCTGATCTTGTTGGTGGATGGTTGTTGGATTCGGTTTCGTTTTCGTTCGATCCTAGGCCAAGGAACAATGTGTCTCGCCTTATCTTGAAAACAGGGGGTGAACCTAGTTGATCGTCGACTGCGGATGTCAATAAAAAAAATCTAATGAATAAATCAACGTTCCATTAACTATGCATTGTAGCTTGTAACAAATCAATCCAATCATATGTACATATATATACACCTGGGATAATAACATATACAACATGACAAAATTTATACAATTATAACCTCCCTCGCAACGGCATTACAAAGCTCAACCTTTACCCCAGCCCCAACAAGCACATGAATCCACAACCTCTGCGTATCACTCAACCGATCATTCTCCGACTTCACCTCCGCAAACATGACTTCCCTCTTCTCCAAATTCCAAAGAAACAGATCCGGAATCCCCCCACCACGCTGGCGGTACTCCTGAGCCAGAACCTTGCAAATGGTCGCCAGTGCTTCTCCACGGAAGCATTGCACAATCTCGACCAGGTCGTCTAGTTCGAAAGACCAGTCGATGCCGATTGCGCAGGTTTGCTTGGGGGATTCGCGGGCGTGAATGGCCCGGATTATGGCTTCGGCGTTGCCGTTGGTTATTTCTACTAAACGGTGGTTTATCTCGGAGGCTCGCGTGGGATAGAAGGTGTCGGTGTGGAGATCGAGTGGGCATGTTTGGAAGGGTGTTTGGAAGACATTTGGTACGTATGTGAATAGGATATCGAAGAATAGGTAGCCAAACTAGAGCCAGAATCAGTATCCAGGTTTGTGTGGTTCATAGACTAGAGTGCATGTGCAAAGACTTACCAAGGTCCTGACAATGCCACCTTCTGAATGGTAGCCTTTCCATCCATGGTCTCGATACCAGCTCAAACACATACTTTCAACTCTACATTCGCCTCCATCCTCTCTTTCATCAACCCAAACAGTTGGACGGCCTCGCTTAGATGCAGTGTCGCTGTTTGTTTTTTGTCCATTGCGGCCAGGTGATTCCTCTCGCTCGATGCGTATGCCCTCAATGGTACGTTCTTCGGGTTTAGCCAACATAACATGGCCGAAATCATGCTGCTCTCTTTTGACAACCTTGAGTGCTCTTTCGAGCTTTGAGATACGTTTCTGTAAATCAAAATGGTAGGTCAAGTGGCATTCAGGGTCTTCCAGGCCTTCCTCGCAAGTTCGAAGCGCAACCCTCTTCCAGTATTTTCTCTGGTTTTCCTCACTTCGCCCTTCGAATGGAGTGAGGGACCACATGTAGTGCTCTTCCAGAAGTGCTTTCCGCTGATACCATGCTCCGCGCCGTGCGGCATGGAACAATCGTTGGTCAAGCAGCTCTGTAAGAGTTTCATGTTCCTGTTTATACTCTTTAAATCGACCGAGTGAGTGAAGACCCTTATGGATGACCCTAGTATAAACCCAAGCCGGAGAAAAGCGGCGTAGATAGGCACCCTCTCCACTTTCATAGAGGGTTTCTTCTTTCTGCTGTTCTTGTTTGAGCAATGACTTCCACCGAGGATAGACTTGGTCACAAATGTCTCTAATCTGCTGCAACAGTTCATTAGTGGGAGTGCCATTGAATTCGAGAATATTATCTATTTCGAACTGTGTCCGTAAGGCCGATTCAAACTCTAGTAGAATCTCTCTAGACGGGAATATCGAATTGGAGCGACACACGATATAGTCTGGGAAATTCTTGCGTGATATTTTGGCAAGGATGATAGTGGTGAGTGACTTTTCAGACCATTCTGTAGATTTGTAAAAGACCAGATGCACACGTTCGAAAAGGTCAAGGGGCCCTGAAGCAAGTCTGATGCAATCCCCCGTATAGTCGAGGATCTTCTGAACAAAACGGCCATCCCTATTGACGGGTTGCACTGTGTTTGTTCCTTTGCCTTTCCAATCAAGGTCTGTCTGTGTTTGACTCGACTGGCGGAGGGCTGCCAGCAGCTCCTTTTTGTTCTTGCCTTGGACCTTTGCTTCTTTTGCGATGGTCTTTAATTCTTCGAGTAGTAACAGCGACGATGCTTCTTCTAAGTTTTTGATTTCTTCTGTTGCATCAGCAAATTTAAATCGATCTCTAGGATGTAATTCATCAATTGACTCCGCGTCTGCAGCAGCATTCCCGTGCGTTGATGCCACAGAGGCGTGGAGAATTCGAGTGCGCTGGAGATCGGCGACTGCACCAGGCAAGTCTGAGATATCTGAATGATAACCAAGTCTATTTATACGATGCCATGCTGAAGTTTTGCGTAGGAAGAGTCGAACATATCTATTCAATTGTAAGCATGACCCGAATATCAATAGCTCATATAATGAAACCTGAACGTACAGATATTGGGACTCATACGACAACTCTTTCCATTGCCTGAATATATCCATCTCCGCTTCATCAAATAGATGTGCTTCTTCATCCAGCACAGTTTCCAGTGCTAGATTGAAGGCATCCACGTAGATGGAGCTCTTGCCTTTTCGCCACTTGCCATTCTGCAGCCTTTCCTGAAGATCCGGTTCCTCATCCTGCTCTGCGGCATGGGATAGTTCATACTCTTCAATTGCCTTCTCATCCGTCTGAATTGCAGGAAGTGAAGATTCTAACTCCGTTTGGCTACCAGAAATAGGTGCGTCATCTCCAGCGGGGATTTCACCATCCTCAACTGGAGTCAGAGCATCGAATGTGTTTATCGACGGACTTGCTGGTACACTTTTATCACTCTCCCTATGGCTACTCTCACTCTGACTCGTAGTTTCTTCGTCAGTCTCGTGTTTTCTGCGCTTCACGGAGGAGCGTGGCGTGTCCCAGTAGTCCAAAAGGGACATGCTGCCACAGGGACATTGATAGGTGGTAACTGTAAGTGTCTCTACCCAATGATGGTACCAAATGTCTCCAAAACACGAATAACAATCATATCATGGCTTTTCGAAGCACAGTGTTGCCCATCTCGCTGCTGCCTCAGCGTGTCGTGAAAGAAACGCGAAGTCACCTGATCTTAATTGATTTTACGTCCATGTTTGCCTTGTTTGCATATCTCACTGCAGCTAAGCACAGCAGTCGGACCAAAAAACAGGCTTGTTGAGATCGATTCTATCTTGAATCTAATTGAAATGTACCTAATCTGAATCAAATAAATGTCATCATAACCATCTAGCACCCACCATGGCTGATGTATGTCTGTAAGATCATCTCTATATCCCCACAGTTACTATGGCGGCGGTGGGGGTAAAGCTTCCGCGACAAGAGAAGCTCCGCTCTACGCAATCGCCATCGTTCTTCCATCAGTTCCTGTGCTTTATTTTCATATCTTTCATATATCGTCTCTCTTCGCCAGAAGAACTAGACTTCCAAATCTCTGTGATCTAGGGAATATATTTGACATAATCTCTATTCCCAGCTACCTGCGCAACCGTCGACCAAAGAAACTTCCTCTGCGCCCACCACCACCCCCCATCCACAACCCGACTTGACGACCAGACCAGACGATAATAATAATCTCGCAATGGGCAATGACACCCCTACAAATGGTGCCGAAGCAGGCAACACCCCTTCCGCAGATCCGCCACTTCGACCTGGAGGTGCCCCGGCTCGTGTATACATGAATGAAAGAATCGTGCCTTACCTCCTAGAGGGCATGAAGAGCGTAACTAAGGAGCAGTGAGTAAATCAGCATGCTATTACCTAGGGAGGGGTATATTCAATCTTTGACAGATTGGGTCCCCGCCACTCCAGTCACTGTCTGTTCTCTTTTGTCTAGTACGTCGCTAATCTTGCTCAATTCTAGACCCGCGAATCCTCTCCGCGTCCTGGGCGAATTCCTAATCCAAAAAAGCAATGAAATCGAAGGCGGTGCACCTGGCTCGAAGAAGTCGCCCGAATAAACAACTAGATGCCATTGAAATAGCATCGTGCCAGAGGGCGCGCCGAGCCCAATCTGGGTTGAAAAGTAGATGCTGCCCCGGATCCGCAAATTCCCTTATAAGAAGAAAGAATGATGGGAATGATCGGAGACTGGAGTGTTACCCAGTCCTAGGAGCAATATGCAGACTATCGTGCCAGTTGTGGGGAGGATTTGGGGACATGAAAGGCATAACATGCACATGGTTCAATTCTCATAAGATGCTTATTGATACATGCTGGATTGAGTGGCTGCAAGTTTGTTTCTTAGATATGAAGAAACCTAATTACGGGAAGGTTGTATCCCAAGCTGGGGATAACCATTTCATGAAGCATAGCATAGCAGCTAGATATCGCAATCCACCAGAGACTGGGAGCTTGTATTTCGAATGGACAGGCAATAATATATATCATGAATACTCCGCTAGTTGGTTTCATACTCATCAAGATCATGGCGTTGCAGATATATTCCAATGTTGTGGTTGATATATATATGCAAACAAGGGTTATGGAAACACCAAGTTATATCGATCAAATATACAATCTACTGTTTACTACACGCGTGTGAAGATCAATGTTCAAGAAATTCATATTGTACTAAGGTATATGCGACATTAGGTGAAACGGCAAAGCCACCCATAACCTGTGGGTATAGTTTTCACAGCTTTAGAGAGCCTTTCAGTTGAACACCTGCTGTTAGTGCACCGTTACACAAAACAAAATTTTGGCTGTCTCTGATATGTAAACAAGGCAACGATAAGCGACCTGTGGAATGTAACCCTAGATTGGACTTGTGGGCCTCTCAAAAAAATAAGCAAGACACTCTGGAACACGCGGTGAAACTGATCGGAGGTGTTCGTGCTCGATCTGAAACAACCGCTGAAAGATATGGGGTAGCACTGCTGCTCTGCTTCCCTTTCTCCACAAAAAATCAGCTCTCACGGTCTAGGTTAGACCTTACCTTGAAGCAGGGCAGACCGGTCTGCTGAATGTGGACGCCTCCTATGGCAGAGGACAGCCAGCTGATAAGCAGAGCCGAAAGACCTGGTCAGAGTAATTGGAATCCTGATGGTCCGGAGATTACGTTGATCTTCTGCTGCTCGTCACCGGGATCTCTAAGAGCGTAAAAGGCTTTGTTGGTGTTGGCGATACTACAAGCACAGACAGAAAAAAGACCATGGCTATGGCGGACAGGCGAGTCATGGCCGGGATCCTTTTCTGGAGTGCTTCAAAAGAGGCGTAGGAGAAAGTGCTCAAGAATATTCTTGGAATGGCCTGGAAAGACAATGTGCTTTTTATGTGTTTCTGGCCGAATACAATCGAGTCGTTACGTATAGGAGGTGCAAAGACGCAACAAGGCGAACAGCTGACTATCGAAATAACGACCAGATTTCCGGAAAGTTGAAAATGTAGTAGTGCTGACCCATGAGATAATCCGAGGAATTACAACGTTAATGTAGATTTCGTTTCCTTTTTTCCCTGCCGCCAAATTTCCCGCGGTGTTTCGAGCGAATTAACAAAAGAAAACATCATCCAGTGACCGAAGAGCGACGACAGACTTTTTGTGTGAACAGTTGAAGGGTTGGTCGCGAGACTGATGGCGTTCCGATTTCGCCGAGATGACATGTAATCCGACTTCTTTTTTTTTTTTTCTTTGCTTATTGGTGTAGGATGAAAACAGAAATAACGACGCCTCACCGTCGCTCGTCGACTGAAAGGGATACCGCATTAAATAGAAAAAGAGAAACCATAAGGGACACGAGAGAATTGAACATCGTGAAAGAAACGCAGAGGGGGTAGAGCAGAATCAAAAATGGGCGTGTTTAAAAGCAAGAACTAAAGCGTTGGGTGCTTCAACTGGGTACGAGGACCGAGGATTTTATCATCAGTTCACTCACCTACCGGGCAGCATATCTGTCTTCGCCACCACGGGGTTCATAGGAGCGGCTAGCATAAGCGTCGCGGGCAGGGGGGGCCGCTTCATAGCTGGGAGGGTTGGCATCACGGTCGTAGTAGCTGCGACGGTCATCTCCTCCTCGGCGGTCATCCCGGCGGTCGTCACGGCTGTAACGGTCCTCACGAGAAGCGTAGCGGTCGATACCACCACCGCCGCCACGGTAGCCGTAGTCATCACGGCCGCCATAGTCGCGGCGACCGTAGTCACCACGGTAGTCACGACCGCCGTAGTCACGGCCACCGCGGTCACTGTAGGAGTCGTAACGGCCGTAGCGGTAGTCATCATGGCGGCGCCAGCTACCTCCGTATCCGCCACGGCGGTCATCGTAGCGGTCACCACCACGGCCACCACGGGGAGGACCACGGAATTCTGCAAAAGAAAATTGTAAGTCAACCGAATCCATCGCAAATTCGACTGGAAAATGAAAACATACCACGCTTGGGGGGACCGAAGTATTTGCCGGGGGTAGGAGTTCTGGGACGGCTACGGCGAGCCTTCTCAATGCTCAGAGTTCGGCCTTCAATGACCTCACCCTGGAGGCCCTCCTTGGCGGCATCAGCCTGCTCGGCGGTAACCATCTTGACGAAGCCAAAGCCACGGGATTCCTTGGTGTGAGGGTCCAGCATGATCGAGCAGTTCTCGACATCACCGTACTTCTCAAAAAGGCGCGAGATATCGGATTCAGTCAGACGGGGGTGAATGCCAGTGACGAAAAGGTTGGAGCCAGTGTTGACAGCACCCTCTTCATCTTCCATGAGAGCTTGCTTGCGGGGGTCGGCAAGAGGAGGACTAATGCATCATCCCAGGTCAGTTTGTTGGGTCGACCACAGCTAGCTTTACTGATCAATGACATACCGGCCATCCATGCGGTCATCCATGCGGCCATTAGGAGATCGGCTGCGGTCGCGGTCACCCCGGGGCTCGTCGCGAGGAGATGCGCTGCGGTTGCGTTCATAACGGGGCTCGTCTGTAAGCCGGAGAAAAATTCGAAGTCAGTCGACCGTTATCATCCAAGGGAGGCGAGAAAAAATCGAGCCGGACACCAAAACACAACCATCAAACATACCGTCGTAGCGACCGTTCTCGTGATCATACTCTGTAGCCATGATGACAGAAATTGAAAAGAAGGAAGGATTAAGGTGAGAGTTGTTGTGAAGCAAAAGTGAAATAGATTATTATCACAGCGCGCGACGCACGTCCAACCCAGCAGAGCACAGAAGAAAAAACTCAACGATCGACGCTGGGGATTGTAACCAAGACGAGGTGTCCAGGAAACTCGACAAAAGCCCAAAGATGATTAAACACTTTGGGAAGAAAGAAGAAGAAGAATGGAAAGCTCCAGGTCAAAGGAAGGGGGATGGTTGATGATGGGGATGGAGGAAGGGGGAGAGAAAAGACGAGCAGGTTAAGAAAGGCGGCCTTAGTGAGCAATTCCAGACTCTGGGGCGGCTCTGCGGTGGATAGCGCCAAGCCTGCTGCTGTTGCAACAAAACAACAACAACCAGCTGCGATCGTCGCTGATTATTGTTTCTATTTTGAATGGAGGGCTTTAAGCTTGCAGATCGAGTCTAAATATCGAAATTATGCAGAGGAATCAATCTTGAATGCATTATTATCGAGTGGAATCTACCAAAGAAAGCTGAACCCGCCAATTCCCAGTAAAGAACAAGTAAAAGAAAACAAACGCCTGGCTTTCCTGTTTCCCAGAGTGACGGAAAAAATAAAAAAAAAAAAAGTAAAGAACGAAGCAAAAGAGCGAATCAAATCATGACAGATGCACATCATGCAATTAAAACAGCAGAAACTCATTTAAACCCACGCCACCGTCTGCGAGTGCGATGGACTTTGACCCCATCCTCTTCCGCTGCGGGAGCATCTGGAGCAGCCGTTGTTGTTCCATTCGTCGTTGTTCCTTCGACTTCATCATCGACTAAGTCCTTCAATTCCTCCTCGTCAAGTTCACTGAGCTCTTCACTCATGCCGCGCATGACATCTCGTCCTGTCCATCGTTCCTCGTGGATCGTGGTGCCCACCGGATCAAAGGGCTGCATGTACCACTGAACACCACCTTGCGACAATGGAAGCTGCTGATCCCCTTGGAAGCTCAATGGAGGCGTCGGCGGCCCTTTCTGAGCCACGGCCTGCTCGCCTGAAACATCTGGGGTATCGCTATCGTTCTTGGTTTCCTCGGTCGCAGCCGGCTGAATTTCTCCAGTAGACTCCACGGTGGCAGAGGGAACATCTGCACTCGGATTCTCGGGTTCCTGCGGTTCTTGCGCTGGAGCCTCTGCGGCTGTTTCAGTCATAGGAGCCTCAGGGGCAGGTGCCTCCGTAGTCGGGACATCCTGTTTTTGGGATTCCCCAGCAGGCTCAGGAGGATGAGTCGTTTCAGCGTCAGCGTCAGGCATAACCGTATCGCCTGTCTGGTCGGGTAAAGTGTTGACATGAGCCCCCTCCCGGAGTTCTGACTTTGCGGGCTCTTCGTCACCATCAACCTTTTCCTCTGTGCCGTTCGGAAGGTCGGTTTTTTCAGGACTATCTTCACCGGCCGGCCCTGCGGAATCGACAAAAGAGTCTCGACGAAACAGGACGTTATGCTCAAGAAGATTGTCTAGTTCTTTCAACTCCTTCTCAAACGGTTTGCGATTCAACTCGCTTTCTTTCCTAATCGCGTCTTCTAGTCCAGGCTGAATAGCTTTAATGATCCGCTTTGCTAATTTTCGCTTTTCCCGCTGCTCTAAGCTGAGTTCCGGAGCGCGCCCACTGATCTGCATCTGAAGCTCGGCCGTATCCCCGGCGGGCTGGACTCCGATCTCTGATGTGAACACGCCGGCCAGATCGGCCGAAAATGCTGCAACTGATGTGTAGAATCGTTGTTCTACTTTTGACCGTATAGACATTAACCCTTCCCTAAATATTCTCTTTCCATCGAGACTGCAAATAAAAAAAAGTTAGCAATGACTCAATTTTGCTCAGGCGAAAATAAATGCTTACCCCTGCGCCTTTTCAAGAATGGGCCAAAGGAGCGGGAATATAGGAAAGTAGACAGTATCGACAACATTCCGGAGCATCTCCGCATCCTTCAACTTCTCTCTTTCACGATTCCTAACTTGATCGCATAACATCCTCAGGTTTTCCAAATCCTGGTGAAGTCGCTCACCAAACTCGATGCGTCGCTGTAGTCGCTTGCCTCCTGCAATTCCCATTGCCACATAGTCTCTTCTTGTCATTTCCATGGACGAGAAGGTCTCGAGCTGTAGTTGCAGCCGCTTCAAAAGCGCTGCTCCTCGTCGCGCTTCACGTTTGAGAGTCCAGTATTTACATGCATCTTCCGCGTACTGCTTTCTCTGACGAACAGTAAAGCGCTGAAGAGAGGCCGCAACGGAATTCAGGAGAACCTGGGGTATAACGGGAGCGCCAGATGGTAGCTTCCAGATTGTCTTGGGTACAGCAATTCGCTTCCGCTTGTTACCACCGACGGTAAGAGTTATTCGTGGTGTATGCATCCTCTGGCCGAAGTCATCTCCATGATCGCATCCTAACGGGTGGGATGGCTCTAATGACAGAGCTGTCGCTTGACTATCACCCCATTGTCTACCTTGCATGGTAGTCCGATAGTATTCGATAGCATCTGCTGTAGCAGCATCCGTACCGTGCTCTCTCCGCCACTCAGGAGGGACATGCTTGTCACAGAAAGCCTTGAGTAAATGAGAATCCATGATCGCAGGAGTGCCATGGCCAGACTTCATCTTCAAGTATAGCTGCGCTCTCCTTGCGCAGGTAACATGGAATGCAACGAAACAATTCTTGTTGCTACATTGGATTGAGGAGCCCATTCTTTGCCGACAGATGTAGCAATGAAGCTTCCAACGACTCTTAGGCACCTTTTCAATATCAGTAATTGGTTCCATCAGCGATGGGTTGCCAATCGACACTTCCGGAATCCAAATAGCACAGAGTAGATGTGACCATTTCGAGGTAGTAGTCTGTTTGAAAGCACCTTCGGTATTCGGACAGAAGATGCAATTGACCGACCCTCTTCCGATAAGCTGGCACTTGCGACACAGCCACTGGCCCTCGGGGATGAAAGGAACACCATAACACTCCTGATGCACTGCCAAATCACACCCGTCGCAGAAAACAATGGCGTTGGAATTTTCACAATCGCCATCGTCACAGATAGCGCACTTGGTGTCCTGTTCTTCACCTGGTCCGGTGATTTCTCCATTAACAGCAGCTGCCGAGCTGGAACGAGGGCGTTGCGTTTGCGGGGGCTTGGGATTCGGTTTGGGTATGCGTTTCTCAAGTGCATGCCACTCTTTCTCGATTTTGGTCATGGTAATCTCAAACACCGCTGGTTTAATGGGTTCCAATTGGTCCTCTCGTCGTTTTGTGTTGTAATCTTCGAGCCACTTTTCGTCCTGTTCGTCCATATCATACTCTACTCTACCCACTGCAGCGTTCACTTCTCCATCCGTGGCCACCGAATGCATTGTATCCAGATCGTCTTCTTGCGCTTCCGCCATTCGGACCATCTGTCTGTCATGACGAAGGAAAACATCGCTTTCTTGATATCCCACGCTTGCCATTGTGCGATCAACATAGTTCTGCTGTCCAACCCCAGGTTGATCATAGAAAGTGAACGGATCCCGTATCCGAAACGACGGTTTCGGGAGCGTTAGCCTCTCACGGGGATTCGGACCTGGAGGCGGAACTGGAACGGGCTTTGGATCATGCTGGGCACGAAGAGCAGCGAGGATAGCCTCTGGACGACGTGGAGGGCGCCCTGGGCGGCGCTTGACAGGAGTAGGAGACGGGGCTTCATTTTGAAGGCGCATGATTTCAGCCAATGTATCTTTCTCGCTCGTGATGGGTTCGGCATTGGCGGGCGTGACTGGCGGACGTGGGCCATCCACCTCTTCTGAACTGAAAACCGTAAACTTGGCTTCAATATCCAGGTCCGGGTGAAACTCCTCCCAACCCCGCTCTTCTCGCGGTTTGTAACCATCTCCCTGTTGTAGCGCAAGGGCAGCAGCCGTCGAAGAAGTGTAGCGACCACGATTTTGACTCTTCTCCCTTCTCAACCGTGCCGACGGTGGTGTTGCAGGTACAGGCGGGGGTGGCGGGGGGAGTTGAATGGGCGGCTTGATAGACTGCTGAGCAGGTGATTCAACAGCATCAACGGGTTCGGCAGGATTCACAGGCTGGACAGGTTCCTGAACCGACTGAGACTTCGATTCTCGCGGACGACTCCGGGAACCCGACGAGCTACGTCGAATAGGACTCGGTTTCGGAGCCGGTGTCGTTTCCTTCCCATAGATATCAATATACCTCCCGCCTCCTCCAGGACCACCAGGGACGTATTTTCGTTTCTTGGGCGGAGGACCTTCGCTGCTGACCTCGGTGTCTGATGCCTTGAGTGAAATCTTTGGACGGTTTTTGGCCGGCCGGCCGGGAGGCGCCCGGAACTTGGATGTAGAAAGCGGTGCCATGTTCTTCTTTTCGCAGGGTTCCTAATGTATTATATCACGATAAATAGAGGGGGGCGAAGAGGAGAGAAAACGAGTGAATGGGGGATGTGTTTGTCGTCTGAAAGCCAACTGAGCAGCTCAGCCTTTCAAATTCCAGTCAAAACAAGTTCAAATCGCGCCGTATCGTAAGGGAAAGGGAGACCAGAAAAGAATAAAGATATAACTCATAGCTTTGAAAATTCAATAATTCAACAATGAAATGGACCGGAAACCCCCTCAACAGCGACGGCGAGGGGATGGGAACTGACGCGAAGGCGAGGAGTTGTCCGTTATCACCTGTCACCGTTCGGCGCTAGCCGCTCCTGGACTAAGTAAGCCAGCCGAATGGAATGAATGAATGAACCACTCAAGGCGGAGACTCCACCATTCCCATCCAACAACGCGGAGCTTCACAGTTCGTGGGAACTTGTTGTTCACAGGCTATTCGGTTCGTTTTCTGTGCCAGCAAATCTACTTACTGCACAAAATGAGCGGCCCTGGCGAAGACCGGTAAGTGCTTGATATCACTCTCCAATGATTCCTCGTCTATCGTCTACTTTGTTTTTGGGTGCCTGACCTTGCATGTGGTTTTCTCTAGATGGCGCGGAGGTCGACAACCGTCGCAGAGACAATCCGGCCCCAGGGGAATGGGCGCTGGATCACGCGGTGGTCAGAATGCGAATGTGGGAAATGCCTGGGCAGATTCGCGTGAGCAGGGTCTTGCAGGACCAGCCCTTGAGCATGTACCCGTTCGTGGCTTCAACTCTGCAGAGGCAAAGAGAGCTCTCAGGAAAGGTATATCGCATTCCCCCTAATACTTCCAATAGCGCTTCGCTAACAGGATATCGCCACACAGGTCCAGGAGGTACATGAAAATCCCGTTTCTCGCCAAATCAGACTCAGCGTACTGACACGACCACACCAGATGCGAAAACACCCATCTACAAACCCACAGGAAAAGATGCGAATAACAACAAGGCCGGCGGTCCTTGGGGGTCGAAGCGTACGTTACATATACAACTTTATTCCCCCGGGCCATGATTTGGTTGAGCCTTCATTAACAAGCTACAGCCAACACAATGGCCAACGGAAAGGACTTCTTTCTCGAACTCCGCAAACAAATAACCACCCTTCGACAAGGCGGAAACGTCGCAGGAGGTTGATTACGATTATGACTTTCTTTTTTTGTGCGAACAAACGTACTCAAACAACCGATACTAGTGATTTTTGCTCTCTCCTGAGACAAGGCGAGAGGAGGGGTTCAATGGCAGCTCCATTACCCTAAATATGTCCTTCATTCGTATCGAATGACGGCCTTGAGAGGGGTTTCATATCTGCAGTTAACTGGTGTAGTTAATTCCACCAGACTGGAGACGCTTGAGGCCCAGTGCGGAGTCCGCTGATGGGGGTTAGGGTTAGTTGGCCCTGGTTTATGGGAAAGAGATATATTTTAGGTAGTGTGCTTTCTTTTATCCCAGGGACAGAATGGATATCATTATGGGTAACTGCGGTTGGATTCCTCTGACGTCTGTTCTCGGTACTTTTACGAAAATGCAATGAAATACGTTATGAATGTGTTTGATTATACTATATCGTAGCTATTATACATATGACAGACAGAGTGAAGTGGCAACTACAACGGATGGGGTATCGCTAGGTAGTATACATACTGTACATTGGCAGGGTACCCGGAGGGAAGGTCTTTTTACATCTTCATCCACCCACTCGGGCCCAAAACCCCACCATCATCAGCCCGCGGATCAAGCGTCCACTTCCTGAGCGCACGACAGCTAAGATCCGTCCGCCATCCCGCCTCGAACATCTCAATCCCAGCCCATCCAATCATGGCCGCGTTATCGGTACACAGGTACGGTGGGGGCGCGACGATATCGACATGTCCGAACCCGCGGACATCGAGGAATGATCGGAGCACCGTCATGAGGAAGCGGTTAGCGGCGACGCCACCGCTAACGACGAGAGTCTTGATTTCTTCAGATCCAGTATCCTTTTGACGAAGGGCTTCGAGGGCGATGATGGTTCGCGAGGCGAGATGTTCGAAGCAGATGCGCATTGATTCGCGCGCCAGCGCAACTCGCTCCTCGTGGGACATGCTCTGACCAGTTTTCTCTTTTAGAGAGACCAGTTTCGTCACGGCGCTTGCTATGGATGAAAAGCTGAATTGCAGATGGCGGGTATTGGCGAACGGGGTAGTCAGAGACCAGCCCCAGGGGCTTTCATGTTTGATTTGTTCTTCTCCGCGAGTCATTGGGGGGCGGTAGTCGGCGTAGTCGATGCTACCGTTTGGAAAGGCAAACTGTTCCAACACTTTGCCGTACATGGTACTCTTTGCATTCTGGAGTAGATCGGCAGGGAGGATCTCTCTCGCCGATTTATCAAGGGATTCCCCAACAGCAATGTCAGCACTAGACGCCATAATCTCATGCTCTGTAATCGAAGCCGACTTGACAAGAATCGAATGACCACCAGAGACGAGAATAGAAAGGAAAGGAAACTCAGGCGTGGTAGCCTCCGACGACGTCGTTTGATCTCGATTCAACGAAGACACAAGCCGCGGAGTAAGAAGATGCGCTTGCATATGGTGAACACCAACAAACGGAACCTGCCACGCAACCGACAACGCTTTCCCCGTATCCAACCCAACAGAGAGATTGGACCGCATCCCGGGACCTCTAGTAGCAGATACGAAATCCGGTCTTCGGCGAGCTTTCCCATCACCCAAGTGTATCAACGCAGATTTATCATTCTTATTTTCTGTCGGCACTGGTAGGTAAGATAGGGCCTTGTGAACTAGATTGGCGAGATTCTCCTGGTGCGACTCTAGGGCTAAGATCGGATGGATGCCACGGTATTCTCTCGAATCAGCCGTCACATTCTCAAGAAAATGGACCTTTGCGGTCCCGGCGGAGGTATTATTCTGGTTATTCTTTTCAACAATCGCAACCGAGGTATCATCACTAGAGTGGGTAATTACAAAAAGTTAGCCAAAACCTTTCCAGTAACTCTTAAGTTTTGATCCTCGATCCTCGGGCCTTACCAAGATGTTTCGATCGCAAGAGTGAGCAGACCCCTATATTGAGAGAACAAGTCCCTCTTTGCGATAGCGCCGAGGGACCTACGAAAGGTCCCAGCAGAAGTTCTCAAATTCAGCATTGGAGAGCGGATGGGAAGAGATGTTTGTTTCGGCTTCATGCGGAGAGAAGCTGCTTTGGCGGAAAAGATCTTGGATCGCGCACGGGCCATGGAAGCCCTGAAAGGGTGCCCTAATGTCTAAAAGGGCAATAGGATTGGAATGATACTGGATGAGATGAACTGACTTGGTTTATTATGAATATTGTGTATCAGGTGTACTAGTACTGCTGTTTGAAAAGCTGATCTACCATAGAATATAAATAGCTACGGAGTACTTCATAGTGTAACGATTGAACGATTGTCATTCAGTTGGTCAAGCTAAATCATCAAAAATATGATCATCACGTCATTATCATAATAGTCTTCATATACAGCCCTCATTTCCATCAAAGCGTTCATTCGCGTGGCAACAGCCCTGATCATCCGAAATCCCGCATTGACAGTTCCATCAAAGCTGCCCTGGCAACCAGACTGCTGCACATTGACTTGTCGAGCCGGAGTCGAAGCCGGGCGTGGCTGTGGGTCATCATAGAAGAGCGGTATACAGGCTCAGACAGACTCTGACTCTCTGGCCTTGCACTCCTCGATCCGCCCGTGGTTGAATTAAAGTGGTTTTTGTTGTCATCGGAAAGGATCGACAGGGATTCACTCGCGCACTATCCATCGTCGCTCTTCACGCGACAATTTGGTGTAGTTGCCATAATATTCTTCGGGATTCTCAATTGGCGTCACGGCGTGGACGACGGGGGTGCCCTTGAACTGGATGTGCTTGGCTGAGCCAGAAGAGCCGGGTTGTTTCTTGAGGATGCTCTTGGACGAGCAGGAGTTGGTGTACCCGTAAGAAGGCACCTGCAGCGAGGAGAATCTGGCAGCACCAGGACTAGCAGCAGCAGGAGAGATGGGAGTGCGAGGCAGACCGGGAGACTTGAGCGACAGCGAAGGTCGGGTGGAAGTCTGGGCAGTAGAGATGGACAAGGACAGCTTGGGTTTGGCAGCACGAGCAGCGAACATTGTGAAGGTTGCAATTGAAGATTGAAGAATAAACAATGTGTAGAGACTGCTGAGTGGATGGATGGAATGTTATTAAATAAGGACGACGTGTAGTGGAGACTTTGGTCAACAAAGACTTTCCAAACAAAAATAAACACGCAACGTGTAAAATGAGACTATTATGTAGTTATTGACGTAGTGGAAAAAGAAAAGTGATAAGCGCTTGGGCCAGCCAAACGAACCACTCTAAGATGAAAATAGAACAGAAAGGGAAAAATTAGAAAAACTTCAAACAGACAATGTCAGAAAGAGAGAAAAGTTGCAGGACAGCCCAGGGAGATGCGCGGCTATATAGTCGCCCAAGGACAGCCCAGAGTCTCAGATTGAAGCAGAGGAAGAGGGCAAAAGATGGGAGAATCCGAGCGACAGAGAGGGGAACGGGAGAGCACAGGCGGGGATGCACCCTCCACAGCCAATAACCACTGCAGTCGCCTCTCTAAGCGCCCAGGAGCTGCGAGACGATGCACGACACATCCTCCCATCACGCTGGAAAGGCCAATGAAAACGGGAGGCAGCAGGTTCATCCCAAAAAAGAACTTAAAAGTGGGAGTGGAATGTGTGATGGATCATGGTGTGTTGGAGTGGCAAGTTGAAGCCAAAGACTCTGCAACACCCCAGACAGACTGCTGCAGAATCTGATCATAGTGGCAGCAGATTAATGGAATTGTCTGCATAACGAAGATAATGAAGAAGATGATTCAAAGAATGCTTCCATTATCTTGATGAAATTGATGAGAGACAAGAAGTGGAACACCCCTACTCCGTACTGCCATAACCATACTACCGAAGTATTCTGAATGCTTCTACTGATACTAATTGGCCATCAGGGATGGATCCATCACCATCTAAAAACTTAAAGATGGCCAATGCCAGAATGATATGAATTTAGACTGCCCAACTAGGATGATGCCAGTGATTGCCCATACCCCAGTCTCTGCATCACAGTCACCGTGCTATTAATATGCAGCCATCTTCACCTCTTCGGATCCTGTCCGTCTTCACACCGCTCATAAATATGAAGCGGGGAGAAAAATTCTTCTTCCAGTTACTGTAGCAATCGAGGGGAAGTGAGAAATAGTCCCTTGGTTGAGTCCTGCAAATCATCAGGAAGCCCCATACTCTCGATGAGACAATTAGACTCCTTTCCCTGTATAATCGGCATTTCTATGCAAATTCACTTGCAAAGCACCGACTTCTGCTCTCCCATTTAATAAATATCGGAATAACCTAGAAAAAGCATGCATGGCTGCAGCCCAATCGTCCTTTAAAGACAGGTTATAGCCATGTGTAAACTTCAGATCAAAGTCCTCATTCTCTGGAAGTCCCTTTAAATGGACTCTGGAAATCACGTCGGCTGTAAAGAATCCACGGGCAATATAGAGATATATCCCATGGAAGCCCATGACAAAAACCTCCTGATCCTGGATACCCATTTTGATGTTTTTGGCAAGCTGTCCTAGCATTATACTGAGAATGTCGCCCACAAATTCACCCCAAGTCTGACCTTCAAACCACTGAATTTTTTAGCAGAAGAAATGGAAAGGTTTGTACATACACCAGCATAAGAGATGATTGGCACGGGCTGTTCCAGAGGACCGACCATGACAGCACCCTCTGGTATAGCAGCATATCGCGTTTTGCCAATCACATATTTGTTTTTGAATTCAGTGGGGAAACCAGAGGATTGTCAATGGGTATAATCTTGACTGGAAGTCAGACGGCTTACTGGATTTTGAACCCTTGCTCTTCCAGGCCTTCGAGATTAAAATAAATAGACTGCATCAGTACCCTCAGCATCATACCCTGGGATCAGATAAAATTGGTATAGTACTCTCTCGTAGCCACTCTCCAGTTCTTCCTGGGCAATGTAATGGTAACACTTGGCTGCAAAGTGCTTGTGATTTCCATGTTGCTACCCCTTGTAACTGAAAACGGAGGGTATCGAGTTGATAGAAAAAATCCCTAAATTCGTCCTTGTCTCTTGGCCAATTTCTTGTGCAGTTTTCCTTTGAAACATGATCATGCTGATATACCCAAGGTATCAGTCCCTCGGCATCTTTTTCTTTGATAATCTGTTAGTTTTGATAAAGACTTGAGTTATCACAGGGGAGAGTTCCATACCTTCTTTTTCGATATCTATCACTCGGGGACTAGTCCATCAATACCCACAATCTCAGAGTGAACAGTTACTGACATGTCTTGGATGGGATATTTCCACTTTAGCGCAACAAGACAGTCTTGCAAAACAGTACTCAAAGAACAAAGTAATCAACATTCAGAGCTCATATCGAAAGTATCTATAGTCAAGTCATGCTGCCCCCTGCATACAAATCAGGCACACATCGAAAGTCACATGATGGAGGGGATATTGGACAACAACTCTCTGCCCTGAATAACCCCGGACCATTTTAAAATTCCCTTGGGCCTTTCACACTGGGCATAATATCAAGGCACGAGGAGTTTTATTGCTCTAGATAGCTAATCAAAACGGTTACTTCAACTTGGCTTTCTGCGAGGCTTGTGTTCCCCAGCGTGATGCATGCCGGCGCGTTCCGGAGATGACGGTTGTGGCAGTTTTCTAAATTGAGGAGATAGTAGTATGATATCGATCCACAGTAGATCCGATGTGCAATATCAAGCTAAATATTTCACACTAAATCCATAAGGCTTTGATGAGATTACGAATTCCTAATTTCAGCATTAGAAATGATTGGCTCTTTGCATTGATGTCGACGTAGCACAAATCATCTGACAACAAGGCTGAGTCTCTGATGTTCAAAGCATTCATTTCATTATAAGTATGCGATAGTGTCTGTGCGATCTGCTCGATACATCACACGGCCATAAATAATCTCTAGCCTATCTTCCGGATCTCTGGACAACAGACTATCGAAAACTATTGTTGTTTATTGATTGACCGCCGCTTGTCTCGCAAACTCCACCTTTCTTTGTTTCCTCTCGCCGCGACAGAATATGCTGGTGACTTGGCAGTCTTCTTTTATATTGCTGCCAGCTTGAGTTTCGAACAACCCAACCACGAACGCCCCGTGCTTTTGTTTATCAACTGATACTCAGTGCAATGGGGAAAGTGAAAAATATCCTCGAACCACTTGGTATGTTGACTGCGACAACCTGACCATGTCACATTGAGGTACCTGTTCTGACAGCCTTGTGTAACAGCGATTGTTCTCGTCTTCACCGTCGGAACCCTCATCAACAGACGCAAGAGCTCCAACAAGCTACGACTACCCATCGGACCTGAGACCCCCTTGCTGAGAGAGGAAACAAGAGAAAGCGATGCATCCGAAGATTCCAACCGGGAAGCCCGGACGGAGTCACGTTTGACGATTCAGTCGCGGTTTTTGGCTTATTTCCCATTCTTGATCGAGATATGGTACTGGTTGCTCACATACTGGGTAATGCATGGTCAACTCCACTCTCAACGTCACTGGCAGTGAAGCTAACCTATGACGACATATTAGATCTATCAAGGGTTGCGGGCTGTTTCTGCGAGAGCAATTGATGGGCACACGGCCATATTTGACGGTGCTCAACAACATGCCATCCAGATCCTCTCTGTGGAACGGTTTCTTCACATCGACATTGAGCTATCCGTTCAACGGTTCGTGCTTAACCGAGCACCATGGTTGATGGATATCCTCGCCCAGATCTACTACTCGCACATTGCCCTGGGCGTCGTTTTTCTGGTTTATTGCTACACCTGCCTCCCACGCGGCCAGTACCAGGGCATTAGACGCACGTTGGCTCTCGAAAATGCCATCGCATTCGTGATATTTACTGCGTGGCGATGCTCGCCCCCTCGGCTGCTGCCCAAGGAATACGGCTTCGTCGATGTCCTACATGACAACAAGTCCGGGTCTTCCTGGACGCACAATAAATTCCAGCTTACCATCGCAGCGATGCCGTCGCTGCATTTTGGAAACTCGCTTTTCATTGCGTTTTGTTTGATCAGATTCAGTCCGCACCGGATTCTCAAGGTCATTGCGCCTCTGTGGCCGATGATGATGCTGACGACTATCGTTGCGACGGCGAACCATTTTATCCTGGATGCTGTGGTTGGGGCTTGTGTGATTGCTGTCGCATACAGGCTGAACCGTTTCATTTTAATCCTGCTGCCTGTGGAGAGAGTCTTGTTCAAAGTGCTCTGTCTTAAGAAACCCGAGGAGATACATGAAGGTCAAAAACAGCCAGATAAAGATGTCGATGACAGGACTGTACAATGATCGACTCAGCTAGTGAAGAATAGCCCTACTCATATATATACGAGCCGGTTATTCCGGTTGAGCACTATAAATATGTCTGACGTGCAGATTGCCATCCTGAATAGTCTAGCCGATTTTCGATATCATCTCCAGAATTAAATTAAAAATCAGCCTGGTTTTACTGTACCTATGGAGTTCTCTTCCTGAATGGGAAGGTTTAACCATAATCGACACCCAGGTCTGCCTTGGATTCTAGGCATCGATGATGCGATCCTCCTTACATCTGTCACACCTACATTGTTGTGATATGCCATCTTCATCAACTGACTTGTGCTTCATAACCTGTTTAGAGTAAGGAATGCCCATCGACTTCACTGAAGCATTCTTCTGAAGACTGTACAACGATATTGTAGATACTCAGCATGAACAGCCATACTGTAGGTACCACCCATAGTAGTATAAGTACTGCACATCCAGCACGGACGAGTCTCCTCCGCATCCACCACAAAGACCAGCAGAGGAAAAAAAAAAAAAAAGCAAAGAAAACGGATCGGGATTAAAAACCCATTGGGCAATTTTCGCGGCTTCTCCAATTTTTTCCCTTTTCTGCCTCAGGCCTCAGGCCGCCACTCTCGGGATTTCTCCAATTTTCTTTTTCTTTTTTTTTTCTGTCGGACCCGCATGACTCCGCACCGACAAGGCGACGAGGAACGGAGATTCGCGGGCGCAGGGTGGGATAGACATCGAGTAGAGTAAGTGAGAAAATATCGGGCCGATACTTTTCTGTCAGATGAGAGTGTCATGTGAAATAAAGATCTTTTATCATGCAGTAGTTTGGACAGGGGAGGGAGGTGGTAGTAGCTAGATCCCTGTTATACATACTGGATAGCTGTTCACTCAGCAGTACAACTACACATAAAGTATGTACAAGACGTACAATATAACGTGACAATTAACATAATATGCAATGTCATACTAGATACAACACCAACGAGGTAAAAGAACGAACTTTTCAGGTGAGCCGAATCGAAACAAAATCGAAACAAATCTGCTTGGGTTAGTTTATTGGGTGTGTCCCGCAGTTGCCGTGGCTCACTCTGTCAGGACGGCCTTTCCCAAGGAACCATTTCCCCCCCTGGTGGGATATCATCCTTGGGTCGGATGAACCGCGATTATCGTACATATGACAATCAGATGAATCTCAAACAAGTACAACTTCAACTTCATTTGAATTATCTATGTACAGCAGAGATGAATAAATAATAATAAGAAAGATGATGATAATCATAGCTGAACTAGATGGAGACTGCGGAGACACTCAGCTCAGCTGGACGAAAATCGGCCCCAAGTCCGACGGGTAAATCCAGCCCTCCAGGGGCGGTGAGGCATGGCTTTGCTTGTGACTCGCGTGGCCAAAACGATGGGTTTTATTACCCGTGGTAATAATAAATAATAGCAAAGGGACCAGGGCAGAAAAAATTAAATAAAAAGAGGCAAAAAGAGGGAAAAGAAAAAAAAGTCTTCAATGGTTTACAGTGCAGCACATCCTTAGTCTTTGCTCATTGCTCATTCGTATTATTCATATTCTTCTAGCATCGATCTTGGGGGATCTGTTATCACTAGACCAGAACCCCATCCATTCCTTTCTGTTTAATTTCCTTTCTCCACACACCTACTGACTGTATTTTCTCTTCCCCCCAACCCAACCCCTTCATAATCTCTGCTTCCCTTAGCCACAGGTGTTGAGTACTCCATTCTGTGTCATTGGGCCCCTTGGAATTCCTGTCCATCTTTCAAGGCATTGGTTTTCTTAATTTTGGTGGTTTCCTTCTTTTAACGTCACAATGGCCGGTGTCAAAGAGACAGTTAAGCAGTCCCTGGTGGGCAGCTCAGAGGAGCCTAAGCTGTCGCAGCAGATCAAAACCAACTTCTTCCACCACGCTCGCAAAGATGAGTCGACCGGCGAATTCTACTTGAACGAGGACGACTTTATCAATGCTGTTGCTCCCAAGCATGAAGACTATGTGAGTCACTGCCAACCTTTCTCGCTACCCCCGCTCTGGCAAAATGTGTCATCGCGTTGCCTGTAGACCGCAAGAAGCTGATGTATCCATCTGCAATTGACAGCACAAAATCAAACGCGAGCAATATGGCATCCTCTTCAGAGTCGCCGACACCCGGCGAACAGGCCAGGTCAACCTCGCCGACTGGGCGACATTCGAGAATCTCCTCGCAAAGCCCGACGCCGAGTACGAGATCGCTTTCCGTCTGTTTGATATCGAACGAACAGGCTCCGTCAAGTGGGAAACCTTCCAGAACCTTTACAACTTGAACAAGAGCAGTGACGCTATCCCCTTCGACTGGAATTCGGAATGGGCTTCTTTGTACACGGGACGGACCAAGAGCCGACACGACATGACTTACCCCCAGTTTGCTCAGATGCTGCGCGGCTTGCAGGGTGAGCGTATCAGACAAGCTTTCCACTCTTTTGACAAGGATGGCGACGGCTACATCGAGCCCCAGGAGTTCCAGCGCATCATTCTCGAGACCTCCCGACACAAGCTGTCCGACTACCTCCTGGAAAACCTGCCTAGTCTTTGCAACATCTCCGCAGGTACCAAGATCTCCTACGCCACTGTCCGTGCTTTCCAGAACGTCATGCGCGAGATGGACATCATCGATGTCGTTGTACGCGAAGCCACCCAGAAGAGCGATGACGGCAAGATCACTCGGACCGATTTCCTAAACGAGGCCGCCCGTACCACGCGCTTCTCTCTCTTCACTCCTATGGAAGCCGACATTCTGTTCCATTTCGCCGGATTGGATGCACCTTCTGGACGACTCTCACAGAAAGATTTCGCCAAGGTCATTGATGCCTCTTGGCGCACACCATACGCAGTTGCTAGCCATGCTATTACGTCCGCATCAGGTGCTGCAGACAAGGCGGCTGAAGCCGGAAAATCGCTGCTGCACGGTGTCCTGGAGTCTGTCCACCACTTTGCGCTTGGCAGTCTTGCTGGTGCTTTTGGTGCCTTCATGGTTTACCCAATTGATCTTGTCAAGACGCGCATGCAAAACCAGCGTTCTTCCCGCCCTGGCGAGAGATTGTACAACAACTCTATTGACTGCGCGAAGAAGGTTATCCGAAATGAAGGATTTCTGGGCCTGTACTCCGGTGTCATCCCTCAACTGATCGGTGTCGCTCCGGAGAAGGCTATCAAGCTTACCGTCAATGACCTCGTCCGTGGATACTTCACCAAAGAAAATGGCAAGATCTGGTATGGACATGAGGTTATCGCTGGTGGTACTGCAGGTGCTTGCCAAGTTGTAAGTTTTGAAGCATGACCCCTCTATCAAAGTCCAAGACTCTAATCACTTCGCAGGTTTTCACCAACCCCTTGGAAATCGTCAAGATTCGTCTGCAGGTTCAGGGTGAGATCGCCAAGACTGTCGAGGGTGCCCCTCGTCGCTCGGCTCTCTGGATTATCAAGAACTTGGGATTGATGGGACTATACAAGGGTGCCAGCGCGTGCCTTCTGCGTGATGGTATGCAAAACTCAAAATCCCTCCTTCCTACTTGGATCACAACTGACACAGATTCTAGTCCCCTTCTCCGCCATTTACTTCCCCACCTACTCGCACTTGAAGACAGAAATGTTCGGCGAGTCTTCTACCCACAAGCTGGGTGTCGTGCAGCTCCTCACAGCCGGTGCTATTGCCGGTATGCCTGCTGCCTACCTCACAACGCCTTGCGATGTCATCAAGACCCGTCTGCAGGTCGAGGCCCGTAAAGGAGAGGTCAAGTACACAGGCCTGCGCCACTGTGCCACTTCCATCCTCAAGGACGAGGGATTCAAGGCTTTCTTCAAGGGTGGTCCTGCCCGTATTCTCCGATCCTCCCCGCAATTCGGTTTCACCCTGGCGGCCTATGAGGTTCTGCAGAAGATGCTTCCCATGCCTGGAACCCAACCCGAACCTTCTCCCTCTGGACAGGTAGAGCCCGGTCTCGGGATGCAAGGTGCTAAGGCTCCTCTCCCATATCTGAGATCAAGAAACGCCCTGAAGCTCATCCTTGATCTGGATGAGAACATTGGTCGCGTTCAGATCCCCAAGGCCGAAAACTGGCCCAAGTTCCTCCAGAGCAACAAGCAATGATTTGGCATTTGATTTTTCTCTTTCTTTTTAGTAGCGATGAGTTAGCCATTTTCATTTTCTTTTCTTTTGGCATGAAAAATTTCACCTGATTTATTTTGCTATCCCCATTTCTTTTCTATTCTCCTGGAGAATTTTGGTTACGCTGGAGCAAAGACCATGCATGATTTCCCTTTCTTCCTTTTGCTCTTCCTTACAGAGACCACACCGACAATTGCACATGTAACAACAGCAGATAGACTTGGGCAGGGATTTTCATTGTCATCTTGCATAATATTTTTTTGGATCTTACTACGGCGAGAACTTTAGAGATCCCTGATTACTTGGTATGGCATTTGCACATTTTGTTTGTTCCACACCCATATCCCCTGAGTGCTATATACAAGTGTACAGTTACTCTTTCCCCATACTTTGTTTTCTACCATGGCATCTGAGATTGTTATTTTACGATGGAATTGTAGTTTTGAAATTTGGTGGCGAAAAGTTGATATAGATTAGGATTATTGGTACAAGTGAACATTCAAAAAATATCTTTCTGTCTTTGATTTGGCAAAGTCTAGACTGCACAAGATGTATAATACAAGCAGCTTCAGTATCATGATGATACCTGGCTTTATGTAACACATACCACATACACGAAACATAGTCAATATAGTACACGTTGAACGCTATGTGGGTATCAGTTTTAATGTAAGGCAATTCGTTTTCCCTTTAAGATCTGTGTGAGCACGATCAAAGGTTGACATGGTGAGATATTCCATCTCTTTGAGTGAACGTTATAGTTCGCTGTCCTGGTGGGGCGTGAAGCAGCGCGAGATTCATACTGACTACTAAAGACCCATTATATGTAGCCAGCAGTATCTCAGCAAGCAGACATCATGAAGTGTCCTTAGACCCAGCCGCTCTTGGATCCCACTGAAGGCACTCGTAGTAGTTGGAGGGTCAATTGACTCGCTTCAAAGCTGTCGATGATATCGAATATCAAACGGCGAGTTTAGAAAAAGTTCATCTTCCGCGCAGGACGCTTTCCATCCGAAGGCTGTTCATCCTTGGTCGCTGTAGCAGGAATAACAGGGTCCTTGGCTGTGTTTTCTTGGGATTTCTGGTCTTTTTGAGTTTCCGTGGTGGGTTCCGGCTGTGCGGGTTTACGGTGCCATAGGGAATCTTCTGCTTCAATCTCACGAAGAACTATCGAGAACGGAAAAGTCAGTACACGCTCTGTTCTATAGCATGGCAGAAAATGGGTAAAACGAACCCTCATCCCACTCTCTTTCCTTCCCTTCGTCTCCTGTCCCTAGAAGCCTCTCCACGTCTACCTTCTCCCCCTTCTTAGTTCTCTCAATGACCTCCCGCAAAAGCTCAATTTTAGCATCCGTAGTCCGGGTATAAGCAGCGTAACCGTTCTTGAGCGCAATCATCCGGATAGCCTGCGAACCGATGAGGATGAAAATGATGATGTAGAAACTGGCGGGATTCCACTCCTTTGACTTTTCACCATCTTTCGGACCTTTATTACGTCTCAGTATGAAGCTGGGAATCATCGCTGTCCAGACTGACGAATCAGCGACTTTCGGCATTGAGGATGAGGTGGAATGTCGGATTTGGAGTGGGGTTGAGAGGCGAGATCGTGTCACTGGGAGGGATTTGAAGAGGCCGTGGGAGACATGCCGTAGAGGGAGTCTTGAGGGATTCATATTGAAAGCCATGATGTGCGATTGTGTGCTGAAATAATTCGAGGCAAATGACATTTAACGATGATGCGAAAATGAAAGCATTCGGACCGTCGGCGAGCCATTCATCCCCGCCTATTCCAGATTGGGCGTAGCGCGACCGCCGTTGCTGCGACAACGTTCTGGGTTGGGCGGAGCCTCGCTGGTGATATCAGTCGAAGACGGGGCCACAACGAAACGAACCAACGCTTTCTCCGTTCTACTCCACGACACCTTCAATCAATGGCTTGAACTGTTATCTGATTCCTTCCTCTATTCATGACAACCCCAATGGCGGTCTCAACATTACTACCCGATTCCTCTGTGGAATCGGTGAAGCACGCCGTCCGCTCGACTTCCACTTGCTCGAATGCCACGGTGTTGGCCCTGCAGACCCTTTTCCGAGGTGCGTCGAAAGGAATACCGGAGATCGAAACGAGCACAGTGAGAAGGGGCGCGAAGGGCACGAAGGATACAGTTGCTGCCACAGGCCGGACAAAGGCGGTTAGAGGAGCAACTAAGACGAAAATCTCGCCGAAGAATGCAACAATAAACACGGTCGTGGAAAAGGATGGCTCGCGGCTTTCGTGTCAGGAGAGGCTGGTACTCGCCACGGAGGTTTTCAACACTACATTAAAGACACTGTCGGATGAATTAAAATTATCTGCTTCTAAACGTCAGCTTTCGTCTGCGGACGAGACTAGGTCCGCGTCTACCAACGTCCCCTTACAGCCCTCCTCCGCGAACCGCGCGGTCAAGTCACCAAAGAAAACGAAGACATCTAAACCCACACAAACCGCTGCTGCCGACCTGGAAAGCGGGGCTCCTGCTGTCGCTGAATGTGCGAGAATGGCACTGTCGTGTTTACGGACATTGAAAAGTGAACAAGCAAACCAAGATGCGTGTCCGAATGTTCAACTCGAACAGGGGTCATGTGTTTTGGCGGGAAGATTAATCTCATTGGGCCTGAACGATGCGGCTTATAAAGAATTACGAGCTTTGAAGAGGAGGATACAACAGTACTTGGACACCGAGGCCTCCGATCGCAAGAAAAAGACGGAAACGAGGGGGACAAAGGATGCCCAGGAGGATGAGGCCGTTAAGGAACGCATGTCAGATCTCATCAATTTCGCAAACATTGCCAACGCTCGACCCCTGCATGGATTGCTTGTCACTTATCAGTCGAACGCATTGCGACTACTTTCGTCGGAGAAAAAGCCTTCTACGGTGCAGAACCTCTGCCCTTCCTTGCAACTATCGGACCCGAGCAATCCCGCCAAGGTTATTATGGCCGCTGTTGAATCTGGAAGCCTTCCCAGCGACAAGGCTGCACTCCAGCTACAACTGCTCTCGAACACCGTCCTCTCGCTTTCTTCCGGAACCCAACAAACGAACGACAAGAACTTGGCACCCAGAGACCGATTGAGGCCGACAACAGCCCTCAACCTTCAACTTTTATCGCTCGAGATTCGCTGCATGGGATGGAAGCTATCAGGACATGAGTGTGAGGAAGTGAGAGAAATGTGGGATCCTCTGGCCCGCTACCTTGCAGCTTTTGCCCACCACAGCAAGGGACTGGAAAAGTCCGAGTTCGCTTTGACATACAAGACAATCGTCCGACTACAACTAGCTTTCGCAAATATCAAAAGGAAACCCACAACAAACGCGAAGGACACCCATTCAGTTACGCGAATCGCAACTATTATGGGACAGCTCGCCCAGGAAGCTGGCTGTTTTGAAGAAGCCCTCAAGCTCTTCACGGAAGCTCTTGCTCCGCTCTCTGAAGGACAGTGTCTCGCTCTAGCTACAGTTCGGTGCAAAATGGCATCTGTACATTTCCAAGCTCTTCGGTCTTCGAGTAAATATTCACAAAGTGATGCCTCGACTGCAGTTTTGGATTCTACGACGGCACTTGGGATGCCACTCAAGGGCAACTCTAATGACTTGGATGAACTGCTTGTTGAGGCAGCGAAATTGAAGAAAGTTGCGATGGGATGGCTCGGGGATGCAGTCGCCAAGGACCAGAACAATAGTGACAACGATGAAGAGGACGAACTTCATATTAGAATCCGCGAATACCTCACTTCCTTTGTTCGATTTCTCCGCCGATACGTCGGTCGCCAACCTTCCCAGGACGATGAACCAAAGGACCACGAAGCGTTCCAGAAAAGAGCCTTAGCATCGAAAAGTATTGTTCTTGCAGCTGTTGATTCAGCTGTAGCAATCGGAAAATTATCAGTCATGTCCCAGAGCCCACCATGGGAGGAAATGATTTCCCTGCTTTCCGACTGCCAACGCCTGCTCGTGACTATGGATGTTACTTTCGACAAGACTGCAGACTCTTTGGAAGTTGACAATACCGGCCTTGGTTTTGTCAAAATGTCGAATCTATTCTGGTCCCGGTATGTCAAGGAAAAGGAACGTGGGCAGGGTGTTAAGGAGCTTCTCCCTCTTTTGAAACAGTCGGCGACCCTGCTTTCAGGATGCTCAGCATCTCAGCGAAGCACGGGATTCGCCGCCTTGAAATTTGAGAGACTTGCACACCTCTACTTGGAAGCCGGCGCTGGCGTGGAATCCGAAAAGGCCTTTCATCAATCGATCAAGGAGCATGTCGACGCTGGCGTTCTGAAGCAAGTTGCAGCTGATGCAGAAGTTAGCGTGCCTTACCGCATGCCCCAGGATCCAAAAAGCAGCGCATTCATGCTTAGCCGTGTCCTCAATGCATTCTTGAAAATGAGATTGCGACACAAGGGCTCGAAGGCGCGCGACGTGTTCGACGACAAGAAATTATCCACAGAGCAAAGAGGGTTGGTCCTGGAGTGGCAGCTGAAAATATTGACAGAGTTGCATCCCTATGCTCTCAGCGAAGAGCACTTCCGCGCTCTGTTCGGTACCCTCCTTTCTAAGACCCTCGACACATACTCACCTGCACAGCATCCGCTACGTCGACTGCAGACCATCATATGCGCTGTTCGATTCTCGCTAGAGCACCCAGGCTGTTTGGATGCTCCCCTTCTTCAACAGCTTGTCAAGGAAGCAACAACTGGCCTCACAGACGAGCTTGAAGACGGCGAAGACTGCGACCTCGCCCCCTTCGCTGTTCACATCAAGAATTCTCTACGCCTTGCTCTCGGACTCCACCAAGGGAATTTGCAACCCTACGATCTTGATCAGTTGATCTCTTCATGGACTGCCATGGCGCATGGTTGCCAGGATTGGAAGGCCATCGAAGCATGCATCCTCGATATAGAATATTGGTCCCTTCAAATGAAGGCAATTGTCGACTACACCGAGATCCACGGATTATGGAAGCTTCAGATCTCGGCTCTCGAACTGGTCCTACGGATTACAGAACTTCAAGAGTCTGGTGATTTCTCGGAGGCTATCGTTGTAATTTCACGACTGGTTTCGCAATATTGCCGACTTGGACACTGCAAGAAGGCCGGTAGCTTGCTTATGCGCGCCGACCGATACCTCAACCAAGTTTCCTGCCTAGGTGTTCTCTCATACAAGCTAGCGCGAGCGGAATATCTTCTCGAAACCGGGGATGCTGAGCAGGCAGCTACTGTTCTTTCAGCAGCTCAAGTTCTCTTTGAGAAGAATCAGAAGAAGCAAGATTTGAACGCTTGCTCTGTCCTATCGAAGATGGCGTGGGAAAGACTGGTGGCAGATGCTGCTTTCATCAGCTCTCGGCTTTCATTTGCACAGGGCTCGATCACCAGGGCTCTGTTCTTTGCCAAGTTGTCTGTCAGGCTAAACTGCAGAATCTGGGCTAAGGTTGAGAAGCTCTCACAAAGAAAACAGGACAAATATTTGCCCACTAGCAATAGCTCTGAGATCGATACCGTTGTCGAAGGAGTAGCAAAACTCGATGTCTGTCAGACATCTAAACCTGATTCATCCGTCAGCTACTCGCAGGGAGCACCATTCTGGCCGCACATTGGCTCTCATCACACCTCCCTCTTGCACCTTGCGAATCTATCCGCTCATCATGGCCTCTTCCAGGATGCCATATACTACGGAGAACAAGCCTTAAAAATCAACAAGACCCTCAACGCCAATGTTCGGCTTATCGCATCCCAGGCTCAGCTTGGTTCTCACTGGATTCTAGGCGGTCATTTGTCCGAAGGTCAAGACCTCTTGGCTGCTGCGTCTACAGCGTCTAAGCGATTGGAGAGCAGCATCGAAATTGTATCGCTGCAAATGAGCCTTGCCTCCCTTCACCGAGCACAAGGGCACCACAAAGACGAACTTCGTGCTCTTCTCGATGCGGAGAAGGTCATGTCCGACGTCCTTGTTTCGGAAACTGCTGATTCGTCTAGTGAGCTTGAGGATAAGATGGAAAATCTCCGGATTCGGGGAACAAGCCGCAGAACGCAAACACAGGGAACAACGACAGTCCGACGAACCCGAGCGGGCACAACATCCTCAAGGGGCGGTACGAAGAGAGCTTCGCCTGTGACTGCGGACTCTCCTGTGATCGAATCAAACGCCTTGTCCCAACTACGAACCGAAGTTCTGCGACAGCAAGCTGGTTGCTCACGTACAATGCGAGACTTTGACAACGCGCTATCTCTGTTGACTGAAGCTCGAAAATATGCAACTTCCCGAGACAGCCAAATATCCCTGCATATTGGCGAGAGTGAGCATCTGCTGGCAGATGCCATCAGAAACTTTGCAAGCCATGCAGTATACTGTGTTCTTCCGGAGTCTACTATTTCGCTTCCCGCATTGCAATCGCCGATAAAGGCTGCAGACGAACCAACTCCTTCGACTGTGAAACCCTCGACTGTGCGGAAAACCCGAGCACCCGCCAAGGGAACACGTTCCAGAGCCCAGAAGGCAACCGATGACTTTTCTGTCATGCTTTCCAAGGCTGGGGATTGTCTCAACAATGTTTTCGCCACCGCTACTACCTTGGGATCGACTCTCGATAGCCATGCAGCTTCCCGTCTGATGAGTCGGATCTCCATGCTTTCCCACACCACTGCCCCTGAAAGTCCAATCGCCTGGCCCCAGTCACCGGCGAATGTGAATGGTAAGTTTTTGTTTATGTCCCAAATTGAAGCAAATATCTAACTGAATTAGAAATCGGTCGAATCGGCGCATTCACCCGGGAACGCACGGCGATTGATATCGACAAGCAACTGGCTGACTTTTCGGATCCTCTACTCTGGCCAGCATCGGCGATATCTACCGTTGAGCTTGAAGAGGACTTGTGCTCGAACTTCACTCAGGAATATATTGATATCCTCCCAGAGAGCTGGAATGTTCTTTCCTTGTCCCTCAGTGCAGACCGTTCTGAGTTTATTGTTTCGCGCCTGCAGAAAGACCACACCCCATTCTTGTTGCGACTTCCTCTCAGAAGAGGTAATTCCGAGGATGATGAAGAGGAGCAATTCACCTTCGAAGATGGAAGAGAGGAAATGCAAGAGCTTACCAGGCTCGCCAACGAAAGCTCACACGCTGCTCGGCTGCAAACCGACAAGAACTCCAAAAAGGAATGGTGGAAGAACCGCGAGGAGCTTGACCGACGAATGGAGACTCTCCTTCAAAATATTGAAAGCATTTGGTTTGGAGGTTTCCGGGGTATTTTCTCTCCCACACCTCGTGAGCCTTCTCCCCTGGCTCGTTTTGCGAGTGCTTTCCAGAACATCCTTGACAAATGCCTACCATCACGACAAAAGGGTGGACGGACTACGGGACCCAAACTCACACTGCACCAGAACGTGCTGGAGCTATTCATTGGAGTGAAGGGCTTGGAAGTTGAAGAGGATCCCGAGGATACATTGATGGACCTCCTCTATTTTGTGGTGGATATTCTACAATTCCAGGGAGAGCGAAATGCATACGATGAGATTGACTTCGACATGATGGTTGTTGAAACTCTTGATGCATTGAGAGAATACCACGAAGCTGTGCAGGAAGAGCAGGAACAGCAGTCGCCACAACACACTGTTTTGATTCTCGACAAGGCGCTGCACTTATTCCCCTGGGAGTCTCTTCCTTGCCTGCAAGGATATCCTGTGTGCCGAGTGCCCTCACTGGAATGTTTGCGTGATCGTGTCCTGCAATTCCGACAGGAACGGGGTGACAATGATCTGTCAAGGCTAGGAATTGATCGTCAGAATGGTGCTTATATCCTGAACCCTGCTGGTGATCTGCAGAGCACCCAGTCGACATTTGACGAGGATCTTTCAAAATTGGACAACTGGACCAGAATTGTTAAACGGGAACCAACCGAAGACGAATTTAAAGAAGCCTTGGAGTCACGAAGCGTGTGCCTCTACTTTGGCCATGGTAGCGGAGCGCAATACATCCGCGGTCGGACGATCAAAAGACTCGATCGTTGTGCAGTCACTTTCCTCATGGGCTGCAGCAGTGGTAGCCTGACCGAAGCAGGCGAGTACGAGCCGTACGGCACACCGCTGAACTACCTGCAGGCTGGCAGCCCGGCACTGGTCGCGACGCTCTGGGATGTCACCGACAAGGACATTGATCGGTTTGCTCAATCAACCTTTGAGCGATGGGGTCTTATTGGAGAGCAGAGTGTGAACGTTAGTTCTTCGAAGAAGGGGAAGCCTCGTGCACCCAAAGGCAAGGGTCGGTCCGCAGAGATTCCCCAGCCAATATCACTGGATGAGGCTGTTTGTCAATCACGAAGTGCTTGTGTGTTGAAGTATTTGAATGGTGCTGCACCGGTTATATATGGCGTTCCGTCGGTGTTTTTGGAATAGATAAGGCGGTATTGCATGATTGGTATAGGAGTTTGTCGGTTGCATTTTTGCATATGGGAATGGGAATGGGTATGGGGGAGTTGGGTCTCTATCAAGTTTTTGTATTTGATATTTGATATTTGATATTTGATATTTATAATTCAGAGATGAACAATCTCAATATTTTGAAGACATTCGTGGTAGAATCGTGAGGATCATAGCTTCTGCACTGCAATCGATCACCACCAAGGTTAAACGATTTAGACCTGCCGTTGCTGATCAAGAATAGTAACTAAATCCCCTGGATGCCAATCCTCGTGTTAATTTCCCCTGTTGGGAAAAGAAAACGCTGGAAATGAGGAGATCCAGCATGTCGTTCTCCACGGCGGGGATTCTCGACCACAAAATGCCCCTCAGCGCGTCTTCCCCTCATTCCCCACCCACCACCACCACCTTGACGCCATCCTTTATCAACCGTCTTTTTCCGCTTTTCTTTCAATCTTCCATCAACCTTCCACCGAATTGAGCATACCACACACATCATGTCCGTCACGACCAAAGCAACAATCGCCTCGTTCGGCGGCAAGCTCCTCAAGCTCAGCCACGCCGCCACCGCGACACGATGTGAGATGGGCTTCAACCTCTACCTGCCCCCGCAGGCTGCGTCCCAGAAGGTCCCGGTTTTGATCTACCTGTCTGGCCTTACCTGCACAGCCGACAATTGCTCCGAGAAAGGTTTCTTCCAGCACGGCGCAAGCAAGAAGGGTATTGCCGTGTTGTACCCTGACACTAGCCCGCGTATGTTTTTTTTTATCTTATTATCGTCATTGACTTGAGTGTGTGTTGCTAATATTGCTCTCAGGTGGACTCAACATTGAGGGAGAAAACGATAGCTGGGACTTTGGTACCGGTGCTGGCTTCTACGTGGATGCCATCAAGGCCCCCTACAACAATGGATACAACATGTACACCTACGTGACTGAAGAGCTGCCCAAGACTGTCTTTGAGGCTTTCCCTCAGCTGGACTCTAGTCGTGTCAGTATCACCGGTCACAGTATGGGTGGTCACGGTGCTCTCACATTGGTATGTTTTCTACCTGACTTTCTTCTCATTCTCGTCACCCATGCTAATTGATGTGATAGTTCCTCCGTAACCCCGGCAAATACAAGTCCGTTTCCGCATTTGCTCCCATCTCCAACCCAATCAACTGCCCCTGGGGCCAGAAGGCGTTTGGCGGATACTTTGGCGACGACCAGCAGGCCAAGTGGAAGGAACACGATGCCTCAGAGTTGGTTAAGAAGTGGAACGGCCGTTTGGACGTGCTGATTGACGTGGTATGTTTTGTAACCACCTACACCCGACACATTGCACACCCAGAATCGAGAATAGACTAACAATAACAATACAGGGAACTGGCGACAACTTCTACAAGCAAGGCCAACTTCTCCCAGAGAACTTCGAAAAGGCCGCCAAGGACGCCGGCGTCGAGGGCGTCAATGTCCGCTACCAGCCCGACTACGACCACAGCTACTACACTATGGCCAGTTTTGCGGATGATCATATTGAGCATGCGGCCAAGTATCTTCTTGCATAGTGCGTTTTCTCTGTATTTTCAATTTTCCTTTACGGCACTTGGCCCTTTCATAGACATATATATTAAAAATGTTACCTGTTTTTTTTCTTATGAATTGATCCATTTCTGATATCTGTCAAAGCAATCATCAGGCCTCCAAACTTTAATGATATATGGATATCAAAAATTTCAAATATTCGTGCCTTTTGAAAAGCTGTATCTGGACTAGTATATAACCATATAGATATTTAGTATATAATTTCCTTCATGTTTCTATGCTGAAGAGTATCCTAAGCATGTATCTAATTATAAATGAGCCTGCTCTTCTCGCGAAAGAGCCCGTCTTGGAGGACCACCCCTACTTCCATCGCCCTTGTGAATAGGGCTGGCAACTTCTTTCCACGCCCACTTTTGCCTCTGCTCCTCCGATGCCTTTCCTTCGAAGTTATCCACTATATGGCGGCCCAGAACTGGGAGGAACTTGAATGCACTGTGTTCCACATTAGAATTGAGATGCGGTTTACACGGGGGATTAAAAGAACATACTGTCCACTTCCACCAGTTGCAAGGAACAGATTCTCATACTCGGGGTGGTGATCGACGATAAAGTCCCCCTTGGGAGTATCTGTGTACCAGCATAATCTCCGTTGACTGAAAATTCGATCTTTGAACTTGGGTAGGAATAGTGCCAGTCCATCTCTCAAAGAATGTTCCGCATCGGACGGAAGAAATTGGCGTTGCGAGGATATATCAGGTCCGGAGAAAGACCGGTTTGAATGATGGACAGAACTGGAGCTATGCCTTGTCTCATAACCATACCCGTGTCTGGCCATTTTGAGAATATGACTCCCAGGTGTAGGCGGGAAGACAAAAAAGCCCGTGCTGAGGTCAATCATGACCGGGCAATCCTTCATTTGATACGCTTCGCGTTCCGTCAACTTCATGAAACCGACTGGCTGGCCGGTTGAGATTGTGCGATTTCCCATCTCGATCAAATGTGACGTCCATGCCCCTGTTGCCAGAATGACCATATCCGCAGAGATACTTCTGCCTGATAAAGTTCGTACGCCGGTGATTTTTTTCTTCTTGCCTTGAATTGCTTGTGTGACCAAATCTGTCACCGTTCCATTTTTCCCGGCAATGAAGGAGACCCCAGCCCTCGTACATAGCCTTGCCAAATGAGCAATGCTTCCTTCAGCATCAGCCCATCCGCAATTGACGTTAATATAGCCACTCGTATGCGTCAGATCACCATGAATACCGGGATGTCGATGCATTATTTCATTTCCCTGGAACGTTTGTATGGTCATGCTCTCTCCCAACCGCGAAAGATTCTGTTTCGACTGTTCGAGATATGTATGCCGCGTGGAGCCTTGAGATTGGACACAGAGGAGACCGCTGCGATGAAAGAACTCTGTATATTCGTTGGTCCAGCCTCGCAATGCGTCAAGGCCCATTCGAGCATAGAACTCGTCTGCATAATCGGGTCGGATGATGCGGGAGATGTCGACAGATGATCCATCAGGAACTGGTGGAAGGTGGCGATCGAGGACAGTTATGTCTTTGTATCCTCGATTGGAGAGCTCGAGAGCAGTCGACAGGCCAAATACACCACCGCCGATGATGAGTATAGTCGCTGTTTTGGATGGAGTGGCCATGGTGCCGTGCTTGTTTCCTTTGGTTGCTGATTAAGAACGATACTGCTCAATATGGAACCTCTGAGATGAAAATGTAAATGTTCAGAAATATCCCATGAATAGGCAATAAGAGATTTTTGGACCACTGCAAATTTTTTGCGCAATAGTTTTGATACTCAGTTAAATAACCATATCTATGAGTTCCGGGACCGGGTGAAGTGGGGACGGTACCCGGTGCAGAGCAGACCGTTCCCACCTTCTATCAAGATCAGCGGGACGACTTTCGTAAACAGCCGGGTTAAAGAGATGCGGGGAAGATAAAGAGAAGATCAAAATTCTTAGAACGTCTTGGTAGGGGTGCTGATCCCTTGGCCATTGTCTCCGATTTAACAGTGCTGGTTTCTGTTAATGGTGACCGACATAGATACTCGAATATACCCGCGAAGCAGAGATAAGAGTCTTAGGGATTTCCTTCGATACGGATAGATATGTTTAACCGATACGTTTAAATATGAAATAGAGATAAATCTTTGCTGTTGACTTTGCCTATAGACCACCATGGAAGTTTAGACTTGGCCGAAAGTCTAACTGAGACAACTCCGGTATGTCGACATGACTAAGAAAGTCATCACTCATCAAAAATCCTGGAAGAGGACTGGCAGGAAATTCTGAAGCAGGAATACCTGTCGAATGACCGAAACGCCCCGCATCCCGGTAGCTTGGAGATTCACGTAACGGGGCGAGATATTGTGTCGAGATACGTTGCTCGACAGGTGCAAAGGATTGAGGGGACATATCTAACCTTGCCACTGTGGAATTGGTGTCTAGTAACTCCCATAATAAGGATATTTTGAAAGATGAAATCCCATTATGGCTTGTAGTCCCATTTGCTTGCCGGGTAGGGCTTTGAAGATTCTCTAGTCCATTCGCCTTGGTCAACTGTTAGCTTCTAATGCCCAATCAAATGCACTTATCAGAAAAGAACTATTTACTAATTGAGAGAATTGGGGCCATTTGTTTGCTAGGCCAATTATGAATCGTTGGCAATGGTTAAAGTCGGAGCGTGCTCTTTCTGTGACGGTCTCATCGCTGGCAAGCGAGAAGATCCAGTGAATTGTTGCAACCACTACCACAAGACGACCCAAGAATGGATCGCAGATCTCATATCCGAGATTCTCGCACATGCTGATGAAGCGGGCTATCCAACCGGAATGAAGCAGAGCTTGGTCAATTGTATGTTGGAGAAATGTCGGTGGTTGAAACACAGTATTGTTCTTTCTGAAAGTCGCAATGTGGAATATAGGATGGTGCAAAAGTGCTTGGCCGGCATGAAAGGTAATTTGTAGTACGAGCCAAGGTGACCAATAGCTCTTGTCTCGGGCAATTTCCTCATATGATCGAGTTTGGAAACCCACGTTTTTAAACCTGTGCACCTGTGCGAGACTGGATTCAAATTCATAGAAGTTTGCAGCCAATTTATGATAAGTGGAAGAGGCGAGCCAGGGCTCTTCAACCTTACCCAATCGTGCTTGATGCAAGTATGCTGCAATCTCGCCCCAGATGGATATCAATTGTAGACAATACGCATTGACACCTAAGTCATTTGTGGCATTTCCAGAGGTCAGATACGGGATACTCGATACGTCTGTATGAGCAGAATCAGACGGTCTTGGGTGACTGGGGGGGTAGTTTATGTGGACTAGTGGACTATGACCGGGCTGCAACGTGTTTGGTCCCGGTGTAAATGCCCTCTCGAGAATGAATACACTCCAACAACACCTGGCTTTATCGTCCACGCTCATAGAAGTTGTTTTCAGACCCTCGAGATGTTTAGAATGCAGGTTAATGATAACAGAAGCCATTCCTATATTCATTCGTGCTCTAGCTTGTTTACCAGCTGGAATACATCAGTCAAGACCTTGGTTGATGTAGGATGTAGTATTTACCGCTGATGTCACTGAGCGTCAACAGGCAAAGCGACTGTATGACTTCTAATGATGGTGTACATTCTGCTGCTAGAGAAATTGTGGTTTCTCGGGAAGAACGGACATAAAATTCAATCGCATCAGCCTTTGAGGTGCCGTAGAATGGATGACCAGAGAAGAGTAGCGTAACTGCCAAAAAGCTTCGCAACAGGAATTGCGGGAATCGTGACACTTGCGCAGACAGCCCATCGATGTCAAAAAGAGGAAGTGGCTGCAAATGCAATTTGGCTTTGTAGATTTCAACAAAATGGGATAGTGTTTCCAGGGGAGGATTCGGACTGGCAATCATCAGTTGACCTAAGTTGCCCATTACAGAACGTCCGTTATGTCACATACCAACGAGAAGCATCAAAGTTTAGATTCGAAGATGCGGTTGTAGTCGTATCGAATCTCTCTGGTCCATGGGTAGTAGCTTCCGAATCTTGCCGTGGTATCCCCGTACCGCTTTGATCAAAAAGTGTTCTATCAACACGTCAGTCTCCTTGTATGCTATACCCGAAGCGAACTGACTGAATGCTATTGTTCATGCGTTCCATTTGAGCCTCTAGTCGACGTAGTCTCTCCCTAGAATTACGTCTGGACTTCAATGAGTCAATATGGATCGGGAAAAGGAACCTGAAGGTCCAGTGTTTCTTACTTTCATAGGACGGCTATTCTCATCTCTCTGAATGTAGGTGCATCTCTGGTTTAACCTTTGACAAAACGAACAAATTGGCTTTTCGCCAGGACACTTTGTCTTCTTTCTCCTGCGCAAAACGAGTTAGGAAACGAGTTAGGAACAGTCTTGGTAACCTGATTGCCACTTACCGACAAGGCTCACAGGCGTGTCTAGCCCGTGGCTCATGAGATAAGTCTTCATCCATCCGTGCTGTGTTTTCCAGCTACTGCTCGATCAGTCTTGATAGGGAAAAGGTACGATCTGCGCATAATCCTGGTGGTTGTGGAAAGTGAAGTCGAAGGACTGCCTTGCCTCTTCCGTCTTCCGCTCACGTGACCGGTCTAGGGCTACCTGTTGTCGACATCGATAACGCAAGGGAAAGCGATTGTCTTTCTTCGTAATAATTTGGGCTATCTTTGATAGAAGAGATTATGCCGAGCTCTGCTGCCCTACCCCGCATGATGATAGCCGGTATGGGTGTTATCACCTTCCTGGTCGTGTCACGATATATAAATCGGCGGACGGCCAAGGAGAATTGTCATTGTCGAGAATGTTTGGAATCAAGTGATTTCATTCAGCCTGTACGAATAGAAACCACAACATGGACGAGAAGAATGAGCCGCAAAGCTCGAGGGCAAACTCGAAATGCGAAGGCCAACTCCACGAAATAGCTGGTACAGCCACATCACATAACATCGCCGTCGTCGACAATGCCATCCAAACAATTGGCTTTGGCAAATATCAGATTCGTTTGTTTTTCACTTGTGGGTTTGGTTTCTTCGTAGACCAGGTCAGCTTCACATGCTTTCTTGAGAAACTGGAGCATGAACTTACAATCGTCTAGATGCTCGCAGTTTCAGTCGGCCTAGTTTTGCCACAAGTGAAAAAGCAATGGGATGTTCAATACCCCAGCATGATCACAGCAGCCTTGTATGCAGGCTCGTTGGTTGGGGCCATAATATGCGGTCTGGCTGCTGACTTGGTCGGTCGAAGACTCCTGTGGCAGATTTCTCTATTTGTGGTGACTGTTTTTACAATGATAGCAGCAGCGTCCCCAAGTTTCACTGCGCTTGCGGTGTTCATTGGCCTGCAATCAATTGGAGCTGGGGGAAACAGTAAGCTTTCCACCCAGGGATATATAGTATTGGTGATACTGCGGCTAAACGTCTGATGTAGTCGCTATTGATTTAACTGTTTTCGTCGAGTGGCTGCCGAGATCAAAGGGCTACATCCTGACTGCCCTTGCAATGTGGTTTGGTGTTGGAAATGCAGTTGGAGGACTTCTTGGTAGGTTACTTCCCTTGATATTAGATTTTGACTGACCTCTCCAGCGTGGCCGTTGATAGATTCATTCTCTTGTCCTGCAGAAGCGACCTCATCCACATGCAAAAGTTCTGCAAACATGGGTTGGAGATATCAGTATATTCTAGTAGGTGGGCTGTGTCTGGTTCTTGCACTCATCAGAGTGTTCTGCATGAGCATGGAAGAATCAACCAAATGGCTCGTCACACAGGGGCGATTCGAAGATGCAATTGAGGAGCTTGGAAAGGTAGCTCGCATGAACAAGTCTGAAGTGACTGTTTCAATTCAAGATTTTCGGCCAATTCAGGAACTACCGTTGAACGAAACAAGGTCCCAGAAAGCCCGACGCCAGTGCTCCCATATTAGGGGGCTGTTTACGACACGAAAATTAGGCATTTCCACGACTGGTGTGAGTGTTTTATGGATGGAAATTGGTATTGCGTATGTTATAAGATGGATACATAACGCCCCCATCATTATTAACAATCATGGATAGATACCCTATCTACACGCTCTACCTCCCTATATACCTGGCAAACAACGGCGCCGATATTGGAGATGGCTCAACCTTCCAGACTTATCGCGATTACTCTATTTCATCAACAGTGGGAATCGCTGGTCCGGTCTTATCAGCATGTCTCGTTGACATCAAAATCCTAGGTCGACGACGGTCAATGGCCTTGACAGCCCTCTGTGCCGCATCCTTTGCCGGTGCCTTCACATCTGTTCGAACTGAAGCAGGGAATATTGCCTTCTCTAGCATGATTAATTTCTGGCAGAATGCCTTCTACGGTATACTATATGCGTACGTGGAATATTCAATCTTCATCCTCGGCCCTAATGATCAAACCAGCTCACTGAAATTCCATGGCTTAGTTATACGCCGGAGGTTATGCCGACGGCTTTCCGCGGCACTGGGTGCGGATTGGCAGTTGCTTGTGGGCGGACTGCTTCTCTGTCTTCGCCTTTTATTGCGACTTTTGCGGATTTGACATCGTCGGTGCCTCTTTGGGTATGTGTGGGATTGTATGTTTTGATTGCTGCTGTGGCGGTGACTCTGCCTTTTGAACCCAAGACTTTCAGTGAGGAGGATCATATTTGATGGGTTAATGAGTGTACCCTGTGATAATTCTAGTCATGAATACTGTATGTGACTACTATTTAAACCTGTGATGGTAGCATCTTATAATGATTGGTTTTTCTCATTCTAAAATAACATCATGTCCTCTTTGATGGCCGATTCCCCCATCATACCTTCTCTTCAGATCCAAATTCAATCTTGGTGACACTCCCAGAGAATGAAGAGCCCGCAGTAGCCTCATACAGCATATCACTCTCAATAGCCTCCAAGCTCTTCCCCCTCGTTTCCGGGATCAACAACGTCACCAGAGCAGTCAGAAACATGACACCAGAGAATAAACCCAGTACTCCATTCAAGCCAATTGCATCCTCAACAGTCCCAAAGGCAAACGCTGTGAGGATTGCACCACACTTACCCGCAGCAGCAGAAATTCCATGCGCTGTACCACGAACACGCGTCGGGAATACTTCGGCTGGTATTAGGAATGTTGTGCAGTTGGGCCCAACGGTTAGGGTGAATTGTGAAATGGTAAAGATGATCATCAACCCGGCTGTTGAGGTGTGGACGGTAGGTGAGCTGATACCGGCCCAGATGGCGTATAGTATGCAGGCGATGATGCATGTGTAAAACTGCTGGCGTACACGTCCCATGCGGTCTGGGAGAATGATGCCGGCATAGAAGCCGGGTAGGTAGCCCTGAGCATGGTAAGTGATGAGATAGAAAAGATGTTGAAGAAGTGTGCTTACGGCAGCCTGGACAATTATATTGCCCACTGCTGTCTTATACAGGGTTTGCCAGGGTGTTGCCCCTTTAGCAAAGCCAATCCTCGATAATATGATGCTCTGATTGAGATTGACACCATAGTATGCGATATCACTAGATCGTCAGCTCCAATTGTACGACTATGGCTGTATATCAGCTTACAAAAGAAACCAAGAAGCAGCAGTGGCAAAGAGGACTTTGGCATGCCTCCACTTGCCGAAGTAGATACGGAAATCATTCCACTGCTCTTTTAATCCGCGCTTTTGCCTGGTATCTCCGCTAATAACGACTACATTAAAATCAGCGTTTTAAACTTAATGATAATACCCAGGATAAACTCACATTGCCGATACGGCGTCGTCTCACCAATAGTAAGCCGGGCATACAGTGTCAAAGCAGCAGGAACGATGCCAATTCCCAGCAGAAGTCGCCATACCCACTCGAGATGGTGCTGATTTGTGGCTACTGGCCCTTCAAAGGCTTTTAGCAGGACCAGGAAGACAATACTGGCTGCCATATTTCCTAAGCCAATATTCGAGAAAACCGACAACACCTGCACGGCTCGTGAGCCCAATGGCGGCTTTTCTGCTGATAGGGATGATGACATGGGGTAGTCTATCTAGTTAGTCTGCACTTATATCTTGTATTAGAGAAAACATTACCTGCTCCAATACCGATTCCAGTCACTACCCGGAAAATGGATACCCATGCCGTAATAGCTTTTGTGGAGAAATTTCCCCAAGGTAGTAAGATCACCATCAGGGCTCCGAATATTGTCACGAGCAGCTCCTTGCCATAGATAGTATGTCGGCCCCATGCGTCTCCCAAGACCCCGAAAACGAGTTGGCCAACAACCATGCCTAGACTTAGGCTGCCTTTGATTATATCACTGTCGACCGACGGCACCGTGCCATTGTCCGTTTGGAAGTAGAGATGTCCAAGTATTGGCACAGCTGCATGCTATTAGTATACATCTGTATTAAGAGGAATATGCTACAGACCAAGGCCAATTGTTAGGTTGAGATAACCGTCAGCAAAGAAGCCGACTCCAGTGGTAACTAGGAACCGTAATTTTGCCTCCAGAGAGACCATTTTGACGGGCGGTGATTGCTTCTGATCTTGACAACCATCTTATTTCTTGCCATGGCTGCTTTGGTAGGTATGCTATATATTATGCTATTCAAGAAGCACGAGACAATATCCGAGATACTCGTGGTTACCATCGGAAGGAAGTACCATGGAATAATGCAGTGGTCCATTCCAATACCACGACAAGAAGCAATCAGCACGTACCCAATTGCCACGATGTGGGAATGATGAAGTAAAACAACACGCGAGCAGATTCGCGTCGAGGAGTGTTTGGTCGAGCAGCCAGTCAAGCGCCCACGTGCTTATCGGCGGCCCCCGCAGCCTGAGGCTTCCCCCGCTATATCTTCGGTGCGAAGTCCTGTTGTCACTTTCTTTTCTCCACATCTCTCCGAGAGCCAAACGAAGACCTGACGTCTATTTTTTACCTTCATCTTGATTGGCTTTCGGAAGGGTGCCTGGAAGATTGGAATCATGGATGTCTCTCTCCCGTCTCCACCAGGTGTCAGTGCTCTACGCGAGTCATTTGGTGATAGGAAACCCCCAGACATTACTCGCAAGATTACCGCCTGTGTTGCATGTCGTAAACAGAAGGTGCGCTTCTATATACAGCTGTCTAAAAGGTAGCTAACTGAGAACATGATAGGTAAAATGTCACATGCGAGATGGCCAGACTCCATGCTCTCGATGCAAGAAAAGAGGCTTGTCCTGTGCGGTCAACCGGAGTTTACAAATGTTGATGGAAGATGATGCAACGTAAATACTCTCGACATCGGTTCAGAATCAGGGGCTCATATAAACAGGTGGAAAGATGCAGTGTCACAGAAGCTACGATGGCTGGAAGAGACCATGGCTCAGGTTGTGACGAAAGTAAGCCTGCCAGAAGTGCAGCTTCCAGCCCAAAATGATGCAGATTCGACCACCCCAGCTGCAGTAAATGCAGGCCCATCTACTCAAAGCCCAGAATCCTCCATTGAAAATAGCGATGAGCAAGCACAAGCATGGGAGATTGTAATGGATCCTCGAGGTGGTCCAGCTTCGATTCCAGCCGCATGTGTCTCCGAAATTCGGGGGACAGCTTCATCGAACGATATCCCTTCAGGCAGTCCAGACTTGATTTCCATTGGGATCCTATCCCTGCACCAAGCGCTGTCTTTGTTTGATATATATAATCTACGGCTAGACCATTTCTTGTATCGCATTTTAGGAGATCACACCAGCCTAGACTCGGTGCGAAGGACGTCCCCACTATTAACAGCTGCCGTCTGTACAGTCGGAGCTCTACATTCGCAGTCCTTGAGTCATCTGTTTGATGTTTGTTACCGTGAGTATAAAGCTCTCGCTGCAGCACAGACATTCTCCACAAAGGTCAATGATGATGACGTACGGGGTCTATGTATTGGTGCCTTTTGGCTGCATGAGCTTTCATGGGCATCGGTTGGAACTGGTAGGTCAATTTATCCTAACAATTGACAAAGCTGATTGACCAGCCGTTCGAATTGCATCCGATATCAAACTCCATCATGGGATTTATAAAGCTCTAAATGGTGAGCGGAAAGGGTATCTTCGTGCCCGGTTGTACTATCTTGTTTATGTATGCGACCATCACTTTTCAGTTGCCTACGGCAGACCTCCAATGTCCCGTGAGGGATTCATTATCGACTCTGCCAGCCGATTTCTCGAAATTGAGCATGCGACAGAGGATGATGCTAGGCTGATTAGCCAGGTCAAGGAATGGTCTATTCTGGGCCAGGTCTTTGATACATTTGGCGTTGATGTTGATACAGCCATTCCTCTGCAGGATCTTCCCCAGCTTCGCAGATATGCAATTGCCTTAGATACATGGCATGCAGATTGGAGTGAAACATTTCGGTCGAGTAAGAATGTTGGAAACTATCCCCAGAAGGGCGTTGGTTTCCACTTTCACTTTGCAAAGCTCTATCTCTGCTCACATGCATTCAGAGGTGCACCCACGGCACAAGATTCTTCGCAATGCTTAACACCTGAAATGGAGGAAATTGCCAATACTGGTGTATTGTCCGCCATGTCCATCCTCAGGGTTATTGTATCAGATGGAGAATTTCGATCCTTTTTGAATGGCTTACCGCTCTACTTTGACACCATGCTTGCATTTGCCGTTGTCTTCTTGCTTAAAGTAGCAACGAAGTATGCAACTGCAATCCGGATTGATACTACGAAGATTCTGTCTCTCGTTTCCCAAACAGTCATCGCATTGCGTGAGGTTACCCGATCAATGCACCGCCAGCATTTGCTCGTCGTAATTGCCGGAGGGCTGGACAAATTACTATTGAAATGTCAGGAGCCAGTCCATATGAGCCATGAAACAGCGCCTCATCCGTCTCCGGGCCCTGAGCATCTGTCGCTTAATGACATGACCTGGATGGAAAACATGACCAACTTTGATTTTCTAACCAACTCTTCGGATTTTGATAACTGGTTACTCCACTACAGTACATCAAACGGGCCTTCTTACAGCCAACAATAGATAAATATCAAGAGTGCCAGTTGAGCACAAGATCGAAAATGTCATAGTTTCTCCAACTCCTCAACTCGGAAGCTCGAAGACTTTGCACCGGCTTGGACATGATAACTGGAATATTCTGCTCGCTCAGACCACCATGTGAGCGTAGAGGGTGGTCTTTCACTTTAGATAGGTCGTGTTCAGATTCGCGACTTCCGATGACTGCATGAGACTTTGAAATGACAACGATATCGCCTTCCCGGTCTAATGGCATTTCATACTTCTGTGCTGCTTCATTTCCGCCCAGAGCATTCTCGATATCCGGAAGTGACTGGCAAAAAGAGAGCATCGGCTCGAGCTGTATTGAATCTTTGAGGTAGACCCGAACAAACGAACCAAGAGCACCATGATGTCGAACAAATGGATCTGTAATGGGGCAGATGACTCTTGATGCACCAGGGCCAAATCTTTCGTTTAACACATCCTCGAGGAAGAGAACATTTGGCTCACCGGCTGCATTGGACTTTTGGCTCATGCCGTGGTCACCAGTGACTCCGATGATCGGGGCAAAAGCAGAAAGCTTCTGCAATCGCTCGTCGATAGCCTTCATGAAATGGTCAGACTCTTTACTTCCTGGGGCATGTTTATGCTGAATATAATCGGAAAGCGTCAAGTACAAGAAGTCGGATCTTTTCTCTTCTAGCAACTTGATCCCAGCGTCTAGCACAAACAGGGACAAGTCGCCCGAGTATTGACTGGGAGCAGGTCGACCAATCCAAGCCTCGACGTCTGTGATACCATTTTCTTCTAGGTTGCAACTAGCTGCCCGCTCTGCCGAGAAGCATATCGCATCTTGCAAGCCGTGGGCAAGAATCTTTCGCAGCTTATCTTTGGCCGTAATGGCAGCTACTCGCACACCTCGCCGGGACATTTGTTCGAGGAGAGTAGAACCTCGCAGCAACGAGTCATCTGTAATCATGGTTTCTTTTCCCGTTTCTCGATCTAGGAAGAAGTTTCCTGCAATCCCATGGGCTGACGGCGGGGCTCCAGTAATGATGGAAACATTGTTGGGATTGGTGAATGACGGCATACAACTTTTGGCAGTGGCATGGAATCCCTGATCCACGAAGGATTTGAAGGTTGGCAGAATCCCAGATTGAATGCCGGAATTGAGATACTCTGGATCGAATCCATCAATGCAAACCACGACTGTTGGTCCTTTGGGGAGGTGATACTCTCTTGAGTGCAGGGTGAATTTAGATCTGGATTCTATTGATTGTCAGTTGCAGCATTGCAGTGGGGATATGCTGTACTGACCGAGGAGACATTGATATGCCATATCTTCATAGTCCTTTAACGGTGGAACTACGGTGTCTGCTGCTTTTGCTGAATCGTCCCACCGTCTGACGGCAAGTTTGGCTTCAAGGAGCGGATCCTTTTGTGCTTCCTGGATTTGCTCTGGTGCAAAAACTCCTCCCTAACAACAATAAGCATAAACTATAATTGTATTGATGGGATTATATACCTGATACACAAATGTCCGCTTACTGGTTTCACTCAACCCATCATAATAGCTCTGGTCCGTCGAAACCAAATCCCTCTTGGCCATAACATGGGCACCCACCAGTTGACAAATCTTCTCACTAAACCCCAAATCTCGAAGATAAGACTCTCCGAGGACTTCATGACTCTGACGTCCAATGTACCTCCCATCCGGCGTAACCATACTTCCCATCTTCTCAGCCGCGGGGATGAATCGTCCAGCATCGTGCAGCAACGCCGCGAGGACGACTTCCTTGTCATTGCCATACTTCGGAGATTGACGCGCGAGATTGGCACACTGAAGAGAGTGCTCTAGTTGCGTGATTTGTTCACCGAGATAGTCGCCCTGGCCCTGGGCATGAAGGAAGGCGAAGAGTGATTTGATAGCAGCGCGAGTATGAGACTCGACAGAGGGTAGAGACACCATACTGCTATGAGTGCCTAGAGTCTTTCAGACCGACTATTAGATTGATGGAAGTATTATCCTCTTGACTCGGGGATTTACGAGAGCTAGCTTTGGTTTCTACAGTGGAATCCAGATACCAAGGGACGAAGTCCGTCACAATGCTTAGACCTGAAAACGAAAGGAATCAACTTTGAGAGAAGCCTTACAAATCACCTCATCTCCATCTACCCCTCAATGCTTATACATCGTGTCCACCAATCACGTTGAGGCCATTTCGGTACGAAGCCCGCTGCCTGTCGGGACGAAGGCCGTCGATTTACGCATATCCAAAGAAATTCAACCAGCAGAGTTTATTATTTAATAAGGCGATGAAAGGTCTATCAAATGGAAGTGAATCAAGTGAATCATAATTCACAAACAGTCTCGAAGGCTACAATCAAGCAAACAACTCAAATGTATACACTTTCACCCGAACAAATCGCTTCATACCATGAAAATGGCTATCTTCTCCTTCGCGTCGATCAACATCGTCTCGTCGATCCTATTGCCCTACAGAAATGGACACAAGAAGTAAAGTCCTGGCCACAGGAAAAAGGCAAATGGATGCCCTACAACGAGATCAACATCAACGGCGAGCGACAGCTCATGCGAACGGAGAGATTCGTCGATTATCATCCCGAGTTTAAATCTCTACTGTATGGAGAGGCATTGGGAAAAATTCTCAAAGCTCTTTCTGGTGATGTATACACCCTTCACCATCGAAAATGCCGTAAGTTAATAACGATAGGACATGCTCCTCTTCAAAGACAAAATCAACTACAAACAACCCCACGGGAATGGTTTCCAGGCACACCTTGACGCACCCGCATACGACCACATCGGACGCATCGAGCACATAACAGCCAACATCGCCATCGACGCCGCGACACTGGAAAATGGATGTTTAGAAGTCATCCCCGGCTCGCATCGTATGCAGGTCGAGCTAGCTGATGGTGGCCGAATCTCGCAGGGCTGGGAAGACGCACACGCTTGGGTCTCGATTCCGTTGGACGCGGGTGATGTTTTACTTTTCGGGTCACATCTGGCCCACAGATCTGCTGAGAATAGGACGGAGAAGAGCCGAGCCAGTCTGTATGCGACGTTTCATGCCAAGAGTGATGGGGTGGATCTGAGGGAGAAATACTACCGACATCGCATGGAGATGTTTCCACCGGATCATGGTGAGTTTCATGGGTATATTATCAACAGGAAGGTCATGCTAATCTGGATAGAACGCGAGAAAGGGAAGGATTACGCCCAGGGATACAAGATCTATGGATTTGCGGCACCATTTTCCAAGATAGAGGAACAAGTATTGAAAGCTTCATAAGACATAAGCTTTTCTCTTCACCTTCACAGATGGCACTTAATATCACTTAATTATCCACACCTCCCACGATGATGAAGAGAAAAGCAAAAATCGCAATAGACTCTTCAAAATTGGAGATCGACATGGACAGTGCTTGATTAGACCCACAAAGTGACTACTAGTTTCTATGTCAGTGCGCCATTAGTTGCTGGATTGACTCATTCATCTCGCTTGCATTAGATATCATTTTGCACAAGCATTATTGGCATGAATCGTGAAGTTGCAAGATTGACTGAGCATATTACTGGAAGAAGCGATCTCAACACCATCTACCATCTACTAGACGACTATCGAGATAAACACAATGCTCAGCACCGCGACAGCTATGCACTTCGGGCAGCCGTACATGGAAACCCCATTGTGGCGAGAAAATCCTTTACGGGGATAAAACCAACTCCACCAGGACCATTCAGCTGGGAAAGAAGATATCCATTCCACCGCCATCCGAAAATGGAAAAAAACTCAGCAAAGAAAGCACAAAATAATGCATGATTGATGGCCACTTATTAGACAGCGACAATACACCGAGATACGCCGGCGGTCAAGGACTTACTGGAATTGGGCATTTCCGACCGTCCACCCGAGAAAATGCTGTACATTGCAGCGAGTAATGGGATGACAGATGTTGTCCGAGCCATTGTTACACACGGGGTGTTGACGGGGAAGGGGAGAAGATGAATGAGAGGACTCTCGCGACGGCTGGCCGATGGGATATCTTGAAATAGCAGAGATTCTGCTTCGCAACGGGGAGAATACTGGAGTCTCCGAAGTATGAAATGGGGGCGGGCATCGATACCGCATTGGGCGATGAAGAGGATGATATCGCCATGGTCAAAATAGTACTGGATTGGGGGCCTGAAGTTGACACCTGTACCGGGGATGTTTGAACTGCGCTGATTAATGCGGCCATACATCAACAATTTGAGATGGTGAGATGCTGGTTGAGTATGGAGCTGATGTGAACTATGCGGAACAAGGCTGGTCTATATCCGACAGGGAAGACGGATGCTGCAAGGGAGGGACACTATTATACTGAAAGAGGTATTATGAAGATATTCAGCTAGTCTGCCAACACAATCATCAACAAAATCAATAACAATGATATATTCATAAGATGAATAACCTCATCAGCTTGCGATAACCCGAATGCGTCGATCAGCAGCGACCCACCGTTTCTCCATTTTCCGGCCTCAGATAAGCAGTGCGATCGAACACTTCAGAATAATGGGATGAGATGCTCCTTATGAATGGATGAAAAGCATCACATATCCAGTTATCCATGCCTGCGTCTCCACTTGGATCGACATCTTTTCAGCTCGTCTTTTTAGCTTCCCAGAATTTTTCCCTCGTTCCTTTTCCCCTCACGCTTGTTCGGTCTATTTTCTGACGACCTTTTTCTTTTCTTTTTCCTTTCTTCTTTTCTTTCTTTTCTTCCCCTTTTCCTCCATCGATTTCAGAATCCGGATTTCCTCAATTCTGTCAATATGGGCATTCCAGGTTTGTTCTTTTTAATTCGTCTTCTGTATACCCTCACTGACCTTGACTCTCTACAGAACGCGAATCGGGGGACCATCCGCCAGCCGAGGCTGACTCGGAGGAGGTGCGCCCTCCGCCCACGGTCAACGAGCGCAAACTCATGGCCAAAATCGACTGGCATGTGGTGCCGTGTCTGTGTGCCATGTATCTGTTTGCTTTTCTGGATCGGTGAGTATTTATTAATTAATTAATTATACAGAATATCTCAGTCAATGCTAATGGATTGCAGAGTCAACATCAGTAACGCAGCGACCCTGGGGCTTCAAACCGACTTGAACATCGAAACAGGCACCAAATACAACACAGCGCTGACCATCTTCTTCGTGCCCTATGTGATTTTTGAAATCCCGTCGAATATTCTCATGAAGAAATTGAAACCGCATTTGTGGCGTATGACTCACCCGAACTATTTGTCATGAACACGCTGACAAAATAATGCAGTGTCACTCTGCATGTTTGGCTTTGGCGTCGTCATGGTCTGTCAAGGACTCGTCCAGAACTGGGGTGGTTTGATGGCCACGCGTTGGTTCCTGGGCATGTTCGAGACTGGTCTGTTTCCTGGGTGTTTCTATCTCATGGGCATGTGGTATCAGCGCAGTGAGGCGCAGAAGCGATTCAGTTTCTTCTTCAGTTCCACCACCCTCGCTGGTGCCTTTGGTGGTGCTCTCGCTACTGGTCTTGGAAAGATGGAGGGTCTCCGGGGGTACAATGGATGGCGATGGGTGTTTATCATCGAAGGCTGCATGACCTGTGTCGTTGCCATGATCACCTTTTTCCTCCTGCCTGATTTTCCCGAAGATGTGAAATGGTTGACGGAGGATGAGCGCGCGTTTCTGCGTCACAAGCTGGCCAAGGATACTGGCAAGGCTGAGCCGAATGTCTCGGTTGGCTTTAAGGATGTTTTGGCCGTGTTTAAAGACTGTAAGTCCTACACCTACGGAGTATATGGACTATACTAACTGAACAGACAAAATCTTTATCGGTGGCTGGATGTACTTTGGCCAAGTCGTTACTGCTTATGGTATGCAACTCATCTATATCTACATCTATCAATAGTGCTAATTATCCAGGCTACGCCTTCTTTGCACCAACTATTCTCAAAACATACGGCTACTCTGCTATCCAAACCCAGCTGTACTCGATCCCCCCATGGGCCGCTGCGTTTGGCTTCTCCATGTTGATCGCCTTTCTTTCTGATCGATTCCGCCATCGGTTCTTATTTGCCCTGTTTCCCATGTTGATCGCAATGGCTGGGTACGGAATGCTGCTGAACATTACCGATCCAGCGAAACACCACATCCAATACGGAGCTCTTTTCCTGGTGACCTGTGGATGCTACAGCGCCATGCCAGTGCTTGTTTGCTGGTTCGCCATGAACCTAGGAGGCCACCGCCGTCGCAGTGTTGGAACAGCCTGGCAGATTGGTTTTGGAAACAGTGAGTCTACACAATACTGTGATGAAAGATGATAACTAACTAGATCAGTCGGCGGTATCATCTCAACCTACGCATTCCTGAAAAAAGACTCCCCCCTATACAGAAACGGATACATTATCAGTTTATCATTCCTGTGTTTCTCTGCCGTCATGGCCATTACCTACTTTTTGACCTGCTATTTCGAGAACAAGAAACGCGACCGCGAACAAGCGAACATGTCGGCCGATGCGCCGACGCTGACTGAAGAGGAGGAAGATGCGATGGGCGATTTGGCGCCCTCGTACCGCTACTATTATTAATTGATGAATTTTATATTCTGGAAGTCATGGAAATGACGATATTTATCAAGTACAAGGTTACCTAATGTATATGTGCTAATGAGCTAGAGATGGTGTGGATATACCATGGATGATGTAGATAGAATTGAACAAATACATCTGCATAAATCTATAATAATCTATCTTTTCTAATTCGTCAAACGATCGTGGCAAATCCAAATACAATTAATTAAACGATCATAAAATGCGGGGTCTCCACTCTATAAAATCAATCTCGCAAACCATTTTCCATCTCCAACATTCACCACCAACACAACACTGAAAATGCCATCCACAAAACCCTCAAAGCGAAAACACGTCACAACAGCTTGTGTCCCCTGTCGCGAGAGCAAAGTAAAGGTACGTAACCCTACCTGATAAATACTATACAATGACTAACCCAAAAGTGCGATGGCAAATCTCCCTGCTGCTCCAACTGTCGCTTGAAGGGGAAAAAGTGCCATTTTCCGCTTGGGGGGGATAAACGACAGTACGCTTCACTACATCCTAGATGCATATTTGCATAAGTATATGTATTGATGAGATAGAGTCTCCCACCGAGCAGCAATCAACCTCCTCGCCAGCCGCGTGAGTCAATTATCGCGTTTTCTGGTCGAGAAGGGATTGCAGCCTCCGCCTATGCCAGATGGACAGGAGAGAGATCTAAAGCGGGTTCTGGATGTGTTGGATCTGACGCAGATTAATTTCAAGTTGGACCGATATGAGGATTTGAATTTGGAGTTGTCGGGCATGCAGCCTGCTGTGAGGGCTGTTCAGGATGAGATTGAGGCTGAGGAGGACAGCCTGGCTGTACCGACAGTCGAGGATGAAGAAAGGCAGAAGAGCTCACTGGACCTGGGCTGGGCAGCACTTGGTCTAGATGATCCCCAGCCAGCACCGGAACTGTCTGACGACGTGTCTCCTGGAGATGGACAGGACCGTTCAAAGCAGCCAGATACCCACGCACAAGAAGACGACAACACATCCAGCGAAAACAGCGGCATTGACGAAGTCGTCAACCAACTTTCAGACCGAATGGGGACGCTCCAACTCGCCCCTGACGGGCAAATCCGATACTACGGCCCAACATCTAACTTTAATATGATCACCATGCCAGAACCAGACATGTTCACCATCCACCGGACGGTTCGAAATGAGGGCCTGGAGTACCTGGAGCGACTGGGTATTGACAAACCAGTTCCTGCGGAGGTGGAAGACCATCTGATTAATCTCTACTTTACATGGCATGATCCTGCGTTTCACGTTGTGGACAGGGGGATTTATGAAAAGGCGAGAGAGAAGTGGCAGTTGGAGATGGAGGATACGCCGTATTATTCAGAGGCGTTGACGAATGCGATGTATGTCTCATATCGTCTTCTCTTCTGAAGCAGACTGCTAATGATACATTCAGGTGCTGTCTAGGAGCTGCCTGTGAAGTCCGCTATCATCCGACATTCGTCACATTCCCTCAATCACTTTCGGATTTCTTCGCCGATCGAGCAAAGGCTTTACTCGAGATTGAACTGGACTGCCCGTGTCTGGCATCCATCCAGGCAATGGTTGTTCTCAGCGGTCATGATATTGGCTGTAAGCGTGATGCTCGGGGGTGGTTATACAGTGGTATGCATGCGTATACCCTTCACTATTCTATCTTTCTAATCGTATAGGAATGGCAATGCGACTTGCCTTTGCGCTTGGACTACACATGGATGCATCGTCGTATGTTGAAAAGGGATCTATCAGTTCTGCCGAGGCAGAATTACGCCGCACGGTGTTTTGGGGGACATACATCGTTGACCAGTATGTCATCACGCTGTCTTTCATATATGTACTAACCCTCTAGTCTCTGGGGCTTCTATCTCGGCCGTCCGTTCAGAGTCAATATGCAGGATGTAACAGTCGAGAAGCCCATTTCGTCTACTTACAATCGATGGTGGCCGTACGTATCATCCGAATCTACAGGCGAAGATTCAATCCAGGATGATCCAACTGGGCTTTTGAGCGAGCAGAGGATTCTGCTGTGTGAGATGATGGAGCCATTGGGACATAATCTGTATGTCTATCTATATCTTGTGGTGATTCAGTGCTAATCAAGTAGATATGGACGCTCAAAAATAACAAACCACGAACTCCAACGCCTCAACGAAGAAACAACCAACAAACTCTTACATTGGCATTCCACCCTCCCTGATCCATTACAGGTTAATCTTGACGATCTGACAACGCCTTATCTCCCTCATGTTCTCCTCCTCCAGTAAGTCCTCCATCCCATACAGCTATACAGAAAACTAACAAGATCAGCATGCAATACCACCAAGACATAATCCACGCCCACCGACCCTGGATGTCAAAAAACTACATTCAACCCCAACCCCCCCAAGGACCCGGCCACACGCACGCCCAGAGAATGTGCATCGACTCGGCCATCGCAATCGCCAAACTCCTCCACCTCTACGAAGCCAGATACGGCTTCCGGCGTATCCACATCCAAGCCGTCTCCATCACCTGCTCCGCGGCGCTGATCCTCCTCTTCGCGTCCGTGTTTCACAAACAGCCAAACGGGGATGGAGATGAAGATAGCGAATTGTCCATGTCCCGCAATTTAACTGTGTGTTTCCGCGCGCTAGACGAGTTCGGATGTTCATGGGAGAGCACAAAACGCGCGCGCGACTTTCTGCTTATACTACAGCGGCGGTGGGAGAAGAGGGAGCGGAATTATCAGTCTGTGAAACGGGGGGTGTCGCGGCGGGGGTCGGATTCGATTCCTGGGAAGAGAGCGCGGACAGGAAATGAATTTACTGGTGGTGGTGCTGGGAATGGTGATATTGGGGAGGTGGATCTGGGGGTTGAGTGGGTGCTTGCTCCTGGGTTGCCGGGTGTTGGTGTGGATGTTTCGGGGAATTGGGGGAGTGGGTTTTATCCTGTTTGATATATTCTATATTTTATTCTGTAGACATAGTTGTTGTAATTGAATAGTACTCAGTTGTATACAAACCAACCAATCACAACCACCACACGGAGTCCATTCCCGACCTCATCTCACCAGCATTTCCGTCTTCATCAACGGAATTTATCTTCCGTTTTACTTGAACTCCTATTTCAACCTGTCCTCGTACGCATTAACAATCACCCACTTAACAATACCACCTTCCTACAGCCCATCATGCTCCCCAACAAACTAGCAATAAGCAGCATCTCCCTCTCCCAACATCCCTCCCACAAACTCGACACGAAAATCCGCACCGCAGCACAAAATGGATACTCGGGAATGGAAATCGTCTATTCAGAGTTGAAGCTCTATGCTGATTCCCAAAACATCGCCATGCTCGACGCCGCGGATAAAATCAAAACCCTCTGCGCACAGGTTAATCTAGATATCCTCTCTCTCGCCCCGTTCGAGAACTTCGAGGGACACAACTCTCCCATCGAAGAGAGGTTGGCGGTTGCGAAGGAATGGATCGACATCGCCCGTCGACTGGGAACGCCCTACCTCCAGGTCCCGTCGCAGTATAGCCATCCCAAAGACTGTACGGGCGATGAAGGGGTTATCGTCTCTGAGCTCCGCCAGTTGGCGGATCTGTGCAGCGCCCAGGCACCGATCGTATCGGTTGCCTATGAAGCTCTATCCTGGGGCACGTACTGTTCGACATGGGAGTCTTCGCTAGAGATAGTCCAGAAAGTGGATAGGCCGAATTTCGGGCTGTGTCTGGATACATTCCACGTTGTGACGAAACTCTGGGCAGATCCGTTTTCTGTCTCTGGGAAGTTTCCCAACGCTGATGCCGATTTGGCTGCTACGCTAAGGTATTTCGTGGATACTTGTCCCCTGGAGAAGATATTCTACGTGCAGCTGTCTGATGGCGAATGGTTCGATCCGCCGTTCAGCGCCGCGCATCCGTGGTTTGTGGACGGGGAGGCAGCGCAGTTTACGTGGAGTAAGCATGCGAGGCCGTTTCCTGGGGAGACGCAGTTGGGTGGCTATATGCCTGTTTCGGAGATTGCGAGGACGTGGTTGGTGGAGAAGGGGTTTACGGGGTATGTGTCGATGGAGATTTTTGATCGGAGGATGCGGGAGAGGGAGAGCAGGCCAGATGATGCTGCGAAGAGGGGGGTTGAGTCGTGGAAGAGGGTGCAGAGGGAGATTGAGGCGTTGGCGAAGCTTTGATCATATCTATCTATATGCATAGTGAAAGGTGTATGAGCTGAGTTTTAGTAAAAATGAATATTCATTCCGTCATTAAATGCAATCCAATGCTCCAGCTGATAATTATTCCAATTTCTCTCATCAGATACCAATCATATCCAATTCACATCCTAAATGTAAAACATGGCATCGCGAACATTCTCGTGAATCCGCACGCGGCTCGAGTCTGCCTGAGAAGGCCCCCTCCTGTCTCCCGTCACACTAGTCGCAGGGCTCGCAGGGAGAGAAGGATCAAACAATCCACTCATGTAACATCGTGCTCGCTCGCAAACCAGATCCGCATAGTACGCCGGGGGACAGATACTTACGGCCTTGGTGGCACGTCCAAAGAGATAGCAGAGGTTGTGGGTGACATCCTCAAGAGCGTCGGCAGCAGTCTGGAATGGCTTTTGCACCTTTTGGTCGCGGAAAATTTCATCATAGACGATGTAGTAGTGGGCGGGACGAGCAGTCCCCTGGAGAGCAGTGTGCGCCTGCAGGAAAAAGTCCCAGTTCCAGGCTTCAGTGACACCACGGTCGACCACGGTACCGTTCTGAGGGTTCGATGATCGGTCCGCGTCCTCCGTCCTAGTCGGGTAGAAGCGGTGGTGGTGGCGCTTTCCGACAACAACAATCGTGATCTTGGGGAAGCCCTTGCTGGTAGAAGTGGCCGGGTAGAGCTCCTTGCACGCCTTGCGCAGAGCCGGCAGTTCCTTGTCAAGAACCTGATCATACTGTCCTTCAGACACTCCGTCTCGGTAGACAAGAATGTTCTGCGGGTATGAGCCATTATGCTTCATCCATAGATGGAGACGGGATTTCAACATAGTGTCCAAATCAGACACCATCTCCTGACGCGCAGTTTGAACCCGCAAATCAGCCGGCCACTGTGCGAGATGTCGATCAACAGACGCAACAATAGCGGCCACACTAGGGGCGTTAGACGCCGAGCCAGGCGACGGATGCGTCACATCAATACCAACAACCATCGTCTTGCCCTCGGAAAGAACACCTAGCTTGGCAGGGTCCAAGACCTGGTTGCGACCACCAAGCTTCAGGTTGAACTTGAGTGCCACATTCGCAAAGTACTGCGCGTTGTTGGGCTTTGCAAATTTCTGTGCAACAACGCACACATTAGGAATTCCAGCTTGGACATCGCAGGCATACTTGACCTGGTTGTAGATAGCTGAGTCAGCCGCTGGCAAGATGACCAGGATAAACTTGGGAGGCTTGGGAGCACGAGCGAAATTTTGAACGGCATTGTCGATGTCCTGCTCGCTTCGGACGGTAGCGCGCTGACCACGGACGCAGTTAATAGCGTTAATGCCAGTCTGTCGGAGCACATCAGTGAAAGCGTCAATCGTCGGTTTCAACCCTTCCTCATCTCTCCATTGATCGCGCCCATTCGGGTAAGACAGCCACAGGTATGTCCAGTAAGGCAGCTCCGTTTTGGAGGCAAATTGGATGGATACCATGTTCCAACTGCCAAACCTAGGCTTGATAACCTTGTTGCCAGCATATTTGACATCGGGGCAGTTCAGCACACGACCAGGAACCGTCATTAACTTGGGAGTCAACTGCATTCCAAACGAATCCTAAGAAAATCAGCAATCTAGACCAGAGTTCAAATGGAATAGTCAGACTTACAAGAGTAGAGTCAGCAGACTCGAGACCCAATGTCTGAACTCCCGAGGTGATAATGGACTGCGCATTCTGAGCAGGCTTACGCACTGCAAATCGGATCATCCTCTGGGTTTGAGATGGACTCAACTTCGAGTTCGAAGGCTGACCAGGAAGCACCTGGCATACATCTGCAGGCAGATAAGATGGGCGCTGACGAGTGCCGACATTAATAACAGGTAGACTGGGATCTTTGATGGTAATGTTGTAGGCTAGAACGCGTTAGCGAAACCCACTTCAACTGCTGGATCTAACTTACTCTCCCGGAAAAAGTCATAAACAGTGATGTATCGTCCACCAGCAGAAGGAGGCGGGGGACCAGCCTTAGCAGGCTTCTTGCCCTTGCCTTTAGACTGTGGCTTTCCTGCGGGCCCTTCACCTGGAGCACCGCCCAAGAAGAACTGAACATCCTTAGGCCCAGCACCGAATTCGCGAATGATAGGGGGGTTCTGTTCATCGCGACCATCATCGCGGGTTGCAACACCTGCAATTGTCTTCATCCTTGGAACCACGCGGCCCTTTTTATCCTTCTTGATGATATGGGTAAGTCTAACGGAAACCCGCTTGAGGAAGTTTCCAAGCTTGACCTTGCTTGAGCCATTCTCTTCCGTGTAAGCATACATCAACCGCTCAAGCGGGCCATCTTCATAGAACGCAGCATTCTTGACCTGGACATTGACGATAACACGGGCAGTAGCGGCACGCACACTAAAGAAGAATCCTTGGAGGGCCTTGAGACCAGCACCAAGATCAAAAGTCTCCGTGGCAGCCAGCTTATAGTGCTTGCTCTGGCCGATAGATGCAATCTCCGTAGATGCCTTGGGGGTATGTCCCATGACAATGTTCAAGCCTTGGATAATCTCTTCCTTAGATCGAAGCATAGCACCAACACCACTCGAGGTAAGGTAATTGATCAGCTCAGACGTAGAAAGCGTACCCGTAGCCTGCAAACGGCATCGGTAAGTAGGCGAGTTCTCAGGGATCTCATCCTCATATTCGCTTCTGTACCGGATCTCATAGACATCCTGGAGCTCCAGCTGAGTCTTGCTGATAAGGTTGGACTTGAAGTCGGTAGCGATATCACGCTTGTTTGCCGCGAAATGGTCCTCGAGCAGCAATTGGATAACGCGGTTCACCTTCTTGCCCGTGGGAACTCGACCACGCTCATCACCCGACAAGATCTCAACGCTGTAGCGGTATAGTTGAAGATCGCCCTTGAACGCCAGCGGGAAAGAGTTGGTCCACAACATGATCTGCTTTCCCTGAGTACCAAACCCAGGTCGCTCAGGCATTCGCGGATCAAGATTCTTCTTCTGCGACGAGACCTTGAGTGCCTTTTCGACATCCTTCTCGACACTAGCAACACCCTCATCTAGAGCAGGCGGGTAGCCGGGACTGAGCACGGGGATGTAACGTAAGTACAAGTTGCAACGATCTCATATATGCCATAACATATATGCCAAGTGACAAGTGACACGTAAAAAGAAAAACCCATTTACCTGAAGGCATGAGGTTCAGCAGGGCCACCAGGACCACCTCCACGGCCTCTACCACCAAACCCACCTCGATCACCTCCTCCCCGCGGACCTCCCCTCCCACCTCTGAAATCTCCTCTGCCACGGTCACCTCTGAACCCCCCTCTGCCACGATCGCCCCCTCCACGAGACTCTTGCGATGGTCCCTGTCCTCTTCCTCCAGGCGAAGGACGGAATGGAATGTTAAAGTCTCCCCGGCCACCACCGCCGCCCCTCCCGCGATCACCGCCTCGTCCTCGCCCGCGACCACCACCACGACCACGATTCTCAGACATGATTGAAGCTAGCAATACAGAGTCAGACTCATGCAAGAAGCTATGCTGGTAACAGTTCCCCCCCTCGACGATGAATTTGAGGTTGGGTAGTTCCTCAGAGAGAGGTGTTGCTGGGGTTCATACAATTACAGAGTCACGTGGTGCTGACACCTCAGACAAAGAAATGATATCAGTCAAAGCCCCGCACGCCTGGGCGATTTCAAAAGATACAGAGACCAAGTCTCAGTTACAGTACAATAAGCGCCTTCAAACCCCTGTTCAATGCTAACGATTGGGTGAGCAGTTCTCAGATAGACGGCCGCCGCAGTGGTGGGGAGCCATCAAGACAAAGAACCATGGAACGCCACGATGATCGCTAGTGTGTATGCTTACAGGTGAATCATGATATTCTCAAGTGTCTTCATTTTCTATCTATAGGGAAATTTGCTCGATGCTTCATGATGGCGTAGTCATGTATAGCCACGGTCAGGTAAGAAGATATACAGGCTACTATCCACGATAACCATGTCCATACATGATAAACAGGGGTACACGTCACAGATCATCCATGAGAACAACATTGGATTGGATCTATCAGATTGCCACACATGTAACACTTACCCAATTCCAAAACATGCATACCTATCCTTCTATCTCGGCTGATCCCACCATTGCCCGATTTTTTTTCTTTTCAAATCATTTTTTTCAGAAAAAAACGCAGAGACAAAGTAAATGCTCTGTATATCAACGCCTGATCATGCAAGTGCGTCACAAACTATATACCCTTTTTTCTTTCTTTTTGGTTCGAAGAAATCATCCAGACAGTGGCAATAATGAGTCCGGGCGACAGAGCATCAAGGTAAAGGATCACGTGAGAACATCAGCTCATCAAACCAAACCGTGGGGGAATCTAAAAGGAAAATAGAACATAGAAATGATTGGGTGAAATGGGGGGTGAAAGAAGAAATATGAATCGAAACATTAAAAACATCAAATAATCACATTGAGCGTAATTCGTCGCTTCATGCGCTCAATCGTTGGATGAAAGACTGTCTTTGTTAGAAATGAGCCTACTAGTCAGACCGGTGAAACTTACTGGGAAAAACTGCCGGAAACCCTTCAGGTCCAGCCGGCTCAAAGCATTCAAAAACTCTTCAATCAATTCCGTTCCCATGCCCATAGAAGGTAATTCGCGGTCGCGGAGGTATTGAGCATACTCCATTCCCGTCTTCGAGTAGATAATCCGCTGCAAAGATCCAGCTTCAGCAAGGACCTGCTTGGCCATTGCGTCCTTGGGGTTGAAGGATGGCGTAGCAGGAAGCGCCCAACACAAAGGCGAGAATCGGGTGATCATAAACTGGCCAAAGCCAGGAAGGGATGCCTGCGGCTGCGCACCGTTGGCCTCAGCTGGTGCGACATCGGGCCCACCCCAGAAGCTGGCCATTCGGCAAAGAACCGAAAAGGCCATCTTGGCAGTAGTAAAGTCCTCAACATCCTTTGAGAAGTGTTCAATCGTAGTGATAACGGTTTCAAAGATAGGTTGGTTTCCTGGTCATGTTAGCATCAACAGATCCAAACTGGAACAGGATATTTGGAACTTACTTTCGCTGATGATGACAGTCCCCAATTCATTGTTCATCACAGCAAGCAGGAAATTGAGGTACTCCCGCTTCAATTCCGCCAGCTGAATTTCATCGTCCGTGCCCGTGGTAGGGTCTGCAATGCTGGCGAAAACTCGCTGCAGGAAAGGTGTGAGAAGGGTGTCGAGGATGGTGTAGATTTCAGTCTTGAATCCGAAAATCACTTGATCCAAGAGACGCAGGAAAAGAGCAATCTCGTCTCGTGACGAAGTCTGAGTAAGAAGACCATCGATCCAGGTGGGCAACTGAGGAAGGATTCGGGGACCCACAACGCCGATAAGTCTCGCGAAGGCAGATCGAGCAGCGGTTCTGATCATGAATGACCCCTTGAGCGAGTCGAGGGAAACAAGCGTAGCTTCAGATACTTGGCAGAAGCCTTCAGACACTACAGCTGGCGGCAGATTTGCGGGAGAGCTTGTTCCGGGCATCCAGTCCGAGAAGCCTCTGGCAAGTGTACCAAGAGCCATGATGTCATGGTGGATTTGCAGCAAGGCACGCTCGTCGTTGGCCTTGGCCGCAGTGAGATTCCTTTCCATGTCGAGGAAGATGGGGTTCAGGATCATCTGCGAGTAGACAACCTGCTTGTCAGCTGGGACAGTCGGGGTGGAGCAAATGATGCCAACTGCCTCGAACAAATAGAGCTGGCAGTTGAAAACAGCATCGGCTGATCCTTCGTGATCCTCCGAGGACATCTCATCTCCATCTTCCCCTTCGGAAGGAACCTCGGCCTGTATAACCAGCAGGTCGCCCAGAGCCTCCACAACCGTTTGCGCAACATTGCCGATCTGCGTTCGCAAATGCTTCACCAAGCGTTGGAACAAGTACCACGACCGGGTCTTGACCTTCTTAACGGGGTGGTGTACGAGTTGCAGGAAGCTTTCCAAAACACCGGGAATAAGGTGGGTGTTATGCTGGAAAAATGCGCTGTAACGCACGCAGATTTCCATGTACTGCAATTGTGTTGCAGGGTGGGTGAAAGACCTGATATCTGCGAATTGTTAGACTGCCATATTCAAATAAATCATCGTCCCAGAACCTACCAGACTCAACCATCCTCTGCATCATAGCGATAAGTCGCTCCGAGGCGGGGTTGTTGGGACTGTTTTTGTTGTACAGACCACCACCCTTGACAGCAAGGTCGCCGAATAAGAACATCTCATGCAAGGCGAGGTCCAAGTCACGCCAATCCAGTTGGCCTCCAGACTGCCGCAGATTCTCAAACGTCGTTCCCACCAGCTCCGAGATCGCATCCATATAAAGCTGTTCGTTGACCGAAGCAATGATTTGCTGTAGAACACCCAATCTCTTCCGGAGCTCCTGGAACTCAGCCTCGTCTGTCTGCTCATCCTCGTCTCCCCAGGAAGAAGTGTCATCGTAGCGCATCTTCGCAATGATCGCCTTCAGGATGGGAAGCAAGATCTCGGAGTGCTGGGCAGCGAGCACCGGGTTTGTCTTGGCGATCTTTCGACAGTAGGACAGCAGATCGTTCACACATGGGATGACGGTCGAGCACACCTCATCGTACTCATCGGAGAAGAATCGTAGGATATGGGGGAGGAACACCTGAAGTAGACCGGTTGCCTTTTCCTTGCAGTCGGGAGTGACGGTGTCCGCTTCCAACGCCCTCGAAATATCAATGACGGTGCCGTTGACGAGTTTCGCAACCGTTTCCGCCAAATCCGTATCGTACATGGAGGTAAACCGGTTGTCACGGAGAGGAGGGCTGTTCGAAAGCTGGGTAACGATGGTGTCGAGGTTAAGGAAGAGAATCATGTCAATCTTATCCTCCGGCTTCATCTTTTTGGCGATAATCTCTGTAAAAACGTCAATGGCCGCATCTCGAATCTTGTCTTCTCCCTCTCTCATTTCCGGCTTCTGTGCTCGTCCAAGCTGCTGGAACAAAAGGTCAAGCATGGTCTGGTTCACCACGAGACCGATATCAATCCAGCTGACCCAGCTACCGACCGCCTTCAGCGCCATCTGCACGATTGTGTCGTTTCCATCCTGCCACGCGGACAGGATCTCTTGCCAGGAAGTGGCGATCTTCTGCATATCCCTCTGTCGAATCAAATCCTTCAGCAAGTTCGCCCTGTCTTGTTCCGTGCGGGATCGTGATACAAGCACATCACCAATCTCATCGTGAATAGAGTTAATGACTCGGAGGTAGAAAATGATGCCCAACGGGTTGTCGCGTGTTGTGCTAGCGGGGGACTTGTAGGTCAGGCTCTGAAGGTCATCGAAAAAGGATTCCCAGCCGCTGGCATAGAGAGCCGAGAAGAGGAAGGTAATCGTCTGGGCGATCTTATTCTGAATGTTGGCCGGGTCGGGGGCGGCAGCTTCCTGGCCGTACACCTGGCGGAGATAGGCCAGCAATCCATCCCGGACATAACCTAGAGCCTGCGGATCAATGAGACCTCCCTGGGCGGCGCTGTTGACAATTTCCAGAGCCACATGCCGTACGACTTCCGAGTTCTGAGGGGTTTTTGTAACGAGGGGGAGACAAAGCTGCCATCCCGAGGGGTCGGTGCGGAGCTGATTCAAATATTCGAAGGCTTGTGTCTTGAGGGCATGGTCTGAGGAAGCGTCCCAGCCGATTTGGATGGCATTTATTACCTATTTAGATTACATTTTTGTTAGAAATTACATGTTTTCTGCCCATTGTTCATTGAGAAAACAAGACCAAAGGAGGGGCACGAGGGGGCCAGTGGTGGGGGAGGGGAAGGGCTTTTTTTTTTTCTTTTTTCCCTCTTGCCTATGACAACAAAAAAAAAAAAAAAAAAAATAGGGCAGTGTGCGGGAGAGAAATGCAAATGCGTACCTGCTCTTCCATCTTCGACCAGCCGAAGTGCCTTCAGAGTCGGGGAAAGACTCAGAAAGCAAAGGGAGGGAATTAAGACTGCGTTCGACAGGGACGGTTTGGTGTTGGGTATGGTTAAAAATCGAGGCGGAGGGTCATATCATCGAAACGGCAGGTTGATGGAACCACGGGTGGTTTTTGGCCCTCTCGGCGGTGTTTCGGGGCTGGCCTAAGGGAGAGACTAGAGTCAGACCCAGTCACTTGGGTAAAATGATGGCAGACAACTCACTGCTTTTCGCTTTCGATGGCCTGGATGGGCTTTTGGTCTAATTCTTCGACTCTCCAGATACGTTGGGGGTCTTGGAATGGCTCTGCTGAATGACGGTGAGAGCGAGTCGAGGTGGTTTTGTGTGGCCGCAACTTTTGCTGGACGGCGACCGAAAAGGGCAAGGGGCGTCGTGATCTGCCGCGGCCATACATACAAGCCTTATATAGTGCTGCAATAGCATCATGGTTATGTAAATAGCGTAAATAAATTAATTAAATCATGTGCGGCATTTATGCCGTTTTTCTACTGAGTCTGCTTCTTTTTGGCTTCCTGCTTCAGGACTTCCTCCTCCACTTTTTCGAATCCCTCTACAGCCTGCCCATACTTTTCAAACACTCCCTTCTGGTATCCATCGGCAATCTTCTCGATAAACTCCTCTTCTCTCCATCTCTGGCCAATCAGGTCCTCAAATGTCTGTCCAGGAGTTCTTTCCAATCCCCACACGGCCTTGTACGCCGCTCCCAACGCACAGGCGTTATCTCCAACATCTAGCTTATATACACCTTCCACGCCGCCTAGGATCTCCCCAGCAACCTCAGCAATAGCCTTGTTCTTGGAGCCTCCACCGACAAGATACACTCGGCGTGGTTGGGCAGGAAGGCCATTGCCTGGGCTCTGGGTCAGGCCTCGTGACCGCAAACGGAGGGACAGCATCTGGCTCTCGACGATAGCACGAGCTTCGTCCAGAGGGTGATCCCATCCGTCATCGGTTTCTGTCAGACGCTTCTCGGTCGGGTCATAGTTGAAACGCCATTGTCCTGCGCGCAGGTTCGGGACAATCTCAGGTTTGGGGAAGAAAAGACCCAGTTTCATAGGGTCTGAAGCGTTCTTCTGGCCCATGGCTGGTGTCTGGAGAGTTACCTGGTCAAAGTTTGCCCATTGGGCAGCAGATGAGTCTTTGCCCAATTTCTGATCAATGGCATCGCGGACTTGCTCACGAGCCAGGCCACCGTTCTTGTAGCATAGCATGAACATGTACAGGCCGGGAGTGGTAGGGTGGTTGAAGAAATGGGTGGCTGGGTCTGGCTTGTAGCTGGGGGTCGACATGAGGAAAGTAGTCGAAGTTCCCAGCGAAACCATCGCATCAGATGGTCTCAATGGCAGAGCAAGAATAGTTGCTGGGTTGTCTCCGGTCGATGGAATTACGGTACAGTCGGGGCTGAAGCCATAACGGTCGACATAGTACTGGTCAATCATGCCCAGATGAAGGCCTCCGTCCTCAGGGACATCACCCAGCTTGCGCTTGAGGTCTGCGACACCAAAGGAGCCAGCAAACAGCTCAAGGATCCGATCGTCATAAGCACCCTTCTTGATATTCCACAAGTTCATTCCGCACACATCGGAAATATCAAACGGAGCAATGCGGCCCAGAAGCAAGGACGCCAGGAAAGACGAGACCAGCGAGATCCTCGCAGTCTTTCCGTATACATCGGGGTATTTTCTCTGGAACCGAAGAATCTGCGGACCAGTGAATCTCTTCGAATAAAGTCAGCTCCAGATACAAAACAGCTTCCCCTCCCCTCCATCTCGGTGAGAAAAAAACTTACATGATGAGCCTTACTCCCCGTCACGGTCGCCAATTCTTCCTTACTCCCCAACACCGCATCAAACTCATCACACTCCTTCTGCGTACTCGAATCCTGCCAATTAGGGCTATACGGGTGCGAGAAAGCCTCACTCAGCTGCTCTTCGAGCGTCTTCTTCGAATCCAGCCCCTTGAGCAACCTCTCCGCATTCTCGCCCCAATACACACTGCCATGCTGCTGTCCCGCACCACTAACGCCCTTGACACGGGTAAAGTCCAAACCCTGCTTTTTCAACTCGCTCAACACCCCATCCAGCGCCTGCAGCCACAGCGCAACGGGTGCGACTACCTCGTGCTCGGCCTCGTTGATTAGAACGCCCTTTTTGATGGGGAAACCGTGCGAGTCGGCGTCGAAGTCGAATTTCGCAATGTATTCGACTTTCAGGTCGGAATTGACTACTAGACCTTTGAGTTGTTGGGTGGAGAGGTCGAAACCAATGTACAATGGGCCTTGGGACGCCATTGTCGCTGTGGTCGTTACTGTTCTTGTCTGATTTTTTTGGTTAGATGGCAGATGGCGGGGGAGGGACGATGACGTAGTAAAGCCGGAGGGGAGGGGTCCGAAGGAGGAAAATAAGGGTGAAAGGGAAGAAGAAGACAAGAAGAAGAGAAATTAAAAGGAGGAGGAAGCGAGAGAAATAGGAATTTTATACAAAGCAGCCAAATTACGGTGCGCACGGGAAGTTTGATCTATTCAACACACACAGACAGTCAGACGCCGTCAAAGTCAAGTCAAGACGATCTCAGCAATTTATCCGGAAGGGGGAAGCAATCCTAATTTATTTGATCCCACATACTCCATATGATACGAGCAGCCAAATCTGTCTAACTAAGCATGAAATCAATTGCTCTTAGTATTACCGAAACAATCATTCAAAAACCAGAATTATCCAGGTTTCGTCCCAATGCGATGAACCGGCGATGATGTAAATCCCCAGTATCCCCATTCACCATACAGTGTGTCAGGCTGTCAGTCCCACCGCCGGGAATTTGCCCGGTTAATAGAGCGAGCTGCCCCTCCGGAGTTCTAGAATCCGAAGCTATCCATATTTATAATGTGCTAGATCAGACGGAGGGTGAGGCAGCTTCTAGAAGACTCTATCAGTCTAGATTCTTGTCTCCGATGCTTTAAGGGTTGATAATCCCAGTCGACTTACATTAGTTTTACTCGACCGGTTGGATGATCCTATCAGGTGACCTATATTCCTGGAGTTAATTGAGATATTCATACTTTATGCATAGTGAATGTATGAATTGTATAGATTTTGTATATGTATAGGTGAATCTATTTCCAAAGGACATGCCACAGCTATCCAAATATGCAGCAATAACCCAGCGGATAATCTAGTTTTATCCGATCCAAGGTCTCCAACCGATCTTCTCTTCACCGGTTGCAAATCTCCTTGCGAACTTGTAACCACAATTCCCACGGTACAGCAATGATTCCTCTCCTTCTCGCCACCATCCCGGGGGTATCATATGCACGTTGGCTGAGGTCCGAAAAGATGACCAGAAGGAAAATGGTTGATAATCAAAATAACCGCCAAGGCGTTGGCCGATTCATATACAAAAGACAAGTCATCTCTGCTCTTCAGCGCCGCTTGCGAGTGTTGTTCTCATGGTCGTGGTGGTGGTCGTGGTCATCATGTGAATGGGATTCGTGTTCTGCGTCGGATTCCCCAGCCTCCGGCTCGGGGTTGGCTTGTGAACTGAGTTCCTGGGGAATGAACTCTTCGGCAAACGTATTTTGTTCGTGGTCAAGAGGCACAAATCGGACCTTAACTCGCTTGACACCACGAACCTGTGTGCCGATTGCGGTTCGCACAGCCTCCTCGATCTCGCGGGACCGACTGACGGACCAGTCGCCCGGCAGTGCCAATTCAACCTCCATGAGGTAGTTCTGTCCAGATTTCAGACCCTGCACATCCCGAATGTGAACGATGTCGCCATCGATGGTTTTCGTGAGGACCTTGGACGCAGCCTTGCGCACGGAGTCCTTGATATCATCATCCACCGTTGTGTCGGCGAGCTCCAAAAGCGAGGTGGCAGTGTTACCCCATCCAGCCTTGATAACCATCAACGAAATAAGCAGTCCGCCCACGGGATCCAGCCAGGAGGCGTCTCTGAACAAATAAGTCCCACCGATAGTAAACAACGCCACGATACTTGTAAGCGAGTCGATGCGGTGGTGGATAGCGTTGGAGGCGAGCACAGACGACTTGCGTTCATTTGCGACTTTCATGGCTATTGTTGAAACCAGAGATTAGTAGACCTTCAGAATGTAGAATCCAGCAATACTCACTAGCATGGTACAACCATTCCTTCACAATGATAGACCCTCCAGCAATCCACGCCGCATTGACATTGGGACTATGAATATCCACCCCATGACTGTGCGAGTGACCATGTCCCAGAACCCCTGAATGAGCCAGCATTTCCGCTGCCTCAGGGTAAACCTGACTCAACAAGGCCTGGCTCGCATTCAAACCCATAAACACACCTCCGCAAAGTAACAGTCCACTCACGCCCAGCGCGCCGATACTTTCAACTTTTCCGTAGCCGTTGGGGAACCGTTCCGAAGGGGGTTTGAGCGAGTAAGCGACCGTCCCTAGCGTCAGGAAATCTGACACGAGATCGGTGAGCGCGTGGTAGGCGTCTGCAACGAGAGCCTGAGAATGAAACATATATCCTCCGATGAACTTTCCAATCGCCATGGCGAGATTGGCGACCAGGCCAATCCGGGTGATGCGCACGCCAGCGTCGTGTGTGTTGGTGGAAGTCAGGTAGACATTATCATGGTGGTGGTGATGGTGGTGATGGTGGCCACCGTGCCCACCATGACTTCGAGTTTGAGCAGCCATAAGTGGAAGTGTTGTAGTTGTGGTGGGTGTTGAGGTGATTATAGGACACGGTGTGATGACATTGGAGGAAGAGGAGGGAAGGCCGGGCTTCTTAAGACGCGAGGAGATCGTCGATGTACGGAGGACACGGAGCTGGGCTGGCGCACGAGCGACAAGTGAGACACCGTGGGATCGTAAGGGACCACAGCGGAGGGTTGACGACGACGAGGAGAGTAATAAAGCTGGTGAAGATGGTGATGGACGGGCCCTGCACCGCAGGGGCTTCGTCAGCGGCATCAGGGCAACGCACCTCTCGGAGGGGGCGAAGATTATTGAGGCACGCGAGAGGTAAAAGAGGGCAGTGAACAAGCAGCCACGGCGGAGGACAGGCTATAGATTGTGGCCGTGATATTACTGGAGATGATGAAGCTGTTCTTGTCCATCATTCAGCCTCTCTGCGATCAACATGGAAGAGAATTGATCCCTTCTGTATCCTCATAACTAATCCGGCAGAGGCGATCCGACATGCGCTGACGATTCCGGCTGCGGATCCGACGGCGATGAATAATAGTAGATGACAATTTACAATCCATCCACGTCTATTGAACTATCCTGCCCTTGTCTAGTGAGATTTTGACCAAATCACAGCCAGTGAATTACTACATGTTGCCATCGTCCTCGACATGACGCTCATACAACGCCTGGATGCTCAAGTGGCACCGCCCCGGTTTTGCACGCGGCGGCCCACCGCCAAGGCCGTGTCTACGCAACGGATATAAAATCTTCAGGTTGGACCATCGCCGGAGTACTCTACATACGTAAGACATATTCTTGGCTTTTTTAACTCGTGTCTTCGTTTCGTTATCATTATCTATTCTGTTTCATATTGGTTGAGCCATTTATCGTCCCGCAATGCCAAGTTCAAGCTGTCGATTTCATAGCATTGACCAGTTTGTCCTGCATGTCGCAGAACAGATTGATTGCCTAGAACTGTGAGTTGTGGGTTTCCCTGGGATCTTAATATAGAGTCATACCTGGGTGAGCTTTTCCTCACTCGCCCCATTCAAATCCCTAGTAAAGGCAATTCGGTACGCCGATTCATCATTGACAAACGACACATCTGCCCCCGGAACTGGCACCGATGGCTCGACGTCGAAGAAAGACTTGATTCCAGAAGCAGACCCTGGCTGAGAGAGTTCCTGCAAAAATCCTGGGGCAATGGTGATGTGATCCACGCCAGCCAAAGCAAAGATCTCATCTGTCGAGGTCAAACTAGCCGGCAAGACCTGAGTCTTGGTCTTGATGGACTCGTAGTACTTTTGGATCGAGACGCAGAGAGGGATGAGCTTGTTGGGATCTTTGAATCTGGTGGCTGTTAGCACATATGCCCATTTACCGTCCCTCATCAACCTACCCTAGCTCAAAGTGAACCTTGAGTTGATTCACATATGGCGCGATATAGGTGCAACCAACTTCGGCTGCAAGAACCGCCTGTGTCATGGTGAACAGGGTCGTAGCCAACGTCCGCACCCCAGCCTGTTCGAGTGTCCGACAAGCCATTATTCCTTCCCATGTACTAGGGATCTTGATGCAGATCCGAGACTGCTCGAAACCAGGTTGGAGGTATTGGAAGAGTTGCACGATTCCTAAAACAGCAAGTCAGCCATCTATTCACCAACCTGACAGTTCAGCCAAACAGGTACTGCCACATACTCAGAGCATTCACAATCGTCTTCTCCGTAGAGTAAGAATAGTACGGGTTCGTCTGGATATGAACATGTCCATGGATATGCGGGGAGATCTTCAGAGCTAACTTCACCATCGCAATCTCGATCGCCAACTCCTCCACACTGACTCCAGGGAATCGCGGAAGAAGATCCTTTGCCAGTACCACAGAGTCCTTGACCAGCCCAGCATTTGTCGGCTTGGACAATTCCCCTGCTGCGATAGCCTATTTTTACTGTTAGTCTTTGTCCAACATAATCATATCTAGATAAAACCCACCTGGTTGGAGGTACAATCCTGGAACGGACCAAGTGTTTTGGCAACTAAACAATCAGCTCTATTCTCTATCCCTTCTCAAGAAACCCACCCTCATCATCCAAGGTATCGCAATCAACAATCGTCCGCGTGCGGAGAAGATCCAGCCCAGTTTGGCCCGTCATGGTTATATCACTAGACAGATTTCACAATATGAAGAAGTTGAGCCGACGAGTAGATGCGATAGTCAGTTTCAAGGGTGTGTTGAAAGAGAGAGAGTAAGACAGGATAAATATCGGCTGTCCTTTTCCCCTCGTCATACAACAAACATGACATTCCCCTCGTCTGAAAAGGGAAAGTTACCCGATTTCTGGCGATTGTCATTTGGCCTGAAGAGAGCTATGTCATTCTTTCTAGATATTCTTATCTCAATTAAACTATTTACATCAGAGGATAGCTACTTGATATTGATTGGAACTGCCATGAGGATCTTTAATATGACATTCATCTTATTCTCGATAGCTGACAATATTGAAGAATTGCTTCTTTGAGTAACAATAAGCCCAACTAATAGCCTCAAGCCACCATCAGCCAACCTTGTCTGTCTCTCCAGTTCTCTGTCTACTCCAACTTCGTGATAACACTCACCAATAGCATAATAAGTCTGTACATCTCCACTCTACTCCGCTGATCGATTAGGGCTTCATTACTCTCTCAGTTCAGCTCACGGTATATAACACAGCTGTTGGCCTAAACAACACACACATCTATATCCATGCTTGTCTTATGTTCACTGCTATAGTTACCGCATCCAGTAAGGCGAACCGCTGGCATCACGGAACACTCTACTCCGAGTGCCTCGAATGCGTATACAATAGTCCAGTGAATTGTTCTCCAGCTCGTGGATATTATTCTCAGAGATAACAAGACTAGCAACACTTGCATACCTAGCAACAAACCAACCCGAAGGGGAATATATTCGCTGTACTCTAAACCTATAAACGCCATCTCATGCACTCTTCCTTTTAACTATACGTAAGGTATCTGGTATATCCCATGTCATCTATTTCTGACTGGCCAACCAAGTCTCGTGGAGCTTCTTTTGTCTCTCCCAGTCCTTGCGGATCTTCTTCGATCGGCTCTTGGCGATCTCCTCGCCAGCCGCATCGCGGGTGGGAAGACCGTCCTGGTCCCACGCGCTGTATTCGTTTGTCCGGAACATTTCCAGATGGCTCAGTTTGCCCTTCTCCAGCCTCTCCAAGGCTTCTCTTTCCTTCTTCTCCTTTTCGGCCTGCTTTTGGAGTGCCTTCGCGGCCTTTTCTTCCCGGGCCTGGATCAGTTCTCGGGTCACAGGGCGGATAAGGGCGGGCTGGCTGTCACGGTCCTCGAGGTAGATACCGACATCAAACAGGTCAATGTCTCGCACCTTGTCACAGAGTGACAGAATCTCCTTGCCGATGTTGTCGGACTGGTCAAGGGAGGTCACCTTGGTGCGGAAGTCCGACAAAACAGTGGCATACGGCTTAGCAGACTCCGGAACTTCCTCTGGCGCAGACCCGCTTGCGATGATCTTGGCGACCTCTTCGGAAGAAACTCCAGTCGATGACCGAGCAGCTTGGCGGAGGGAATCACGGATGGTAGAAAGGGGGTACAAGAAGGCTCTAGCCTCTTCCGGGATATCAATACCGGACCAGCCAATCTCCTTGCTGTCTGCAGTGGCAGTGCCATTGAGACCGAAGGTGTTGACAATTGAGGTCACAAACTGAGCAGTAGCCTCGACATCCTTCGGGTTCAGCGTCGATTTATCGGCGCTGTTGTACTTGGAAATAAGATCCGAGATGGTGTACATTGCACCCGATGTGTTGAATGAGTCGCAAAGGTTTTCATGAACAGTGTTCTTGGCTGCCTCCAAAGCAGCACCAAGAGAGCTGTCCGCACCAGAACCTTGCAGGGCGGCGGGATCCTTCACCTTGATGAAAAAGTTGTTGACCTTGTCTTCCCAAGAGTTTCCGGCGTTGACGAGATCCTCTGTGATCTCAACACCGTCTTTCCAGCCACCAAGCAAGAACACAATACGCAGGCTGCGTGGTGTCCACTCCTTCCTCTCCAACGCCTCGCGAACGGTGGTGAAGTTCTTCAAAGACTTTGACATCTTGGATCCCTGAATAGACAAATGGCCCATGTGCAAGAAGTAGTTAACCCACTGGTCGTGAGAATGAGCATGGTCATGATTGTGAACGTGAGCCCAGTATGCTTCACTTTGAGCGAGTTCGTTATCGTGGTGAGGGAAAGCCAAGTCAATTCCACCAGAGTGGATATCCATCTGCTGGCCCAGTCTAGCAGATGCCATAGCAGAGCACTCAATGTGCCATCCTGGTCGTCCCTTGCCCCAAGAGCTCGACCAGCTTGGCTCACCTGGCTTCGAGGACTTCCACAGTGCAAAGTCGGATTTGGAACGCTTGTCGGTGGTCTTACTGGCGAGGGAGCCCTCACCTTCTGCGAGCAGTTTGTTATCAGATCGGCTCCAGGGTTCGAGTCGTGCGTAGGGGTATCCGGCGGCCTCGAAAGCGCTAATGTCAAAGTAGACAGATCCATCGTCGGTAACGTAGCCGAACTTGTTTTCGACGATCTTCTCCACAAAGTTGGCGATCTCCGTTCCGTATTCGGTCACTCTGGTCAACTCATCGGGGTCGAGAACATTAAGATCTCGCATATCTCTCAAAAACCGCTCCTCGTATTTCTTCGTCAACTTGGTGAAGATTCCGTGGTCGTCGGCATCGATCGAAGATCCCTTAAGCGAATCGAGGTACGGCAGGAGAAGGTCCTGAGCGTCTGTGTAGAACGTCTCCGCAAAGCCTGTTGCTTCCGCTGCCGAGCCTTCGGCCTGCGCAATCACATTCGCCGCCGAGGCCGCGGTCTTGATGTGCATCTTCACCTTCGCTTCATCATCGCCCGCCTTCTCATTACCCGGTAGGGCTCCACCGTTAAGCACGACTGCGTAGGTCTTCTCCACGGCATCCTTGTACTGGGCTGGAGGAAGATCAGGGTCCAACAACGATAGGTTCTTCTTCAGGTATGCCGTGTATGCTTTCTTGGCGACGTCCAAAACCTCCGCGTTGATCGTAGGGTGACTGGATGCAAATTCGGTGAAGAGATGCTGCTGACGTGCTCGGAGAATAATCTAAACAATGACCTTTCTTAGCATTCTCCACCACCAAACCCCATCAACAAAAGACCATACCTTATCATCCACATCCGTAATATTCATCACAAAGTTGACATCGAATTTGAAGTAGTCGCGCATGATACGGCGAATGATATCGGTGCTGACATAGTTTCGAGCATGGCCCAAATGCGCATCGTCGTACACAGTCGGCCCACAGGCGTACCAGGTGACTTTCTTTCCCTCGGGATCAATTGGAACAAACTGGTTCTTGGATCGCGTCAAGGAGTTGTAGACCTTCAAGGGAGGCAGGTTGGAACCAGTGTTCGGCTGCCGCCAGGGCGGCTGCTGGCGCGCGGTGGCCATGGACCTGGAATAGATAAACAGAGGGGAAAACAAAGACAGACGCTGTTTCGACAGACAGTTCCGAGAGGAGATGAGGAGCGAAACGCGATGGAAGGAGAGGGGCATAAAGGAAGAAGAAGGAGAGGTCAGCGGAGGAGAATGCAGGGAGCAACTAAATGGAGGGGGAGGGGCTCAAGGGCAACAACCAGCAAGTCACGGTCTCTGTATGACTCCGGCGAAAAGCCAGAATGGGCCAATGGAGGAAAAGGCCAACGGCGGCTGACCGCGCCCTAAGCCCTAAGCCCTAAGTGGTCTTAGTCCGGTCTAGATCGGAGGATCTCCAAGCTTTGATTCTGCGACAAGAAAGAGGAAGAACGATCAAGAGCTTCACCTGGAGCTTGGAGGACGTTGCGGGATAATTACAATTGATAGGATTCTTTCCTTGGCCATCCCCATCCAGACACAATGCCTTCTCCCTTCCTAACTCCCGGTTCGCGGTCGCAAGCGGACAGTCTTGCTCTTCTCCATCTCCGCAGAGATAATACCATCCCGGCCATCCTCCAGCTTCACGATGAGCAAAACCTAGGCTACAAGGAGGGCAAGGTCACAAACACCCGTTTCGGATCGTTCCCGCATAGTACCCTTCTCGACCAGCCTTGGGGCTCGCAACTCATCGCCTCCAAGGTCGACACTGGATCTCGGGGTCGCAAACCGCAGCAGTTGAAGCGCAAGGCAGACGACTTGGATTCCGCCACTCCGACCGAGAACGACGGACGACCTTCCCCCAAAGCTCCCGTCGCAGCATCCAGTGGCTTCCTTCATCTCTTGTATCCAACTCCCGAAACATGGACTGCATCGCTCCCCCACCGGACGCAGGTCGTCTACACACCAGACTACAGTTATATCCTCCACAGGTTACGCGCACGACCAGGAAATACGATCATCGAGGCAGGCGCCGGAAGTGGCTCGTTCACACACGCATCGGTCCGTGCTGTGTTTAATGGATACCCCGCGGAGGCAACACCGACGAAGAAGCGACGATTGGGCAAGGTCTGCAGTTTTGAATTCCACGCACAGCGCGCGCAAAGGATTCGGGATGAGGTTCACCAGCATGGATTGGACGGACTTGTCGAAGTGACACATCGTGATGTTTACGGAGACGGCTTTCTCCTGGGCGACCCTCAGACTGGTGCCTCCCCTAAAGCCAACGCAGTCTTCCTCGATCTGCCTGCCCCGTGGCTCGCCCTGAAACATCTCGTCCGCAACCCACCCTCGGGCGCTGAATCGCCTCTCGACCCCAATGCCCCCGTGTATCTCTGCACATTCTCCCCATGCATGGAACAAGTGCAACGAACAATCAGCGCAATGCGCCAACTGGGCTGGATCAACATATCAATGGTGGAAGTAAACCATCATAAAATCGAAGTGAAACGGGAACGAGTCGGACTTGACGCCGAAGGCGTCCGCGGGGCAATGGTATTCCCCAAATCGGTTGAGGAAGCCGTTGGCAAGATGCGCGCCCTCGAAGAACGCTCAAGAAAGTTCCGCGAACTGCAACAAAATGAAGGCGACGACGCAGTATTACCCGAGGAATCAAATGCAGAGAATGAGAATGCCGCTGCTTCATCATCCGACAAGTCGATCCCATCGCACGATCTAGGTCGCATCGTACATCGGACCGAGTCAGATCTGAAGACACACACTTCATACCTTGTTTTCGCTATTCTGCCCAGAGAATGGTCCGAGGAAGAGGAAAAGAAGTGTCAGGAAGCATGGCCTGCCACCGCTGTTGGGGCTGCACAGAAACAAAAGAGCAAGAAACAAATGAAGCGTGATCAGAAGGAGCGACGACAGCAGGACGAGCAAGAAGAAAAGCAGAACACTGCCTAGAATGACCAATCATAATCTCAGTAGAGGAATTTGGTTAGTTTTTAATTTGTATAGTCATGAGGATCTGGTCGTATGCTGCAAAACGGCGCTGTTTCAATATGTAAGAATCAAAAAGGTTGTCACTGTCTCCAGAAGAATTTTAAACATCAAAAGGCTTCTGATTTAAATCACCGTCTTCTCATCATGACATAAATGCAAATATGTGTCTATGTACAATAAAATGTATGGATATTCTTCAATAAAAAAGAAGTAAACGATTCGAGAGAAAGGGTGCCCAGTAATAACCCAATGAGGTCAGGATAATACTGGGCCATGAACTGCAAAACATGCCAAAAGGGGCGCTAACAAGAAAATGATTCGCCAGAAATGATAGAAGGCCAGGATGGACCGTCAGAGGTTGTTTTCCTTCTTAAACTTGTCCCATGCTTCGTTGAGGGTGCTGAACACTGAACTTGCAATCATGCGTTGTTCGGTGGTGGCATTACTAGGGATCTGGTGCGATGTCAGCAACGGATGCTTTTAGTAGATAAGTAAATATTTATTAATACATACCTTGTCAGGATGCACCTTGCCGATGCCCTTCATATACTGAATCTTGACCTTGTTGGGCATGATCAGTTCCGACATGTTGACCTTCTTCCATCCTGCTTCGGGCCATAGGACATTGTCCAGACTGCCCAGGAGCGCCCGCAGGTTGTCCTGTTTGCCGCCCTTCCAAGCTGCCAGTCGTGCATCCACGGCTTCAATGAGAGCAACTCTTTCCTCATCAGCACGATCGGCCGCTTGGTTGGCTGCGCGCAGTCGGCCGACAGCCTCGGAGTTGCCAGAAGGCGCACTGCTACCACCAAGATCAGCCAGAGCAGATTGTTTCTTGGGTGCAGGAGCAGCTGGCTTCCTCGCTGGAGCTGAAGGCTTCGGTGCGGGTTTGCTGATACCAGCAGCCTTCTCGCATCGATTGCGGCCTTGAATACTTGTGCTACCACCGTGGCCTGCTTCAACTGCTTGCCGCCACACCTTCGCGGCATCTCCCCAGCGCTCCAGTTGCTCCAGAGCTTCGGCCTTGCGCATCAGGGCTTTACCGAAAGAGTCCCTCATGGGTTTGGCGGATTCACCGTTGCCCAGATCAATCGTTTCCGACTCTCCCTTTGAAGGTCCGATTATATCCAATGCTGTGTCTGCATCACTGATTGCTGATTTGGGCTCACCAGTCTTCAGCCCCGTCATGGCGCGATTGGTGAGGATCAAGATATTGATGGGGTGCTTGTCAGGAAGCATGGCAAGTGCAGCTGTGAATGATTCATGAGCAGCCGCATAATCTCCCCGTTTGTAAGCGTCTGCTCCTTTCTCCCGGTGTCGATGAGTGGAAGTGAGAGCTTCTGAGGATGCTGGAGGCACTGCTCTAGGGGGTGCCTTGGGGCGCGTTGGCAAGGGTGTAGCAGGTTTAGATGATCGTGAAGGTAAGGGTTTCGCTGGCGATGGTGAAGGCCTTGGTCGATCAACCGGTGGTGGGGCGGGAGAATCGAACAAATCAACAGCTGGTTCCGGAGCGGGTGGTTGAGGAGTAGGTCGCTTCCTTCTGGCGGGACTAACATACGCTTGTGCTGTCTGCTCTTCCACTGCAGTCTTGGTCACGCGAGATCGAGGGTCGCGTGTTTCGGTTCTTGTCTGCACCTTCTGCTGCATGAAAGCAGGCTGCTGCATACGTCTTTCAGGTGCTGGAGAGGGTTGTTTTCTGAAGTCATCACTACTGGCGCCAGCCCGCATTTCATCATTCTGGTGGTAGGGGTTGCGAGACCGGCGTGAAGGGGGAGGAGCGGGGGCGCCTGTTTCGAGAAGAAGAGCCTCGTCTGTGAACCCTTCGGGCTTTGCTTGAGGAGTGGGACGCTGGTGGTCTCTGGAGCGTGGCTGCGGGCGTGGCTCCTCGTGGTCAGGAGCATCCCTCAGCCATCGAGGTTGATTGGGATCATGCTCGGTATTAAATTCGTTAACCACCTGTTGCATCTTCTTACTGCCGGTCTTCCATAAGGAGTTTGCTGTCTTCAAAAAGTTGTTGCCAAACTGAGAAGCAACCTGCGCCGGATCTTTACCGGCTGGACTCCGTTGGTCACTGCGACTTCTCGATGCATTGGATCTCTCCTCTCTCATCCACGGGGGAACCTCTCGGCCTGGCCTTTCACTGCGTTCTCTGCCCCGCTCCTGGCGATCCGCATAATGGTCATCAACCGTTTGTCTGCCTTGGGATTTCTGCCGAGATTCTTGATGCGCTTGTGTAAGGAGCCAGCCAACAGCAGCTTGAACGTCCGTTCCCGAAGCTGTCCTGCTTAGCGCATGGGCGGCTTTGTCCGCAGGAAATCCCATATCGACAAGCTCCGCCACCGCGCGGTCGACGTCATTTGATGGCTTTGGAGGTGGCTTAGGAGATGGTTCACGTTCTTCGCGAGGGGATGCGCTAGGAGGATTTGCCGGTGGTTCTGAGCGCGCGAATTCGGAGACAGGCTTTGAAAGCAGACCAAGAAAGTCATCATCATCATTCTGGACTGGCTGGGGCGCCGGAGTTGATTTTGGTTTCAACTGAGCTAAGCCAAATGGGTCGTCATCGTCAGGGAATGCATCGGCCCCTTGGCCCATTGAACCAGCACCGTTAGACGTAGACTGGAACGGAGGTGCGTTAGTTCGAGGCGATGGGCTGGGCTTGGGAACCGGGAAGTGACTTGACGCATCCACTGGGGCCTCGGCGTTGAATGCGGCGAGAAGGTCATCTTCATCTGGAGATTGCACCCTTTGTGCGGCCGGTCCTGGACCAGCGAAAGCATGCTGTTTGGAACCTCCTTTCTCTAAGCTATCCCAGAACTGACTGTTCTGCGAACCATACTGCGCCTCATACCGTGTCCTGTTCTCCGCTTCCTTTCTGGCTCTCTCCTCCTGTAACTTCTTCTGCTGCTCGATGAGGGACAGGTTCTTGTTGCTGGAATTGGATGGACCGAATGAGACCAAGTTTGCAAAACTGTCGTTGGCCGGAGTTGCCGACTTTGAGGGCGGGTTGGAAGGACCAGAAGAGCCGGAAAGGGGGGTACTAGATCGACCGGAGGGGATGGAATCATTGCGCCGCACACTGGGGAACAATAGACCTGAGCTCATGGGGGGAGGTTTGTTGGCATTATTGGACGAGTCGGGGGTCCAACTCAGGCCGTTCAAGTCATCCATTGCGATTCAATAATATTGAAGAGGTTGTAAGCAGATGATGTCTGGAGGGATCGATTAGGAATGAGATGGTAGAGGGAGTGGGCCATGATCTGGTCTCACCATCAACTGCCACGGGGCAGGAAAGGATCGACGTGTCTGAAGGAAATAGATAGAGAAGAGTTAACTCATGAATAGATCATCAGAACTCAGTCAATGAGCAGCCATTTTCAACGTCAAAATAACCAACTTTCGATTGAAGATGGTGTTACTATCCAATTCCCCCCTGGAGATCGAGACCGCGACCGTCATTGCGTGGCTGAACGGGGCTGACAGCTGTGGCTGGTGAGGTTGGAACGTGACTGCGGAAAATTCATCACGTGTGGTCTATAACCTAGGCGGATCAACATCTCTAGATTACTTTAGATTCACTTTAGCTGCAGGTTTCGACGGCCTTCCTTCGATCTGTCTCACTTCACTACTAGATGGATTTTCTCGGCCGGCGTAATGATTCACGGCAGTCTCTATTCCTGACAATGTCTCCACAATTCTCTTCACATTGTTTTTGATACTTACTGCTAACTGCTCAAGACTGTCGACCAAGGTCTTTCGCGCCTTTGCCACCACCCACAGCACACTGCATATGTTTTCATCAATTCTTGCCTGAATATCGCCTTATTGGGCTATGATCTACAGCGTCTACAGGAGTTTATGCAGTGCGACTCACCGGGAGTGGCATGATAAAGCCAATACGCACCGAGTCGGTTAAGCGAAGAGGGTTCATAGCGGCTTCTCTGCCATCTTGACTCAGTTCTCACGCACTTCTGGTTGAATATCATCCATCACATCTGATAACGAGTAGTGCTGCACGCAGTGTTGATGTCGACATGCCACAACGCCAGCAGTACTTTCATAACAAGCACAGCATCGTCTGGCGAGTAGCCACTTCATGAAGCAATGGACTTGAATTATTGAAAGGATTGCAATGAACAGACATACTTTCATATCACGGACTTCTCCGTGATGTAATGACAACAACTTGAAGGCCAATGTTCAGGCATTGGCCGAAGCCAAGCTAGAAGGATGATATCCTTGTCCGGAATTGCAATCGCACAAATCGGATAAACCTATATCCTGGGACAGTGGCTACGATGCTCTGAGCCTGAGGATGGGGATATACATGAAACAAACCTTCCGTTGAAGAATATCCATGGTTCAGAGTTCAAACAAGTCGTCATGGACCGTGTGCTCCAAGTCAACGCTCATGAAGAAACAAGATTTAAAGCAAAGGCTAGTTGGGCACCATTTAGACTCTACTGTCTCAGGTTTCAAATATGGTCAGGGGTTTAGAAGCTAAAGAGTGGCTTAATCTCTCGGAGGATAACGGATTATGGGATAATAGCATCAGGACTTAGTAGTAAATAGATTACCGTCGTTGGGTGTGAATTTCATGTCGGCTACCACTACCGGCCAGGTACCAGCTACTTAGTGGAATAACCTCGTACTCGACAGATTTCGGTGAATTTAGAATGCTAGAATGTTCGCAATCATCCTTCAATCCTTCCATCTTATTATATGTTCAGAATACTACCTGCACTGTAACACTGTAATACACTGCCGTACAATACCCGTGGAGCGCGCAAAGACCACGTCCCCGCTTTAATTCTCGGGGCAATCGAGCCGCGCGGTAGCAGCGAACTAAACCGAGAACCGCCAGTGAGCAGCAGCCCCTAAAAACCCTTAATCGTGAAACCACGGCGACCCAGCAGTGTGGCCACGACCGTGTCTCCCGTACTGTCCTTTGCGCTGGGTTTTGCCGATGTCAAAGTGGAGAGAGAAAGAGGAGTCAGTATGTTATTAGTTATTGTGTATCCAATTTTATCTCGCTTGTTGGGCAAAGATGCACTATATGTCATACAAGATATGCAAGGTAGGATCATGAGATCATGAATGCAGGTCGCAGGATCCATCGATTGAACGACTGGGCATTTGACAAGGGGTGCGGATGCAGCATACACTAGGAATGGAAGTGCGAGCAGAATAGTAAGGAACTAGATACTTCTCGACCCAACAAAGAAAACGACACGTTGACCGGGAGTCGACCGGTTGGATCGCATAGGAGCACCTCTCGAAATAGAAGACGTGTGCAGATGTTGACATGCTCGAGGTGTACCGTGCTCCATTAGGGCGATGATCACTCGGAAATGGACAACCAGCCACCAGGGGGAAGTTTTTCTGTAGTCTGTACTGTGTGGTCTACAATGTACATCCTGTTCCTGGCACTGTTTTCCCCCTTGAGACCATACCAACCAGTTTGCTGCGGTGCCTCCATTGTATGATACACACTCACACAATCACAATAATAATGTTCACAACCTACACAATGGATTGTAGTATTATCAGATAATGTGCCTTGCAGCATCACCATTAATAATACTGTAAAATACCATCCGGACCGCCCGAAAATCTAGATCCGCTCTTCTGGGGGGGAAGCAGGCGGAAATATGCGTCCGTGCTTTTGCTGCTTGGATCGACCTAACCATCCCCTCTCGCTAACTTGCCCTAATCCTTTATATTATTATTACCTTACAGAGTACTACCTTACTATTATTATTACTTGCTATTATTATTATTGAGCAAATAGACTGTTGAACAACAAATACCGAGTACAGTATCGTACAGATCGTGGGGCATCTCCCCTTTGAGGCATGCATTCGATATGAACTAACTGCTGCTTAACCTCGACCAGAGCCCATCCTTTTTCCCCCCTAGAAACAATCCCAAAAGCTCCCCCCACTTTGATTGACGCTCTGTTTTCTCTCCTTTTTTTTTCTTTTTCTGCTTTTCTTCCGGTGGGAAACTTTCATTAATTCTTGCACTGGCACTGGATGACTTTCCCTCTCCCACTTTCCGTACCCATAAAAACCTACGCCTACGCCTATATCCATCCAGAGTCACCGACCGCCCCGCTTCGTTCGGTATTATGTATCGTTGCTGTGATTATTTCTGGGTTAGTAGTAATTCTCTAGTCGGCTTCTTTTATTTGGCCTCAAGTGGGAAAAAAAAAAAAAGAAAAGAAAAAAAGTCCAACTTAGCGCCTAGAATGCAGTAGTAGATCATCATCTTCTTTATGTATTATTTGCCTCCTCTTTTTCCCCTCCTCCTGGTAACATTCCATCTCGTGCTTCCGCCCTTTTAGCAGACAATCCTCCGTGTGACTACGACTCTATTTCTCTTCTACTACTACTGCGACTATCCTTCTCCTCTTTCTTAGTCGCAAACTTCCTCTCCCTCTCGTTGGATTGGGTACTTCTCCCTTGTCTTCCCCTCCCCCTCCTCTCTCTCTCTCCCCCATCCACACTCCCTCTTCTTCGACATGGGTCTTTTCAAGCGCAAGGACTCTAAAAACTCCATTCAGAGCGACAAGGAAGAGCAAGAGTCCTTTGCCTCCAACAGTGCTCGCACTTCAAATGCATCGCTGAGATCCCCCGGTTTCAAAGGGAGTGGGCTTCCCGCCTCCATCCCAGAGCTCCCCATTGCCAAACCCCCCGATCCGGCACTGGACCCGGCCGCCTACCTTCGAAGCATCCACGCCGTCCGGGACAGGGCCAATTACATTCTAGTCAAGGCAAAGAGGAACAAATTGAACCATTTCGATGTGGACATGACCAAGTTCGCAGTAACCGCTTCCTACATCGTGTCCATTATCAAGGTGAGTGAATCGAACCGAACCTGCCTCTTATCATGTGATGTAGCTTGACCCTGACTGGATCCTCCTTTGTGAAGAGAGATTACGCTCCGGAATACGAATCTATCCCTCCCCATGGCCGTTGGCAACACTTTGACGTCGGTGGCCGACCCCGAGTCAACCAGCTTCTGCAATCCTGGCCGAGTACGATCGACGCGCAAGAACGAACCCGCCGGCTGATTGACCTGTTCGTCGTCTCGGTATTACTCGATGCTGGTGCGGGCACCAAGTGGTCCTACAAGTCGAAGGAGTCTGGCAAGGTCTATTCGCGGAGTGAAGGGTTGGCCGTCGCTGCCCTGGAGATGTTCAAGAGCGGCCTTTTCAGCAGTGATCCCACAGAACCCTGCCAGGTGGATGGTGCCGGACTCAAGAAAATCACGGTGGATGTATTGGCAAAGGGAATGCAGCACTCGGAGCAGAACCAGCTGGCGGGTCTGGAAGGCCGTGCGGGTCTACTGATTCGACTATCGGACGCATTGAACAACCAGGACTTCTTCGGAGTGGATGCCAGACCAGGGAACATGCTCGGTAAGCTCGACAATGAATGGCTCGATTTTTTTCTATTCGCAGCCTCGCTAACCATGACTCATTTACCAGACTATCTTCTTTCGCACCCATCGACCTTGGCTTCGTCCGTGCCCATCGTTCCGATCACCACACTGTGGTCCGTTCTTATGGATGGTTTGGCCGGGATCTGGCCGCCTTCTCGCACGCAGATTGACGGTGTGTCGATAGGAGACGCTTGGGTCTGCTCTAGCATGCCCCAATCTCCTCCTGGGCAGCCTTGGGAGAGCATTGTTCCGTTCCACAAGCTCACACAGTGGCTGTGCTACTCCATCATGGTCCCAATGTCGAAATTGATGAATATCCACTTTGCAGGCAGCGATCTGCTGACCGGTCTTCCCGAGTACCGAAATGGCGGTCTTCTGATCGATATGGGGCTCTTGACGCTCAAGGAGGACGATTTGAAGCGCGGCATTGAAGGCTACAAGGAGAACGCACAGATCAAGGGGCAACCCAACGTGGAGGTCGTACCACTTTTCAATGCAGATGACGATGTGATCGTCGAGTGGCGAGCCGCCACCGTGGGTTTCCTGGACGAACTCCTCGATGAGGTGAACGGCCAACTGGGTCTGAGAGGAGAAGACCAATTGACTTTGCCACAGATGCTTGAAGCTGGCTCGTGGAAGGTATGCTGGACTGTTTAGACTGTCTATACTGCTTATGCTAATATGTTCCAGGGTGGCCGTGAGATTGCAGAGGTTTCGAGACCAAACACCAAAGAACCCCCGATCATGATTCGCTCCGATGGTACTGTATTTTAATATTGCATCCTTTGTCGATTCTCGAATACCAGATCACGCCAGCCTTACGCTTATATTCTCTCCCCGGGTGGCGATGGTCTTTTATGACTGCTTGATGACCAGACGTTTTGTCCTTCTACTACCGTTCTTCCTTCTCTTCTTCTCTTCCCCTTTTATCGTCTCTTGGGGAACGTTTATATATCCCGTTTATTCCTTTTTGTGTAGAGTCGTTTTGACGACGTCATGACATGTCTTTTTGTATTCTTTCCAACACAGAAAAGGAGGGAAAACACTGATGATTAGTACTGTTTTGTCTGAAACATAGGTAAAGGAGCATTGCGAACTTCAATTAGAGCCCAATATTAATATTGTGCATATTGGAATTTGATTTATGATTGTTTGGTTAGGAAATTATTTCCTGCGCCTCATTTTGACAGGAAGACGTTATTAGGGGTTGGACTAGTGTTTGTGGCTGCGTGTGGCTTGGTGTACTACTGCTAAGCGTTCCAAGCTCTTGATAATATCCCAGCATCATCATCTGGATGCTTGTTCAATAATTCTCCTATATTCATCATCACCACCACCACCATAAACACACCTTCACGCCCTCCAACACACCCATTTTATTCGCTTCTCCTCGCCTGATTTGTTCGGTTCTCCCCCGAAAGTTAAGAGAGTATAGAACTCTGTTTTAAGGTTTCTGCTCAGCTCGCGGCTGTGCAGCTGTAGATCTCTGCCTTCAACGGAAGTGTGACTTTGGCCCTAAAGGCTATCATACGTACCCCGAAGGACTGAGCATATACCCCAGTGGGGACTGCAAAGTAAATACCTTATGAATTGGAGAAGGCAGCTGTCCGGTAAGAGGATACATACAGCTGTGTATTGTCATCGAGGTCCTGCCTAGCCCTTGAGCATCGGTGCCTTTTTGACCATCATATATTATGTACCTTTGCTTCAGCCTCCTCTACCAACCATATACCCTGATTTACCAACAGCTTTCCAACGTTTATTTTAAAATGATCGTCTCTATGTTTTCGTGACATCATCGGATTTCCCTTTCCGGCCACTGACATCTCACATCACATGACCACGGAACATCATTCCTCCGCTATGATCCGCCGGTTCGTTATTGTTGAGGCTGGGTCAGTCATCCTCGCGCAGATGTTACATACGATGGAAGACACCTGACACACTCCATTCCCATTGCTCCATTCCACGGGCTCTTCTCTTTCCCTGAAAAACAAGTACAGGTTGTAAAACGACGCAAGACGCAAAAAACCAAACCCGTCCAGTGCCCCAATTCCAGTCTCCCATTTTAGCTATCTAAAGCAACCCGCAACCCGCAGTCGCGGGGTTAGTTTTACCCCATAGTCCGGACCATCTGTTCTATCTGCCTCCCCAACCCAACGAAAGAAAGAAAGACCTCCATGATGGATCATCGAAAAAAGAAGAGAAAGGTGCTTCTTATGGGGAAGAGTGGCTCGGGCAAGTCGTCGATGCGCTCGATTATATTTAGCAATTATGTGGCTAAGGATGTACGGCGGTTGGGAGCTACAATTGACGTCGAGCATAGCCATGTCAAGTTCATGGGCAATCTGACGCTGAATCTTTGGGATTGTGGAGGGTGAGTCTTGTCTTGTCTTGTTTGCCTTTTCTGGCTGTAGGTTTTGGTGCTGATAAGGCGGTTGGTTGAATACAGGCAAGATGCATTTATGGAAACATATCTCGCTTCGCAGCGAGGGAATATCTTTTCGGATGTTGCGGTGCTTATCTACGTCTTCGATATCGAGTCCCGGGAGGTCGACCGAGACCTTGACACTTACACCGCTATCATCGATGCTTTGAGAGAGAACAGTCCGCACGCTAATGTCTTCTGTCTCGTGCACAAATTGGATCTGATCCAGGCTGAGCACCGCCAACGGATTTACGAGGAGAGATCGGCCCTGATACGCAGTCGCTCGGACCATTTCGCGATAGACACCTTTGGAAGTAGTATCTGGGATCAATCTCTGTACAAGGCATGGGCGGGTATCGTGCACCGGCTGATTCCGAACCTGACGGTCATCGAGCGGTTCCTGAGCGCCTTTGCTAAGCGGATCGATGCGGAGGAAGTGATACTCTTTGAGCGGTCGACATTCCTCACCGTGACATCCGTTGCGTCCGAAGTCGGCGACCTGAACCCGATTTACGATCGACACGAACGGCTCTCCAACATCATGAAGGCATTCAAGCACTGCGCCGCCAGAAACACACACACCACCCCGGCAACCGCCGGCTTCCTCGTCATGCACACCAAAACCCCGCAGTTCAACGTCTTCCTCGGCCGTTTCACCGATAACACATACATCTTCATGGTTGTGCCTCCTGGGGAGGCAGCATACAACTGCGCCGTGATGAACACCATGCTGGCCAGAGAGGGCTTCTCCAAAGCAGCAGCGGCAGGATACGGGGACGGCTTTCCACTTCCCGCACCGGAAACCCCAGACGGACATGTCTGAGCGGTCCAATAAGACATGCAAGGCATGTCCAAAGTCATACCAACACAACAAAACCATGGCTACAGCTTACCAACGTGCTTCCCCCATGATGACGCCCGTTTCCGGTTCCTACACCCAAAAAACCAACTCACAAGTAATGCTATTTTCCTTTTTAATGAGATACCCAAAATCCAAGCATGGCATTCTACTGCTTTCATGGCGAACCACAGCCGCCCTCCCTCATTTTCTTCATGGATCTATCTGATGTGTCGATGACGTTTCTGGTTGATAAATTTGACTCTGTATAATGAATGCATTGCATTACATTACATTTTTACTTCTTTTATCTTTTTGGTCAGTTTGCATGGATGGTGGATGGTTTTTAAATCACTGTGACATGACATACATAATTGTGGCCAGAGGCGGAATATAACAAATGCATTTATGTCTCTTCGGTCATCGGTATCTGTATATTATCCACATAGAATAACAGACTGGATGATTCTGAATATAGTGCAATACGATATGTAGGTCATTTAACATTTTTTCTAACCTATGAACACCATAACATAATCAAATGAAATGAAATAAAATAAAATAAAAATGAGAATGAGAATGCTATATCTGTGTCATCATGCATTCTCGACTATGTCCATTAACTAATATCAAGTTATCAACTGTATACCTATACCCATCGCCTACGTCCGCTCAACCTCTAAAATAGAACCCCCATGCAGCAAGCATTGCCTCGTCTATCATTGTACATCTGGCATACGGACGGCAATATCGCCCGATTGCGTAATGTATCGAACCCAGGGGAGAGAGGGGTATTGCAACTAAGGTGAGGTGAAAGTTAGTCTTTGTTCCTTTTCTGCGTCATGCAGGTGTTTATTTCATGCAGTCTGCATGAAAGATAAATGGATGATGTGCATACCTTAGGCTCAGTAATCTTCAGATACCGCACTTGGATACCAGAGGTGGTGAAGTAGGGGATTTCGAACTTGACGTTGATGGGTCGCTTGGCTTTGCCCTGTCCTGTACCGCCCATGCTACCTCCAAAGCCACCGGTCATACCGCCGCCGTGCTCGTCGTCGCCCTTGACGGATGGCAACCCGAGCTCGGCACGCATGAGGAATTCCTTACCGCCGCCAAACTGCTTGATCTTCCAGATGATTGCGGACTTTTCGGGTGCGTAGTGGACGGTTCCGATGTTGGTGCGGAAACGGGGTGAGTCTGCGTCCTCTGGTACGGGGACGAGGATTTCGACGTTGTTGGCGGTGCTGCGGCGCTTGAATTGTGCTTTGGCCTTTGTGTATTGTTAGTTAGGGATCCGATGTTGGAAGTGCTGTAGCCTACCTTTAACATGTATTCCATCCGAGAACCAGAGTGCGATTCCACCAAACACTCGACCCAAATCAAAGGCTTCACTTGCGTATTCAACCGGTAACTCATAAGCTCGAACTCTCCATCCGGGGGTATAAAGCTGATTGTTCTATCATTTTCAAATCGAGAAAGTCGAACACACTGGTGGAATTTGACGTCCTCCATCTCCACAGACTTCCCTCTTGTGGCGCGACCTGTCGTCTCAAACATGACCTTGTCGTTCAGTCCCAGGCGCAGCTCCGGCATTCCACTCAGGTAGCACTTCATTTTGACGGCGCCCAGGATCTCAGATCGCAGGACGTTTCCAGTCGCGGACACGAGGAGGTTCAGAGATTCGACAACATCAAGGAAGACTTCGTTTTTGCGGTAGCGGATACCTTCACTTCGCCAGGAGACGGCATTGGTGACGGCAATGGGGGGTCGGGCTTGGACCTCAAGCTTGTGTGACTCTTGGGTAATATATCTAGAGTGACAAGGAATCAGCGACGTGACTATAAGCCCCATCCGGCCTTGGACTCACTCTTGCAATATCTTGCTTTCCGTCGTTTGCGGGTAGCCAAAGTCCATCATCTCATCCAGCAATTCATAGATAACGACAAAGTTATCCCGGATACTCTCCTCCTCCAGCACCTTGAAGTATTCGGTGAAGACCTCCACGATCTTGTGGAGGAAGAGTAGTATTTCGGTCGCATTGGTATTTCTCTTGGTCAGGGCGAGGATATAAAGGTTGCTGTGGCGGATATAGAGGTACTATAACGACAACGCATCTTTAGCAAACAGCGCAACAGTCTGATATAACGCGAGGGTAGCCCTGACGGAGGAAAAAGGGGGTAAGACAGCGGGTTGCGGGGAGCGAAAGCGGCGGGGAGGGAGACAGAGCGAGGCCGACCTCAGGCACTCAATTCAACCCAAAGTCGCAAAGACAAAGAACAACATACATTGATTCCTTCATGGGAGAAGCACGGCGGCACGGCGGAACTTTCTTCTTCGGCGTCACTGAGGAGGATGGGGAATTTCTCGACGGCGGACATGGGAATGTCTCCGCGATAGTTGCGGGCCAGAAGGGTCTACACAGCGGTCAGTTTTCGCGGGCCCATCTTTTTCTCTCTGTATTATCCATGGATGCAATTGGAAGCAGACGCATAGAGGCCAGGAAAAGCATACCTTGCCCTTCAGGTCCAGAAAGAAAAGCGCCGACGCCATGGTGTAGAGTAGTTAACGGGGAGAGATGATGATGTGGTGTCAAACGGTCAGGCGAATAATAATGGGGGGGAAGAAGTGGACGGGGTTTCAAGTCTTGATCACCACGCAAACAACAACCAGCATTGCAGCACTCGGTGAATCAGCAAGAAAAAGAAGAAGATGTGCAAAGACGATGAATGAACCGTACAGAATAACGAAGCCGTCGTTGCGTATACACAAGGCGTCTGGCTGCGCTTTGGGGCCCACGAGGAGCGCAACCCACGCCAAGGCCGAAAGGGGACTAGCGCGGATCCGGAAAACCCTTCAAATACTTTTTTTTCCCGCTTCGATTTGAATTTCTTTTCTTCTTTCTTCTTTGTACCAACGCTCCCATTAGACAGTGCAAGACAGCGAACCTAATTGCCTTGTGTGATTGCTGCGGTCTTTTTGACATTCTGTCGATTGACTGTCAGTTTTCCATGGCTGGATTGCGATACAGCGGTGCGAAGACTAGAATTTTGTTCAAGGTCCCATAAGAGCTGGCCGAGTATTTTTCTTACTGTTACTCGGGCGGCGTCAGAGGGACCGCACATTACTATTTTATCATTTATATTTTATTTATATCTCGAGAAAGAATGAAGAGAATCACCTCTGGTGGTATTTATTTATTTAATATCACAGATCTTGACCAAAAGTCGTTGTAAAAGTACATGTACAGTGGATGACAAGATCATCCATCCAGGATTAAACAACACATAACGAGGAAATAAACGCCTTGAAAATGCTCCCTGCGGCCATTTCCCAATCAAAGAAACCCCGACTCTAAGCAATTGTCTTCACGCCCAACGGTGCCAGTATCCGTTCTTGTGCAATCTTGTTGGCAATGTGTCCACCCTTCTCCAGAGAAATAGCCCCGACCACCGCGTACATGGTGTGGGCAAGGACGAGGTCGATTCCGGAGGCCTCGAGGTTGTTGGGCTGTACGGCAATTAGCAAAGAACTGGCACAAGCACTTGTATTCCCAATTGTTCCTACCTTTCTAGGAGCCCATCTCAAGACCTTCTGCAATTCGTATTTCCGTGCCAGCTCGGCAAGCGGCGTCTTGCCAGTCAAGAAGTTCTTGGTGTTGGCGGAGAGATTGTTCAAGCCATCCAAGGCCGGGTGTGTAAAGGCCTTTCGTCCAAACGCATCCTGAGTAAAAGCACCGGCAGAGTTCGTAGTATCCTGGACCAAGGCCAAAGAGGCCTGTAATTGAACGATCCGCTTGCCTATGCAATCGTTAACACCATAACAAAAACAGAAAAACACAGTTGTCATACCCAAAAAGGCCAGACGGTCGTTGAATCCTCTCCGACCCTGATCGAAACTCTTATGCGTCACAGCAAGCCACTTGACTTCCTCCGACAGAAGCTTGTCGCCCTCAGTGCCCAGCATGCGGATGTAGAACTCATCCAATAGTTTCGGGTTGGAGTTGACGGGGAATTCAGGTCTCTTGGAGTTCAATCGCAGACTGAAGGGAGCCTTGGCGCGAGGCGGGGTGTACGACCAGCGAGGCTGCTCTGCATTGTTGGCTGAGGTCTGCTCGTTGGCGTTGGCGTACGGCGTTGATGTTGACAGTCCACGTCGGGGGATGGCTGCGGAGGCAATCGAGGTGGGAGCAGCAAAGGAGCGACAGGTGGAACAGGAGACGGTCCTGGCCGCTCGAGAGGGGATAATTGAAGCCATGGAGAGGGGGGGGAGAACGGAGACGATTCACCTGGCCGGATCTTTCTTTTCCTTTGGACGATTGTCGGAGGTGAAGATGGAGAGAATTCGACATGCGGCGCTAGTCCGAATCGGGATTGCTTGGCATATATCGACAAACAATTACCTCTTATTCAGTTTATAGGAAATAATTTTTTATAATTATGAGGATATTACTGATACTGTCTAAGCTGTCTATTCATGACAGACAAGTACTCAATATTGTACAATATCCATGTTGTCAGTTATATCAGAAGCCACACGGTAACGAAAAGGACTATATAAACACCATACAACGAGAAAATACAACAACCTCGTACAATATCTCAGCTCCTCACACAAACGAGGGAGAGAACCAACCACTTCAACCTCGAGCACCAGCGTAGGCCACTTATGTCCTCCCGGCAAACGGCGCGTACTCGGAAAGAAACACTCGTCTGGCTCTTTGAGTGTATCTGTGATCCTCGGCGATGGTGGATGTCTAGTCGCCCTACCCCAGACGATCTCGGTTTCTGGAACGCCCATGCGGGCGAACATGAGTGTCAGCTTTGTGCTGAATGCACCGACGAGGCTTGCGTGTTCGTATGATGGGATGATCTTGAGCAGCCCGGTTGTTCCCTCGCAGGAGAAGCGGTAGGGGATGCCTTTCAGTCTGGCGATGTCGGTGTCGCCTGCTAGGTGATTGGGCGTGGTTTGGGAGGTTGGTGATGGCGATATATTGGTTTCCGTTGTCGGTGGTGTTGAGGTTGTCGAGGACTTCTTGGGCTGTCTTTTCGAGGGCTTCAAGATTGCTGAATGTGTGTTGTTGGTAGCCTGGGGGTAGACTAACAAGGAGACTGTGGGTTGGCATGGTGGAATGATGTTTATTATTCTTGAATATTCAGTTGTTGTAGATATATGGTAGTGAAGAATAAAGCTATCCATACTTACATTAGTAACAAGGTGAAGGTGTCATGGTGATAACTGTCTACGCTCTATCATATCTTCATTTTCAAAGCAATCTATCACCGTCCTTCTATGAAATCCCCCGATACTAGGGAGTTAGTTATCCATACTTACAAGTTACACCAAGAAAAGAAATAAAATATCACTCTCATAGGAGCACAAAGTTCATACATACATTTTCATCAACACGGCACTCTTTCATGCAGATGTTTGAGGCTATCCCAATTGAAGTATGGTTCTAGATTTTCTTCAGAACATTCTTAATTTCCTGCAAATGCATGTCCAGGGTGTCACCAAGCTAGTATTATTGTACCAGGAACAATTAAAGGCCTGCTACCGGGGCATATTGTAGATCCGTATATCAAAAGAAATAGGCACAATACTACTGTTGCCTTCGGATGTTGGCAGTGCTGTCAAAAGTCGGTCTGTTTCAGGGACTGTTCACCCTTTTTCCGGGGCTGAGCGGAAAAGAAAGGGGGCAAGAATATCTGAAAGAAGAAAGAAAGGAGAGATCTTCATCTTCATATCCGTAACTGCAGATCGGTTGGAGCGTGGGGTTTCTGCGTAACGAACCAATATGGAAGGTAAGATTGGTTGACACGAGGGGTTCAGTCGGTTCTGATCCATATTGTGGAGGTTGTACAGCTTGCTTCTGCAGTAGCAATACCCTTATTTGATATTATTGTTTCTGCAGATTGCAGACTGCAGACCATGTGTTGGAGATATGCTGAAGATAGAGTCAGTAAACTCGATAGAATCGACGGCGAGAAACAAATGACTAAAGCTTGAATTACAGCTCCATCCATGCACATACCTAAGGTCGCTTGCTTCAATTTGATTGCATCCATAGACAGCCCCATTATTGCATCATCTCCCCGTCCCCAGGTTTGCTAGAAAGCGAAGATCAACCCGTGAAGAGCAGATCGGCTCCTTTTCCATCGGGATATATGCTCTAGGGAGAAGATCCCTGCGGTTACCAGCCGCTGGCTGCCTTACCTGCTTTATTTGCGGTATACAACACAATAACTGGCAGGATAAATTATATAGCTACCTGCAGCATCGTATTTGCTGCAGGAATCCGGGGAAGCAACCGCCTTCTCCAGACCGCTTGTGTCACCTGAGCCTGATTCCGCGATTCCCGTTGACCGGGATAGCTATGGCAGAGTGGAGTTGGCACCCTTTCACAATGCAGAAAACGTTCACGCACCCTTCGAGTTCTGTTGGTTTCCTGTGGAGGAAGCTTGGTTGTAATAACGGTGAGGACCACTGTCTGACGTATATACAGTCCCGTTCGGACTCTTGCAGACAACTAGACTGCTCTCCAGATATTGATTGCCGGAAAATGCCACGCATGAGGGCCACGGTTAGAGTATCCGAAGTGTGATATCCACGCGGTCCCTTCCCGTCAACCGGATGTTCACGATGCGGTGTACAACCTGGGGAAAAGACGCACCCTGAAAGCCAAAGCTGCCTGTAAACCCAAGACTATTAAACCAGAAGTCAGTCCATCCATGAATGCCATTCTTTTCATATCCAAGACGAGAAAGACACGCAACAGCCAAATAATTCCAAGATCTACCAACTGACCAAAAGTTTTATCATCTTCACCCATAATTTACCGTTGCCGAAATATCGATCCATCTTCGAAATGGTCTTCAAGCCAAATGAAATGCCCTGCATCACCACCGAGATCATCCCAACGAGCAACGGTTCCGTGCAAGACCCACCATCACCAAGACCATTCCCTCCCAACCCACCTCCAAGTCCTGCTTAATTTCTTTTCACTGCGTCAACTGGTACAATAGGTAAGATCCTATCTTCTTCTGCATTTTCTCTCGCGCGTCTCTTATCGTGCTGTAAGCTTTGTCCCTCCTGTTAACATGAATAGAATGCATCTGAAGCAATTCGATAACCAATCATCAATAGTATAATCAAGGGGAAGGACAAGGATGTACATCATAATAAATGCATTGGGAATGGCGTGGGTTCATTGAATAGAATCACTGCCATGGAGACAATAGAATGATCGTGGGATACTCTCAGATTGATGGGGGAAGCGATAGATGACAGTTTCACGTTTCAGATTGCTAATGTCGAGTTTCGAATTTCAGTTGGAATGACGATAACTAGAACTCCGTCTGGCCATTTTGCTCATTGTAAATTGATAGAGGGTATTTATGACCCTGTTTATGCGACACATCGTACAAAGGAAAAATCACCGCGAAAGATCGATGTCCTTCACCCAACTTTGGATGCAGGTAATCGGAAAATAGGAAAGTGAGCTCAAACATTCGAATCAGCCTTGAATTGACCAAGATAAAGTATATAGCATGAAAACAATTTTAGAAAAAACAAAACTAAAAGGTATGGAGTAATAAGACAATCACAGGCAAGCAAGGATAATCGCGCTGACGGTAGTCAAGCCGACAACAGTCCAGCCAGACTTGATGACCTGCTGGTTGGTAATTCCAGAGCAAGTATCCCACACCAAGTGTCGGATACCGTTCAATGTGTGGTAGACGAAGGGGAAAGCCATGGTTCCCTTGAGAGCGACCTTGGCGGCGATGGGAAGAGCACCGAAAGCAGCGACCAAAGATGCAGAGCCGATGTCCCAGCCCATGAGAGGAGAGGCGAGGTATGCAGTCGAGTAGAGGTAGAGACTGCCAGACAGCAAGATACCAGTGATACGGTGGGAGCTAGAGCCGATCCAGGTGATCTGAGGGCGGTAGATGGAAAGGTGGGGGGAAACAGGGCGGTTCAAACGCTGCTTGGCGAGGATCTTGGTAGGGTCGGGGTCGGTGGTCGATTGAACGGATCTGGTCAATTTGCATTAGCATTGTGTATAGAATGCATGGTGGGAGGCGTTGCATGACGTCGAGGATTGATTGTCGCATGAGTTGATCGCGAAATGCCGTGCCCCCCTCCATAGATCTAGACTAACCTGGTCTGGATGTTCTTTCCCATAGCGACGGCCGCAGGAGAGGCGGTCTTCATCATGGACCACTGCGCGGCATAGGGCTGCTGGACGGCGACTGCGACAAGAAGCACACACGGTCAGTTTCAGTGCCATAAGATCAAGACCCGAATCCGGCAGGGCAAGGGAAGTACATACGCCGTCGCAGCGACTGCTGAGCAACTTTCTGGGAGAACATTGTGAATCGATGAGACCCTGTCGGCGGTGCAAAAGGATATCAAAAGATCAATCAGACAAGAGGTCGTCGTCGTCGTCGTCGTCCAGGAAGAAACGAAGTCGTCACGAACTCCCGACCTTCTTCGTAGCGGACCGGAATCACGGGACGGACAACCTCGGGCTAGCCTCCGGTCACGGGACTAGCGCTCGGGAGCAGCCAGTGGGCCAATCACAGGCGCTGCATTACCAGTCGGAAGATTCTTCTTCCATTCCATCCGCCGTGGATCGATTCCGGGTTTTCTTTTGTGTGTTTTTATTCTTCCTCTTCCTCTTTCTTTTTTCCTTTCCTCAAGGATCTCAGCTCGCGTTGTCTACCGGTTGCTCTTCAAGTGTCTGGGATGAAGACGACGTGTTTAGCACAGCCTCACAGGTTTCGGCATTCTGTCGCGACCGCAGAGGTTGTTAGAGATCCTGAGAAGGAAATCGTCCCGTCGTTAATCGCCCAGTTCTTTCTTGCCATGAAAGGGAGGGGTTTCATATCAGGGTTACATGCATAATATAGTAAATCATTGTAAATATTCGACATTGGTAAAGCATCGACAGCTGCCAACATGCTTCTATACTGGATGTTGAAACATGGTACTGGGTACCTAAGCCATGGGACCAGAGATGGTCAGATCGGTGCTGATATGACCTATTTTTGACGCTATTCGGAGTTTGGCGACTTCTAGAACCAAGCTTAGAGGCGGCAATTGAGATCGTGTCTGATCCCCTGGCATCTTCTCCACTGCTCTTCTTCAGTCTAGAACTGTAGGTTCAGTCTTGATTTAATTTTAAGGTGTTTGCTTTTGCTGTTGACCTTGAGCCCCGTCTAGTCTGATGATGGCGGTCACTTTGGCTTCACAGTCGATACAGACAGACAACTTAGACACCATGTTTCTAGGGGAATTGATCTGTATTATTCCCTCAGAGTTAATGGAGAATATATCAGATAATCCTGCCAAGTGCGACAGCTGTACCTTACAGTGCACACGAGTTATCTAAAATCACCGAACCGATCACATGCGGAGAAGTCGATCAAACGATAGAAGATCAATAATCATCCTCCTCCTCGGATGAATCCATCAGATGACTGTCTTTATGCAGACCTGCCTCATCATTATTCTGACTCTCCCAAATCCATAAGAAGCATCATCTCCGTCCGACCTTCCGTCGGTGAATCTGCTCTCCTCGTCACCCCATCTCTTCCCCCCATCGTCGACCTCGGCAACTCGACTCCCCCACAGCAAAGGTCCGCGGTTACACTCTCGAAGGCTCTCTTCTTCTGTACCTGTACCACCATCGTGTCCTCTTATTCTTAATCCATCGGTGTTGAAATAGTCACCGACATCACTCGACTTTTGCTCTACGCGTTCTTCTTTTATCCCATATTACTGCGACCGTACACTACAAAATGCCTTTCAATACAGCCTTGACGAGGAAGCTGGGCATCAGGGGTAATGCAGCATTCTACTGTCGATAGTTTGATTACTGACGGTTTCAAGTCCCTGTTGTGCAGGGTGGTATGCAATGGGTTGGATTCGCAGAACTCGCCTCGGCAGTTAGCAACGCAGGTGGATTGGGAATCGTACGTTTACCCAAACTACAATACATTCCAACCGGAGAAGACCGCCGCTAACATTCCTGTAGCTCACTGCCCTGACCCAACCGACCCCAGAAGATCTCCGAAAAGAAATCCGGAGATGTCGCAGCATGACCAAGAACCCATTCGGTGTCAACCTGACCCTCCTCCCCGCCCTTGTTCCCCCCGACTACGGCGCCTACGCACAGGTGATTATCGATGAAGGCATCCGAATCGTCGAGACAGCAGGCAACAACCCGGGTCCGGTTATCACGCAGTTGAAGAAGGCCAACGTCACCGTTCTGCACAAGTGTACAACCGTCCGTCATGCCAAGTCGGCCGTGAAACTGGGCGTGGATTTCCTGTCGATCGATGGATTCGAGTGCGCTGGACATGTGGGTGAGCATGATATCACCAACTTCATCCTCCTCAGCCGTGCACGACAGGAGCTCAAGGTCCCATTCATTGCCTCTGGAGGATTCGCCGATGGACAAGGTCTCGCTGCTGCTCTGGCCCTCGGCGCTGAGGGTATCAACATGGGCACCCGCTTCATGTCTACAGTCGAAGCCCCCATCCACCAAAAGGTCAAGGAGGCGATCGTCAACGCCCAGGAGACGGACACAGCACTGGTGCTCCGGAGATGGAAGAACACGACCCGACTTTTCGGCAACAAGGTGACGCAGGAAGCGTTGAAGGTTGAAAAGGAGAGCAAGTCGGGCGAGTTCAGTGAGATTGCGCCGTTTGTCAGCGGCAAGAGAGGTCGGGAGGTTTTCCTGAATGGAGATGTTGACTTTGGGGTAGGTTGACTTACTTTGAGGATATGACATGCGCTAACTTGGACAGGTCTGGACCGCTGGTCAAGTCATCGGGTTGATTCACGATATTCCCACCTGTGCGGCTTTGCTGCAGCGTATCGAGACGGAAGCCCTGGAGGCGATGAACCGGACGAGATCGTTGTATGTTGACGCTCCGCAGAGCAAGTTGTAGGTATACATTGATAGAATAGTTATTGTTTGGATAATTCATCATCATAGTATCATTTGATAGTATCTACACAGTTCATAAGTCTTGTATCGCAGACAGTCAGAGTTAACCCTTCCGACCCTTGCAGGTGAATAACCTCGAGTTCTTTCATAAACAAACAACAAAACAAGAAAGTAGCAGAGTCTACCCGGAATAAATTGGCAAGATAACCCAAAGTCATCTAAACCCATAACCAAAAGACTTCAATAACGTAACCAGGGATAAGTTAGACAACCTCGACCCCGTAGACCAGGAAACCATCCAACTCGGATATTAAACCCTACCAAGTCACACGAGCTAAAGCAAATTATCCATCATGCAGAGAAATACTCCTACTTTTCCCCGACAGATAAAATAAAATGAAGCCAAACTCTACCTCTACCTACTTAATATAACCAAAATAACCCTTACAGCCCACAGCCCCCGTTGCCATTGACAGCCATATCTATTATCAACCGTCAACAAATCTTAATCTCGCTTCATTTGTTCATTTTATAGGTAGTCCAATTAGACAGGGTGATTTAACTCCCGGGGGTTTATCTGGTGTGACGGTGTTTCTGGTCCTTGCATGTCGTACGGGTTGTGGTGGTGGTGAGTTTGTAAGGAGAGGTGGTTCCTTGCAGGTGGATTTTAAATGTGATGTAAACAATGACTGGTGATGTTGATGGTGATGTTTTTGAATTGTTTTGGGTGGATGTGATGGGTGCCTATACAAGACGGATATTCTGTCTGATCTTGATAGCTGGGTGGTACTGTGTTGTAGGTAGTATAGACAGTAGAGAGCACCTAGACAGTATAGATAGTGTCAATGAATATGGTATAGAATGGAAAGACAGAACATTCTAATGCAATCACAACTGCATCACACGGACATGTGCATATATTGGTTTCATCCCCGCGTCTTAATGAAAGGACTAATAGTCTGATTTGCTGTTATCTTATATTGACACTCTACTCCTCATCTTCGAATTCATCTATCTCCAGTCCTTCTTTATTAAACAGACAGCATCTCACTCACTCACTTCCATCTTTTCTACACACACAGTCATTCTCTATACTGCCATCCTTATAAAATGGGCGTCCTATCAACCCTCTGGTCCTCCTGCATCCACCCCCGAAAACAAAACCACCGCCAAAACCAACAACAAGCCAAAGAGCCCCCTCCTTCGTCTTCGTTTACCGCATCGACTCGACCCCTCCCTCCGATCCCCGCGTCCGCTCTTCCCCAGAAACCAAGAAAGCTGGTGAAAAAGGCTTCCCAGACTGCTTCGATCCGAATTGTTGAGTCCCCGGAACCCGAGGCCCGGCCTGAGTCTGAACATGAACATGAATCCGAGTCTCCTTCAGACGAGAAAGTAGCAGTGCCGTCTAGCCATGTGTCCGACGAGAAACACAAGCTAGAGATATCCTGTGAAGAAGTTCCCGATAGGAAAGACGATTCCGAGTCCGAGTCCCCGAAGCATATTGCCGACGAGAAAGTCTTCCACGATGCTGCTGCTGCCGATAATAAGGAGCTAAGCCGAGTCCCCAGTGAATCGACACTGACCGTCGAGTCTGAATCGCTCCCACCAATCGAAGAAGACGATGACGAAGGGCCGGCCATCACAAGCGAAGAGCAGAAATTCATAAACGGGACTGACGATGAAAGAGACAGCGAGGTTGCGAAGAAGACTTCGTCTGAAGTGCAAGTCCAAGAAAAAAGCATCTCGCAAAGCACCACCCCCGAGCTCAAACAGAGCGAACTCGAAGACACCACCAAGAAAATGATCCTCCCCGCAGCAAAGAAAGACAGCAAGAGCATCGCGAAAGCCCGCATGACTCGACGCAAGTCACTCATTGAGATGGTCAACCTCGTTCAGTCCGGCACACCGGGCTTGCGATTCCCCCTGTCCACCCGGCTGTCGATTAGCCCCTCATCCTCGACATCGACTGGGATCTCGACGACGACGACAATCGTGGACGAGAACACGGCGACACAGTCAGAGAAGAAGGCGAGGAGGGAACTTTCTGTGCGGGTAGGCGGCGAGTCCGGGGAAGAAAGTCACGATGGAGAATCTCTTTTTCGTTCTTAGGCGTTTGGTTGCTGTTTCGGTTTCTTTTGTCTACTATTCCGTTTGTGCCTTTGTTTGATTTGACTTCTTCTTTGGATCTTGGGGGATGGTGATGATGGTTCTATCTTCTTTTTCTTCCCGGTTGGAAGATTCGATTGTATTCTATTTGATATGTTCGTGTATACTTAATTGGTTTAGAGATAGGGGTGTTCATATATCTTTTAATGATATTAAATTATGTCTTGAAGTCTCGAGATTGAGAAGAAATTGGTTGTAAACACGGTGAGACATGGGATGAAGATGATCTCTATCTAGGCTCCACTCGGCGAAGAGTCACTATCTGTGTGCGGGGACAAGGCACTAGAATCTGTAAGGATATATGCGTCCAACAGATGGACATGGGATGCTACAGTGGATGAATGAGTCTTAGAAAGTAAGAGTGGAATAAGTGAAGACAGCTTGGGACGGTTGAGGTGCATACGTGCTAACTACAGATTTAAGAGGTGGCAGACAGATCAAGTCGTCTGCTAGATAGACTTGAGATACTTCTAAGTGTCTGTAATAGTTGTATTCATTGAGATGCATACCCTAAAGAGTTGCTATAAAAGCACTACATTCTGAAATGTAGAAGTTTGGAAAGTTTTCAGTAATAATAAATTGATGCTATGCTAATACCGTCCTTAGAACAGCCGAATGCAAAAGTCTTCTCCAGACAATGGAAAGAAACCAGAACGAACAGTCTTCTTTCTCCGAGGGTGCCACACGACACAATGTAATCATACACAAGAGTTGTCAACAGGAGTGCTTAATCTAACAAGTAACCAATTCGCTCCTGCTATTTCTCCCCAGACCTGAATACCGCCTGCTTTTCCATAACGTTTCCACCGCGGCCAATGAGAGAACAAATACGGCAGCCCAAGGCTTAGATGATGGAGCCGAGGGCGATGCAAGGAAGACCCAGGCCAATGAGGTCTCCGTCGGCAGAGGAGGGGGAGTTCTGGCAGCAAGCGATGTTCTGCTTGCACTGCTGGTTGATGAGGTCGTTGAGACCGATAGCCAAGATGGGGACTGCGATGGTTAGCTTGGTCCAGATGAGTAGATGGCATAAGAGACTTACTCTGCAGAGGCAGCTTGGAGCACTGGTCGAAGAGACCAAGACCCTCAGCGCCAGAGCCAGCACCGATGAGGTTGCTGAGAGCACCAGCAAGGAGACCGTCATCGATGGTGGTGGTGTCACCGGCGTAGGTGGCCTTGTTGCAGCAAGACAGCTCAGCCTGGTCACCACACTTGGCCTGAGCCTGCTTGACGGTGATGTCGTCGGGGACAGGGAACTTGACATCGGCGTTGCCCTTGTTGCCAGCGCCGTTGCCGATGCCTTTTCCGCCAACATCAGCGGGAGGAAGGGCAGCCACAGTGGTGGCGAGAGCGAGAACAGCGGCGGTCAGAGAGAACTGCATTGTGATGGTGGGTTTGGATTTAAAAGAGAGTGAATAACTCGGAGTTTTGGATTTTTTGAAGATTTTTTTTGGTCTGGAGAAGACTGTAGAAAGAGAGTGAAGTGAACGAGAGTGGAAGCTGATGATGAAAAGAATCGATTGGAGGCGACGAAAGACCTCTCTTTATAGAGAATCATGGAGGTCTGTGTGTCTCCCAACTTTGCTGTCCAGACATTGTCTTTTTTCTCCTGGAATGCAAGATGCAAGGAACGGTCACTCCTCCAGGGCAGCAAGTTCAACTGCGCCTGGCGCGTGGTATGGATCTACCAACGTTTGTTTCGCTCCTTGATTCCAACGAAATGCAGGGCTTGATTGCATTCCACCATGCTTTGCATTGCAGACAATGCCAGCGTCTCATTCCTTTGCTGGCCTTCGACTCTGCTTTCGGAGAGGCTGGTACGGATACCACAGTCGCATTGGCTTGAAGGGTTGACATCTGGACAGCAGACCAAATTCCATTCAAACATAGCAGAGTCTGGATTCGATGTGTTCAGCATGATCTCCTCCTTCCACTATTGAATTGTGCATGCACGTACTGTTGCAAACTCATCATCGTGCGGCATGCAAGTCTGTAAGGTTGCAGGGCATGACTAGGATCTGCAAGGGAGTCGCTCAATAGCTGAGCTGGCCTGCAGCCCAAGACACTCTCCAGAATCCACCCATGTGGAGGATTTAATTTTCCTTGGCAAGATGTAAGGTCGTCCGGATGTTGTGGGAGGTTGGTTGAGTCAAGGTTTGCAGTGTTTGCGTTGATGTATGCATGAAGTATTATTATGATGGTTATGCATAAGTATAGTGCGTTTTATTATGGGTAATTAGTGATAATTTGCTATTATTTCTGTTTTATATGTGCACTGCTATTGGAGCGAAATATAAGATACTATAGTTGGGTAGTATAGACGAATAGACGAATGATGATGATATTGAACAGATAGTGGTTTTCAACTCGAGTAGATAGATGTATGATTATATTTAACAATTCTTTGGTTTGTAATAGTGATTAAGCAGTATCTAATATTAAGAGTAGCGATATAGTAATAATGCGGTTGTTCATCTGACATATTGGTTATAGATCCTCAACTATATATATCAGATCGGATGTAGTACATCACAGTGACCACAACCACTGTCTATACTATTACAGCCATTTATTCATTGAACTAAAGTAGACTTCATTAATCAAGTCAACGTATTAGAAGCAGACCATATTTATGTTATGAAACAGACATTGTGATAGTACTGCTGTGGTGAATCCAATCCATCGTCTAACCAGAAAAAGAAGAAGGATTGTATGGCATACTGTTTCCACGGTATAAGTCCAACTTTCTGATGGACACACTAAGTGTAATTACTATGACTGGTTACTACACAATAAGGTATATTCACTATTATAGTCTAAACCGTAAACATCTATAAATACCATTTTCGAACAGCCACAAGAACATCCCATATCCAGACTCTATTCATGTTAGTTATTCCCAACAATCCTGGATACGGAATTCATCATCCAGATACCTCCAGCTGGTACTCATCCTGTTACATTCAACGAAAGTTACTACCATGGTTACATTTCAAATTCCCACATGATGGTTTCGACGTCTGGGTCTAATGACAGGTCAAGTGGATCACATTAATTGAGTTTAATCAAGTCTATCATCCGGATTCGTATCCCTTGGTAGTATAGAATACAGCCCTTCATTTCAAAGTGAACAACAAAGAAAAGACTCATGATTCTCTTTGGCATAGAATATATCTATCATCTTGGAATGACTCGAGTGGGGGAGATGATCGACGTCTCTTTGTACGATCATGATAATCTGCTCGTGTTCAATCGAGATATGACGAGTCATTTTGTCTTGAGGCTTTCGGTAGATATGCCGGACAGTTGAATACGAGGTTCATCATCTGATGATCTTTAGATTATGTGTAGGAGTCAATTGTTAATATTCCATAGTCGATCGAGGATATTTGATAAATATTAGATAGTAATTTATAAGGACGAGTATGACAAGAATATGCCCATATTAATGCAGTGCATAACCCGCTTACTCATCTCATCTCCGGTTTCTCCGGCTTCCCCTCTTCTCATCCTTGACTTCCCAATCCTTCTGGAGATCTTCGTCTGCAGCCTGCATTTTTAGCTTAGCAGAGGTCAAGGATGACTGCCCTGGAACATAATTTCGAAGAAGGCGTTGGGAGGTGAGTTTCTGTCATCATCCTGGTCTATCGTTGATCACTGGTCCTTTGGCACGCAGTGCGTCTACGGGTTATCCGACTATTTTCGCTATCCACTTTACTCCACAAGTCTCAGGGGCCAAGGCCTACCATCCAGCTGGAACAGAATCCAAGGAAGCACTGCTTTATTCATAACAGTCTGCCCGGAAGGAATCCGACAACCGACACTCAATTATTGGAATTGTGGACCGCCAAAGTTTATTGGTTTGTTGACAAAACGCAAATAAGAAAAACACGAAAAAGCAACGATGTCATTGCATCGGGTGTTGGCTATGTTAAAACTAGTCTGCGGATGGGGATGCCACCAACAACACCCCTCGGACAACGGGGGCTAGTCTCGATTGTCACGAACTAACGCATCGAACGAGTGACGAACCCATCACGATTCGCCCCGGTCGATTCTGATATGACCCACTGGTTGCGAATGCGAACTCAAAAAGAAACCGGTTGTTAGAGAGAGCATCACTACTATGCAGAGTAGTCGTCCGACTCAAGCCTGTGATTGACTTCTCCTGCCTGCTCGTTTTCTGTCACTCTACAGACTGCAGCTCACTGCCTTTTGAATCGATTCGGCAAACTCAATTGAATCATGTGAATTTCAGAGGTCAAGTGCAGAATGGCATACAGTTACGAGAAGGCAACCGAGCAACAGTTCATGCACAACGTTTGCTTTCTTTTTCTACCTCCACGAGCGGGAAACTCTTGGTCTGCAGCCATCAGGCCATCGAGGCTCGACCCAGGTTTTAAATTGAAACCCCATGTTGTAGTGTGCAGGGATTGTCAATCGCCCTATCCTCCGTACTGGGGTCTGTTTTATCGTCGGTCCTGTGGTCCACATCTGTGCCGTCTTCCTTGTCATTGAGTTACTGGATCAGGGACCCATCTTTGTTGAACCATGTCCTATGGTATCCTAGGCAGTGGGCACTGGTTCATCCATCGGGTTCCCACTATGCCTGCCACCGTAGCGTCCAGGCAGTGATGAGTTGGGCAATGTCTTTGCCCTTAATGATTTAATTCCTCTATCTTAAGCTTTCTTGATTCTCCACAGATGTTAAGGCCTTCGACCCAGAGAATGGAATGGACTACCGATGCAATCCATAATAAGTTCTATTAAGCCAAGTTAGCTGCATATATGGCCGAATTCGCCCCCAAGGGATCAGGGGTCTCGGGTTTTATTCCTGTGCATCCCCATCTTGTCTGATTCTCTGATCTCTCTACGTCTTTCCTTGAATTCCCCCCGATAACCGATGACTTGAAACGTTTCCTGTCATCTGCCGCTCTTTTATCGACCTCTGGTCACCTATCTTTCGCTCGTGCTGTGGTCGGTGGTAGAATAACGAAAATGTACAGTATCCACGCCGAGCTGTTTTCCGAATATGCAGTCGGTCTCGTTATCATTGCAATTCGATTCTACGCGCGTTGGTATACGGGGGCTCGCAATTTCTACTGGGATGACTTGTGTCTTGGATTCGCGGTGGTTAGTTAAGCCTAGTACGATGTCCCATGCGATGCTAACTATTTTTTTCTACAGATCTTCTGGACGTTCCATACTGTCTTTCTTTATCTCATGGGTATGCGCTACCTACCGCTGATCCGACTTCCGATCTAACTGGACTAGATGTCTACGGTTCCAACATTGGCCTTAATAATGAGACAGCAATGCAAATTCCGGACAGTGAAGTTGGTCGACTCCGTCAGGGTTCCATTTTCGCATTTATCGCCTGGCTTTCGTATATCTTCATGGTGTGGTCGTTCAAGGGTGTTCTCATGTTTCTCTACAACCGGATCACGTCAGTATATCAGACTGGAAAATAAGATCTGGATGCTAACATTCTCCAGTGCGGGTCTTTGGCAACATCGATTTCACCTGTTCATGACTTTCGTTTGCGTTAGCACATTTCTGGCTTCGCTACTGTTCCACCTGTGTATCTGCACGCCGACTAATAGGACATGGCAGATCAAGCCATACCCAGGAGGTATGAATACCCATCTATCTGGTCGACCTAGCTGACAATTCAGATAACTGCACTGTTCGCCCACTGAACTATATCGTTATTGAAGTGTTGAACATTAGGTGGGTAGTATTCTCATTGACTTGACTTGACTTCAGCTAGCACAATCCAGCACTGATATCGGCGTCCTCTGCATTCCCATGCCTCTCATCATCGCCGCCAAAATCCCCCGATCCCAAAAAGTCATCCTGGGCATCTTATTCTCGTCCGGTATCTTCATCATGATCGCTGCGATTCTCCGAGCATACTACTCTGTAACGAACCTCAACACCCTCTCCGTGGCCCTGGGCTGGGCATCCCGCGAAGCACTCGTATCCGCCTTTGTCGTCTCCGCACCGGGAATCAAACCCCTAATTTCGCACTTCGGATGGTTCAAATCCCTCTCGTCCAGCAACCGCTACACAGGACCATACAGCAATCAGCGCACCCCGCGAAGCTTCCTCCACTCGAAATCCAACAACGACGATCGCCACCCGTACGAGATGGGCTGGTTAAAGAAATCCCGCCGCGAGTCGTCAGGCGAAAGCCAGGAAAATATCATCGAAGCAGGACGGAGAGATATCCACACCAAACCCAAGGAAGAAGGTGAAGGTATCACCGTGACGACTGAGTATTCCTTGGCTCATGATAATAAATCATTTGTTGGGGGGTCTCGGGATGTTGAACCCTAATTTACCTTCTTTTTTCCCCCTTATATTTATATTCTTTTCTTCATGTTTGTCATTCATTTCACACTTTACGATTGGTTTTCTGGTACAAGTCTACAGGACTGGCAATTGGAGTAATGACGGGAGGACACCAGGACTAGGTACTGATTTACAAGAAATGTATATACGGCCTTCTTTAATGATATAATAATCACATTATCAACGACGATTGAATTCACTCAGTTACACATCAAGTTACACACAGTTCTAGACTATATAAACTAGTCAAAAAGAAATATCGATCATGCACGTCTATTGATCATCATTGACTTGGCATTTCCATATTGAACATATGATAAAATCTCGCAAAGCACCTGCTACCCATATAACAGAAAGAAACCTTCCATTCACCCGGTTAATCTCGGAACAGATCTCCATGTATGCGAGCAAGCATGATCTGCTCCGAGGCTATCACCATATCACCATTAAAGCCACCATACTGGATACCCACCCCAACCCGTATCCTCGATCTACATGCCCCAACACCACCAACTTAACTCGGACCTATCTACACAGTCGGGTTAGCAGAACCAGAACCAGAAATAAGGTACAACAACCAACAAAAGTAACTCAACTCACTCTGATATCGATCGGCCAACCGCCCCACTACCAACGAGGGCCAAAGCATAGTCCTGTCCCCACTATACCCCACTATCCAGGATCGTGGCGCTGTTTATTGGACGCCAACACCCCTGTCAGTTAGGGTTGGATCCACAGTGGCCGTCTGCTTGTCTGGATTGGTATTGGGTGTTTTGTCACCTTACTTTTTGGGTAGGTGTAGGATAGGGTTAGGGTTGACACTATACTTTAAAAATGGGACAGGAATAGGATATGATGTAGAGTGTAGAGTGTAGAGTAGTATGGGTTATGTAATGGGCATGGCACGGTCCTCGGATTGATTAAAATTCTGCACGACTATTGATTGTCAGCATTGGCGTTTTGCTGTTCCTGGCAGTTGGGATGAGAGATGTTGATCTGCGGCGTTATTTGCTTGTGTGAAGTTAATTGTGGCCGGTGTTCTGGTTCGGGGTTTGTTATGTTATAACCTAATCAAGGATGAAAAATGAAGAAAAAGCTGCCTGAGGCGTGTATATCCAGGTGTGGACTGTAAATTCCTACACTCCTACTAGAATAGGGATGCATACTAGATGAGATAGGTGTAGCGGATCTGTCGACTCCATCTGTCACCTTAGGTAGCCGAGTTATGTACATGTATGTACATTGGATCCTGTCATCTGTCAAGGACAGAACTGGCCAATCACTACTCATTGCTAAAATAACGTTGGTTGAAGAATGGCTATACCGCAGTCGACTATTTGAGTAAAATGTCTACTGCATATGTATGCATGGGCATAGTGGTCTAGAATGTGGCAAATGTATCGTTCTATAGTATGGTCGGTCGGTGGTGGATAAAACACACATGCTTAAATAGGACACGATATGAATGTACCAACAAACCACTACAATAGTATTCATAGTTCATAGTTCATACCAACTAGGTACACTCTTCAGGAACACAGATTATACCCGACAACTGCTAACTACGTTCGGACACCGACTCCGAATGCTCGGACATATCGGGTGATCGACATTTGGATTGCTCTTTTCTTCACGTCGGACTGTATTCAACCCCGACATCTGATGCAGGAACAGACACACGCACTCAATGGCAATTCCTTTGTTCGGAATTGCAGATGAAAATTCCTCACGAAGCTCTAGCCACTTTCACTATGTAACACGAAACACAAGATTGGAGGAAACTATAGTACAGTACGCATACAGCCAACCAACTCTAGTCGAATCACGACACGGAAGTGAAATTGCTTGCAGTAGGCTTGCAATCCATCGGAAGAGAAATCCATGCCCCCGCTTCGGGAACTCCACTGCTGTGGTTGAAAGAGGGGTTGAGGGCAAAGATTTGCCCGGGGGTAGTGCCGTATTTTTCAGCTAGATCTTTGTATGTTCCGTAGGAGAAATCGTACGGTTTGAACGAGCAGGTACTAGGGTCGCACTGCGGGAGTTTGAGACTAAGACCTTCCTCGAGCTCATCATCGGGCGATGAGACATGGGACATTTTCCCAGAAAGGCTCCACAATGATTCCACCGTGATGTTGAACTTGTTCAGGGCAATCTTGGCGATCGTGTCGCCTTTGAAAGTGCTGTAGGTGTGCAGCCCGCCAAAGATGCAGTCGCGGGTCGCGTTCTGTGGAGTCAAGAGGCAGGTCGAGTTGTCTGGGTTGCACACTTGAGCAGGAATGTAAAGTTCTTCGCTTTCGTAGACGAGTTCTGCGTCCGCCATGGCGTTGGCGCGGGCAATGTCACAAGCACCGCGGTTGACTTTGGCTGCCACAGAGAAAATGGTTTCATTTGCGCCGACGGCATAGGTACCAGTCGTGGTGTTCAGGGCCCTGGGGTTGCATTGCGCAGGACTTGCTGCAATGAGCTGCGCAAAAAGGAGTGTCGTGGACAGAAGAGAAAGCATGGTAAAAATGAGAGACTGGCAGAATGAATGGATTGATGAATGTCGAAAACGGGCGTGGACAGGTATTTAAGCTACTGATAGCATATCATCTCGGATATAATCCATCAGGATCGTCACAAACAGCTGCAAGCCAGTTGAAGATTCGTCAGTGTCCTACGAATCAATCGGGTGTAAATGAACCGCAGTTGGCCTGTACAAGTAACTCCGCCACAGGCTCAACTCAAAGAGCTAAGTCCGAGCCGTAGTTCTCACTCTATCTATCAATCCCAAGAAATAAGATAGATAATCATAGGGGCGAGATCCTGTTAAAACCGAAGATCGACATGCCCCTCTGTTTCACATGGCGAAATGGCAGGACTGGGGAAATGATACCTTACCCAATCCAGTATCTCAGACCGTCGTCTTGAAATAGTCGAATAGGAAGATTTAGCAGCTCATGTTGACTGCTATTTCAACTGGACTTTAATATAGAACTTGTTCAATTGGTCCCAAAGCTGCATGTCACTTATTCCCACCAAGTTGGTAGCTTCTCCCCTGGCTCTCGAATATTCTCAAGATGAACTTTTCGATCTTCTCCAAAGACTTCAAAAAGAAGATTGAGCGACTTTAGCGTATTAGACCGGCAGCTCTCTTCAAACCATGAGTGTTTGTAAGAGTCGGATTTCTCTCTTTGTGAATAATTGTAGAGATAGTGAGTTTCATAAAGGATAGGACCGAGAAGATCGGCCAAATTCTTCGCAACATAGTCAACTGAGCTGGCGCATTTCAGCATATTGACTAGACTTTCTGCATGCTCTAGGTCATCTTCAGCTCCTGCATGGTTGTAGAGAATTTTGTACGACGCGGAGAAAAGAAGTATTGTGCTTGCGGAATAGATTTCGGATCTAGTCATTCATTAGCTTTCAATCGTGAAGATCATGAAACTGCAAACTGACATGCATAGCCAACATCTACGATATACATTTTTCTCGTAATCAATTAGCAGGAAGATCCGCGCTACCTGATGCGCTGCCATGACTGCTCGATCATAATAATCCGAGACTCCTTCAGGAAAGCTGTGCATGGTAGTAGGACTTTGAAGCTGGTTTGCAAATGCCATGGACAATGTACGGCGGTAGAGAAGCATAATTGCCCCCAAATATATAAGGTGAAGGAATAGTAGGCCCCTCTGCTGTGCAAGAGGTAGTGGTGTAGCCTCGTTCGACAGCAGCGCTAATAAGCGCATCTCCTGCGGCAGTGTAGAATACCAGCCTTCAAGCTTACCCACATGAACTTCAATTTCATTTTCAGATGATGTAGAGCTATACAACCCCTTGAGGATATCAGATTTGAGCAATGCAACAAGCCCAGCTTGTTCTTGCACCGCAAGATCCCCATTTGAAAGTTCCAGCTCGCATTTTATAGATTCATTGATAAACTGGATGAAGTGACTGTAAGTTGATAGAAACCAAGCGTCATCGGCCTTACTCACAGTATGCTCTGTATCCCCGAGTGCTGGAGGATAACCAAGTGATGTAGATAGCCAACTATCTCCAAGTCAGCATATGGAATATGTGAGTTACGGCTGACACCTTTACCATTCCATGAAAATCAGTGTCCTGTAAGTCTTCCTAATAATAAGAGACTGATCGGAATGTTTGGCGATCTGGGAACCCAGTTTCCGAGCGAGACCGAGTCCGGAGACTACTACAAGTCAGTGATGGCTGAGTAAAACCCGGAAGAGGAGTTACCTATCGAAGCATGCGCGACATTATGATGCTCAATGATGTGATATGCAGATAAACAGACCAAGATACGCAAAGCTCGGACAGGATCAACCTTGATACATTGGTCCAGGTGCACTATTGCAGTGGAAAAAAGCGTCTTTTTCACATCTTCAAGTGGCTGCTCTGGCAGGTACTGACTCCCCACCGAAGCAAGCGAACACATTTCACACAAGGTCACCACATCCACCGGTGATTCAGATCGATATACCCGCTGGAGGAGATCATCGAACTCCTCGGGAGTCATGACATAAAACAAGGCTGATGTATTGCTAAAGAAAGCAGTTGCTCCTGCCCTGGTGTCTTCCTCCGGTGGTAGATCCTTCGGGGAACACATCGGCAACGGGCCTGGCACCTGCTGCGGGCCGGACAGTTCTAGATAGTTTTGAACAGAACTGCTAACCCGAGACCAAGCTTCCTCAAACCTACCATTGGAAAACACGGAGTTGTCTGACTTCTCAAGGGCGTTCGAAGCAGAGGAGCTGGCTAACGGATAAGTGTTTGTGGAATTCAACACTGGCCCGGTTGGATCGCTCAAGTGGCAATTCGCAATACCGAGAGGTGATTCGAGTTTTTGATTGTTCGTAGGCATATCGCTAGATGGCATTTCGGATGCATTGTCTGCGCTGGTATCGTATGTCATATCCGTGTCCCTATTGCCTCTGCTAAAGAGGTCTGTCGGCTCGGTTCGAGCGCTGCGGTCTTCGTCTTCTCCAGCAAAAAGGTGCTCGGACAATGATTCAACCACTATTTCCGCGTCTCTTTTTGTCTGTTCCTGCAGAGAGAGAGGCTTTGATGCCTGTCTTGTCTTAGCGAACTGATCACAGCTACATGACTGAAAAGACAAGGTGAAAAGATGAGGGGCAAACTGACAGACAAAGCATCTCTTATCCGGCTTGCTGTTTCATCACCAACTTCTAGTACAGCCTCGTTCAGCAAGGTTTCATAGCCCTTGATCTTCTTGGACATGTCCATGATCTTCTTCTGGTCTCTTTCTCGTTTTGATTCAACGTGGACGCAAGGCAGATTGAACTGCAAGCAGTTATTGCAAACCAGGCCATATCCATCGCATTTGACCTTGCGGTTCCTGCAGTTCTCACAGGCATTTGCATTGCGACGCCGGATCTCTGAGCTATCTTTGTGGATTCTTGGGATAGCGACTTTTTCCTGCGACGAGCTATCCGAGGACTGCGAGACCACGGGTTTTGCTGCTATGGTGACCGGTGGATCGTGCAGTCTACGCCGGTTGCTCATTATTGGAACCAAAATGAGCGGGACGAAGGAGGATGAAGCTGGGATGGGATCAAGAACAGCGAAAATTATTGAAAGTGGTGAGGAGAAAAAGAGTATGGCGGGATAACGGATCAACGAACCCCAAGAGGCAATGGTTCGTCTCCAAACCGGCACTCCGACCGAAGCACCGAATTTCGGTTCGGCTGTTCTTACAAAAAACAAGCAAATTTTGGTCTATGAAAGTGAGAACTACTGATCCGGTTACACTAACGGCTTTTTTTTTTTTTTTTTTACGGCACTTCTCGCTGGTTTGTTACAGTTGTCCCCACGTGGAAGACCCATCATCAACCAAGCTAGGTTGGATGTCATGTGACTCTCTATCAAGTCCCCGCAGGATGCTAATTCGACAGCATCAAAAGACTCGCATCTGTTGATCTGACAGCATAGACTGGCAGACGACAGATGAGAGACAGTCTCCCATCTCTTTATACCCAAGCCTCCCATAGTCAATGTCATACTCAGTATACCGTGTCGCTGAGAGCGGCCTCCCCCGAGACCACCACCTTATCTTTGTCGAAACCCACGAACAAGGTCCCCAAACTGGCCATTTATACAATGTCATCGGCGAGATCCAAAACGGGATGATCTTTGAGCACCGTGCCGCCGAGGAACCTGAGAAATCGCCTGTATTCTTTAGCAAGGAGGAGATCGGAACGGTGACTCACGCTGATTACTCTCGTTTCCTCCCTGTTTGTCAGGAGATTCCAGTTCCAAAGAAGCAGTTCCAAGGAGCGAAAAGATTGTACCCTAATGAGCCTCTCCGGAGGTGTCAAGAATGGGCTGATGAGGCCATTCAAGGTCTGGTTGATGCAAAAGTGTTGCAGCGGGGAGGCGACGTCAAGGTGTAGTTGAGGCGTCCACCATTCATATGACTTGACTGTCAGCTTTCAGCTAGAGTATATTCTGAGCGATTCTCCAATAATTGCAAGATATCCTTATACTCTCCAGTGTCTTTTTATTCGACTCCAAAACATCTGAATATGCCCGTAAACAGTATACACCCACTAGTCCCAAAGCGGTTAGTGTGAATGATGTCGCGGTCAGATGCGATTCTTCGACTGGAATTATTCTATCCCGCAATGCTCCGTGAAGACTGACCGTCTCGATCTCTTTTCTTTTCCTTCGCCCCCGTTAAATCCTGAGCAGTCTGTCTGAGAGAAGGTTAATCCCAGTATGACCGCACCTCCTCCCTCTGATTGCTTGCCCGGCACGGAGAAGGGCGCCACTGACAGTGCGTCGGCCCCTGGATCTCTGCCTGAGCGCACAGGAAATGAGCCAGAATCTATCACACCAAATGAAGCAAGAACAGAAGATACAGCAGACACAGAAAAGAGCACAGGAAAAGAGGAGACATTGAAGGAACAGGCGGAGGAGGAGAAGGGAAGTGAAGAAGCCTCTGCGCCACCATTGCCAGACGAAGAGCTCCCACCACCCCTCCCCAACGAGGCCCCTCCGGGTGAGGATGATGGATGGGAACCCGTCTGGGATGCTACCGCACAGGCATATTACTTCTACAACCGCCTCACGGGTGTCTCACAGTGGGAAAACCCCCGGGTCCCCGAGCCCCATTCCGAAGCGCCCGGCGTAGAATCACAACAAGAGCAGCAGCCCCGGAGCAAATCCCCCGTGGTGGGCGGCTACAACCCCGCGATCCATGGCGATTATGACCCGACAGCACCCTACGCACAGCAGTATGAACAAAAGCATGAGCAGCAGCACTACCCAGGCGGCCCTGTGGGTGCGCCGGGGATGGACTCGATTGGTTCGTACGAAGCCACGGGGGCATTCAACCGGTTCACGGGCAAGTGGCAGGCGGCGACGCTGACCCCCGAGAATTACAACGATGAGAACAAGTCGCGACGGCAGATGAACGCGTTCTTTGACGTTGACGCTGCGGCCAATAGTCACGATGGGAGAAGTCTGCGGGCGGAGCGGAGCGCTAAGAAGCTCACCAGGAAAGAGCTCAAGGAGTTCAAGGAGAAGCGGAAAGAGAGGAAGGAAGAGAAGCGAAGAGCATGGCTGCGAGATTAATGGGTCTTCAGACTTGGGTTTGAAGGTGGGGTTCTTGTCTGGTTTATATATTCGTTCACTGGGACTCGAGATACCTTGAGGATAAGGGTTTGGGGCGTTTTATCCGTGTATTTTATGGGATTGTTGCATACAATAGAAGAAGCGCTACTTAGCAATGTACAGTATATTAATTGCATCTGATAGATAAATGTGTTTGTTCATGGGATGTTATCATGTTTCAGAATCTCTCATCTTGTATTTCCTGGGGACCCCACTTCACGATGTCACATGACCTTGAAATCGAAGTTTCTTCCACCGACGAAGAAACGATATCGAAGCCAGAAATCAAAGGGAGAAATACGCATCACTTCAGAAGGAGAGGTAAGATCTATTTTTTTCACATCTGATTTTTTGTATGTTTCGGGGCGTGATAATATGGCCAGAGATCAATTCTTTTGCGTTTTGCGTTGAATGTGACTGATATATGCTTCGATATGTGTGATTTTTCGAGTACGCGGGGAGAAGAAAAAAGAAATTGATTTGACTGCTTGTTCTGCCTTTTTTTTCTCTATGATTTCTGTCTATTTTTATTCCCTTGGTTTCTGAATTTTTGGGATTTTTTTCTGCGTTTCATCTTGTCGGATAAACCCTGTTATATATCCCATCTGTGTGCCCATTAGAGACATCAGTTTGTCTAATAGCTTGACTGTTTTCTTCCAGCTTTCCAGCTTTTGCTTCTACTTGGAATCCATCACTAACAGAACATAGATAAACATTCCCAAACAAAACAAATCTCAAAAGAAAGAAAAAAAAGTCAGACAAAATGTCCAAACCCACAGTCCCCATCACCCTCAGCACCGAGGCCATCGAGGACCTCATCTACGATGCCCGAAGTGGCGATTTCGACGCTCTCAAGGAAGACATTAGCGCCCAAAGCAAGGCGCACAACTGTCCCGAGGCGTTGATCGTGGCATCGGCCATCGACATGGAAGATGAGGCCGAGGGAGGCACTGGATGCTGTTTGCTGCATTACCCTGCTGCCAATGGAAACTTTGGTATGTATTTCATGTTATGTTATGTGCTATGTGTGATGCCCGTAGAACTAACGGGATTAGAAATCCTGAACTATCTCCTTCAAACCCTTACACAAGCACAAGAGCACGTAGCTCAAGTTATTAACCACCGCAATCACTCGGGAAACACACCTCTGCACTGGGCTGCGCTGAACACGCACCTTGAGTGTGTCAAGGCTCTTGTTGAGACTGGTGCCGATTTGACCGTTAAGAACGACGCGGGTCTCGATGCTATTTTCCTGGCGGAGAGGACGGCGTGGTCCACCGAGGAAGGGGAGAAGAAGGAGGCTGAGCAGGCTCGGGCTGAGGCCGCGGGAGAGGAGGATATCGGGGAGATGTCCCAGGGCCGACAGGTGGTGGAGTGGTTGTTGAGTTCGGATAAGGGGGGTGAGTTGGAGCATGGTGTGAGTGCGGGTGAGACCTCGAACTCGGCTGCTGCTGGGGATGCGATGGATGAGGATGAGAAGAAATGATTGCTCTCTTTGGGGGCTTTAAGATGAAAGAAAAAAACAAAAAGTTTTATGGTTTATGGTTTATGGTTATGTTTTATTCTTTATGCAGAAATAGACCCTACATTCTATGAGATACTCTAATCACGTCGAACTTTCCTGTTCTCTCGACTCATGGACATACCTCCGTCGAAAGATCCTTCTAAAGGCACCTTTGGTCCTGTCTCAATTTCGCGCACCTTCATATCTAGCCCAACTCGAAAGCGACGCTCACGCCAGGTAACCGTGACGCCTCCGTAGAAAGCCCAGATCCAAATAGGCAGTGCCAAAGTCTCTCGTCCCAGCCACGCCGCGAACCAGTGAAGAAAGGGGCGTTTGGTGGTTGAGCCTTTAGGCGGTGGTTGCGCAAAGGGTGGTGTCTCTTCATCAAGCTCGACTGTCTTGGCTGAATGCAATTTGATGTATAAAGTCCAGTCCACCAGAACCCAGGTTATCATGCTGAGAGCGTAGAAGGCAAAGAAGGCAGTCCAGGTAGTCAGGTGAGGGGCAAACTCGTATCCTTTCTGTTCTAAGTGCTGAGCCAGAGATGTCGTCACCCCCCAAGCGCCGTATAAAGAACAGACGAATGACTCTGTTCCAGGCTCGACCAATGTCGCCAGAAGAACAGTGAATTTGCGAACTCGCAACCACCGAACTCGCCGTGCCAGATAGGCCTGGGTACTCATGTCCGCAACAGGTTGGAAGGCAAGGTCTCCAAAAACCATACCATGCTTTCCCCAGCGCTCACCCAGTTCCTTTTCCTCCCGCACACGTTTCTTCCACAGGAGATCCCCGATTAAGTGATCCTCGCAGATGTTGTCAGAGAAATAGTCGATTCCAGGATTCCGTGGATGGGGGTCATTGGAAGAGGGAGCAGTCAGGTAATCAAGATGGGACCGTCGGAACATATTGGACTTGCCCACAATGCATGGGGCAATAAGCACCGTGTTGATCGCGGTGTACATTTTCGCATGAGATGAGGACAGAAACAATTCCTCCAGACGACCTCCCCCGTTGGCAATGATCCCGATATCTTGGTGTTTATTCTGAATGGCGGTAGCATCGTGTCCCTCGAGATCTGCATCACCATTGGCGTAGGCCTCTAACAGTGCGCGTTGCTCTTCTCGCACCCCAGAATCTCCAGTCACATCGACCGCAACTGGCAGATGATGCACAAATTTGTATTTTTTGCCTGGCTTCACCCCGAATCCACACAGTCGATCCACCATCCTTCCACAGACGCCTCTTCCAACCCAGACGTTACAATCGAGGATCCAGATGATGTCACCCTTGGCCTCGCGGTATGCTCGACTCATGTTCCGGATTTTCGGGTTCGGACCCAGATTATAGGAGCTCTCATCCTGGAGTAACGGATCCTCCTCTTCGATGTAGATACGCGCATCAGCGTGGGGGAAATCAGCCACGAGTCTCTGGAGCGTCGGGTAGCCGGGGTCGTTCCGAGATGCGACACAAAAGTGGACAGTCAATTTGTCCTGAGGATAATCTTGGCGAAATGTGGCAGCTAGACAGTCATAAAGATGTGGTTCAAGGCCTTTGACGGGTCGGATGGCGGTGACATGGGGAGCATTGGGGGCAATGTCGGAGTAAGACTTGTTCGGTCGTGAAAGGAAGTACTTCCATCTAATTCCAGAGTTGATCAGTTACAGTCCAAGTCGAGAGTGTACGGCGGAAAATATAAAGGATCGAGCGAGAATGGGCGAAATTACAGCTGAAAATATCCTAAAACACAAACAAGCATCACGGTGCAATACCAGATCAAACCCACCCAACCCACGACAACAAGCCATGGGACACCGCCATGACTGACGGCCGGTCCGACATCGAGGGGATTCGAAGGCGATGTAGGCTTCAGCATGGGCGGAGGCGGAAACTGACAGACTGAACGCTCAGCGACGAGAACATTCTAGGGAGGGAGACGGTGAGAAGAAAAAGAGGGAAGAGATGGAGTTGGAGAAAAGCTGGTCAGATCAGCGGAGCTCCGGTGTCTGGCTTTTTGGCGCTGCGGTTTTGTCCACCGCCAAGTGCTGCAGCAATGTCGTACAACAGCGAAGGGATCAGCTTTCTCTTGCGATGAAATTATCCGCTCGGATCCAGCGGATCAGGTGGAATTGATATTATTTGCATGTTCACGTTCTACTGGCATTACTGGTGGTGGTGGATTCGAACCGACTGATGCCGTGGAGACAGCTGAAGAGAACGCGCCAGCCTTAGTTCACAGCCACAACCAATTCGGTAGCTGAAGCAGAATGAAGCTTCAGTTTTCATTATTATTACCGTTGGCTTATGCACGGGAATTGAATTCATATTCAGCTCCTGAACGTGGTTTCGTCCCGTGGTTCCGATTCGCGATCCGCGTTTCATCTTAAACAAACCCATCTCGATGGATCCAAAGGCACGGTTTGATGTCAATGCGACATTGATGATTATTGTTCATAATAACATGCAAAGGCTTTTAGCCCATGTTAAGTAGTCAAACTCCCAACCTTCCATTATCTTTTCCAACCCTAAAAAAACCATTGCCAAAAAACTCCAAGATCTCCAATTCATGAAACAACGTCCGCCCTCATCATTTTACGTCTTCTTCTTCTTCCGAACCACACTTGCATTCAGCATATTGACGCCTGAGGGTGGCTCTGACGTAGGTGGTACCTGAGCATTCTCGTTGCCGCCTAGCTCAGTAGGCCCTGTACACTTTCCTTCGTTTTGTTCAGGTTTGTCGCTTTCTCCAAGAGTCTTCTTTCGCTTTCGAATGAATCCACTGTCCATCAGGTTGTTTGCTTCGGAAGATTTGGGCGCGGAATCCGTTGTTGTGTTTCTGCCCACGACATGCTGGCCCACCCAGAGCTGGTCCGCAAGAGAGGCAACCTTCTCAGCCCACGCCTTGGAGCTGGCTATCGAAACATCTAGGCTGTCAAAATCCAATTGGAACAGGAAATCAGTGGCGGTCTTGTAGTCCGCTTCGTTCAAAGTTGCATGCCCACGTCCAGCTTCTGGCCAGGAGAATGGGTACACATCACTGGCCTGCTGCAAATTGGAACGATCTGAGGATGAAGCGGGCTGAGCAGCAGTGACAGGCTTTTCATCACTTTTTGGATCTGAAGATTCTGGTTTCTGTGTTGAGTCCGCCGGACTAGGAGGAGTTTCCGAGTTGACAGCTGGAATCGAGGGTTTCTCATCGGATGCTTTTTCAGGCGTCGTTGTTGAAGGTTTATCCTCAGCCTTTCCCTGTATAAACCTGGAACTCGCCATTTGAACCGAGTTTTCGAGCCCAGGTGGATTGATAACAAGCCACAAAAACCCGACCAACCTGCCAGCGGAACATTCCTGCCGGAAGGACATCATCTCCCAGAACTGTTCCAGAGATCTAACACTCCTCCACTTTCCTGAGCTCTCGCGCGAAGCCCCCGTTTCCGTACGTTCAGGCAGCTCACCATCTAGGTCGTCCAGGAATCGTGTCTTGGGATCGTCCGGAAAACGGGGGATCAAGCAGCGTGGAGGGTTATCGGGATTGGTGCATAATTGTCGGAGAGGGTAGCTATTGCGCCATCTAGGACGATCTTTGTTGTCGACCTTGGAAGTGCTTGGGAAAAATCCCCTGGTTTCGAACCTGTCGCATCCAGGAACGATCAAGAATGCGGTCGCAGAGCTCTTAGCAGATTCCATAGCTCGGTCCAGTAGTCCTTTCTCCTGAGAGCCAGACTCCGGCTCATATTCCCGTAGAATAGGGTCGACTGCGCGACACCACCATTTGATCAACCCTCGGTCGTCCAAGACATGCTTTCCGGCATTGTCGATGCTTCCGGGGAACAAATACTGGTTCTGAGCACGCGCAAACAACGACACGACTAGCCGGACGCCAGGTCGCTGGCGGGTATGTACGAGGTAGGAAAGGAAAGTATTGGAGATCAATCGGAGCAGCGAAACTTTGGGAGCGTTCTTCAGTAGATGCAGGTAGCCCGTCGAGTCGGCCTTGGAGACAAAGATCGTCGTGAGGTGTGCGGAGCTGTAAACCAACACCTCAATCCCAAAGACAATGACCTCTTGTCCATCCTTGTCGTCGATGTTGATCGAGGCTGTCAAAAAATGATTTTCACAGAACGTCGTCTCTGGCGCTTCGCCTGGCGGAGCGGCGAAGAGAGCGACACATTGAGTCGGAACGGACGAGACATGGCGAATGGTGACCTTCACATCGGCGGGCAGCACCTTGGCCAAGAGGCTCCCCAGATCAGCGTCGGCCGTGGACATCAGAGCCGGTCGATGACTCGATAATGGTTATTTTTTGCATAGTAGGGAGTTGAATGGAGAGGAAATCAATTGAAGGTCGCGCTCTCTTTTCCCCTTCCCCCCAGCGCGCTCCAATCCACGGGGGTCACGTGTTGATCCCTGCTTTCTTACAAACTTGGTAGATCTGAGTGGACGACGTTTGGCATTCATGCAATTCATCACCAATTAATTTCATTGTACAGCTAAGAGTCAAGCGATCATGAGGGTTTTGGGGGCTTTGCTTCCATCCAGTATTCCAGTTCAGATTGAAACATGTCGAAGCTAGGAGGAGGAAGAACATCCCTGGTTTCAGGTCTCCTTGTCTGTGAAGCATGAAATCTAGCCTTGTCTAGGTCTAAAAATAATCTGAAACAGCGTTAAGATCATCAGCATTCAATAAAGCCACGCCTTCTCGCAGAAGCGTTCGCCAAAGCAGATTGCGCGTCCGGATCGGATATGACGGCGTATCCCAGTATCTGGCCCCAATCCCCCGTTCCTTGGCAGTAGCAATCTGCGATCGAAGAGTTGTGAGCTGATCATTGCTCAAGGCTGGTTCTGTATCAGCGCTCACCGTGCCGACTGTAGCTTTGAAGCTCGTCGACGCAATGGGAGAGATCAAGGACGTGATATCTTCATTCTCCTCCAAGGATTTAAGATCCGAGTCGAAGAAGTAGTCCCGGTTCGCAACGGGTCCAACCATGTCAAGAGGTGTTTCTCCAGTCCCAATGACGGTAATGGGGCCATCGGTGATGGTCTTGTTATCTTTCAGAGTCGTCAGGTAATCCAGATCGCGCAGTGGCTGCAGGGCGGAAATGACGGCTTTAAAAGTCTCATGACCAGATGTTTTTGTGTCGATGAAAAAGTACAGAGTCTGTGATCTATCAGTGTCGAATACGCCGCTGTATTGTTGTCAGCACAAAGACATGATTCTCTGACAATGCATGACAGATCGACAATTCGACATGGTATACTTACTTCTTGGTAGGCGAAGTCGCAAACACGCTCTTGGGATTCTGGCGTTTGAGTACATCTAGCATGGGGTCGATGTAGAGAGACTCGAGCGTTCGCTCTTCAGTCAACGAAGACTCATCATGGCCAACCTGATTAGGATCAGTGAATGCTATCCACAGTAATATCAGATCGAAGTAGGACTGACATAAAGTGTCCCATTATAAAGCCAGACGTCTGCTTCTGTGGACATACAGCCTTTTGAAAGACCTTGAGAGGCAATCAGCGTTAGTGGTAGCCTTGAAGGATAGATGGTAGTGTCACGTACCAGTGTAGAAAGGTATATCTCTCCAATAGTCACTAGGAGATTGTTAACATTTTGACTAAGAAATGTTCCAGTGGTAACTCACTTGTGCGAATGAACAGGGATCTAAAGACCACAATTGTTTGTTAATGTTTACACCAAGAGGTGAGACAATAATGCATTAGAGATGAAACTCACAGGCACAATTCCTCTTGTCAGATCAGTAGGATATCTATATCCATCACCTCTATGGGTGTTCTGCAGGATATTCTGGAATTCCGACGAGACAGCGGCCAGAGTTGGGGATGTGAGGAACGCAGATGCGATGAGAATTGACTGTGGCAGCATCATCTCGACAACTAATTCTTCATCAAAAAAAGTATATGGATAGGATTTCTATAAGGATAAAGAATGGAAAATATCGAAAGAAGAGGAAGAACAGACTATTATACTGGCATTGCCGACTTCCGGAAATAAAGATGATCGCTGATTATTGATGCTACTTGGCAGAACGCCGAGAATACTCTCCAATCCTTCTTTCACGTGGAGCTCTGAATGGCACTCGACAGTCCATTTTTGGTCGGATATGATCTCTGAAGAGGCAATAATCACATATTATTGACATTATATGGATGGACTACCGTGACGGGTGTTTGAGCTGATAACCTGTCATATGCTCATATAGTGCTACGATTCAAAACATAACCAGTCCCACGGTATTTTAGAAAGTAATATAATGGAAATAATGGTCACCACTAATTGCATCTAGCTCATACATTTAATGGCCAAATTCGCTCAAGAACACCGGCTGATTTGTGCAACGCCGGCCAGGTATCATGAATTAAACAAAGTCGTTAAAAGACTACCTTTTTAAAATAACATGGCTCGTTGCATTTTAGCCCCGCTGAAGAATATTTGGAAGCTGAGAGATTGTAAAAGGACTAGACTTCTCGAATGCTCGGGGGTCTGGAACCGTTCTGGGACTCTTGTCCACTGTTACGTCTCAGACTCAGGTTTCCGATGCGCTGGACCAAATTGCTTCCAACAGCATCGACGGCACCCTTAGGCGCAAGCAGCGTAGGGCCCTGTGCGGCTGCTTCCTGGACCCTAAATAGCTTGATACTAGTTCCATTCCACACTCCGACTGTTCCGGGGGTGGCGCCGGACGCAGAGCCCACGACCATCTCACTCGAGAAGATAAATCCCCAAAGTAAAGACTCGTACCAGCCCATTGAAAGAGCTGACCATTCAAATGAATGTACACGAACTGGTGAAGGCTCAACGATGAAGTTCTGGATCATCGGGTCCTCCACAAAGGAATGAATGTTTGCGATCAAAGTTCGGGCCTCTGGATTTGAAGCTGACTGGAAAGCAGTGTCAGGAACGTGGGGAGTGATGACCGAGATGATCGTAAGAATAGTGTGAAGGGGAAGCTCATGCAACCAGGATTCGATCTAGACAATTACTGTCAGTATAATTGAGCGACCAAAAAGTTACCAAGGAGGTTACTCACCCAAGATGCTGTGGGTGTGAAGCCACTGGAAGACACCGGGAAAGGGATAGACATGCTACTTTGGCTGGTCATGCTGTTCTGTCTAGAAAAGGATGGCTGCCCAGCTGGCATTTTACCCCGCGCCTTCTCGGACATCCCGCGCAATTGCAGAGGGACGCTCTCGTCCAAGGTCGACGAAGTGGAGGTCCTTCGGGAATTTTCAAGTGAAGGAGAAGACTGGGATGGGGTATTGTGTTCTTCTCGCTCATCGTCGGAATCGTCATCCCCACCGATTGCAAAGGGGCTATTCTCTTCTGGAATACGAGTCAATGCTGATCGTGCATCTGAAGAGCCATGGAGGTCCTCTTCAGACTGTGAAAGTGTCGGGCTAGACACAATGTTGTTCGACTCATTGTCGGCCTTTTTCTTCTCATTTTGACGCTCTATTTCTTGCTGGCCACTTTCAAGTGTAAAAGCGCGGACCGCCTCGAAACGTTTGCGATACTTTAGGATTGCGTAAACGAGGTACGGGTTTTCTGTTATCAGTTAGTCAGGCAGTTCATAGCACGGATGTTCGGTGGTTGGCATACTAGTAAATTGATGCTCGAGAATCGAGTTGATAGATTCAAGCACAGAAGAAAGAAGCGTATGGTTGGTCTCGTTAGCGAGTAAGAAACTAGGTGCTGACATGGACGAGAAAAGCTGCAGGATCTTTGAGCATGCTCCTGGGGACATATGCTCCACATATGGGGCTATGTTATTTATGATTGCCAGCAGAGCTGGGTATACAGCGTTCAAATTCCCTTTGCTTGCGGTGATGAGAGTGTGAATGGACTGCTGATGTTAGTAAACTCCTTGGTTGCCATCATTCCAAAGGAAACAAACCATGATCAGATAATCGGCATAAGAGCCCTTGAATCCCGGGATACGAATGTTAAGCGGTAAGGTTTCTTGCGCTTCAAATTTCTTATTCAAGCTCTTTCCAAAATTGGCCTCCACGCTCATGGTTTGTAAAATGAAAATGCACATCCGGACGACACCCTGCTTGGCAGGATCGCACCTGTACTCAATGGAATAGAAGATGCACAAAATCAGGAAGTCGTGCGAGCGGTTCGAGTCAATGATAAATGACCTGAATCGTTTGTTGCACTGCAAGGCTTCCCAGAAGAGAACCAGCATCTCGGGTGCCCACTTGACAGATCTTTGGCTTCCGGGGAGGTAGGAGTTTGTCGCTTGCATCTGATCTGTTGTAAGTAAAGGCAAGTGTCAACCATGGTGGTTAAGCATACCGGTTGGTTCAGAATCCTGGTCATTCCGTCAACAAGAAATTGAAAATCTTGGGGCCGATGCAATCGCCCAAAGTAGTGACGGTAGTAGTTCTTTGGTGGACTTCCGCGGCCATCCTCAGGAATAGGGTATAGAAGTAGAACAAGAAGAAATTGCAAGCAGTATATGACCAGAATTTGTTTGGGATCTTTCCACACCACATGGTCATATGGCACTCTCCAGGAAGCAGGGTTGTATTTAACTGCCTGTACATGAGTTAGCACGATAATGGAATGAAGGTATACTAATTATTCATAAACATACAGTATTCAACAGCGAGCATAATAGGGTGAGGACGGCCTGCTTGTCAGAGCAAGTTGTGATGTATGTGATAACCCTCACACCTTGCACCGGCAATATATCTTTGGACTGTCAGTTGGATCTATGCAAGTCAGGTAGGATATTGACATACTAGAAGGCATGTACATCGCCTCTCCCGTCAATGTGAGCAACAGCCGGAGGATCTCGCAACGGTTGCTTTCCAGCTCTTTATTCGACCCCATGGAAGTGTTGCAACCAACACCGCTCTGCCAAATCGAAAAGGAAACCTTGCTTTTTGTCGTTGGAAGTCTGGGAATGGTAAAGTCCGTGAAGAACAAAAGCTCGAGCAAAGTGTCGACCAACTCCTCTGCCAACGGTTTCACATCTTCATATTCATCAGTCCGCGGGGATCCCTCATTTCCCCCCTCTTCAGTTTGCGCTTCATCAAAAAGCACATCGGCCGCAACCTGTGCCTGCCTGGTCTTCTTCTTGCGACGTGCCCAAAAGAACTTTTCCTTCCACTCCTCCAAGTGTTCTGCCTCGAAGACAAAGGGGAGGAGCCGAGTCAGAATACGGATACAGTTGAGTGCGTCTCTGTCAGGAGCAAGATCCGGGTCCGGAAACGACGGGTGATTTTTCAGGATATTGAGACGAGATGTAGCTGAAAGCAGTAACGTTTCGAAGTTTGATAAGGCATGGTCGCGAGTTCGTCGTATGTCCGCGGGGGTGAATAAACTGAAGACATCCTCTGTTGACTCTGGGAGCTCCCAGAACTTCAGAGATAAGATTGTCAGTGAGCCTTGCTACAGATAACGGATATAGGCAAAGGAAGACAAACTCTGGCCCAGTAGGGATCGTCCGCTGGAATATCCTTCTCCTCTGAAAGGCGGAAGATTCCTTGTTTGAAGACTAGCTTCGACTCCGAGGCTCCCATAGTGAAACCACCGACAGTGATCAATCAGGGAATGGTCGACCTCATACAGTACAGCGGCCTTCAGGATGAAGGGATATCTGGAACAATGTTGGTCCTTCAGGGATTGGCTAGGGTGTACCTGATGTGTCAGAGACCGTGGATGGACGTATTTGTGGTATGTTGGCGTTCCGGCTTGTCGGGGTTGTAGCAAGAACCGCGGGAACTAAAGCGAGCCCAGACTCTGCGGAGACTATCGCAGCGAGGGCGTTTCCAATAATAAAGTGACTTGTTTCATCAGGTACCAAAGGCACTGCGACCCATAGAAATCATGTAAAAAAATAAATAATTCGGCGTGATATTTCTAGCGTTGGATTCAATTTTAAATGGTTCTCTGTCAAGAACATGATTTACACCACCACCCCTTGCAGTCGCATCAATGGCACACTACAAAAGAATCAAAGAGTCCCGTTGCTTGCAGACAACCGTCTGCTACCCCTCTCATACAACCATTTATTGCTCAACCCGAGACTCACTCGCTTGCCTCCTACTGGTGAAGGTGTTGCAGGCATTAGCGATTCTTTAAAGGGAGAGCTCCGACCAAATGGCGAGGAGGACCCAAAGCTTTGCCTCCGTCCATTGTCTCTGTTTCCATTTGAAACCGCTTTGTAAAGTAATGGGCTGGTAGAGGGCGAGAAGGGTGTGCTCGACGAACCCCTGCGTCCTGACATATTTGTGCCTGTCGACAATGGCGATGCACTCCTGCTCGCCGGACTGGCTGTCCGTGATGCAGAAAGACGGTACCTCGGTGGGGTCACGTATGTAGTTCCCGGTGTGAGGGGTGGTGTGGCTGAGGGATCAAGCCCGAGAAGTGAACGTTGTGTGGGGGTGAGAGGAATATCAGAGAGGTCGTCTTTTGGTCGGAAGAGAGGGAACAGTGCAACGAGGATATTCAGGGCGAAGAAGAGTCGCAGAATGAGAAGAGGAAGATCGGAATAGCTGGATGACTGATCGAAGCTTTGCAGTCGAAGTGTACTGCAAGATAATGATCAACAACGGCGTCCGAGGACGATCAGTTCGACACCACTCACTATGATCGGACAGTGTTCCCGAAGACCCAAGTCGCAGCTAGAGCCGCGCCATTCCACAAAAGCTTTTTGATATTTCGATCTCCAAAACTCGCAGCATTTTGGCGTTTCACAATCTCATCGAGATGGGGGTGGCGCCATTTTCCAGGCGTCCGAGATTCATCGGGCGCAGGTTTGGGCGCGGATGCTGGTTTAGGGGTAGATGGAAGGGAGGCCATTGAATTGGAGGGGAAAAAACGAAGAGCACACACTGAAAAGCAAAAAAGAAAACTGTTTCCGGCGTGAGCGCTGGGGAACCTTGATTTGGAAGGTTGGGGGAAAGATAACTTACCTTAAGGGAATCTTTGATTGAACTTACCTGTAGGGAGTATTTTACGAGACCGTCACGCGGGCATTGGTGATCGACTTTGATTTCAGCTATGGCAACAAGCTGTCTGCAATCATAGCCACAGCAAGGCGTAAGCAAGATAGCTCGAGGTAGTGGTGGGCGGCGTTGGAGATATGCTTGTTTTGATGATGCGCAGGTCACTCTTCGCACTGGCAACCGCAGAGCGATGCATAGACGCTGCTGCCGCGAAGTTTTCAACCAGGGAGCTAGCCGCCAAGCGCCGGGAGGTGATCTCCGCACTCCACACCGGCTGAGCGAGTGGCTGAGACCCCCTCACGTCAGCAACTATCGATTCACCTCGACATGACGCTTCGCTGTCAGGGAGTTTCATCTTATTTTCACAATTGAACTTACTTTATTGATTTTCACAGATAGAATAACTCAGAATGGCATCTGAAACGTCCCTCGTGGCGAAATTAGATGCCGTGGTTGCCGATGTTCTGGCTGACTGGAACATCTACACGACTCTGATTGCCGGCGCTCTCCTTGCCTTCGTCGTCATCTCGTTTGTCACCTCAAAAGACCCTGATATCCACCCCTTTCTGCTTGCCCGTCAGTCAACGGCATTTCCCGTACGACAACCTGGCGAATCTTCCGCATACCGCAGTCTGGAAACACCATATGGATTCCCTCTCAGGTCGGGACTTAATGTTAAAGATCCGGGTGCACCGAAATGGACAAGTGGTAGAAAAGGAGACTTGCGGGATGTCTGGAAGTCGGCCATCCGTGGAGCTATAGAGGAGGGAGCAGTTTCTGGAAAACAGGGCAAAATCTATACAGTCCTGGGCAGAAAGGCGATTGAACATTCATTGGACCAAATCACCCAAGAAATGAATGTTATCGGACACAAACTCCAGGAATCTGAAAAGAAAACTGTTGCTGTCTGTCTCACGGACTCTGTCGAGCTTTTGGCCTCTATATTCGGTTCGGAGTCCCATGGTACCTCCTGTTTGCTTCGCCATACTAACCAAGTTTGACTCAGCTGGTGCATTCTATGGCTTCAAGATCATCCTCGTCCCCCACAACCTCCAGTCCGAGACTTTGTCCGCTCATCTACAGAAGGCAAAGGCCGATGCTTTGATTGCCGAGGCTGGTGCGCTTGACTTGTCTGCCGTGGCTAAAGGAAACGAGCAACTTACTCAAGTCATCTGGGTCGCAAAGCTTGGAAGCAGACATATGGATTGGAATGATATTCCCGGAGATCTTAAGGGCAGTCTGGAAGTCGCTGTGTGGCACGAATTGGTCGAAGAAAAGAAAGACTTGGCAGGACTCGAGGTTCCTAGCTGGGACCCGAGCTCGCCTTCCCCTAGCGTGACTACTGTTTGGCCATCTTCATCTCAAGAAGGTGACTTTATTGAATATGGACCTGAGGTATATCCTGTAATTTCCCTACTATATTATCCGAGAGGCTCACCTATCTTTTTTAGAACTTGGTGTCTGGTATCAGTGCATTGAACACCGTCTTGGCTCGTAACCAGCGCTTCAACAAAGATGATTTGGTCCTCTCGGTTGATTCCCTTTCTCGTACCTACCCATTGTGTCAGGTTATGGCCGCACTCTTCTCGAACGCATCCATTGCTTTGAATTCCGTTGCTGGAGAGAACGTCGACTTCGCATTGGCTACTGTTGGAGTGTCTCCCACTGTAATAATCGCCTCCTCTCGCACGATGTCTGACTACCATGAAAAATTCATGCGACCTCACTCTGGAATCGTCTCTTCTATTTCCCACTGGTTCCAGGCACGCAAATTGGATGCCGGGGTCATGCCATCTCACAATCTGACTCAAGTCACGAACCTTGGACCGATCGCCGAACTGTCTATCGACAAACTTCGATTGCTGTGCATCTCGCACCGTTTTGATGGTGACAAGGATGCCCGCTTGACCTCTGAGCAGCTGACGGATCTAAGAATCTTCACTGGAGCTCGTGTTGTGTACGCTTTGACCGGCCCGGGAATTGCTGGTGCTATCAGCCAGACCAACATCTTCGACTACCGGAGATTCCAGGGCCCTAGCCATTTTGGGTCTCCATTGAGTAGCGTTGAAGTTGTCCTGACCGGTGTCTCGGAAGGCAACGGGCCTGAAGCAGCTACTGAAGGAAATGTAAGTTGAACTGCTTACCCCGAATTATATTTAAGCAATTTTTGCTAACAGCTTTTAGATCACTGTAGCTGGTCCTGCCGTTGTCTCTGGTAGAACGACTCTATCAGGTCGGGGACACATCCGCTATGACAATACACTGGAGCTCTCCGCATAGTGCATTCAATAGATTCTTGCCGAGGCATATATGGACGAAGAGAATTTGGGCGTTGTTCACCATCAATTTCGGTATTTTTATTCTAGATATAACCGTTTATTTCGGAAATACTTATGGATGACTGAAAAATAAAAAATGATATCCATTTTCAAATACAAGTACTTTGAATGATCCTGAAAGCGGTAATATACATATCGTAGATAGGGTGTGAAACAGAAATCAGATATAGCTCTAATGTAAGAGTAGGCTTTGCTCATAGCCTCTCGATGGTTGTTGCATGACCTTCTCGGGAGCCATTTCCTTGTGGCTTGTGATCGCCATGTTCAGCCCGTTAATGCGGGTCTTCAAGCCAGAGCTAATCGTCTTGTCCTGGGAGACCTCCTTCACCTGCAGCGCAAGCTTCATCCCGTTGTAGATAGGGATATTCTCCTGCAACATTTGGTCGGCATTGACCCAGGTTTTGGCGTCCCGGGAGAAGTTACCGAGAGACCAGGTTGCAAGAAGCCGCTGGGCATAGGCGCGGACGTGGCCACCTTCGTCGTTGCCTCCAAGCTCGTTCACGGCACGAGCAGCGCTGAGCTCCAGAAGGGTTCCGATGACATAGGGTTTTCGCTTGGGGTCGAGCTTCACGTCGCGCTCGATGTGTTCCGGGGTCTCCATCAGGATGATAGCTTGCTTAGCCAAGCTAAGGGCCTTTGTAACTGCGGGGTCTTTGAACTCGCCTCGCTGGGCCTTACGGTGAAGCTCGAAGAAGAAGCTCTGAACGATACCGGCGTGGTTGAGTCGGAAACCCGTAATATCAGATCGTTTGGCACACTCAAGGAGAACACCCAGCGCATCAGCCTGGCCAGCTTTCCGTACCAGCCATTCCCAACGATCAGATTTGAGGACTCTGTGGGACATCCGTAGTCCGGCGAGGAAGGGAAGGATGTTTTGCCAGTCCTGGGGGGTCTTCATGAGGGAGATAGTGTCGACCATATCCCTGTTTGTCGGTCGTGATTGAGGGTCCATGGGCCGAAGCGTAAAGGGTTCATCGTTTTCACCAATTGCCACAGTGACGGGTTCTTCTTCTAAGCGGTCCGCGTATTTTTGTCGGGACATGAGATTTCGTTGCTGAGTAGTCAGTCCGAAGGGTACGAAGAGCTCTTCGCGGAATCGATTCAGGGCCTGGTCCAGCTCGGAGGAGGATGTCGGAGGGAAGGTTGGGATTGCTGCATTCGCGATGTTAGAACGGCCATTCTGGATACACCACAGGGACGAGTGTAATGTGAGTAAGTACCATTTTTCGAGTAGGCTCGTCTCTGTGTCAGAGCACCGATTGACTGCCGCAATGTGTTGGAATTCTGGCAGCGGAAGAGCCTGCCCACGGCGCTCTGCGCCATTGTTGCTTTGGGATGGAAAAAGGACACGCGGTGAAAATATCTGAGATGCGGAAGCCGGTGCTCCCCAGAAGTCCAATTGAAAATATCAAGGCGAAGCGTGGAAGTCCAGCTGACAGACGATCTCGACTGGCAGAAAAGTTCCCCGAAAGTCGATTCTTTGGAGGCTGGCCCGAACAGGCAATTCGAGGCTTGGCGGAAATTCTGCCGGACCGGATCAACCTCCGCCATCCCCAAAGTTCTGTACAGGAACAACTTCTGTTTTGTTATCGCCAGCCTGCTCACCCACCCCGTGCAATTCTTTCTCCAGCATGGCGGCCTTTACACCGACCATGCGGCAGCTGGGCTGCTTGAGGCCGCTCATGCGGACCCAGCAATTGATTCAACCCCAGATCAGATCGATTTCGACTGCCTATTCCATCAGGCCTGAGCCGACGCCTCTTCCTGCGAAGTTGCCCAAGTCGTTCCTTTCGCAATTGCCGGCTCGATTGCAGCCCAATCAGGGTATGGTTATTCGGCTCGACTCATTTTGGTTTTTCCTGCCTAACGTATGTGAAACTAGGACGCAAGAAGCTCAGGACCTACCCTCCACCCGCATCATCGCGTGCTACGTGCAAAGACCCCGTGGCAGCGGTAACAGAAGCTCAATTGGCCACCCTCGACCCGACCGGTGAACGCAAGGCGCTTTTCGACTACCGACGGAACCCCCGAAGTGTCAAGCCCGGTGACATTCTGCGAGTTACATTTAAGAACGGAGACCCGTTCTCCGGAGTCTGTCTTAGCATCCGATTGCGCGGCGTTGACACTGCATTCCTGCTGCGAAATGAACTTACAAGAGTCGGGGTGGAGATGTGGGTTAAGGTTTTCAGTCCCACCGTCGACAGCGTGGAGATTGTGCAGAGATCAGAGAAGAGGAAGAGGAGAGCCAGATTGTATTACATGAGGTATGTATTTTCACTGGTTATCTAGCTATTGGATATTCTCTGGGAACAAGTTGACTAACATCTATCTTCACCTCAGACAACCCAGACACGATATGCGCAGTGTCGAGAATATCGTATCGAACTACCTCAGACAGAAGTCGGCGCTCAGCGGCCAACGTACGCAATCGTCGTCTAGGAAGGGCAAGAGCAAGAAGAGGTAAACTCGATGGTTGACGCAGTGCAATGTTTGAGAGTTTGATGGATGTATTATTACCTACATATTTATTGTCGTATTTTTTTCGTCTGTAACCTTGATAGAAACCAAGCCATTGTCATTTTCTGGATCTGCTCCTCAAAACAGGCATATGAATAGCAGATAGCAAAGGTGTTTTATTACTTCTGGCTTCTATTCAATACATCGGAATGCATGTATACTCCTACAAACCTATGGGTATGTCTACAAGCAAGTTTGGTTCGAGGTATTCCCAATATATTCAACACTCAGACAAAAGTCCAACCTACGACTATCCAACCTCCCAAACGTCTGGACTCAGTAAATATACCGAAAACTACATGCCAAACGCACCACGTTAGCAATTATACCACAACCCAGAAAGTGTTAGGGAGGACATACTTCAAATTCTCCCTATCCGTTAAATCCAAAAACGCAGTAGAATCCAAGTCTCTCCCTTCCAGACCACCTTCCATTTGAGACTGAATACGGTCACGCTTCTTATTCTCCCATCGAAGGAGAAGGCCCAGGATGGTGATGAGCACTGCTTCGATCAAGTGCGAGACGATCATAGACCAGATGCCGAGTGCGTAGGTTGGTCTGCTAATGTTAGTTATGTCGGAGGGGGATGGATGGATGGACATACTTTTGGGAATCTTTGTAGAAGAAAGGTCCTGCAATGTTACCTGTGCAGTAGCCCAGGAAGAGGACTGCGTTGGTAACGACTTTCTTGGTATGCCCTGAGGATACCGTCAGTTTCTGTGTCACATTTCTCATTTAGAAGACATATACGGACCGGCAGTATTAGCAACTTGCATACTCAGGACCAAAACAAAAGCTGCATTATACGGCCCAGTCAAATAGTAGCAGATCAGACGGCCGACTTTCTGATCGAGAGGAACAAAACGTAGTCCAAATGCACCAGCCAAGTTGGGGAGTAGATATATCAGGACGAAGAGGCATCTTGTGTTTTCGAAGCGGTCGTTGAGGTACACGCAGGTTAGAATTGATATTGCGATTAGGACTCCGTAGGGGATCTAGGTACTGTTTTTAGTCTCGGCTTTAAACCAAAGTACAGTATATATCGGGGACATACCTGCATAAAGGTCGTGACTAAAGTCGAGAACCCGAATCCGTGAATGATGATAGTTCCAAAGTTGGAGATTCCTCCATTTGGGACATTGCCTGACAGCCCTTCATTAGCTTGATGTTTGCCAAAGGTCAATATAAAAGTAGATAGTAGATACTCACAAACAACACCAAGGATAAAGAACATATAGAGCTTGTAGTCCAGAAAAGCTTCCAGTATCTGGTACGGCTTGAGATGCTTATTCTCAACACCAGTTTGATTTTCTCGCAATCTCTCAACAGCCATCCGCTTTTCTCTCTTGGTGAGACCCGGTGCTGAGACGGGGGAATCAGGAAGGAAGATGAACATGACAATCCCCCATGCCGAGCACAGAGCACCACTGTATGTCTATGTTAGCAATTGGAAACATACAAAGCTGTCAGGCCAACTTCTTACATCACAATAAACTCGTATTTCCACGATGGTAAAGCGCCCCTGATATGGCCAATGCCATAACCCAGCAAACCACCGATTGCAATCCCAAACCCATTCGCAGTATACCACAGGCCAATTCGAACGGGCTGCTCACGTCGTGTATACCACATGCTAGTGATAAGCATAAAGCCAGGATCGGCGCAGGCTTCTGCGGCACCTCCCAGAGCGCGCAAGACGGCAAGGGTAGCAAAGTTGTGGCATGCCGCTTGGATCATGAGGAAGACGCCCCTGTATGGAGCTTTCTGTTAGTGTCGTGTTGTCACTTATCGAACTAGCCCACCTACCACATGAAGATATTCACTCCGAGATATTTTCCTGACAACACGAAAGGATTAGAATGTCTTCAAGTAGCTGAATAGGCGCATGGACCATACCAATTGGAAGACGTTGCATAAGAAAATTCGTTGGAAACGCCCAAGCCAGAAACCCAAAGTAGAATATACTACTGAGCCAACTATACTGCGTGCCATGAAGGTTCAGGTCCTCCGTGATTCCAAAAATCGCCGCATAACTCAGCGTAGTCTACGCATCGATGATGTACTATCAGCAAAAAGACCACAATGACAAAATCTGGGGGGAGAGAGAGGAGAAACAAACAATACCCACTTACCTTATCAATATAAAAGAAAGCATAACAAACAGCCAAATACGGCAGAATCATAAAATCAATCTTCCATAGCAAACTCCTCGCCTCGGCCGGGTCAACGTCTTCGTGTAGTTCATCCGGGTCATCGAATAATGCCATAGCCGTGTCGCCATCGGCTGACTTGCCCATTTTCCATTTCGACGGTGCTTGACTGCTTTCCTCGTGAGCGATTGTAGGACCCTCTTCTTCGTTTCCCTTGGAGCCGGGGTGTGGTTCGGGGGTGGAGATGGTTCCCATATTGACTGCTTCGTTGACCTGAGAAGAAGTCGATACTGGTGGATCAGGATATCAAAGATGCCATATGGAGATGATGGCGTTTTAAGCAAAATGTGCACACCTAGACGATGAAATTAGGTTCAAGAACAAGCAGCAACCATCTACCAGTCAGACCATACCAGCATCATCGATCCATGAGATAAGTAGAAAAGAGGGGGCCCAGCCATCGTCAACACCGGCGTATGTCCGTTTCCCAACTTGAACTCAAAAGAAAAGTCCCAGAAGCTCAAAATCAGAGTTTCCAACCCCGGATTCCTTGATTTGCGGGGAAACGAAAGCCTTCACGCTAGGAGGTATCTCGTCCAACGTGGGGAAAACAAGGGCTAACCGACGCATCACGAGACGCTTGGAAAGTGTAAAAGATACTTTCCAGTTCTTCCATTAGGCATGATGACAAATGACTGGTTAAGCTATCTAGTGAGAGTCGCACTAGATCCGATGAATCGTGACGCGGGGAAAGAAGACATCGGGGTGAATGCCGAGGACGATAATTGCAGACTGTCTGGTTATTTTCTCGGGCGATTGCCTTTTTACAAATCATGATAGGTGGAATACGAATAGTGCAGAATGCTTTGATCGTACCAGATGCCAGCATTGACCTGTGGCTTGTGCCGATCGTTGTTGAAGTGTCCTCGGCTGGAGAGAATCGTTTGAGGACGAAATGCGGAGAGGAGAGGAGTTGGTTAGGGCCTCAGGCCTCAGGCTGCAAGGCGTCTACGTGGGAGTACTGTAGTGCGGATTCAGAAAACCGAAGATAAGTGATGGATTTTGAGAATTCAAATATGTTCAAGTTGATTTGAATTCTATGATTATTTGACGTGCTTTGTTTTGTGACTTTTGTGTTGAACTGACAGAAGCAATAGAATTACATGCCGCTTCTGATACAATTATGATATCTTGGTATTAATTTCCATCTAAGCCTTTTTCCTGTTTCGATCTTGGTTTATCAAAGTAAAACTACCGGCGGTTGTAATTGAGATACCGAGACTGCATATAAGGTCAGCATGCAAGAAATATAAAACGCATCGGAATCACTCACTGCCAGGAACAAGATAATAAGATTCGACGCAATGTAACAGATAAAGATACCCAGATCACGCCACCGGTTGGCAAAGTCCATACTGAAAGTCTCGTAGAATTGGTCACCGACTTTATAGGCACAGTATTCGCACGATTGTGTCGCGTTGTTGAGGAGGTATCCTGCCCCTCCACTTTCGAAAAATAGTTGCATGTACTCGCCACAGGTTTGATTCGGTGGTGCTTGGAACCGGTTATACTCGCCTAGTGTGCATTGCACTGGTCGATCATGTAGCTCAGTCACTACCATACCCCCGACAAGACGCGTGAACGGGTCTAGCTGGTAGAGCCATGCTCGCCAGAACCCAGGCATCTGAGGCCGTGGAATAGTGACACCGCAGAACAGAGAGAATATGATGGATATTGGTGGGTTGAGCTGTGACGCAATGAAAGCATTCGGAGTTAGGGCTGCTATCGTCTGACCAAGCGTCACTGCGAAGAGTTCCGTGATCAAAATCATGAGAAACTGGAAACCAGCCCGATCAGAGGCAGATTGAAAGCCTGGGATATAGCAAAGGAGCAGGAAGAAACACACAGCACACAGTATACTGTACGGAAGCTCTGCTGTGACCATGGAGAATGCAAAGGCAAATTGGCTATACGTCTTAGAAGCAGCTTCTCTGTAGAAGACCAGCCGGGACATGTCATATCGGGGTTCAACTTGTTGAAGAATGATAGCGGGAATGATCGTCACATTGAAGATAACGAAAATCCGATACTGAAGCGAAGAGCGAGAATCATCTAGCTGTAGGAAGGCAAGTCCAGCAATCAGAGAAATGACAACATGGGTGAAAAGGCGCGTAAACCCGTAATTCCTGGATCGCCAGAAGGTTAGATTTGTCCGTTTGCATACGACCTTGAGTTGATGCCAAAGAGGTGTGGCGTATTCCTGTTCCATTTTCTGTGAGGAGTTGCTCTGTCTGACTTGCTCTGATCTCGTAGCTTTGATCTGAGCAATTTCCTGTTTCACCTGCTCAAGCTCTACCGATGTACACCACACATCACCCCAGTCACGGTCTCCTATCTGACGAGCTTGACCCGCACCGATGGCATCGAGCATCCACTCTGCAGGATTGGCATCAGGCGGACAGTCTGCGCCATGGCGTCGGAAGTACTCGAGCATAATGCTCGAATCTTGCCCAATCTCACCAAAGTATACGCACTCGCCTCCCCTTTGCAAGAGCAGCAGACGGTCGAAATTGCCGAAGAGTACCGAATTCGGCTGGTGAATGGTACACAATACAGCCTGTCCAGCATCAACAAGCTTGCGCAAAAAACGAACAATGTTGAAAGCAGATTGACTGTCGAGGCCAGAGGTGGGCTCGTCCAAGAACAGGAGTAGCTCGGGCTTTGCGGCCAGCTCAACACCAATGGTGACTCGCTTCCTCTCCTCCACAGATAGACCTGTTTCGGGTGTACCGATTATTGCGTCTGCAAGGTTCTCAAGCTCGAGCAGCGAGATAATTTCTTCCACATAGCTATATTTCTCCGACTGCGGTGTATCGAAAGGTTGACGAAGATCGGCGGAGAAGCGCAAAGCTTCTCTCACACTTTGCATTGGCTCATGGATATCCAGCTGTTCAGCATATGATGTACCTCGCTGGAAGGAAGTGCTAGGAGACGCCCCATCCACGAGGATACTTCCCGAGACCACCCCAATACTCTTTCTAGCGGCCAAGACGTCCAAAAGCGTAGTTTTACCTGCCCCCGATGCTCCCATCAGCGCAGTTAGTTTTCCTGGCTGAACGTATCCATAAACCGAATTGAGAAGCCGACGGGTGCCAGCAGGCACTGGAACATCGTAACTGACATCCTCCCAGGTGAAGACAGATTTAGAGGTGATATTCAGATTTGTGCTGGAGTCATTCAATTCCTTCGATCTTCGACTGGCCGATTTTTGCATGAGGCTTTCGTTCAACTCCTTTCGCTCCTCGTTCTCCTTTTGATAGAAAGTGACGGTTTTGCCTCCGGCGCCGAACTGAACAGTTTCACCAAAGTACAGATTCAAACCAAGGAACCCAAATATGAGTCCGAGCATGATTCCAAAGTTTCGCCAGAGATCCTTGGGGTAGTAGCTAAATGTTGTTTCAAGATAGCTGGCGCCTGGTATGATATCTGAGCCGGACTCGCCTCCAGCAAGTGTACATGCTTGGTGTGCGATATCACCGTAGCCGGGGCCTGAAGGGACTAACGAGCTTTGAACACAAGTCATGGTTAAACGCTTGAATTCATTCACCATCAAGCTAGAAAAGCCTAGGCCGAAGGGATTGATATAGAACACCCATCTCAGCCAGACCTGTGCTTTCGACCATTGAATGAGGTAACCAGAGGTCAAAACAAATAGGGAGATTATCACAGATGCGAACTTTATGGCGTAGTCAAAATCAGGACACAGGCAGCCGATAGTTCGGAAGAAGACTGTCATGTTGATATATCCAGTGAGGATGATCAACACAAAGGTGAAGAAGGCTCCGGCATCGCGGACTAAACCGCACATAAAGTACACAATGATACTGAAGACCAGAATCCTGGCTATCGCGAATGTGGTGTCGACTAATATCTGAGCAATCCACAGCGCACTTGGTCTGTAGAAGGCAAATTGCCGGTGCTTGTTCACAACTGCCCGTCCCATCATGGTGCCCGCAAGTTCTGAGAAGGCTTGGAATCCATTGAAAAGCAGACTAATGAACAAAAGACCACCTCTTGTAAAAGCCCCAGCACTGGTTTTTGGCTGATTCAACCAAACAGTACCAAGGACGATAGCCAATCCAGTGGAAGTCACCCAGGATACGGTCAAAGCAAATTTATCTTGCCATTTCAGAAGGAATTGACGCTGCATCAAAGCCCAAACCTGCAAATGGAATGGGATCGAGTAAACCGAGGAGCTGGGGGTGAATCTGCGTTTGGATTCCCGGTTGGCAATTTCGAAGTCGTCATAGATCTGCTTATCCTGTTGCACCCGCTTCTTGTAGGACTGCATCTCCTCCTCCAGGCGTTCGTTATAGACGGACTTTTTGAACGCTTCTGCGAGGGTCTCTGGGGTAGAGGGGACATCATTTTCGCTTCTTCCCTCTTTGTATTCTCTTTCAAAAATGTCAGTGCAGCCAGTCAGATAGTCTGGAGTTGTCTGTCGTGGTTTTTCCTTGAAACCAAGACCCTCAAAGTACGAACGTGCTTCAGAGGCTGGACCAAAGAAGACCTGACGGCCTTTATCGATAACAAGGACCTTGTCAAATTGGTTGTAGATGTTTTCCGACGCTTGGTAAAGGGATACGAATGTTGTGGTCTTATATATGTTGGTCATGATACGGAGCGATTTGGCAAAGTCGAGGGCTGTAGAAGCATCGAGACCACGAGTACTGTTGTCCCAGGCGAGAACCGTTGCCGCTGTCACCATCATTTCCGCAATACTCACCCGACGCCTTTCTCCTCCTGAGACTCCTCGAACGAACTGATTCCCGATCATCGTGTTGGCAGTGTGTTCAATGTTGAACATTTTAAGAAGCATATTGATCACTTTCTCCTTGAATTCGGCTTTTGACACCCCCAAAGGTCTTTTACCTGGAGTCTTGGTATCCAAAGCAAAACCGAGTGTTTGTTTGACGCTTAGTGTCGGTTGGTGAATGTCGTCTTCCTGATTGTAGACAGCTTCGCCACGGAATCTCTTGGAGAACGTCTCGGCATCAAAATGTCCATATAGAACCTCTCCATCAACGCCTGTAAACCCAAAGCGCTGATTCGTAAGAACCTTGAGAAAGCTGCTACATCCTGAGCCTGGTCTTCCCAAGACCAATATCATCTCCCCGGGTTGTGCAACACCTCGAAAGTCTTTCAGAATGTTGACCTCTTTTCCTTTTCTCCCGAGACCAAACAGATTCATGAGGGTCTCTGGGACATTGAAGAAATCCATGATAGCATCGGGGAATGTCTTGATGATTGTCTTGACACCTCCGATGCCTCGAACTGTGAGGTCGTCCCATATTACACCTACTGAATTAGCCAGGAGCCACACTAATGGAAAGTAAATACTACTTACCAATATGCTTATCTTTGATCCCCGCCTCAGCTTCAGCAGACCTATTACCACGAAGAGCAGTTTCAAGATCCCATTCCTCTTCAGAACCAGCCGAGCCCCCAGACTTTTCTACATCCTCGGTTGTCACCCCAGCCTTGGAAGGCCTAGAAGCTTGCTTTGATAGCCGGCGGGTCTTGTGGGAAATAGTGGAGAGCTGTCGGTTCAGCTCGGAAAATTCATGCTCGGCCCTCTCCACATCAACATTAGCCTGAGGGGAAGTCAGGCCTTGGGGGTTAGAGAGTCTGATCTGTTCACGAGTCTGCTCGTAATCGTTTGCAGTAGACACAATGTCAATGTCGGAACTATTGCTGCTCTCGGAAGGCAGCTTCTCGTCCATGATGTTAAGTTTTCCTCGAAAGAATGAGGTGTTCTATTGCACTGAGATAGAAACCGGTGTGGACCACTTGGGAAAGTGCGTCACTCCCTTGCGCAGGAAGACATCTAATGAAGAGGTGTCGAGAATGCTCAACAGTGTGATTCCTGAGCCCTGACAAAAGAGATAAATCGTCAGTCAGAAACCACAAAAAGAAAATACCACAAAACGCCATGGAAAAATTCAAGCAGACCAGACATATTAAACCCTGTAAACCCCGAGACGGACTCAGGCATTCACCGACTTCCGACTAGAATAATCCCTGATGTCTTATCATGACTCCATAGTTGTGGGGAAAGATTGACTCATGTTTGGGACTAGATCCTTCATGACGGACTTAAGACGAGGAGTTAGGCGCCGTTTTACCGGGGTGTTTTTAGCCATTGTGCCTAGCCTTATGACTCGAGAAGAGAATATAGGGTTGTATCCGTCGGTAAAATCCGTCAGACGGCGTAGTTTCAAGGCCGAAACGTCGCGACGCCAAGGGCAAAAGCCACGGTAGTGGTTGGTTGATGCTCGTGTTGGTGGAGAGAAGAAAAGACTGGAAGATTGTCGGAGACCGAAAGAGGAAAAAGAAACATCCAGGCTAGGGCTTAAGCTTGACAGCGACGATCATAAAAATTATTCCATCACCTGCATAACTGTACTACAGAGATTATGTATGATGACGATGCTTTCCATACAATCAGTCGCATTTGACAACCCCCAACAATACGGACTGCCTGAATCCCACCTTCAGTCCAACAGGGCTCAACAGATCTCGAAACTGCCTCTCAGAACGCTCTTTGGCCGAAAACAGGACCACCATGTTCAAGTCTCCATAGGCCTCCAATGAGGATAGCCTGGCCGCATTGTACGAACGAACCATGTTGCGAATTAAAAGAATCGAGTCTTTGCTCATGGCGTCGCGAACGGGAATGAGGATTTTCTGCGCTTCCTTGTCGGGCTAGGATAGTGAGTTGTAAGAAATCTATTTAACAATGATGCAATGGAAGAAGGAATACAACCGCAATCTCTGTCCTGTATTTTATAGACAGATCGGATCCTGCTTTACTGATTCTTCAGCGTCTTGCCAAATTGAGTTCAATTGATTTATCAGTTGTGGTCGTTGAATAGTCCGCTTTGCATGCTGCATAGATACTGCATATCTTCTGTTGTCTGACCGAAGCCTGTGCATATACATAACATCACTTTCAAAATAGATGCTGATTGTCTTAGGTTTACTACTTCTATCTACATAAGCAAACAAGTAAATATTTGTAGTATGATTGATTAAAAATGCACCAACACCATCTAGAAAACAGACAAGAGACTTGACCTCGTCGACTTCGGCATATTCGAGACATTTGGTAAATTCGATGGGAGGATTATGAGTGGCAAGGCCATGGTAGCCAAAGGTGCTTTGTCCGTGGAATACAGCAGCCATGGTATCAAGATGATGGATAGGAATGGATTGTAATGATCTTTGTTTATTCTACAGTCAAGTAGACAGACGGGTTTATATAGTATCTTCAGCTCGTCGTCCGACTAGACACAGATGAACAATTTGATAGCCAAAAGTACTTTATCCACCAGGATCGTCTACGACAATGCAGGTTTGTGAAATCAACAGGAGAAAAAGAAATACCGCTCAGTTGAATGGTCTTCAAAGCTCTCTATACAGTACTTCAAGTTTACCCCAAGTGGACCAACCTGCATATTCCTATTCCCACCAATGATGTGATGCTCTGCTGGAAGCGACTAGATTAGCCCTGCCACAGGCGATCTGGATGACAATCTGGATAGGTGAGATCCACTGTGAGATTGCCAAGCGAGATGGTGAAGTGTACACATGTCACTTCTCAATACATCATGCTAGAAAACATCAGCATCTGATCACATCATATTGAAGTATTGTCACGTACTTGATAAGCACCGTTTTTGCTTCGGTGTATTCGTCAATTCCTTGCTATTTGGACGATCAGCCATAATGGTATCACAGGGAACGATGCACTCTCTTACCTTTCCCAGCTCTCGTCCCCATCCACTTTGTCCTCGTCCTCCAAATGGAACGCTAGGATCGATAGTGGCACAGCAGTTGATACAGACAGTTCCGGTAGTGATCTTACTGGCCACCCGCATGGCTCGGTTGATGTCCTGGGTAAAGACAGCGCTATGCAGTCCATACGGGCTATTGTTTGCACAACTCACCACTTCGTCTTCGTCGGAGAAACCTGATATCACCACTACTGGACCAAAGATCTCCTCTTTGTGCACGGTGGCATTGGGCGATGGGTCAGTGAAGATGGTAGGACGAATCCAGCAGCCCTGTAGAGGTCAGCCAGCCAGCAACAGTAGCTATTCAACTAGCTAGTGAGAGACGGACCTTGTTGAACATCTGATCTCCGCCAGTAAGCAGTGTGGCTTCATTCTTGCCACTTTCGATAAAACTGGAGACGCGGTCGAAGTGGGCTCGATCCACCATGGGGGGATGCAATGTTGTTTCAGAGATTGCGTCTCCGTACTGCCCATCTACCTGTTGAAAGGCAGCCTGCATACGCTCGATCACCTGTTGCTTGATGTCGTTGTGGACGTAGATTCGCGAACTAGCAAAGCAAGCCTGTCCAGACAAGCCCACAATACCCTGGACACACCACTGGATTGCTACATCCATATTAGCATCTGGAAAGATGATGCTTGGACTCTTCCCGCCCAGCTCCAGCGAGACGCGTTTGAGGTTACTCTGTGCTGCAGCCTGGGCGATCTTCTTGCCCACCCCGACACTGCCAGTAAAGGAAATCTTGTCAATATCCATATGGGCGGCGAGAAGTCCACCCGTCTCACCGTCGCCTGAGATGAAGTTGATTACTCCAGGAGGAAAGCCCGCTTCATTGGCTAGGTTACCCAGATAGAGACTAGATAGTGGCGTCTTCTCGCTAGCTTTGATGATGATTGTGTTCCCCGCTGCGAGGCACGGTGCAGCCTTGAGGGCCATCAAGCCAATCGGCCCATTGTACGATATGACAGCCGCACAAACACCCAAAGGTTCACGATGGACGATTTTCAAAAGGCCAGTCCCATCATTGGAGGGGAAGGACTCCCCGCCTAGCTTTCCACACCATCCTGCATAATCTGAGTGGTCAGCCTGCATTAGTATGGGGCGATAAGAGATAAACTCACATCGGTACACCGTAGTCGTAAGCACCTTTTCAAAGCCATGAAAGACCTGCAAAGGCTTGCCGGTGCAGACCGCTTCGAGCAGAGCGATCTGATCTGCATGGGCCTCGATCAAATCGGCAAATTTCACAAGAATCTCAGCCCGTTTCGAGGGAGGGGTGTTGGACCATGCAGAGAATGCAGCCCGAGCAGCGGACACCGAGGCATCGACATCGTCTTGAACGGCTTTGTGCACGCTGTCCGTGACGATAGTGTCATCTTCCGGACTGTAGCAGCTCATCCGAGCTGGTGTCTTTGCCTCCACATACTACTGTTGTTAGACTAGTAGAGAGAAAAAAGAGTGAGAAACAAACCTGTCCGTTGATGAAAAGTTTCGTCTCCAGGGACGATCGATCGATGGTTTGGGTAGCCTTGGCACTTGGAATGTTGGCCATGGTTGGTCTGGAGGGGTTGTTGATGATGGAGATGGAGATAGCCTTTGGTCTCCATTTATAGCCTGGGTCGCAGCATCATCATATCTACTCGGCGATCTAGACTATATGGCCACGTCAGAGGGATAAGCATGAACTAAAATCTATTACCTACCATATACGGAGTATCACGAGACTAGAAGGTGGATGGCTGTGGAGGTATACTCTGTGATATCTAGTATGTAATGTGATTCGGACTGCAGATATAATGACGATCAAAGATGAGCTGCTCAAACACCATATGCCGATCTATGGCTAATACAGTAGTAGTCTCCATAGTTGCCACTTGCATCCTCGAAGAACCACTCGATTACTTTTCGCTGGTTTCTTCACTAAATGCTCCTTATGCAACTAATCGAAAGCGTATCACTCGACTTCTTCAGTGGATACCAATGGCCAAGCGAACTTGTATTCCTTGATTGCAACACACCGCTTCATCTAGACTGGTCTCGTCGATGCTGATGGAATGTGCATCCCGAGTATCAACCTATTCTCATCAGATGAATCATAGAAATAGGCTAAGCCCCTAAGGCATTGAGGCTGTGCGCGATTAGTGGGTATTCAACATCCAAAATTCATATCAACAGCGTGCTCTGCCCCTCCATCGTCCCCACGCCATCTCTGATTCACTAGCAAAATGACCAAATCCTCCTTTTCCCAGCAGCTCGACTATATCGTCGTCGGTGCTGGCGTGGCCGGCCTCACAATTGCCTCTCGTCTCTTTCAAGAACCATCCACCATCGTTCTTCTCATCGAAGCCGGTCCTGACGGCAGAGGTGACCCTCGCATTGAGACTCCAAGATTGCTAGCAGCCCTCTATGGCGATCCAACGCTAGACTGCGACTTTATGACAGAGCCCCAACCCCATGGTCTGAATTGCTAGATCCCCCAGCCTTGTGGTCGTGTGCTTAGTGGTTCTTCTGTGCTTAACTTTTCTCTGACTGTATCCGAGCCAGTCTGACTCTGACGCATGGGCTGATCTTGGGAATGAGAGATGGGGGAGTGAAGAGATGGCGCCGTATCTGTTGTCAGTTTTATACGTACCAGATGCCTAATGCTGCAAGGGCAGAGATGCTTGGTTTGAATGGGTACATGGGCAAAGACAACCAGGGATGTGATGGTCCGTTACCTGTTTCTTTCCCTGCCGTCTATGGACCGTTTAATCGAGCCTGGAATGAGGCATTGGGAGGGTTGGGCTGAAATAGTAATGCTGATCCTATCTTAGGAGAGAACTGGGCGCGTTTACCTGTCCTCTCTCCATGGATGCCACAAAGGGGATAAGGGGGTATGTAGTGGTGTATTATACGCCTGAGGTTGCGGCGAGAGGGAATCTGACTGTGTGGACAGAGACACAGGTTGAGAGGATTATCTTTGCTGATGACAAGCTAGATGGGAAGATAGTCGTAGGTGGAGTGCAGATACGCAGTCCATCTGAATCCACAATCGTCACTGCTCGACGTGAGGTTATTCTCGCTGCTGGAAGTCTGCAAACACCGCAGCTACTTGAGGTTTCATGGATTGGAAATGCCCAACTCTTCCAGAAGCATGGTATTCCGGTGATACTGGACCTCCCAGGCGTGAGATAATCTCCAAGATCATGTTATTGCATCGCTTAGCTATAAAGTGGCCGACGATCAGGTCTCGGGGGATGTCATGCGTGATCCGCAGGTCGTGCAGTATTTACCGCAGCCCTACCAGGAAACCAAAGGTGGTCCTCTGTCCGGGATGCCAATAAGCGCTGCATACATGCCGTTGGTGGATAGAGATGGGTCCGTTGGGTAAGAAGAGATCCATCGACTAGTGGATGAATACCCCCATCCAACTCAGACAACCCAGATGAAAGGAGAGAATCTCAACGCCAAATGCTTCTCAATCCCCAGCAGCTAACAGCCGAATACCTCTTCTTCCCAGCTCAACTGCGCACCAAACCCGGCCGTACAACAATGCACGATCTGCTCGAGAAAAAGGCAGTCGGAAACTACATCAGCATCCTGGCCATGCTCAGCCACTCTTTCTCATTAGGTTCCATCCACATCAAATCCTCGAATATACAAGAAAAGCCCGCTTTCAACCCAGACTATCTCTCCCACCCGCTCGACCTCGAACTCCTCGCCCGACACCCCCAATTTATCGACCGGCTTGTGCACACGCAACCCTTTCAGTCCTTTATACAGCCTGAATCTCGTATTCCCGCAGTGGACAAGGCGGATCTGGCAGAGTTGGACGATGCAAGGCATGTCGTGCAAGAACGGCGCTTTACCTGTTTCTACCCTGCGGGAAGCTGCTTCATGATGCCTGTTGAGAGTGGTGTAGTAGATTCGCAACTAAAGGTTCACGGTGTGAGTAACGTACGAACCGTCGATGCGTGTATATTCCCTCTCGAGCCGAGTGGGAATATCCAGGCGACGGTGTATGCCGTTGCAGAGAGGGCAGCTGATATGATCAGAGTCTAATAACCAATTAATTATCGAGATAAGAAGTAAACATAACTAAACAAAAATTGAAGAATTCTCAAAGTGCTACTGAAAGCCGCATCTTATTCATATTGCAGCCCTAAAGTGAGTATAGATCCTGATTGATAATCTGATTTGGGGGCCAAAAACACTATATCCAAGACTAGAAAGTAACTAAAGAATCCAAAGGATTTAAAGGATTCATTTTCTTTGTTCTTCTGATTCAGATTACAAATGATTGATTATAAATTCTGATTACCAATGCCTTTAATGAATCTATAGCATGTAGTTATGGGTATAAGTATGTTGTTCTGGAGTATCATCACCATCAACAACAACAACAACAACAATCACTTCTATTCAATCTCATTCAAACAATCAACCCAAATCCTCCAATTGAACCCATATAAAACAAAATGTCCAACCAAATGGCAACCCCCATCCGCCGCGTCGTCACCGGCAACAATCCCAACGGCACCGCCCACTTTGCCTCAGACGACATCCTCACCCCCTGGGATCCCACAACCTCCTCAACTCCCACCCCCGACGCCAACTTCGGCGTCATCCAAATCCACCGCTCCAAGTCCTTCCCAGCAGACAACACCCTCGACCTGCCCGATCCGCACCGCACCCTCGTTCCCCTCGCCGACACAAAGGGTCCCTCGTGCCGGATTCTCGACCTCCCGCCGGCTGAATCGGGGTGGTTCCATCGCACGCTGAGCTTGGATTATGCGGTTATCTTGAAGGGAAAGGTTGGGTTCATCACCGATGGAGGCGTGGAGAAGGTGCTGAATGAGCATGATGTTATTGTTTGTCGGGGGTCGAATCATGAGTGGGTGAATCGGGGAAGTGAGGTTGCGAGGGTTTTTGTCGTTGTTGTTCCTTCTAAGCCGCTTGTGGGTGAGGATGGGAAGGTGTTGGAGAAGACGCCTGCTGGGCCGGTTTATGATCCGGAGGAAGAGTGATCTATTCTATAAAACTACCTATTGCGTGTTGGAAGTATATACTTGAGGCAGTGAAAATTATGATTTGATACTCGCATTATGCTAAGGTAGCTGCATAGTTGTTGAGATACATATAAATAAGCTTATTCACCTATGAACTGCAGTCATAAGGTTATCTTACTAACTATAATATCCTCATCCTGATATTCAATCATCTAATAAAGTATCCTCAATCTTAAGCCCAAACAGGGTCAACGCTAGTCCCCCAACAGCAATGCCGATCACCCAATCAGAGCAAGCCAGGCCCGGTTTTTCCCCAGCCGGACTAACGCCCAATATTGGGGTATCACCTGACCTACAATCAATTTAGAAACAACTGATGGATGATGATGATGATGATAATGATACGATGGTAGGATTAGATGAGATTATTATAGAATATGAGGTCATACACAAACCGCATAAATCTGAATTAGGCAGTTTGGCATTTGCATGCATTTGCAGTATCTGGTATGTACTTTTAGGTAGCGCAACGGTTACATAGAGAGCAAAGCAAAGGAAAGCCCACACCGACTTTCGTGGCGTAAAATCAATAGTCTCTACTGCCGAATACCTACTAGGACGATAGTGCTCCGTACTAGCTATTATTATTCAGACTGTCTGAGAGCTAAGGGGATGTTTGCTTTTTTTCCATTTTTCGTATTCATTCTTCGCTGCCTTTTTTGCCCTCTTTGTCCTTCCGGTGTGGGTGTGCATGATTGGCGGAGTGGGATTGTCACATGTCTTTCTCTGGAATTTGACTGACGGACTGACTGGTAACAGCTGGGCAGCTTTATGTAGATGTAGTTGGTTTGAAAAGGATGTATTATCTATCTATAGTATATACACATGTACTGTATGAGGAATTTGAGAACAGTTTGCTGATCTTAGTGGAATCTGGGGTACCGTTTCTGGGGTAAAAAGAAAGCATCGTGTACGTATCTAACCTACGATCTCTGCGGAGACAGCAGCATTATTGGTTTGTTTATGTCGCACGTACATGGACGACGGGAGTCTATGTGTTGAAATAGAGGCTGATGACTGGCTGGCAGAGGATGATCTCAGGAACAGGCGACTAATTAGATGAGTGGCGTTGTTTTCTTGAATATGGATGGTGTTAACTCAGTTGGCAGGTGTTCATTCGATCCTTGGTCTATAATGAGTTGTCCAAGGTATGGATAGAAGACAATCGAATATTGAATAATACCATGTATGAGATAGAGATACTATGTACATAATAGGTGGCCATGTTGATATCTGGAAGAACCGGCTGGTTGCAACCATGGAAAACCATCGATCAACCAATCACATTCCACACTCAACAATACCAAATTTCGTCACTTTTTCCAAGAATGCAACCGCATCCTCCTTGCTCAAAGGCCCAAAACCCGTCATGCAGATCGGAAGATCCCTGACGTGGGGGTGTTACAGACCAGTTGAAGGAGGGGGGGGAAGAGGGGATACTCTGCTAGCAATAGAGTGTAGAAGCTCCCCCGCATTGCAGTCTCAACTAGACAGAGTCTCGAATCCTGTAAAGTGAAAATTCAGATGGGGATGACGATTGGGAAAAGCAAGTACTGTACTCTGGATAGCGTCACTCGACCAGACTTGACAAGTTGACGCTTTCTTGTGTCCGGGAAGCCGTGTGGCTATGACGTAACACCGTCCCCTCTCCGGTCGTTTTGCTTCTGCTCCCGATCCACGGGCCGTCAAGAAAGTGACTGCACGGCCAGAGTGAAGTGAAGTAATGATCCCATTCCCAACAGCTAGCTAGTGGATAATTCACTGCAGCTAGTAAGTTATCATCGCTCATTCGTATCGACTATCCTAGCCCAAACTGCATATTTATCATTTGGGGAGAAGTGAACCATCTCTCGACCCACCACGCAACCCGGCCACTCTGGGAAAAGTGTGGGTAAGGCGGTGCATCCTTGGGTGGGAACGCTGCCCTTTATAACCTCGACTCGGCCTTCGTTCTTGCTGCTGCTATCTACCCTGTCTTTTTTTCCTTTTCCTCTCTTTTCCCCCACCTGTGTCCTGTTCGACCTTTTCATCCTCCCCATCTCTTCTCCCCTATCCTTCTGCTTTTCTGCGCCGTTTGAACCACCATCATGTCGCGTACGAGGGTTCTGTTGGTCGGAGCTGCGGGTGAGACCGGAGGTTCTATCGCCAATGGTCTTCTGGAGAACCCGATTTTTGTAAGATTTCTACCCTTTCTACTCTATTTTCGATGAAGAAAATATTCTAACATCATGATAGGAGGTTTACGCTCTCGTCAGACCTAGATCCGTCCAGAAACCCGCCATCCAACGGCTGCAGGAACGAGGGGTTCACGTCCGAAGATGTGACCTCAGAGGCTCCGAGGAGTCTCTTGTGGATGCCCTCACCGAAATCGACGTCGTGGTCAGCTGCGTCGGTCCTGCTGAGCAACAGGATCAAATCCCCCTCGCTAGAGCCGCCAAGAAAGCTGGAGTCAAGCGATTCGTTCCCTGTGGGTTCATCACCATTGCCCCTCCGGGCGGCATCATGTGGTTGAGAGATGAGGTACCTTCAACGCCCACCCCCCCAACCCACTTTGGATGACATCACCGCTAACGGTTGTTTTCCTGCAGAAAGAAACTGTCTACAACCACATCAAGCAACTGGCCCTTCCCTACACCATCGTCGATGTCGGCTGGTGGTACCAGCTCTCCTACCCCAGACTCGAGTCTGGACGAGTCGATTATGCCATGACCACCGCAAACAACGAGATTGTGGGCGATGGAAACACACCGACCGCCATCACCGACTTGAGAGACATCGGTCGCTACATCGCCAGAATCGTCATCGACAACCGCACCTTGAACAAGATGGTTTTTGCCTACAACACCGTCTTGACACAGAACGAGATCTACCATCTCCTTGAAGAGATTAGCGAGGAGAAAATCCAGAGGAACTACGTAGGTCACCCAACCCCTGTCTGTCTTTTCATTAGCTCATCTATTAGATTCCCGAGGAAACCGTCTACACCAGAGTCCTCGCCGCCCGACAGGCCAGTGAAACCTATCCATTCGACCCTGTCAAGTTCATTCCCCGCTACTTGGCCGAATACCAACTGTCGTGGGGTATCCGTGGTGATAACAACCCGGAATTCGCCAAATACCTGGGCTACATCACCTCCAAGGAGCTGTACCCCGACTTTAAGCCGACCGACTTCAAGGACTACCTCGAGACCGTGGTCAGAGGCACGGCAAAGGGTATCTACACAGACCGTATCATCTCCCGGGCCCACCAACGGTCCTTCCCCCGCACCGAATCGAGCGACTCCCTTTATACCCGGATATTCCCAAGAACCGAATCCAGCGACTCCCTCTACATGTCCCGATAGACCGTTATGGATTGATATTCAAGGCGACGCTAGCCGTCCCCACTCAACTTGGTTTAGCGATGATGTATTTATGAACTCCTGTCGCTGGGGCAGACTGCGTTTGCTCTTGCTCGAGGGATTGCGCTTTTCTTTTCTCATGGTACATTAGACTTACCCGGGCGTTTGTGTTTTCATGGCTTCTGGGGGGATCAGAACCATCACTATATCACCGCTTTGCTCTCAATCTGGATTCTGGAATTCTAAATCTTCATTTCACATGCTTCTCAATAAGATTATGGTCGTACACTCAATTGGCAAGTTATCTGGGGTGTGGCTGCCCAGATTGGTAGGTGCTCTTGCCTACTTAAAAGTCTCCCACTACATTTACCAGCTGTTACCTTCATTCTTCATAGTACAGACTGACTACAATGTCTTGTCAGGTACTCACATTCGCTGCACCCATGCTTTGTCGCTCGGTATCATTTAAATTATTCATATCCCAACAATAACAATATCAGTGGGAATGTCACAATGCGAACGCCAACTACAGCACCCGATCCCAGAGTCGTCACAAGAGAATAGCGATGTTGCTTCTGAAAGTCCAAATTCAAACTGCTCCAGCTTCCTTCCAGGCCCAAATGATGGGCCTCCTCATTCTTTTGGTGATTTAAAGCCACGACAAGTCACCATGATCGGTCAGTTATTCGTCGACAACAGTTCAAGAGATCTATAGTATTAACTTGCGCTTCAGCCATCGGAGGAGCTATCAATACAGGCCTCATGGTTGGAGCCGGAAATGCACTTTCAGTGTAGGAGTCACTCTTCCATTGAACGGACTGCGCTGACGGTGATACCATAGGTCCGGGGTATGTCTTTCACGAGTTCTACGATTCCGTGCTAACACCTACAGCCCGTTGCTATCATCATTTCCTATACCGTTGTTGGCGTGTTGGTCTATGCAGTGCTGTGTGCTCTTGGGGAGGTGGCTGCCGCTGGGCCCGTGCCATCCACCGTCTTCGACCATGCCGAACGATTCTGCGACCCTGCTCTTGGGTTTACATTGGGCTGGATGTAAGCATCTTATCCGTTACCTTTTGGCACTTGATTGATTTGACTAGATATTGGTTGAAGTATCTGGTGGTAATGCCCAACCAGCTGACAGCTGCCGCATTAATCATCTCATATTGGCTGGACGCCGAGTCCGTTAATCCGGGGGTCTGGATCACAGCGTTCCTGGCTCTCATCATTACTGCCAACTATCTTGCTACACCTTTTTTTGGAAAATTCGAATTCTTTCTGTCTGCATTCAAGGTTCTGGTGGTGCTTGGGCTGATCATATTGTCTACCGTCCTTGTATTCGGGGGTGGCCCGGATCACAATATGAAAATGTTTAGATACTGGAAGAATCCAGGGCCCTTTCCATACAACGACACTGGAGTACTAGGGAAGATCCGTGCCATTTCTAGGACCATGCCGTCCGCCACGTTCGCCTATATCGGTAGTGAACTCATTGGGATGAGCATACTACACACCCCAGATCCTCGCAGGACTGCATCTCAAGCGATCAGGCTAACCTTTTACCGAATATTTGTGTTCAACATCCTCTGCGTCACGCTGGTCGGCATGCTCATACCTTATGATTCGGAGCTTTTAGCCTTTGCCCACGACGCCGTCAAACCAACCATGGCTTCGGTCTTTGTCGTGGTAATTCAACTGGCTAAATTAAACGCACTCCCGAGCATCTTGAATGCGTGTATTCTGATATTCGTATTGTCATCTGCCAACTACGGTCTTCACATGTCAACTAAAACAATCTATGGGTTGTCGCGGGATAAAAATGCCCCTGCCTTTCTGTCTCGGACTGACCAGAGAGGAACTCCCGTCTACGCTCTCGGCGTATGTTCCACCCTAGCATCGTTGGCTTATCTGAATGTTTCCAGCAATTCAAAAGCACTTTTTGGATATTTTGTCAACTTGGTCACCATGTTCGGCCTTCTCACATGGATTTCAATCCTCATCACCCACATCTCGTTTGTGCGAGCACTCAAAGCCCAGGGAGTACCTGACGAGGCTCTTACCTTTAGAGCACCATTAGGGTCATTTGGGTCAGGGGCAGCTCTAGTCTGTTGCTTTCTTGTTTCACTGATGAGAGGCTTCGAAATCATCGACCAGGCTGCGAGTGGCAAAGGATTCGACTATACAAATTTCATCACCTCCTACCTAGGAATTCCGTTATACCTTTGCTTGGTTATTGGATACAAGCTTGTCACCAGATGCAAGAGAATCAAACCCATCGAAGCTGATTTGTGGAGCGATCGATCTGTCATAGCCATGGGAGTAGCAGAAGAAAAGGCCAGCAAACAGAAAGGCTTGATAGATAGAATCATCGGAGCATGGCTGCTCTGATACAATCCACTTATTCTTTACCTGCTTCCATTGTAATCCTCCGTATTCCATATTCGAGTTCGATGCTCTGTATCAAGGCAGGAGTAATCCCCTCTTGTTCTTGCGGGCGGTGGATCCTGGCTGTTAACCGAAACCATAAAACCCCGAACTATAGCTACCAGACACTACCAGAGATAGCATTGACTTGTCTATCAAAATGGATGCAGACAGCGACCAAGAAGGAATGATCATCTCATCTGCAGGAAAAGAAAGCAAAGACCGCGAGTGCCGCACCAATTGACGGCGTCACCACGGCTGGTGGTGATTCGCCAATAGCGCCAACCCCTACTGGTTACTGGGGCTATCGACTTTTCGATCCCCTCCTTCTTTGTCTCCCCCACCACGCTCAATCCACACGTCTTTTTGAGTTTACCTCGTCTTTTCCTGTTTGCTCATTGCTGCCTATCCTACAGAGCATCTTTTCAAAAATACATGCACTGTTTTCTGATTGATCATTTTACTCTGGCATGATGTGGGACGGAAACGGCCCGTTGCATCCACTATTTGTTTGTTTGTTCTGAAAGCCTCTCAGCGGGGGGATAGTTGACTGATGAGCCTGAGTTTTGTCTTTTTATTTGATTTAGCATCGCATGTTTAAGCCAATTGCCTTTTGTTGAATAGAAGAAAACTTGAAAAATTCCGCTTGCTTCCCCAGACCGGATAGTTACGGTCTGCTTAGCAAGCTAAGCAAGCAAACATGGCTTCCCCCCGTACGCCAGTCAAAAGTGGAACAGAGCTACAGGTGGTGATTGACAAGATCAACGAGGAATTCTCCCTGAGACTACCTAACCCACATCTTTACTCGCCGTCGAAGAAGGAGGACAGGGACGAAGACCGTCTGGGATGGCGTGGCTATCTGGGTATCAAGCGGCTTTACTTCAGCCGGAGTGTGAATCTGCAGGAAGTACTGAATAACTTTGAAGATTGGGTTCTGTCCGAGTACAGGCCCGGGCCATCGAGGGGGGATTCTTCTGTTCTGCCGCGGGGGATGCAGATGCAACTAGCAGCCGGGGGTGGCGGTGGGGGGTGGCTTTCTGAAGCGGATCGAGAAAGGCGGCTGGAGTATTTGATGAAGTTGATTGATGATGAGATATACCTGCTCAACAAGGGTTCGTTCTCCCCGTACACAAAGGAAGCCAATATGGGCATGCGGGGGCTGCCTGGTGGATTATCACGGCCGTTGAAAAGACGACTGTCAGAGGAAGACGAGGATGAATTTCACACTGCGCCTAACTCGCCTGTCAAGGATGGTGATGCCATCGCTCACTCTCCTGCGTTGGATTTAAACAACTTTGAAGACCCGCACCTCGAGCCTTCGGTGCATATGGCGAAGACGCCCAAGTTCGAAGAACGAAAGACACCGTCTAAGTTTCTGGAGAAACTCACAGCGCCGGATAAGCTGCCGCGATATGATGGTGTGCCTGGGGCGCAGAACGGGCCGGAATTCAGTTTCTCGACGACGGCGTCTTCGCATCTTTCTGATTCGCGCGTTGGTGGGATTGGGGCGTCGTTTACCTCGAATGCGACTGATATTACGGAGCCGATGATTGATGATGAGTCGCTTTATGAGGATTCAGTTGTCGGGCAAATGACAAATCACGACGCGAATATGACATTCGACACATCACAAGCGACGGAGGAATATCTGTCTGAGCGTGCGCAGTATTCCATTGAAGGGAAGATCATCGATGAGCTGCTTCAGAATGGACCGTTTGCGAGCGAGCAGTCGTTTCCAGCCTCAGTGCCTTTGCGATATCGATATGAGCTGGAAAGAATCGGTAGAGCGTGGAATGTACCCTTCAAGCAGATGTTGAAAGGCAACAACGTCTCCTTCAACTATGGTGATTTCTGGAAATGGATCGAGGGACATAACCAGCGAGGCGAGAATGTGCTTCCCGAGAAACCTACTCGCAGGGCCTTTGATGCGGCCGTGGGAGACTTCAAGACGGATAAACACTCCGAGGTGGTTGTGCTAACAGGAGACCTGGACTGGTGCGATGAATCCGAGCCGGGAATCCTGAAACTAAAATTGAACCCGCTAAAGACTGAAAAGACATGTCGTTTTCACAGACGGTTCGGGTCGGATAGGTTTCTGAGCCTGACGATACCGGCACCCGCACAACCACCGCGACATCTGCGATTTACCTCCCATCCGACATTGTTGCGCGAAACCATAGCCTTGTGGCTGACGCAAAATGTGCATCGGTGCTTGGGGAGGACGTGGAAGCCGTTTTACGTGGCACAGGTCAAGTCGAAACGCAAAAGCAAGGGTGTAGAACCCAGATTCAAGGTGGAATTTTTTGCCATCGGCGGCAAGGATTTTGATCAGATATCAATGGCACCGCCGGTAGCTCCGAGCAAGCAACCAAGTGACAGACACACGCCGATGAGTTTGAATGCGCTCATAGAGTGGCATATGCCTACAGATGCGAATGTCGACGAGTCCAACTGCAAGCTCTTTCAGCGAATCTCGTTGGGGCTTTCGAAAACGTTTGCTACGGTCTCTCTAAAGCCGAGACAGGTTCTCTCGTTGTCAGACGCGCGCGAGCCAGGTGGGATGAAGATGAATGATGGGTGTGCCCTGATGTCACGGAGTCTAGCTAAAGAGATCTGCGATTCGCTGGGCATCTCAGGCAACACGCCTAGTTGTTTCCAGGGAAGAATAGCAGGAGCCAAAGGGTTATGGATGGTAGATAAACACCAAACGCATATTTCTGCCGACGGCGACGATAGGTGGATCCAGATTTCAGATTCCCAGTTGAAGATCAAGCCACATCCGTGTGACTGGCGGGAGCCGGTTGACGAGGAGAAGCTCACATTCGAAGTTGTGATGTGGTCAAAGCCACCGCATCCCGTCGACCTAAATATTCAACTTTTGGCGATCCTGGAGCACGGTGGGCGCATCAAGGAGTATGTAGCGGAACTCACCCGGGCTGGGATACAGGCGCTGTATCAGGATTTCGCCGAGGTGCTTCAGTCTAACAGCAACGTTCTTTGTCGGGGTCTTGTTCAGAAGATTCGACCAGCGGCCGATGATGGCGGTAGGTTGATGGCACACAATGTCAGGCGACTGGAGCAGTGGACGGCGAATGACACGGAGTGCATCATTCGACTGACAGAGGCTGGGTTTGCGCCGCAGAGCTTTTATCCTCTTCGTAAAAGGCTCGGACGGTGTTTGAGGGACTTGCTGGATCGATCTGTAGACGAGCTCCATATCGAAGTGCCCCTGTCTACGTATGCATTCTGTATCGCGGATCCATACGGGGTGTTAAATGAGGATGAAGTCCATTTCGGGCTCTCCAATAACTGGCGCGATCCTAACGGCCAGTTCGAGGATAACCTGTTAGACGGGATGGATGTCCTGGTTGGTCGTCTTCCCGCTCATCTTCCATCAGATATTCAGCGCAGAAGAGCAGTATGGAAGCAAGAACTTCGTCATTTCAAAGATGTCATCGTCTTCCCTACTCGAGGCAAAATTGCCCTAGCTCATATGTTGTCTGGTGGTGACTACGACGGCGACACGCCGTGGATTTGCTGGGACCAGAATATCGTCCAGAATTTCTACGATACCGACCTACCCACTGAGGAGTTTCCGGCGGAGCATTTCGGTCTCACGAAGCATAGTGTGCCTATGCGGGAGATTCATAGCATGGATGAGTTTCTGCAGAGCGCGTTCACGTTTAATATGACACTCTCCAACCTGGGACGGTGTTCACTTGAGCACGAAAAGATCTCCTACGACGAATCGATTAACTTGGACAAGGCGAAAGAGCTGGCGTGTCTGCTCAGTCACTTGGTTGATGGTCGTAAGGGGGGTGTGCATTTGTCTGAGCCAGCGTGGCAGCAGTACCGGAAACGCATCAGTCCCTGGGCCCGCGACCTGCCGGCATACCGCAATCCTGATCGTCGATATAAGAAGTCGAATATCATCGACTATCTGAAGTTCGAGGTAGCTCGGAAGGCGAAACACGCAGTCCTGGAACAGCTCGAGCAGTCATTCCCCGAAATGGAGAGTCATGGCACCTGGGACGAGGATCTTATCCGGCCGTGGGATGAAGCACACGAGATTGCAGAAACTGATAAGCCGAATGGTCTATACGCAGTTTTGGAAAACGTGTCTCGGGATGTTAAAACCTTTCACGATCGCTGGGTGACCTCTCTCTCTGGGGAGAAGGACTATTCCCCTGTAGCTCGCGATGCCGTAGAGCGAGTCAAGACCATCTCGCCTCCATCGGGGGATCATCCCCTGATTCATACATGGCAGAACAGCCAACATGAGTGGCTTCGGCTGTTGGCTTCGTGTACGTACAAGAGATACTCACATTCTAGTTTTGCGATACATGCATTTGGGGAGACGCTGTGTCAAATTAAGGCGGCTACATTGCCTAACCGGATTATTGCGAATGAGATCGTGGCATGTTATCGGGTCAATCAAAAGGTGGTGTCCCAATTGACAGCCAAGGAGGTACCAGAGGAGGATGAAGGAGAGGGAGATGAGTACGAGGGCCAAGAGGCGGTTGAAGCTATGATGCAAGGGATTCAAATGCCGGGAGGATATTATGATCTTGACGATGGGATATCTGTAGAGTGATTGAAGGATGGAGGTTTAAAGGATCGATAGGCCACACTCTATATCTTAACAGTTACAACTGATGCCTCAGGCAGGCATATATTGACACCTGAGGTGTCAGTTCCGGAGAACGCAAGCAGCAGGCGGTGAGACGGGTGTCGCTAGCACACTGTCACATGCGCCCCACCAGCGAATCAGAAGCAAGGAATGACATAAGATTTCAGCGACCAAATCCGCTTCTTCCACGACGGATGAAAATCCGGCAGATGAGGAGACTTGCAGCTTCAGCCGAGTTTGGCATGTGAAGAAGGATGCTGCTGGCGGGGATGATGCGTTGGACTGCTGGATTCAGTAGTCTTAGTCGCTGAGGCGAAGAGGATGGAGGGATTCTGTATAGCCCCACGAATAATGGTGCGTTCTGAATCATGAGCCGAGATTGCCAGAAATACGATACGGAGATACGCAGGCTGTCGCATGTCAATCATCCATCGCAGAGCAATTAATAATGCAAACAACTCGTAGAGAGAGGACATGTGAATATGAATATAATATTCTTTTTACTTGGCAATGATAATAAAATAATAAACGAATAATCGTACGTAGCCAAAGCATATTGACTCGGACTCGGTTTCCTCTTGCGTGGCGCGGATTTCTCTCCCTTCTTTCACGTGAAGACAAGATGAAGTTTTGATTCTCCAGATTTCCTCCACCTCCCAGTCACACCCTATTCTGCGCCATGAACAGTCCTCGTTTTTAGTTCTTCTCCCTGTCATCTGGTAACGATCGTCAGTTTCATCCCAATTTGTGTTTTCTCTTTGGACTATTTGCTGCTAGGGCAGTCAGTCATGGACCACCGTCCTGGCGGATTCGCTGCCCCGAACACCACCACCGCTTCACCTGGAGGCACCACCACTGAGACTTCTTCGTCTACTTCTTCCTCCTCTCCGTCGGTGTCTACCACTTCCCATCCTTCTTTTCAGCATGTCCCAACCTCCATGATGGAAGTCGATAATCAGTCCGCCGTCGAGGATCGCTCTCGTCGAGCCACCAGTGTTCTCTCCATGGATGACATTGAAGCCGCCCAGGCCCTCGAGGGCCTTCGTTCGGGTATGCCGTCCTATATTCACTCTTTAAATCATATATACTAACAATCCAAGAATATGCACACTCTCCTCGAACCCCATCACAGCAAACTCCCACCACCGTCTCCCCCACCTCCGACCCTAAACATCCAGAACCTCTCCTCTCCCTCCTCACCTCCACCCATCCGCTCATCTCCTCCGCCATCACCGGGTCTATGACCGCCTATACCACCTCCAAATCCTACTCGCCCCGTTTCAAGTCCGGAGCCGAGTTCATCGAACGCACCATCGGCACTCCCGTCGCCAAATCCGTCGGCTCGGTCGGTCGAAAGACCGGCGTTGATCGTGGTCTGCGCTGGGCTTTGCAGCGGAAAGCGTCCAGCTCGTCCAATGCCAATCGCACAAAGCGGCGCAAGGTGAATGGGGAGGCGGATGTGGAGAAGGGGGTTGGGGCGGGCGAGGAAATCGAAGAAGACGGTGACGCCGTGCTGTCGCATCGGGTGCGGAGTTCGTCCGATGTTTCATTTCCCGAGACGCTTCCGCCGTATGATGATCAGAAATCGCCGAATTATGATGACGTTGGGCGTGAGAGGCAGTCGAGACAAAATTGGCAGAGTCGCTTGGTTATCTCCACGTCTGGTCTTGGTGTTGCGATGAGTGAGGAATCGCTGCGCAGCTTGCAGTACTGTCTTACATGGCTGCGATGGGCCAATGGACGTTTGGGTAAGGCGATGACTGCTCTGCAGGGCGCTTTGAAGGAATGGGATGATTCCAGACAGCATGAAGGGGACTCGCTGCTGTCGCAACGCATCCAGGCCGTTAGGGAAGATGTGCTGTCCACACTGAAGCAGGTCGTGGACGTTATCTCCAAGTACGCAGGAGGAGCATTGCCCGAGAACGCGCGACTCCTGGTCCGTCGACATCTCACTTCTTTGCCGCATCGGTTCCAGGTCGCCTCAACCTCCAACCCACCGCCTGATTCCCCCTCAGCCGCGTCGGATGCCACCGTTGGGGCCCATCGCATTCTAGTTCTGGCGCAAGAGGGACTGGACATGATGGCGCAGGTCAGCGGTGTTGTAAACGACACTCTGGTCAGCGCGGAGCTCTGGTGTGAACGACTGGGCAGGAAGCGGCCATCGGATAGCAAGAATGCTGCCGAAGCTGAACAGTCTGAGCCACCGCAGCAGCAGTCGTTCCAGGCTGATGTTAAGCAGCCTATTCTCCCTGAACCTGAAACAGGTGATGTTCAGATGACTGGAATGGAGAAAGTATAAGTCTCCATATCCGGGGTATCCATCGCTTGGACGCCCTCCACGCGTGCAAGCGATATACAGATGTGAATAAGCCACCTAGAAGGTGGATGTCGAGTGTTTATTGCAAAACCTACTGCCTCTTCAGGACATTCATCACCCTCCTGACCGATTGATTATTTTCGCCGACATACCAGTCTTTTCACAAAATTTCCTTGTGTCATGGTCTTTTATTTCTTCAATTGATATCCGCTTTGTTTGTTTTGCCCAATGAAATGGCGTTTCTCTTGGTTGGATGGATATTGGACACTAGAACTTAACATCTAGCTTCCAAGGTTCTTCTATATTTACCTCTTGACCACTCGTTTATGAGGTTTTGTCGTGGCTTGCCTTCAGTGGCGATACTGAGATGTGTATCTAGGCTTTGGATGCCTCGTCTTTCACATGAATCCTACAGTGCATCAAAATGATCCATTTCCACCTCCCTCACCAGATTCTTCCCCCCATTCTTCCAGCAATACACCCTCACTTTTACCTTCACTCTCATCTTTTCCCTCTGCTTCCTCCTTTCCTCCATAATCCCCATCCACTTGATCCCAGCCTCCTCCACCCGTTCCTGTCTCCCCCTCCATCTCCGTCTCCAAAGCGCCGTCTGCAACATCATAGACCGATTCTCATCCCCAGGCCATCCCCATCTTCTCATCTTCAACCCCTTTCTGGTCTCCCCCCGTCCATCAACCGCATCTAACCTCCATCTCCATTTCCTCAACTCATGCATCTCCTCCACATTCCGACATAACGTCAAAACCCCACACCGTGCAAGATAGTGATGATGAATGTGATAGTCGACTTTATACCGCGCATAAAGCTCAGCATCCTCATTCTCATCCTCCAACCCCATCCCCATATCAACCTCATCCTCCCTCTCCCTCGCCACCAACTCCCAATACCGCTCCCTCTGCGCCTCCGTCACTAAACACCCATATCCAGGCTCCATATATACCGGCACCGCCTCAAGCGGCGAAACAGCATCATCGCTCTTTTGGTGGTGTCTCGTAAACGGGGGGTCCCGGGTGGGATTGTAGATGCCTGCTGCTAGGTCTGCGTAGAAGGCGGGCTTTGCGGGTGTGGGGGTGCAGGTTGTGCATGATAGGGCTTCTTGGAGGGTTTTGTTCTAATTCGTTGGTTCGGTCAGTATCTCAAGTAGTATTTGGTATTGCGGGGGAGAAAGGGATGACGGGGGAGGGGAAGGGAAGGGAGGGACATACCATTTCTTGTTCTTCGGGTGTTGGGCTCGGATTTGCGTTTGCATTTTGATCTGAGTCTGTGGTTAGATGCATGGTGATAATATTATACCAAGATTGATCATATAATATATTCAATTCTAGTATAGTCTAGTAGTATTTTTATCGATTTCATCATGGTACGCTTATATAGTACTTATACTTCCAATCTGAATAAGAATTGTCAGCATGACCACCGTCATGTGTACAACTTCCCAGCTGAATAACAAGTCTCGAGATCCATTCATTCATTCATTCATTTCAGTCAGTCATGTCACCAGTTTTCTTTATGATATAATGGGTTTGAATACAGGATAAATGAATGGTATTGATCGGATGATTATATGTGGGTTGTTTGTTGGGTTTGTTGTTTCGGGTGGCTTTGTATATATGTAGCTTTGTTGGGGGGTGTATAATAAAGAGTGGTTGCGGTAGACCATTCCATTAATTTGATTAAAATGTCGTTTTATGTCTATGAATTCTTTGCTTTATTCGGAGGGACTGTAGAATAAATAGTGTTTCATGTTTTGTTGTGTAGATATTATTGGCAAAAAAGCACAAAGACGTCTTGAAGGTAAGGACATATATTTCTTTGTGCCAGCCAGGTCTTTGATCTAACTGCTACTCGTTTTGTTCGAGATATCCATATCGAAGGGAGAGTAGAATTGGTTTTATATTGTCTCATCGAGCTCGACAATCCCGTTGTGAATATATATTTTGCAGACCACAGAAACTGCTAGTCAAGCAGGCTTTGTTGCTAACAGTGAATATATGACCTCACTGTATTTGCTTTTTCTTCTCCCTTCAACTTGTGACACTATCAAAATGTCTCTACACTTAATTACCATCTTCCCCTCTATTTGTCTCTTTCTATCCTTCGCCTTTATCATTTTTCGATATCGCAGGCAGATAATCGACGCATTCCGATGTCGACGCAGACGATGGAAATACAATCATCTAGAAGACGATGACAAAGCGTAAGTCAGGAACACAACCCCTCCAGTCAGGATTGTAATGACGGTTTCTTGCAGGGATGAATCGATTGAGTTGAATACGGCTTCCTTCCGCCTCGCCGCAGACTCAGATAACAACTCGGACATCGAGAAAGGAAAGAAATCCGAGCGAAACAATCATACCGTACTCTCCAAATACTTCGATCCTGATACTTCGCTTCTCCGAGAGGAAATCATGGAGCCCCTTCCTCCAACCCCTAGCTGGGAGCGGGATCTTAACCGACGCATCGACGAAGGGAGGGGGTTGGGCGCTTGGGCAGACCGAATTATAGACCGGGTAGCCAGGCGATTTCAGAGTGCTATGGAGGTTAATGCCACAGATGAGCCAGAGGCATTTGTATAGCGACAAACGACAGGTCACTTTTACCAGCACCAGGCAGCTCGTTTCTGATTGACGGGGCTCTACAGCCAAGTGCTGCACGCTGCAAGACTAAATGCTGCATGGTTTCGTGGCTCCCATCATTCTTTGTGCTCTTCCCGTAAGGTTCCTGGCTCAAGTCGATATCGAAATTGCCCAGGTTGTTGAAACCTTAGGCAGCGCCACATCACCCAATCCTGCCTTTGTGTATACTGATTATAATAGCCAAATATGAGATGTCCAAAAATTAATCATGTCCAAGATTCATTCATTCATCTATCATTCAAAAATATTCTTATGTTCATAAACATAACCAAACGCAAAATAAGGTCGTAAACCAATCATACTAAATTACGGAGCGCAGTAACCTCCATCGACAACAAGGTCGGCACCGGTGGTGTAAGTGGCGGCATCCGAGGCCAGGTAGAGGTAGGCACCCTTGAGCTCCTCAGGGCGACCCTCACGGCCCATGGGGGTCTTATCCTTCCAAATGTTCTTAACCTCCTGGGGTACGAAGTTGGAGATCTCTGTGGCGATGTAGCCGGGGGAAACGGTGTTGGCACGGGCAAACCTGACCCATTCAACGGCGAGAGATTTACCTATCAATGTTAGATTCAGTGCATAAAAAAGAGGGGAAGACAGTAACATACAGAGATGGATAACACCGGACTTAGCAGCGTTGTAGGCAGCCTGCATCTGGGGGAAGTTGACGATGTGGCCGCTCATGGACGCAGTCGCCACAAAGCTACCGTAGGTAAAATTTGTCAACTTGTTTCCGTTCAGGTCAGTACCCTGCTCCTTTTGCCTCCTCCAGTGGGCAGCAGCAGCCCTAGCACAGTAGAATGTACCATCCAGGTCGATGCTGACCACGTCGGAGTAGTGCTTCAGAGGGCCATCCACCATGGGTCCCTCAGTCCATGGAACACCAGCATTGGCAATGAAGATATCCAACCGGCCGTTGAAATCCTTGACGACCTGGTCAACAGTGTCCTGGACGGCCTGGGCATCGGTGATGTTAATCTGGTAAGCTTTGGCTATAGGCGTTGTTAGTTTCTGTATGCATGCAGAGCAATAATATCACTGAGAAGATGAACATACTTTGAACACCGTACTTAGAGGCAATATCGGCCGCCCGCTCAGGACACTTGGTGTTGGTGTTGTACCACATGGCAACATTAGCACCAGCTTCGGCCAGACCATTTGCTACGGCAAGACCGATACCAGCACCAGCGCCGGAGACGATGGCGGTCTTTCCCTTGAGCGAGAACAGACTCAACAAGCTGGGATGCTCGGGGGCGGTAGTATTTTCGTGGACGAAAGTACCACTCTTGGTGATGGGGTTGTTGGCCATGATGTACTATGTAGTCCTGTTCAGAAAAATGGGGCAGCGGAGAAAAAGATCGTGCAGATAAAGTTGGAAGATGAAAGCTGTCAAGCAGCAGATCAGTCCGAGAACCGTTTATATAGGAGGGGACTGGTCTATGTAATACCCCAACAGCATCAGGCAGTGAGAGATGCGTTGGCGGGGTCATCATGTCCGATCCTCCCTTCCAAGCTGTGCTCTTTGTCCATTCTGTCTTGTCGTAGCTAACTTTCAGCAAGCTGGTTAGTCTACATAGTACCTTGACTGCAGACTGAGCACCCGAGAT